CTGTTTTAATTTAAAATTTATTGTTCATTTGGTGTTTAATCATTCATTCACCATTCTCGTAACCAATTTTTTAATATAGACAAAGAATAAATGTCTCCTCCCTTTTCATTTGTTGATGTTAATCAACCCACTACAAGTATATTTATCTGTGCACTTTCAAGTTGAAGGGCTTTAAATGGTGACCAGGCTTGCGAACGCAACGGGCCTACATGCCAGCCAGTCTAGGTTAAAAAAATTAGCGTCTCCCATCCAAGGACATCTTTTATATAGTAAGTCTTATGTTTTAGTTATGCCATTACCAGCAACATTCTCATTACTAGCCCGTTTCCCTATGCACACCTTGGACATTGAAGCTGTCGCTGTCGGCATGTTTTGCCGCTTATAGCTCTCTCTATTTGTTTGTTTTTGTTTTGTTTATCTTGTTTGTTTTTTCTTGTTGTTTTCTCTTCGTTTTTTTTCGTTTTTTGTTTTTTGTTTGGCCGTCGCCCATCCTAAGTCAGTTGTGAAAAACAAAGGGCGCTTCGTTTGTCAACCTTAGGCCGGCTCGGTGAAGCTTGCTGGCCCAGCTGGGTTTTGTTTCTAACAAGAAACTTCAATATTGTCGTTTGTTGCCGCACAGTGTACAGCCAAATGGCAAAAAAGTAAACGCTTGAAAGCAAGCAGGCGTGCAAGACAAATATTAACCCTAGGCTATTCATTAAATAGTCCTTTGCTCATATGTTTTGCTTTTATTCTCTGCTCACCGTTTTTTCTGTGCGTCTTTTCATTAGAAGAAGAAGAAAGGGAAAAAAGTCCCCCCTTATACAAGTAGTATATAGTCGTAGTAGCAGTAGAATGTGCATCCAACACATCACTTCATCCAGCTCTCATCAGGCACTCGAAAAAGCTGGCTTGAAGCGCCCATTGTTTGGGCCATTCTCTATGATGTGCCTCCGGTTGACACGCCAGCAGCTAGATGGATGTTTGCGAGCAGGCAGTTATGAATATTTACGAGTGCATACACACATACATACACACGAGTTCGAGTGTGTGTGTGTGTGTGTGAGGCAGCCGCAATTTTCATCCTACAAGTAGCTGCCGCCAGTTTAGCAGCTTGTGCCTTTTTTGTTTGTTATCCTAACCGTGCAATTGTCTGGAGCGTCTCCAAACTACGAGCGAATTCAAATTTTCATTTAATTTTCAACATTCGCCTGCCTTATTATGTCTTGCTCGCAGTTTCCCGGCCCGATCCCACAAAAATTCTTATTGCAAGCTGTCAGCTGGCTGTTGGGAAAATTTTCACATTAAAAAGCTTAACGACGGCTCCTTTTGTTGTCATTGTTCCTCTTTGGTCGACACCCCCCGAGCAAGGCCATGTTGTTGGTGTTGTTGGTGTTGGTGTTGCTCTGCTCCTAATGTCCTTTGTTTGCTTGACGAAGTGACTTGCACGCATACTCGTAAAATACACCTGCTGTGGCAAAATGTCTTAATTGAACATATTAGCCGATATTACTTGTCTCTGGAGGTGATACTCGTATCGATTGGGGCTAACATTATACGAGTATGGTATGGCGGCGATAGCGTGCGTCTTAAATATACAATGATTTTTCATTTGGACAACTGGTGGCCGCCTTAGGCGTGTATGCGTACGAGTATGTCCTTCAAATGCAGGTATGTACAAGTACAAGCCCGAAACGCCTTCTTGCCAATTTATTTTACTGAGCTAGATATATCGCCAGAAATTTGTTACCAATTGCCACCTCAGATAGCCAGAACAGAACCAGTAGAAATTCGTACAGCAATCATTTGCACAAAGGCAAAAATGTGCCTTCGTCGAATTTCGTTTTAAGTACTAAAAATCCACCGGGGTAACTAATTCGAATGTTATCTCTGGCGGTGCAGCAACGACTATTTTATTCGTTCATTTCTTCGTCGCTTTTGACTTCCAATGGCATGAGATACGAAAAAATTTGTGCAAAGTTTTATCTTCCGGCAGTCATTCATTCAAGACTGTGCTGCCGCCACCAGAAGTCCATTGTTCTCGCGCATTATTTATCTATCGCAATTGTCTCGGGATGCAGATGCTAGCGCGACTCTTACCGTTCGCATGGAGTCGCATGGATGTCTCAATGTCAGCTCGGGGTGAGAAGTTGGTGGGGAAATCACACCGCTCCGCACCGCTCCACACCGTGCCGCTTTGCATTTCAATCTTGCTTCGGTGTTTTGCAAGATTTCGAAACCACCACCACCACCACCAGACCCCAGCACTCCACACCATTGGGCTGATAATGGGGACAGCAATCCCCTGCTCTGCCGAGTCTCAGGGGTGCGACTCTTTACGGCTAATGAGATAATACAGCACTTAAGATTTGATTATTCCCAAAGGGTAAAGGGTGCTATGAATCGTTCAGCAGAATGCTATAGTTATATATTATATTCTTAATCATAATGATTCCAGTGATTCCAAACATATCTATCCGTATAAATACATGGTGATTTATTTGCATACATGGTGATTATTTGACTTTATAAAGAACAAGCGTCCCACTCCTGCTTTGCACGGGTATTTAACAAAAATTTCAAAAATTATAAACTTTAAAACACCAAAAAGGAATTCAATTATAAACATAGATTGGATATTATCGGAGGATGATTTTTATCATTTTTATATATTTTCCTCCTATGTCGACCGTCATATGTTTGTTGAATTATTATTTTAATGATTTTTTTGTTCTTTTTTATAATTTATTGCTATTCTTTATTGAGTCAGAGTTGCTTTGTAAACGGTATTTGATGAAATATTATTGTGGCAGCAAACTAAATTGATTTTCAGAAGATCCGACCCGCGTTAGGCCAGCATACAGCAAAACATTCCTTTCGTATGTCGATCATTTAATATTTGAAGGTTTGGCCATGAGACTTTGTAATAAGTATTTAACGCGAATGAAGTTGTAACCGGAAATTGAAGCCGTTTAAATGGGATGGCCAGATAAGTTGGGGCCATCGGTATATAAGGTAGTCGACCAATTTCCTCCAATTCTTAATAAGCAGCCTCGTCCAATTGCACCTACTCAGGGGTCTTACATTTCTTAAAAGTATGATTGGAATCCCGAGTTTTAACTTCAATTTTTGTGTGCAATGAACTGTGTCTTCGGTGTTATTCAAGGTGTCGATCGATTTGTAATTTTTAATTTCCTTAATATTTAAAGTGACATAATGTTTCGAGGATGATTCTGAACTAACAGCATTCAGTTCTGGAATTTTTTATGTAATTTTGTTACACCTTGGGTTACATTATTGACGTTTTAGTAAGGATCCCAATTTTTTTTTGCAAATATAATATAGCCTATGTTAACCGGGGATAGTGTAGCTTCCCAACAGTGAAAGAATCCCTTAAATCGGTCCAGTAGTTTCGGAGCATATTCGATTCAAATAAACAAACAGACAAACAATCAAATCTTTCCTCTTCGTAATATTAATTATAGATAGACAAACGCCTGTCATCAGCAAAATATTATTTATTATTGAAAAACAAAATTTGTAATAGAAAAAAATTCCACAATGGTTCCTCTTAGTATTTAAAGTTATTTTACGCATTTCCCCAACAGCATTTTTCATCAACTGATTTGTCCGTCTGGCTGAATAAACAGAATGTGAATAGCATCCTCGATTTGTCAGCTGAGTGGTTCAGGATATTCGAATCCTATTTATACATCATATATTTACCACTTGAATATGTACATTCAGTTAAAAAGCACTGTACAAATAATTAAAAAAAAAAAAACATAGATATATGAAGAACTACTAATATAGTAGAGCGCATGAAGGAATTTGCCAAAGAATGCAAGTCATTGACAATACTGCTCCAGTTGCCAGAACTTTTTTAAAAGAAATTCAATTTTTCCTGGCTTTTTTCAAAATTGTTGTAAATCCGATTGCTTCGAGCTAAATAATATAGCAAGATGCCAACGGATCAATGAACCGATCTCCAACACCCGACAACACCAAGGACCAACTAGGTCTATGCGGAGAATATTTGAAGTGTTCGCGAATGTCAGTTTGAAGAAAATTAATTAATCAAGCATTTAAAGTCATTAGAAAATTGTTAACAGAACAATCTAGACAACGATACTAATTTCTGTAGCATCGTGAATGTTTCAAAGTTGATTTTTGGTTATTAATGACTAACTTTTTATTAAGCTGATTGATAGGCTAGATTTTGAAATGAAAGTACGACGCTGTTGTTGTTCAGCACAAATATGAAAACTTGCTTCTATTCGGACAACTCGTTTTCAAGTATTAACTAAAATGTTTGAAGAGAATGTGCCTGACCGCAGGTTGCCTATATATTTGTTGAAATCCCTAGAATCTGACAACGGCGGTCATAAAGTCCGCTTTTTTAATTAGAGTCACGAGTAAAATAAGCCAATTAGTAACAGTGTCGGAGTAATCCTTTTTTTTTTTTTTCGTTACTCTCCTGCTCATTTCCGCCCGAAGGCGCTGTATATTTAATTTCTTGCCTTATTTTCGTGGGATTTTGTCTGCGCTGGCGGCAAGTAATTTATTAAACAAGCAAATTATGTGGAAAATGAGAAAATTAAAAATTTGTGAATGTCTGTGGTGCTGCTCTGACTGAGTTCTAATTGTATTTTGAGAAGCTGCGAACTAAGTAACAAGTTGTGCGAATTTCATGGACATCCATTTTCCCTTCCCCTCTGCCCTTCCTTATTCGTTTTATTAATAAGTTAAGCTAGCTTTTAAAATTGCCAAAAACAGTATAGTGCTAAAGGGGAAACATGAAATGTGATTTACTCGAACACCCAAATAAAATCAATGCTTCTCTTGATGGATCATCTGATCCATAATCTGATTGATCTGTGGATAGACCATCGTTGAGTAGCCTTGACGTGTATGTTGTAAGTCTATACTCAATAGGTAATTACCACATCTGTTACTGTTTTCTAAACAGCCCCATTACGAAAACTCGTATACTGGAAATGTATATGCGCTGCAGCTTCGAGTTGATTTCAGAATTAAACGACCGGGATAATATTATTTGTCCGAATTTTTAGATAAGATCCATAACAAGTTATTCATTTGATTCATTTAGAGTTATGCAAATGTGGCATGAATGAATTTAATATTAGCGCTATTAGTACACGTGAGCCTATTTATCGGCTTAACTAAGCTTAGACTTTGACTCCGAAACATCCGGTCGGCCCGCCAGCTCCTGCTGCTTGCGCGGCTTGCGTATGTAAGTCTTGTAGTAGAAATCGGAGAACATTATAAGCATGAACGTGTTTTGGATCGTACCCATGAATGCGATGAGCATGGGATGGTTGCAGGGATTGCGGAAAATCACAAGCGTGAAGTGCAGGGCGAGGACGCCGAACTGGACTAGCTGGAGCTGAGTTATATGCCGTTTCCACCAGAGGGTCTGCTGCAGGGCGCCGATGGAAGAGGCAAAGTAGTAGGAGTACATGACAGTATGGACCAGAAGGTTAAGGACACCCAGCATTGAGGCATGTGAGCCTCCCAAAAACGTAATGTATATGAAGGAGGCAAAAGCCATTCCAGCATGATGATACACATGCAAGAAGCTGATCTGCGAGTTCTTCTTCCTTAGAACGATAAAGACCTAAAGAAATGGAAACAAGAAGATCTTAAGCCAGTCATAGTTGTTGACCTGCAGTGTTTACTGACCGTGTCAAACAAATCCAGGTATTTCAGTAAAAAATAGCCATACGTTGAATATAGTAGTCGCATCATCCAGGGCTGGGTGTTGGAATGATCTGCAACCTGGCAAAGTATACTATATTCTGACTGAAAGACACTGTAGTACAAGCCGTAAACGAATAAAATAGAATTAAACACCACTTGTATGACGTCATAGATTTGCATGACGAGCTTCAGCTCGAACGGCCTGCGATTCTGCATCCACTTGGGGCCATAATGCAGCACGAAGGCCAAATAAACGCCCACAACTGCCAGATTAGCCCCCAAATTTCCGACGAGTGGCAAATGCGCGACTCGGGGATCACTGTAACGATCAAACAATTCACGGGTCAGGCTATAAAAGTAAGCAATTATATTCGGCGCCATCGCGTCTCAGGATCCGCTCGAGTGGTTCTGGAGCTCGAATTCGCAACAATTTCCGCGACTGTGCGACTGTTTACACTTGAAGTAGGTCTGATGTCTTCTAAACTCAACTTTCGTTTCAATACTTTCAAGTGCATGGCCATTGTCCAATTAATACATCCACCGTATTCTATATGTTAATGACCGCTTAATGCGACGCACCACTCGATTCATTAACCTATGCAAATTGGCGGCTGTTTCGGCATTTGTGGAAGAGGTAGCGCCGGCACAGTCCACAATAATTAAAGGGCCTCATGCGGCAACGATAAGCGTATAGTGAGTGAAAAAAGCTGCCGCACACCAACAAAAAAAATGTGTTAAAGAATGTGAGAATTGTAACTAAATTAGATGAGGGGAGAACACTACTATTTTTTTTTTTTAATTTGATGGCTGTAAATCGGAGCATAGCTGACCAAATTTTAAATAAAATGCCTGAGACATTTACAATTTAGTTATTTCTGAGGCTTTCTTTTTTTTTTTTTTTGAATTGATAATATTCTTCAATATCTTTACTGCAGTATAATATATTGTTGGATTAATTAAGTAAATAAATAAATTAAATAAATTAAATAACAATGTTTAAGAAATGTACGTTTCATCAAAATTTAACTGGCGTCTTCTTTCGTCTGCTGACCAGTTACATCTCTGTTATCGGTTACTATCGATTATTGATTACTTAGCACTACTTAACTATTTGGTCAATGCCTAATTATTGTTAGTGAGTAGTCTGTATCGATTGCACAGAAAATGAACAAAGTTGTCCTTTCTCGGGCTTAGGAGAGGCTGATTATTCTAGCTCTTATACTTGCTGAGATCCTTGCGTTCATACAGACGGACAGATAGACAGACATACATGGCTATATCGACTCGTCTAGTCATACTGATCATACTTTGTGGGGTCTGCCACGCCTCGCACAAAAGTAATGTACCCTACGGGAACAGGGTATAATTAAAAGGCACAGCTGCCCCCGAAATTGTAGTTAATACACGTGTAGCCCTGAATTTGCAATCGGCAGACAATTTTTGTCAACAACATTTGTCGAGTACATGGAGCCAGTGGTGAATCGGAATGAAAAAATCTATTTTGAATGTTTATACTGTTTCGTATGCGCAAGTAGCTGGCAGACAAAAGGCACCTCTTTCGCAACATTCTGCTGTCTAGTTGCAATGAATTGAACGCACTTTAGTTTGCTTCTAGGAGTAGTAGTACAAGTAGTACCCATATGCATCTAAAAACGCTTATAAAGCATGCATTTTGCTATCGGGACCTCAAAACGCTGTGATGATAAGTCGCTGTCACAGTTGAGTGAAAAATTGCATTTTCCTCAACACTAGAGTGCCAGTCACTTGAAAGTCAAAAGCATTGGCAGCTTCAACAGAACATGTGCACGATTTATATTATATACTTAGAGGAGTGTGTGTCAGCTTCAGCGACAGGTTCTATACACGTATACCACATGCATATTCATATACTGTTTGAGTGAACTGTGCATATATACTTGTGACTTGTATGCAAGTGTCTCGCTCCACTGCTACTTCTTGCTGAAAGCTGATGGGATCTCGTCAAAAACTTATGACATATTGCTACCGGCTGGAAACTTGATGAATGCAACTTATGAGTATGTGAGGCGTACAACTCACTCATGTGTGTGAAGTGGGCGAAAAGCTCTCCCAGCTCCTACTACATAGTTGGAGAAGGGACTACAAACAGGGAGTTCGAACAGGAATGTGCGGAGCCAATGATGAGATCTAGATGAAATACTTCAGCTACGATCATAACGAACGGCCCTTAAAACACTCATAATATCCTTATCCAAGGTAACTGCATGAAAGTAATTTGGATTAAAATTATTGATTGGCGGCATTACTTATATACTGACACACACTCTCACACATCGGCCCTTGAACGTATATGTAGGAAGTAATCTATAGAGCTGCCATGGCCTTAAGCCTCAATGAAAAGGGGAAATCCCCATTGGCTGTCTCGACTGTGTGTGGTTTCCGCGACCTTGATGCTCGATGTTTTGGGTGTATCCTGATTGCTGTTGTTTCCAACAACTGCTGGCCAAAACAATCATTTGCATTTCTCTCACTACCTTGAAACATGACAATTACTGAGGAATGGCTCATTTGCACAAAAAAGCCATAATCACATGTCGGTCGACAGCCATTTTGCACTTACCTTGTGATGAAATATGCAATAATCGTATACGAGTATAGCCCATTACCGGAAAAGTGATGGCAACGATAATTATTACAAACACGTAAGAATGAAATACTTTCCCAGATTGTGGATACTTTGCCAAGCAAGTCAATAACTCTTCTCCACACGCAACTTCGACGTTTGTCTGACAGTCTGTAAAAGCTGCAGCATTTTGGGCTTAGTTGTGTATATAATTATGTAGGTGAGTGTGCATTCGAATTATAAAGCGAGCCCTATAGTACTCAGGAATGTCGTTTATACTATTTGTGTTACGTCAGTATTTGCCGAGCTTTGTGTACTACTTGTAATTAAAAAATAAATTAACCACTTAATGAATAATACAACACACAAAATATCGATTCAAAAACTATTTGCAATGTCTTTCCTAATTAAAGTTACAGTGCAGAAAAGTTTTCGCAATTAGATTCTTTAGATATATATACCCGATAGACGCATTCTTTCGGAAGCTAATTTGCGATGTTACGCAATGAATCCCAAATACTAATAATATGAATAATTAATCAGCCCAAGTGTTAAGGTGGTCATAAATACGTAGCAATGGAGCTATGGATCGATGGCTAACTAAACAGAAAGCAAAATCGATTCGGAAAAGTGCACAAGGGCTAAATTTTGATTAGCTCCAACGAACCATTCGCCAAAGCTACGAATAACTTATTGGCAAAAGTGCACTTTTTGAAAATCAATGTTCACGTTGAGTGGCGGGCAACGAAAATGAAAACAAGACAGGAATACCCTGTATACAATCCCACAAAAACAAAGAAAACAGTTTTTACATATTTTTTTAAACTAAATGAATTGAATAAAAGAAATATCACGTACATGTAGTCGTATAGTTTCAATAAAATACATGTACATCAATATTATGGCTATGGGAGTCTATGCGTTTCGTGGAACAACAACAACAACAACAGCTGCGGGCAGAGCACGGACAGAGCTTACACTTAGCTATGGAGCTATTGAAATTTACTAATCGCGGAGGAGAGAAAAAAAACACACCCTCGTCCTTCTCGGACCTAGGGGAAACTATATACCAAGTGGTCTTTTTCTAGCTTCTACATATACTGAGATCCTTGGAGATGCATCCTTCACCCTGTTAAATACTTTGCAGACACCTAATATGCCCTTTTTATCCTTCGGTTTCAGGGTAATATCTTCACCTATATGTTAACATACACTTCGGAAAAAGGTTTATTATATTCAAATTTAAAAAAGATTCTATGTTAAGCCAAACTTGAAAAACCGACAAAAATCATTTCTTTGTTTGTAGTTTGTGTTTTTGGACTGAATTGAAAAACTCAAATTCCCACAAAGCGTTCATTCAGTTTGTCAACCTTGAGGTTAGGAAACCTTTGGTGTTGTTTTTATTTAAATTAATAAATATAAATTCAAACTTGAATGCCGGTTATTACAGCCTGTAAAGGCCTATTTGTCATAATGTCAAGTGTAATCGTTTAATCTCTGCCCACACTTGCTGTTGTTGTTGTTGTTGCTCGCACAAACCCTACGTCAGGATCGGTTCAGAATTAATTGCTTTTGGGATCCCTGCCTGCTCAAGCAGACTCCAGCTTGTAACTCCTCCGCCGCAGAGCGATTTACAAATGGTTTGCCCTTTTAGGTCGTCCTAATTTCTCAAGCATTTATTACTTTTATGTAATTGATTTGGAATATTTCCATTTCCTTTTTTTGTTTTTCTGGTAAAAAGCTTTATTTTGACTTTTGTATTGATTCGATCGATGTCTGCACCAAGTGCTTGTCGACTTCCTAAATAAATAAATAAAAACACACACATATGCATTGACCAAATAGTTCAGTGAAAAATATGATGTATAAATAATTGCTTCCCATTATTTTCCAGGTGGCAACAGTCGGTCGCTCAGCAACGTGCAACAAACAGCAGCTGCTTCGTCTGCCTCTCTAACAGCACCACAGCCCCGATTCCTGTCACGTGGACACACATATCGGGCGGTTGTCGGCGATACTCTGGTCCTGCCCTGCCAGGTGGAAAATTTGGGTACGTGCATAATTTGATTAATGGGACTACGTTCTCAATATGAGGAGCCCATAAAATATTAACACCAAAAATTATGTGTATTTCGCAAATATGCTAATCCGCTTAGGCCAAATGTCAAATAACCTGAATGTTACGATTATAGCCAACGACAGGCACATTGACAGCCTTGGCAGCTTGTGGACACACACACACACATACACAAGCACACATACACAGAATATATTCAATGTAAATAAATTTACACGCACATTCGTACAAATAAACCGATTTGAAAATGGCTTTAATTGAAAATGTCCGATTTTTATAGCCTTCTCCGGAAAGCGCAGAGGTGTATTGTTTTCCCATAGAGAAGAATAGTTGACCCCATGATATAGATTTAATTAACATCAGCATTACGATGTCCGTCTGTTGAAATACTACCCGGAAGCAATTAATATAGTATGACCCAGCCATAGAAACTATATAATTTGAACAGACATTGCAGCCAAATTGCACATTATTGGACATTTGTGTATTGAACGTTTATCTTTAAGAACAATTTATTAAATTATCGATTAAACATTTAAAGGCTACATTTCACTATAATGAGCAGTCATATACATACTCCTATGTGAGTATTTATTCAGTTTTAAAAAGTTTTACACGTTTCTCTTAAATAATAAACCCATGTCCATCCCTATCAGTTTTTGTAGACAACGTCTGGGCGTTCCTTAATTAATGTGAGGTGTGCAGATGGGCTGCTGGATGAAGATTGTTATTTGTTTTCAAATATATTCGTCCTATTTTATTTGCTGTTTATTTATCTATTTATTCCGATTATTCGTATGCTTATTACAAGTATATTATAAGCCAATTCACAAGCCACTTTATTGCACTATTAATTAGTAATTGTATATTATAAGCCTAAGGTTGTTTTTTTTTATAACAGCCATACACATCGTGCAAACGAACATTTATAATATAAAGATATAAAAAACAAACCAATCGAAATGAGAAAAAGCCAGGCGCTGCCATCAGTGCACATAATTCCTTATACTTAGACGCAGTCATGCGAACACCAAGCTTTTCAATAATACATAATCGAAAGCAATAAAAAGATTATTGCTGCCGTTTTATTTGTGTATGCCAAGGCCCGATGTAACAAAAACAAGTTGATGTTCAGCAGATTGGTGATGGGACAGATTTGAAAAGGGCCAGCTCCTAATGTTGCATTTTTAGATACTTATTAGAAGAGAGTATGGGATTGTTGTTTTTAGCGTCAGAGATTGTATGACCCATAGAAAAGCATTGTCCGTTTTAAGAAATTTACTCCTTCAAGAGTTTTACAGAGAATGCGATGATAGAATGCGCGAAGGCTGGTTTTTTTGACAGACATAAGAGATATAATATCGTAATACGCATGTCCGAACAAACCATTCAAAAACACTATATCATATATGGACAAATTTTTATTTAATCATCCACAAACAAAGTTGTCGATGTAAGCATGACATCAGAGATATGTACAGAAATTAAAACGAGTACGTATATATATCTGATGCATCACCCCTAGAAGATTAATTGCCAAATACGTAAAAACTAATTTCTATTATATAGTATTGTATTGAAACAGTGGGAGATATAATTCGCAACATACTTGTATGACCATATTAAATACTCTATAAAATGTTCTATACACTTGATTCCATTTTTACACGGTCGATTGCTTCCAGAAAACAAAGATATTGATCATATGCGAAAATAGGTAATTGGTTCCTTATCTCTAAGTCCTATTAAAATCAGGAAAAAACAAGGATTTATGTTTATTTTTAACCGACTTCAAAAAGTAGGAGGTATTATTATTATTTGTTTGTTTTTATTGAATTATATATATAATGTGCAAAACGATCTAAATAAGAATGGTTTCTAGCTGTTTGTCAGCTGTCTGTGTGTTTATTTATTTATTTTGTGTTATTTTAAATCGTGCTAAATGGAATAATATCGTGTAACCATATATAAAATTTTAAATTTTCAAACCGTGTTAAATCAAAACCGTGCAAAAACAGAATTACCTGTATATACTATATAGTATTTCTTTAATTTTTTTGTAATTTTAAAGACCAAGAAATAAAAGTACACAAAAAGAAAGGTGTGTGCAAGTTTCCGATCTCCCTTGATTCTCGATTATGTAATTTGGGCATTACATGCCTAAAAAAGTTCTAAAGGTTAAATACTTAGCTATTTAATTTCTATTTTTTGTCCATTAAAGGCAATTTCGTCTTACTTTGGCGTCGCGGTGCAAATGTGCTCACTGCATCCAACATAATGGTGACCAGAGATGAGCGCATAAGACTGATAGAGGGCTACAACTTAGAGATATCTGACTTGGAGCCACAAGATGCCGGGGACTATGTTTGTCAAATCAGTGACAAAGTAAATCGTGATCAGGTCCACACAGTTGAAATATTGGGTAAGTATTTCTAGGGCCACTTATGTAATGTAGAGTGCCTATCAGACCTAAACAATGCATTCCATGAAAGACAAATATGCACAATACTAAAAGCTAAATAAATCATTTTCCATACCATATAGTACCGCCTAGTGTTCGTGCTATACCAACATCTGGTCAGTTACAAGCCCGGAAAGGTGGACCCATAACGCTGGAATGCAAAGGGTCTGGGAATCCGGTGCCATCCATCTACTGGACTAAAAAGGTATTTTTGACATTATTTTTGCTTTTAACGTAATAAATAATTTAAAGCCTCACATCCAAGCTAGCAGAGCTTTGTCTTGCAGGGTAGAAATCTGTCAATTCGTGTTGAAAAGTCAGCCCGAATGGATTTATGTATGTATGGATGTGTAGTATAGCTTTCAGTTTTGTTTACAAATCAACATCAAATGTCATCCTTCAAAGTTTTAAATAAACGAAAGCAACTAACCTTTTAATATCTACACACCAACGAGAGAAACAGTCAGTCTTAAGCAAGCATAAAACGAAATGATAAATTGTGCGATAAAAGCAGCCACAGGAATAAATTAATGGGGCCAGAGGAGGGGGAACCAATCTACAACTCACACATGTGACTGTAATGGAGGCAATTATGAATTCAACAAACACATAATTTTACGCATGAAGCAACAAAGGGATAACATATTTGCCAGCCATTTATAATTAGGGATTGTGTGGGGCTGTGGAGCAGCGAACGAGATGGCAGAAACACACACACACACACACATACATAAGTACATACTATATTTGGTTGGCTAAGGAAAGGAGGCCAAAACAATCTGAGCCAACAAACGAATTTTCGTTGACTTGGCTTGCAAATGTGCGATTGCCGAGTGGCTTCGAGTGTCATTTTAGTAATTTTAATTAACGCAAAAGCGTGAATTCTTTGCCATATTTAAATGGAAATATTGAATGCTAGAATTGTGTGTGAGCTCCTCACCTACACACAGACACAATGTAGCCACTTGAAAGGATATTTGAAAATCATTCGTGAATAGCCTCAATAATTTGCTAGACGGCATAACGCTCCAAAGCCCCGTCTAATAGAGATGTCGGCCACTCACTCTTGTCACGTTTCAGACAGATATATCGATTATTTGTTTCATGTTAAATTTTAGAAGACATATGCAAATGATTCTCTCATGAGAAATTACTGTGACAAGTGGCAGCCAATGCCGTGTAGTAAATATATGTAGCTCATAGTTATGTGAATTGGAAACATATACTATTGAGTAACTAGAATAGAAAGCAGAACAAAGATTCTTTTTGTTACTTAGATCGATTAGTGTTTATAAGTACTTGTATTACAAGCGAATTTGTATAATACCTCATTGTTATCATAACATATAAGTACTATTGAGTAAATAGAATAGAAAGCTAAACAAAGTTTGAACTTTCTTTTTGGTAAAGTCCTTAGATCGATTAGGGTTTATAAGTTTTACAAGTGAATTTGTTAAGGGAGACTTTTGGCTTAGTTAAATTTTAATAGAATGAAGCAAATCAAATAAAGTTATTCTTCTATTGCTAATGCCGTTTAGTTAATAACTCATAGTTATGAAAGCATATACTATTGCGAAAACAGAATAGAAATCTAAACAAAGATCTATTAATTTTTACACGTTGTACAAACGAATTTGTTTAGGGAGACTTTCAGCTTAGTCAAGAAAGGGACACAAATTAGTTGCAAATCTACTTGCAATTTATGTGAAAAGGTTTTTTTTTAGTAGAATGAAACAAATCAAATAAAGTTATTCTTCTATTCCTAATGCCGTTTAGTTAATAACTCATAGTTATGAAAGCATATACTATTGCGAAAACAGAATAGAAATCTAAACAAAGATCTATTAATTTTTACATGTTGTCCAAACGAATTTGTTTAGGGAGACTTTCAGCTTAGTGTAGAAAAGGACACAAATTAGTTGCAAATCTACTTGAAATTTATTTGAAAAGGCTTTTTTTAGTAGAATGAAACAAATCAAATAAAGTTATTCTTCTATTGCTAATGCCGTTTAGTTAATAACTCATAGTTATGAAAGCATATACTATTGAGAAAACAGCATAGAAATCTAAACAAAGATCTATTAATTTTTACATGTTGTCCAAACGAATTTGTTTAGGGAGACTTTCAGCTTAGTCTAGAAAAGGACACAAATTAGTTGCAAATCTACTTGAAATTTATTTGAAAAGGCTTTTAGTAACGATGCTCTCCTGATATTGTCCCGGCCAGAGCTCGTTATGTATACGAAGATGCACACTTTTTGTGGGGTAATTGCACAAGTTGGGCCAAAAATATTGGTCTGTGCACACCACTAAAATGCGATATATAGTACTTGTATTTGTGACTGTGCAATAAATTGCAGAGCGAGTGTGTAAAGTGCTCTCAGGTAGACAAATGCGGGATTGTCATCGAGCGCGCAATCAATGCAGGAATACTTGTACAAGAGAACTAAGACACAGCACAGGGTCGGCTCTGTCTTCAAATAAATGAGTGTGTGCGTACTATACTCGTATGTACTTGAATGTAATAGAATTTGTGTTCTCCTTTTTTGTGTGTATTGCTACAATCTGGCTCATTTGACACGCCGTTCGATTTATTTGCATACAGTAGTAGTTTCTTTTTCTTCGCAGCGGTTTCTTCATACATGGATGCTCGTCTACCTGCATTGCTTGAGCTCTCTATGCATCTACGACAAACTATACATATATATACGTATATATACATACATATGTATAGTATATACATACATATGTATGTATGTATGAATGTTTGTGAATTGCGGAACACACTGTCAAAATATGTGTCATTTTATTTCTATTAAATTCACTCTCAATGCTCTCAAAAGGCATCGTACCGCTTGCTTAAGCAGTTGTTGACATCACTTCCCCCCGGGGTTCCCCTCTGTTGATTTTCTGTGACGAAGTGGGTGCTCCACCAAAAGTTAACCTCTTACATTTGTAGCCCCAGAACGAACTTCCGCTTCTGCTCCAGCACCAGAGCATTTTCTGAGCTGGATGCTTATATAATTTTTTGTTTGTTTCAAAGTTGCTCTGCTTTTCCTTCTGCCCGAACAGTGTGTGTTTGTCTCGTCTTTTGACATTTCATGCTGCCAGGACGAATATGTAAAAATATCTCAGCCTGAGTACGCACCAAATGCACATGAGTGGAAACATGTTGAAAATGTATTTGAAATAAATTGGTTAATTAACAGTCTTTAATAATAAATATAACAAATGAAAACCTTGAAAGCATTAGGATTGTTCACATTTTTTTCTAGAAATTGTCTGCTGGACATAGGAATTCATAACGTCTATATGCTTTGTATAGTTTGAACTCAAAGCGTCCATTACAAATTATATATCGCTTTGATATATGTTTGATTCCACCGACTCCTTTATTTTTATTTTATTTTTTACTTTTTTTTAATTTTATTTTTTATTTAATTTTTTATTTAATCAGTTTACGTTAGTCATTATATATTTATTCTCCCACTTTTAAATTAAATTTTAATTTCAAATTTATTTTATTTTGCAATAAATATTATAACTATTGTATCTGTTTTTCTAATTTTTATGTTATTTGATTTTATTTATATTTTTTATGATTATTGTACTTTAGAGAGTACCTTAGTAAGTTACTATAGTTCTATACGAGTAAGATTTACGACGAACTCTTCTTCTTTCTCCTCATTGCAGAGTGGTGCTGGAAAATCATCTGCTCGCATCGGCGATGGACCTATTCTGTCTCTCGATAAATTGGAGCGCCAACAGGCGGGCGTCTATCAGTGTACGGCTGACAACGGCGTAGGCGATCCTGTGACCGTCGATATGCGTCTGGACGTTCTATGTGAGTAGTGCACCAAGACTATGAAAATGAGTGCAAAGCGATATTATGTAAATGAATCTTAGAGCTGTACAAGTATATTAATTATTCAGTTATATACAAGTATCAAGCTAAAAAATAGTTAAGCTATGAGAGAAATTTCGATCCGCCTCAATTGGTTCCGCCAATAATATTTCGCACAGTGTTGCGCGACATCCGCATACATCTCGCCCGCTGCCTCAGGCTGCTCATCCTCCTTTGGGACATGCTCTGCGTCCTCTTCTGCTCCATTGACACAGTGCAGGCACTCAAGGCTATTTTCGTGTCGAAGGCGGTGGATTTACGCACGAAGAAATCCGTGCCATCTGAGTGGCTGCGTCAGGTGGAAGTTTATAGGTTCATGATTTGTGCGTACTCAGGAACCAGGCTGGGCGTCCGCCTTCCTGCTGTCCAGCCTGGCCTTCGCTAAAGCTACACGAAATGGAAGTCTTGATATACTGCTTCGTTTCCTGCTAAGTACTTTGGGGCATATTGGCGCACACTGGAACATAGTCAGTCTTATACTAAACATTCCATTCATTTAAAGCTCTTAGATAAGAGCCCGCTATACTTTAGATTGTTTGTATATTTAATTATAAGAATTGACAATAGCCAGATGCTTATGTTTACAGATCCGCCAGACATACAAGTTGAGAAATCATGGATACACTCGGGCGAAGGATTCGAAGCTAAGCTCGTCTGCATCGTTTACGCTGATCCAGTTGCCACGGTTTGTAACCTTTCGATATCCACATACAATGTCTTTTCACCAATCATTTTGTGTTAAAATAATAATTTTTAATGAGTTAAAAACTGTATTATTTATAAACCTTCTTTATTGCATTTAAATGTTCTAGATTTCCTGGTACCAGAACTCATTCCCCATCCAAACGACAGATAGACGCATAATGTCAACAAGGAACAATCGACATACTTTAACCATTCGCCACATCCAGCAGGAAGATTTCGGCAATTACAGGTAAGTCAATCCTTTCTTTTAAAAAACAACATTCCTACGTCGCTAGCTATCATCAGTTAGTAACTCTCTTCCATTTGCATTAACTCGCCGTCCATACTATAACTTCAGTTCAAATCTACCACCAGAAGAATTGTTACTTCCTCGTAGAATATAAAATTTAAAATTAAAACTTTCTCAATTATTATCTTGCGAAAACTGCATTTGTATTTAAGTATATTATAGCTGTATGTGAGTTTAAATTAGAGGGGGCGGTCGAAAATAGAAATGAATTATGGAATATTTCACATCATCTATGATTAATGTAAAATAAAATTACATTCATTCTTAAACAGCTGTGTCGCTGATAACTCATTGGGACGATCTCGTAAGTATATGGAGCTTTCCGGTCGACCCGGACCAGCTGAATTCTATTCACCCAAATGGGGCCGCTCGTCCGATAGCTACAATCTGACTTGGAAAATCGATAGCTATCCACCGTTGGAGGAAGTGCGTCTTCTCTATCGTCGAGTGCTGGTAAGTAGCGGCCACGGGGACATTTATTCGCGAGTGACAAATTACAAAGAAACAGGGATATCTAAACCAATTGTACGCTCCTTCTTATCATTATTATTATACAGATGAACGACACTTTTCAACAGCCGGGTAGATGGCACGATTTTATTCTTACACCCGAACACCGTCCAGCCACGGAGCCACTAACACACATAATGTCATACACTATTAAGAACCTGCATCCCGGAGCTTACTACGAAGCGATTGTGCAGGCCAAGAATCGATACGGCTGGAATGAGGTAAATGAGATTTCTTTAAAGAGAGATTCCTAGTTTAGTGAATATGAAGAAAAAGCTTGTCAGTCGAGGCACATTCATGAATTAATAGCCGGATTCCAACAACGGAATCCATTTGTGGATGAAACCGGTTTGGTGTTATTTCGATCAATCTTGTTACCGATCATGGGAACTCAATTCATTTGAAATCATTTCTTGAGAATCAGGCTATTAGTTCGGTTGGATGCTGTTTAAGTCAACACACAAAGAAGCTACGAAGTGCTCTGTTTCTTTGTTTTTCTGATCCAGGTCAGCGATATATTTCAATTCATAGTCGCTAGCAGCAGCATTGATATTGCCCCCGAAGATGCCGAGGTGGTGGCCAGTTCCAAATCCCGCAGCAACAGTGGTGCCATCAACGACCTTCACAGCGCCCTGTTTCACTTCCTGCTGCTCATTGTCGTCGCTTTAAATAACTGTCGACGAGAGAGGCTGCGATTGGGCTTAGGATAAGCGTTCACTTCCACCTAAAAAATAAACTGTGAACTAAGTGGTGGTATACTTGATCGATTCCTTCCCCTTCCCTGCGAATAATATAGGAGCGAAGCGGTTGGCAAACGTTATTATAAACCATGGAACCATTCTGTAAAGTTTTTAGATTTATTTAAATTTTCACTTAACATATTTTTTACAACTACCTACCTACTATTCATTAAGCTATTTTTGTTTTCTTTATTTTTTTAGTTTACTACAGCAAACTAAATATAAATATGAAATCTGTTTGCATATGATTTTCTTCAAAATACTCGTCAACATAGAGAAAATATGAAATGAATTATGTCTGTACATAATATTTTTAGTATTGATCAGCAATTGAATTGAAATCTAGCACCGCATATATTAGTAACTTAAAAACTCAATCTACGAGTAGGTCATGTACATAACTATGTATTAGATGTTGAACCGTGAAATTAATTTTGCTTTATCAGACAGTATGTATTCTAAGTAATTAAAGTTTAATATTTAGGTGTGATTTTTATTGTGAATGAGTTTTGTTTTTATTTATTATTTAAAGCAAACTTACATCTTAGGCAACGTAATGTAAACTAAATTATAAGCCCAAAATATTGTACCACCAAATCGAGAAAATTAAGATTAAGTTGATAAAAAAAAAACAGAGCAAGCTAATTGTAAAATTTTGAACTTTATAAGGGAAAAATAAAAAAAAGGATACATATTTACATATATCAGCAATATTTGTAAATACTTACATACTAATAATGTTAGAGCCAGGCACTTATCCAACTTACGATCTGCATACTGCGGCTAAGTTCAATTCGATATGATCGTATTTTGTACGCATGAGTTCAAAATTCTGGTCTCATGCCTAGTCAGCACACCAAAGATTTAAAACTCTATCGACTCCTCTACAAGTGTATTTTCGAGGAAGATGGATTCTACGTAAGCCATGTACAAACACATTTAGTTACTCGATGGAGAGATGTTCTACTCCCGACTAAAACTCATTATGAATATCTGTTCCAATCCGACTATGCGAAATAAGTCAGTTTTATCGACTGTTTCGAGTATCCTTGCAATGCATTTTTTCGGATCGATTGTATTAGATATATGCCCCCTTTCCCACTTAGAACCGAGAAATAGGACATTAAAGCGTTGATAACAAATACATTGATGTAAGTGGTTGGGTACGGCCTATTATAATGAGCAATACAATGTTATAGAAACATTTAGCACATAAACAGAAGATACGTGTCTAAAATATACATATAGTACGAGTACATACTAATCATAACCAAACTAGCAGTACACAGCAAAGAGTAACACTAATTAAGTATAACGAAAGTATTCAAATGAGATCATTTAGTTCCATGAACTTAAAATCAGCCAACAAGATATGGCAGCTTATACAAAACCAAAATGACTTATTTGCTAACATGTACGTATTTGATGCAAAAATTATGTTTAATGATGGTATGGTTAATGCGCAGAAAATACTAATATGAAGCCCAGAACAGTTCGAATACCAAATAAAGCATAAGACGCGAAATTAAAATAATCATGTTGTTTTATTTTAAAATATCATTGAATTGTCACCGAGACTTTTGTCAGCTTTTATCCTGCCAAGGTTCTTACATTGGGTTAAGCTGGAGAGAATATTGAACACTCTTTGTAAATGGTTGGAAAGGAGAAAAAGGCTGTCCCACAAGTAAAACACAAACGAGCTCCCCACTGTCGTTCTACACATCCATTTTACTCGATCGTGTGCTTAAGACTAACTCTCGCTGCTTACAGACAACTCTTTTGCAGTTCACACCAGTGTTGCCAACTCTTCAGAAGGAAAATAAAACGGAAAATCGACGGAAAGAAGAGTGAAATAAAACTAAAAAAAAAATGTACAAAATTTGCTTGGAAAAATAAATTGAAAAATGTTTTTTATCAAAAATCAAATGGTGAACATTATAAATGATATTTGCGCAATTTGTTCTGTGTGGTCGTATGCGTCTTCAAAAAAAGTAGTGCAAAAGTTACTCAAGAGGTGAATCTTCGATATTGCTGTATCCTGAGAAAATAGGCTCCGATAGCTTCACGGGCCAGCAACAAACTAAATTTTGTTTTTTTGCTTAAACGCGCCCATAGAACGTGTGCTTATGGGTGACCCTAACATACCTGCATAAAGCTGGTTTAAGCTAGCGCTGTTATGGAAACGTATTAATAAAAAATAATTATAAAGCTGTCATGTTTCCACTTTTTTTTAACAGAAATCTTGTCAAAATTACAAAAACCGCAAAACAGCTATATGTATTTTTAAAAGGCTAGAATTCCCGCTTCCCTTATTTCGATTCTTTTCCCGTAAATAGATTTGACTGGAAAAAAGCCAAATTGGCAACACTGCACATTTGCAATATTATTCGAGAGAGAATTTACCTTTAGCTTAGTAGGAGAACGGGTCAATTAGCATACTGCAATAATGTACTACTTAAAAAAAAAAAAAAACAAATTAAAATAAATTAATATACCGAATCGAGAAACGTACTCCATTATCATAAACATAAATTTCATTTTCAATTTGGTTACAGCTGTAGTAAAACTTAATATTTTCACCATTTTATGCAACAATACGACTCTCTCGTTTTAATGCAAACGTTAAAGCACAAAGCCGACGCTCATCGCATGAGTTGTCAAAGCTAGACCAAGGGAATAAAAACTAGTTGCAAAGTTCACAGTGCAGCAAATAATTTAAAATTAATTAGTAGAAATATATCTTCATCCGGGCTGTACTTTTTGAATTCATGGCAGCCAAATGCAAGCTGCCAAGAATAAACTTTGCACAAAGAGTGATAAAAACTGCACGCTAAAAGTTCTGCAAATTGAATTATAATTAATATTGCAGGAATTGGCAAATCGCGCACTCGCATGAATTGGTTTTGGCCTTCTGAATCATATCTGTATCCAATACCGCATCAACCACAAAATTGAATCTAATAACAGTCAAAATTGTTGGCATTGTAGTTCTCTGCCGGTGTACAGATGGCTGGCAAGCAGGCGTCAAGCTAAAACTTTTATAATTAAAATTTCGCTGCTCGGTTGTTTCACCCAAAAAAAAACCAAAAACAAAAAAGGGAGCGAACTGAAAAACTATATGAAAGGAAAAACTTTGCTGGCCAAGTGGGAATTAAATTAATTTTCAACTGATTTGATTTGCGCGAACTTCGCAAGAAGTTATTATGGCAGTATATTGTGCATAAAATAAAGTTGAAATAATTTACATTAGCAGTTCATGTCAACAGAATATTTTGACTTTACGCACATAAAAAAAAGAACCCATTTTGTTATTCAAAAGCCATCATAACGAAAAGCAATGCCAATGCCTTTTAAATTTAAAGGCTTATTGAAAGGCAGTGTTATCCCGGTTATTGAATATTTAACTAAAAACAGTAAACATAACAAACTGTTTCTCCGTACATCCTCCTATCCGCTTGTATTCTTCACCTCCCTTTTCAGCCTTCTTTTTTCATGCGCAGAGCAAGTTTATTAAAAATTGTATGCAGCTTCCATGTCTATTTCGATATTGTAATAAAATTTGCTCCACTCTGACCCGAATTGTTATTAAAATGCCTAGGAATGCCTAGGACAACAGTGTTTATTTTAATTCAAAGCTTGTAGCAGGAAATGAATGCATGTAGGGTACTCAACAGTCGGGCTAGAACGACTTTAATTACCTATACGTATAACTTATATATAAATGAATTTAAAAACTATTTTTGTGCACGTTAAGCTGCTCTACTGTGCAAATTTTTTATCTGAGTGTTGAAGTTTATGAAATTTTAAATTAAATTGATATTTAAGATTTCAATTAATCCGCAATATTTTCACCTTTAATGGGAAACAAATCTCTATAGTAGCGGCAAAAATGGGAAATGTGAGGATTGCAAATTATATAAAGTAAATTCGTTGGACTTTGCAAGAATACAAGTTGGGGAAAGCGGGTTCAGGTACGCTCGTTCTTCATTTTTATAAGTTTTCGATTGTTCTGCCAAAACATATTACCGAACTCTAAATTCAAGCAGCGCAGCTGGCAGAGAATTTGCATTTTTCTCAACTGGTTAACGGAAAGTGTGTACAAAACAAAAAGCGAAAATTGTCTGGGAGCAAGTTAAAATTATAATGCAGCAACAACAAAACTTAACAGCACCATCACACACAAGAGGACAAAGACTAAACACGACAAAGTTCAAGCAGAACAAAAGTTTATCTCGTACTTTGTTTGCATACAAAACGCCATCCAGCCAGCCAGCCAGGACACCAAGTGCTGGTGAGAGGCTGACGAAACTCCTTTTTCAACGCAACACAAAGAGATATGGGTGGCAGCCTTAACCTGTGCATATAGAACAAAGGTTCGTGCTAAGTATTGAGTATAACCAAGATGGGACAAATGATTTTCTTTCAACATTATGTACACACTTGTACATATGTATGTATGTGTAGTCCATGTAAGACCAGGAACTTCCTATAAATTCAAACCAACGGAAACTAACTGCATATACAAATGTTATTCTTGACAATTAGAGACTGGCCCCAATACATTCTTAAACGTAAATATTACTTTAAATCTTGTTCCTGAATGTCTAGTTCTGGATGATATTCATCCAAACAGTGTTCCCTTTGTTCAAGCAAAACGCAATTACAATGTTTCCATTTAGCTTTGGAACGTTTCTGTGGAAATAGAACTGGAACACAATTTAAATCTGGAAAAGCATACTTTCGGAGCTTGTTTCTGCAGCTCCTTTTATAAGTATTAGTGTTAAGATAAGACTAAGAAGCAGTTGAAGTACAAATATTTAAATACTACAAACATATTTTTGGAACCGAAACATAAATAAAAATCAGATATACTCCCATTTCCAGAGGAGGAAAACTTTTCCGTTTTACCTTTTCGCAAAACACAACAAATTTGTGAACAAGCAATCAACTTTTTTTCTGTTGATACATGTTCGGTTAACAAATTCCAAACAATTTGTAATCCGATCACCTTAAATTATGTATAAGTCAACAGACTAGGATAACAACTTGCTTTAAATGATTTAGATTTTACATAACAAATAAATACGATATATGTGAGTTGTCTAATATAAATTCATCATTCAAATTATTGCTTACGAGTTCTAGTTATAATGAATTTTGCCAGCTACAGCGATTCTGTTTCTTCACACATCAAGACTACAAAAGTTCTCAATTTAGGAATTCGAACATTAAAGACACAAATATTTGGGTTATTGACAACGTTCTTCCTTGGTCTTAGGTAAAAGTTTTTAAAAGTTATTGCGTTACTGAAGTAATTGTTTTTGTTTGACAAAGAAGGAAAACTGATTTTGGTTATCGTACAAGTAGAAGTGGGGAAAAACAAACGGCATAATTTTTGAAAAAGTAATTTTAAAAAATTAAAACCTAATAAAATAATTTTTCATTTGGCTTGGTTTAGGTCCTGTCCTGGCCTATTACAATACCTTTTCACTGTCAAGGGTTCTCTTATACCCCTTCTTTACAGTTGAAGAATATACGAGTAGCATAGAAGTTCATTTAAATTTTAAGCGGATTTTTGTTTGCAATTCGCTCAAAATCAGACAACTTGAAAATATTGAATTTAATATTGAAAAGCCCTGAAAATAGTGAAGAAGGTCATCACGTCAAAAGCTAATTATGATTGAGGATTATGCACACGCTTACACAATGAAAAGTGTACATAAAAGTTACAGGTAATGGTTTGGTTTGGCACGCAACAGCCAACACGAAAACGAATGCTATCCGAGTCCCCTGACAAATAGGTACGGCAAGCACAATTATTCATATTTAAATTAACATTTCCCGATGACGATAATTCTTTCGAGGCAAACTACGCTACAACAGACCAACAAGTAGTAAGCAAAGCCTAAACCTATGTTACAAGAACTCCCCATTCCGAAGCACATACACGTTCATACTCGTATCCTTGTAGTACACAGGTCAAGACACACGCAAAGTTTTGAAAAATGATTTCTATGCGACGCGAAATAACCACCGAGCATAAAAATGGAGAAATGGAATGAAAATTAATCAAATTAGCATCTTGTAAAAATAACAAAACATTACGAACTTTATGGCAATAATTTGTAATGTAAGCTACTAGGCTCCTTTTGGATGACGGCAGTTACGAGCGGCAGGTATGCCAAAAATTCAAATCTCATGAGTCTGAGAAAGTCAGTGCAGGAAACAGCAGCAAAATAATACCAAGCGAGCAATGCCTCCCGAAACAATAGCATAATTATTCAAGAAGAAAAAGAGGATGCATTTGAGTTATTATTTGAATTCTAATGTATGCTGAGGCGAACCCCAATTTACACAAACAACCTACAGTTGAAAAGTCAGTCTTAGAGAGAAAGTCTTCTCTGAAAGGTTTTTAGAAAAAAAATATATTATTCTTCAATACAATTAGCTAGTTCAAGAGAGGTATAGTATATAACTAGAATTAATAATTTTTTGCGCATTTCAAATGTTGATTGTATGGATTTATTAGTGTTCTTTCCGGATTGATTATCAATTTTTATTTATTTAATTTACAAACAAATATATAATTAATGTTGTGTAGATGTCCAACTGATTACGTTTTGCACACTTACTATTCTATAAAAACTGTTCTCTTTAACCATCTCTGGGGAAATCTCTGACAGCCAGGTTGAAAATTTCATGTTTCTCATTGTTCTCCTTTAGTAATCTAATCAGATATTAATTATATTTTTGTTTTCTTCTTGTTAAAACTAACTATATCCAGACGACTATATTTTTCTGTGAATCGGGGCATAAAATTCGTTGAATGTGTCGGAGACGTTATTATACATTATTGTCATAGGCGTAGATAGGATTTAATCCAAGGGGGGACCTTTATTTTTTTGTCCGATTGTTTACCATCAAATTATTTGCCCTTCAAAAACACATTAAAAATATGAACAAAAAGGGAAACATTCAAATTCAAAAAAATTCAAATCTGTTCATCTAAAGATTTCGAATGCAATAAAATAAAAGAAAACTTGCTAAAACAATAAGAAGATTTGTAATCGTGGATCTAATATAAAGTTGGTCCCGTGCTACATCGAGAGTGTGAAATTTAATACTTGTAATTTGAAATGTTGTTTTTTTCACATAAATGATAAATTTTTATATAGTATATACATACATACTTTAAAATTGCAAAGCTGCCTGCTTTGTACCCCCTCGCTAAGGCTATGGTTATTGTTTAATTATTTTTTAGATTATTGAATTGTGCTTTGTAATCTATGTCCACATAAATCGAAATTAAATAAATAAAATAAATTAGCATCCCCCACACACATGTACTTCATCGTACATTTACTTAATATATTCGATTTATTTGAGCAGCTACGAAACAGCAATGTTTTGCAATTTCAGATATAGTTGAAGGTATTCTTATCTCGCTCACTCGGAATCGTGCAATCAAACATAACTGAACGTGTTTACTTACATATTAATTTCATGTGAATATTATTCGATAATTTGCAATGCCCGGGGCTTTTAATGTTTACTGTTCACAAGCAGTGTCGGTTGTGTATGTTTGTTTGTTGTTTCAAGTTAGCTGGTCAGGGCTTTAGGGTGTGTCTGACACTTTGAGTGTTAGAAGAAGGAAAACAATAATACAAGTATTACATCAACGAGTATACATATGTTAGTATAGTTTGTCAAGAAGACCACTAGTCCACTAGTCTGCTCTTATTTAATTGTTGCACAATTCCAAATTTATATTACATATGTACATAGAAATATAGTAAATTTTCTATTTTCATTACCACACCTCACGGCAGCGTCCCCGAAAATCGGGCAGGAAGCCCGGCTGACATGGAAAGTCGATCATCGCTATTTCCATAATGGTCGTCTCTGTGGAAGATCCCGATGCCGTCTTGTAAACAGAAGACGCCCGTTCCTCCTCATATTCGGCCAGCACTTGGGCCTCGTCCAGCTCCACACAGTCAGTGGGCTTGCCACGCACCTTCACATTGTTGGGGCACTCAGTCTGCTTCACGCAGTACTTGACACAAGGTCGTGGGTTTGGCAGCTGCGTCAGCTTCTTCTTGCACACAAAGGTGGCGGTACAGCCCGCTTGCAGGCTGGGCACATTGTTGTTGATGAAGAATGGTCGACTTGGCTTTGCCGTTGTCGTGGTCGTAGTGGTTGTTGTTGTCGTTGTTGCCTCCAGATGTAGCAAGCGTTTGAGCAGACCCCCGTGCGCAACGCTAAGCAACACCAGCGCCACAAGTAGCACGAGCAAAGATTTCATTCCTAATGTTTTCACGGATGGCGCTTTTCAGCAAATGAGCTGGCGAGACTTGTTTGTTTTTGTCACCAGCTAGAGCACAAACAATACACGACCCCATCGATAACCTTTAAGTCGCTCCGATTCTATTTCTTGCAATCACAAGGGTACACAAAGCACCGCACAGTGGCTTAGAACCGTTTTTCATCCGTCAAAGCTCAATCCTTCAACTGCAGGTGGAAACTCGCCAAACTGAACTGGCTCTTTGGTGGCAACAGGAAACTGCCACTTAGATGTAAACTTACTGTAAGTGCATCAGTCGGGACGACTTGGAGTTTTGGCATTCAGAACTTGCTAAGAAATAAGAAGATTTATGATCGTGGAACAAATATAAAGTTTGTCTCGTGCGATATCGAGAGTGTAAAATTTAACAATTTGAGATTTTGTTTTCTTACATAAATGATCAATTTTTATATACTCGTGTATACATATATACTTGTACATACTTTAAAATTATTGAAATCTAGATGAATAATAACGGCGGCGAAAAAAATAAAAAGGCGTTGAAACTGAGAAAAACATATATGTTGTTGGATTGTATATGCACTCGATAACTAACCGACAACTAGTAATTAAGTCCGATAGCATTGAAGTGGTTCCGATGAATGAACCTTTGGAACTGGATAATGAACTGCACTTGTAATTCAGCACGACAAGAGAGCAGACGCACAATAAGTTAATCGTGTAAAATAAAGTCAATCCATATAAAAATTAACTCATCAATGTAATTTTGCTAATGGGAGCTGCTCTGAATTTGAAAACCAATTCATAGTATCGTCTAGTTAATTTCCTAAAAAGAACTTGGATGCTTGTCAGTTGAATAGAATTTTTTTTGCAAGCTCACATGGAATTAGTGCCGTATCTGGGGTCGGGGCAGTTATCAAAAGGAAGTTACGGCAGATAAACAAATCTAAAATCATTTTGCCTCGACAGTTCAGAACTTACAGTAGTTAGGACTGCATTTGCTGAACTGCATTTTCTGAAAAAACCATACTTAATTTTACAAATATTGTTCACATTTAAATCTGTATTTGTTTATTACATTTATATTTATTTATTTTATTGTACATAAAGATTGTTTGTTTGATATGTAGTTTAGTCTGATATTAATATAAGTATGAAAATAAAAACATTGAATGTTTCTGTTAAACCAAAACCATTTTTAGAGACACAATAATGCACAGCGTTTTAAAATTAGTCGCATTAACATATATTGCCTCAGGTTTCAATGAAATCAGCCTCTGCCCGCTTTGCACCCCCCGATATACTCGTCTATTCTGAAAATAAATATATACTCGAATATACCTGAGGAAACCATATTTTTGAAAGGATGAAGGGGTATTACAATTTATTTGCTTTGCATCAAATGCATTTCCCTGGCCCTAATTTATGATAATTTATATCTTAATTTCTAAGTGTAGTTTTAAAAAGTTTCAAAGCCATTAACTATTCTCTATACTTTTGTCCGATGAATTTGGATGCTGAGCCACTGTGCGTTGTGTCACTCTCATGAAATTGTTTTTAGGTAATAATTTTTTGTCAATATTCCCAATTGGTCTTGATGTTTATTATTTGAGAGTTTTTGTCGCGGCAGTTTAAAAAATGGCATGTCTACTCAACTAATTCGTTATTTATGTAATCTATTTAGGTAATGATGCAAAAAATTACGGAACTGTGTGGAATATAGTATAATGCTTATGTATCGTTATTGACAAGTGCAAAACAATAACTGCTGTCACAAATTACAAATTAACTTTTAACGAAAAACTAATTTTATTTCATTGTTTTAAAGCTTTGAAGCTTCTCCTTCATACTATCATTAAAAAAAAAACATGAACATATGAACATGTGTACGCACAGTTTAATTAAATACTGGCATACCCGGGTTGCCTTTCTGCGCCTCGATTATAGTGTCAATACTGCTTGAGCTTATCGGTTTTGGCAGAAACATATATAATACGAATAAAATAATATATATTTATGTATAAAATAATATGTGCTCGTGCATGTCCCATAAATACTTATGCTTGCATTATTTAATCATAATTTTATTTTTTTGGCACCATTTTTGGAAAAAGCTGCCTCCGCCCTTATATGTTTGTACATATATGTATGTATTTTTCTCATATGAAGTTTCTACAGGGTATTACTATACGATAAAGAGTAAGGAAATATCCCTAAGTTTCCTTAAATAAACAGTGTCTCTTAAATTGGAACCAAGATAAAGAACAAGCAAATACTATGCAGTTTAAAACATTTTTATGTAACACTTAAAGTATATGAAATTCCAAGAATTACGGGAGTTACGATTTGCTGAGGAGAGGGGGAGTGGGGGAAATTCCAAAATAAACATTTCCTGCGTATTCACATAAGGCAATTTGGTGTTCCTAGGTCTTATAGTCTCCGAGATATAGGCGATTATACGAATGGAAAATCGGGAAAACCCCCATAGGGGGAAGTGTGGGGGAAGATAAAAAAAATAAAACTCACTCGTATAGCGTACACACATAAGGCATCTTTGTGCAAAATTTGGTGTCGTGTAGCTCTTATAGTCCCTGAGATCCAGGTGTTCATACGGACGGACAGGCGAACAGTCGGACAGACGGACAGACAGACAGGGCTTCTGTACATTTCATGTACAGAGTATAATAAACACTATATCAAATAAATTGTTGCTTGTTATGTTTGTATTGAGCTTGTAAGTGTGGGGCCCGAATATTATATTATAATATATTATATACTATATGCTATATTTTTATTTCTGATGATATAGTCCCAGCAGAGAACAACATACATACTTGAATGTACATTTGAGAAGAAAAGAGAAAAATAGTCATTCTTCTAGCTGGTAATTCCTCAGACTGCCAAACGGTTTAATAAACAATAAGTTGCATCTAAACTTCGTATCGAAAGATAAACAATTAGTTTTCATTATTGCTAATGGGCCAACAATTACAAGTATATACTTTTACTATCTATCTGATGCAAAAGACATTACAAATGCAAAGGCAAGGGCTGAATGTTCATTAAACTTCTCATTTAGTTATGCAATTAGTTTTTTGCAGCAATTTTAAAAACACTAATTTGCCCTTAATTTCTTTCTCATTTCTCATGAAGTACAGTGAACGAATTGTCTTCGGCTATGGCGAAAGTATAAAAATCTCCACTAACAACAAGCCTTCTATATAAATTGACTTTTATGCGCAGCCTCCATCGTCCTTTAAAAAAAGCACTTAAAGGCATATCGGCTAATTGGAAATACATATATAACAATTTATTGTCCATTAAATGAGACGAAATTTCAGCAACATCGAGCCGAGTTTAAACTGCTGAGCTATTTATTAATTTGCCTTCCAGTCTTCCAGTGTGTGGAGCTGTTAAATATTAATTATGCAGAACAAAAAAGATATTGAAGTTTATCGGAAGCTTTGCTTAACTCCTCTGTATGAGAGGAATTGAGCGCTGAATTTATCAAACATCCCATTAGCTTTTCTTAATAAATGCGATCTTATTTAAGTACAGCTATTATTATATTTGCAAATAAATACATTTTGCAATGTTTCTTGCCGACTTCACTCTAAGTAGACTACTGATTCGAACCTTTTCTCAAACACAAAGCCTATACGACTTTTTCTATTTTTTCTATTTTCTTTCAAATAACTTTATTTAAAAAGTAGAATCTCCAACAGAATTTCTAAAAGTTGTTCGAATGCAAAAATTAGCATTTCAGTTCCAGGTCAAAAGGCTTGCGCCTACCAAAATGCTCTTTCACCAGAGCTAAAGGGTACAAAGAATAAAATGCAAAAGGAAGTTAAAAATGAAAAGGAAAATGCACAGAGCCATGACAAAATAAAGGCGTTTAACTACCGCCAGTTCATGTTGAGAGTTTTGCCTACCACTGGGCCAGTTCCAACAACAACAACAAAAACAACAACAACATCTGCACTGCAACTTCAATGCTTGACATAAGATGACGTTGTAACAAGATTTGAGTCATTGTTGTGTGTCTTAAGGCCATCCCATCCTTATCTGCTTTGCTTCATTAATATTATTACGCAGTAACCGCAAGTGATAAATAAAAAACGAAACCTTAGCAAAATACAACACTACACTGGAAAAAATGAATTGCAAAATTCGAAATGCATCACAATTTTCTTCAAAGAAAATAATAGAAACAAACATATGCAGCTGTTGTAATTTGTTTGTTGGCATTTGTTGTTGCCAAAACTTAGAATTAAGTGTTTTGTCCAAATAGAAGATTTTAAACTATTCCAAAATTTATTCAATTTCAAGTGAATTAGTATTACAAGTATTATTATTATTATATTATTATTAAGTTGTAATAGATTACCAACTTGATTAGAAAAGAATTTGATCCTGAATATTAGGTTTAAGCTATGAACTTGTTGTATTATCTTGATATATTTATGTTAAATTTCACATTATCAGATCCAGGGCAGTGGGTGAATTCGAAAGATGCCGCATCATTAATAGGAGCATGTCAAAGCGTACACCTCTGTATAATAATTATAAGGAGTAAATTTAATGGGAATTTAAGCATTTAACTACTCTTTTATTGTGAAAGATATTCAACGCATTCAATTTTTAGGACTCAGAAAAACTTCTGGATTCCACTTAATAAATGTATTTAAAAACTATATTTCTTTGCCAGTGCATAAAAGTGCAATAGTCAGTTGGCTTTCATTTCTATGCAATTAAATACAGTTTTCTGCTTTCTTTGTATTCAGTTGTTGCCAATGCCGAGCCGCGTAAGCTTTCGTAGTGCCTTCAGCTGAGAGAGTCCTTTGTAAGCCAACAGAAAATGTATTTAAACAAAACTAATTGAACATTTTAGAGCTAATCCCTTGTACACTTCGCGAACAGTCAATCATTAATTTTGATTGCAGCTAACAGCGAATTATCTCATTTGACAAAACTAAGCGTGTTAAGTCCTTTAAAACTTTTTTGAAAATCAATTACTCTTAACAACAACAGCAAGCCATAGAACAATCAAATCCGCTATAATTAGCTCACAGAAATGCTTTGAATTAATAAGATGCCTGATTTCACAAAAGGAGTAAAAGAAACTTTTTAAAACTTTTTGTTAAAATGGTAAGGTTTTGCATATATTTGTTTGTATCCATTTAATTCCTGTTGGATTAGTATTATACTTCAGCACAGTGGCTGAAGAAGTTGTGCCAACAAATATACTTTAATTACAACAAGTTTTCATTAAATGTGTCAAATGCGTCAGTATCTGAAAAAAGACGAGTACACAACTGGCTTACGACGTTCATGCTGTAACAATATCAACACAAATGGCCACTGGCGAGGACCTTATACTCGTAAGTATATCAACAGAAATATCTATTTTATTTTCATCATCTGCAATGAATGGAGCCGTATCCACCCAGTACCACAACTGAGATGTGGCTTGGAACTCAATAGATCCCCGCGGCTGCTAATTTTCTTATTTGGAATACTTTTCTTTTTTAGAAACTTTAACTTTTCCTCGCAGTTCTTTAGTGCAGCGGTGACTTCATCGGTCCGATAACGCAGTTTATGCACTGCTTGAGCAAAAATATGTTATTCAACTTGGAGTATTTATGTACTTAAACAATATTAAAAAAGAAACTAAATAAATAATTGGAGATATTATTAACAAGCTAAGAAGTTACCTTCGCGTCGAAGCTATTTTTATACCCTGTACCCGTAGGGTAAAAAGGGTATATTAGGTTTGTGCAAAGTATGTAACATACAGAAGGAAGCATCTCCGACCCCATAAAGTATATATATTCTTGATCAGCATGACGAGAGAAATCGATCTAGACATGTCCGTCCGTCTGTCCGTCTGTCCGTCTGGATGAACGCAAGGATCTCAGAAACTATAAAAGCTAGAATAACCAAAGTTGGCATCCAGATTCTCCTAGGCCCGAGTAAGGACGAGTTTATTTTATTTTTTGGAATTTTCCCCCCCTTCCCCCGCTACAGAATTTCGTCAATAGCGTCCACATTTCAATTGCTACCTAAACCAAACACATAATTAATAAATAACAAGTAAAAAAGCTAAAGTCGGGTGTCCCGACTTTGAAATACTCTGTACATATGTTTACAATAATTATAGAAAATAAAAAAAATTAAGAAAATAAAAAAAAAAATTTGATCGATTTTACCTCTCTCGGTATTCGAACTCACGTAAGGGGTTTATAATTGCACATTTACATAGCAATTGCGTCTGTGTGAGTGTATGTATGCCTATGCGCATCTATTCGTGTCTGTGTAAGCATTTTCGCAGTCAACCGCGCGGGCAGCGCTGCAGCAGCAAATATATTTATGGCTATAACTTCTTGTTAAATCGGTCTATCATAGTGAAACTTGGCATACGGACACATAATAACTAACTGGGGGTATTTTTAGTTCGAAATTCCAAGAATTACGGGAGTTACGATTTGCGTGGGAGAGGGGGGAGGGAGGGAAATTCCAAAATATACATTTTCTGCGTATTCACATAAGGGATCTGGGACTAAAATTTGGTGTTCCTAGGTTTTATAGTCTCCGAGATATAGGCGATTATACGAATGGAAAATCGGGAAAACCCCCATAGGGGGGAAGTGGGGGGGAAAATCAAAAAAATAAAACAAACTCGTATAGAATACACACATAACGCATCTTTGTGCAAAATTTGGTGTCTCTATCTCTTATAGTCTCTGAGATCCAGGTGTTCATACGGACGGACAGACTGACAGACGGACAGACGGACAGACAGACAGACAGACAGGGCTAGATCGACTCGTCTCGTCATGCTGATCAAGAATATATATACTTTGTGGGGTCTGCCACGCCTCCTTCTGCCTGTTACATTTTTCAGCTCCCGCAAACCTAATATACTTCTGTACATTTCATGTACAGAGTATAATTATCTACTGTTGTTTAAAATTTTATTCAATTTGGTCAATTCTAAGAAAAGTTATTAGCGAAACAAATTCTCGCCAGTACAACCCCCACAAACTGCAGCAACAAGTTCGCTCTTTTTCTTCCTCTTCTTGCTGCTGCTTTGGGCGCATATAACTCAGTGACGGAAGTTTACCTGGGTACAGGGTATTACACTGTCGGGCTTGCTCGACTGTAGCGTTCTCTCTTGTTTTACATAGCCTCTATACTGCCTTACAACAAATACCTTTATTTGTTTAAGGTCACGTTCTCATAAGAGTATAGTGCCCGTACTTTCTTACCCTTTCCTTAGAAATTTATTTAATTATTGTGTATGTGGCCAACCATTATTTATTTATTAATTAATATTTCAAACAAAAACTCGGTCAGAGGTCATGTCGTTTCTGCGACAGCTATATGACAGTATATAATATGGAATTAACGGAATTTTGTGTTATTTCCACAATCATAACATATAGCATGTTTAACAAACAAATAACAATCAAAAATAAATTATGATTATAAGTAGTACTACATAAAGGAAATCTTGAGATAATGTTAAGATTATTTGCAATCTACACGCAGCGTTTGTTTTCAACTTAATCGCTAGCTCTGGGGAAAATACAATTTTCGAATGTCTCACGAAAAAACCCAATACAAAATCTGAATCTGTTAGTTTTTATACGAATTAGTTAATGTCTCTGGTGTGGCAGATAACTCATTCTCGTCCATATTATCGCTACGCTTAAGCCAAAGCGGTGCGAGACGCAGCATTAGGATGGCTCCTAGAGGCGCAGTGAATATAATGGCCAGGACGGAAATTATGAGGACATTGCTGGCAAGTGCCAGCTGAGATTCGTTTGGTGCGAGTGCAGCTCGGGCCAAATCTAAGGCAACTGGACCCAGGGCAGCCTGAAAGTGACAAAAAAATATATTCAAAGATTATTTAACTGCATTGCCTGTATTTATTTTAATTAGCGCAGAATAAAATAGCAGGCAACTAAGTATTTACACCAAAAATAGACAACCCAAGAGCCATGCATAGATATACACATAGACAATAAAAAAAAGCAGGAAGACAAATGGCAGAGGTAGTGCGGGTATCCAAGCCAGCATAACATTTAAATTTCTGCCAACCGCAGACACAGACACAGCAACAACAAACGACGCCAAAAGCCTGTAAGCTCATGATTCACACTTGGGAACTTGCACCACGTTGCAACGACATACACACGATACGAGTATAAACAAAATGTCCGCTTGCGGTCAAACTGCAAACAATGTATGGTGGCTGAGCGGCTCTGGCAACTGCAGCGACATCCTGACCTGCAAATATAACTTAGCATGTTTTGGAAAAAAGAGCACAGAAAGCAGCCACGCCCTAGCAAATAAATGAAAGTAAAAAAGTTGCACTGACCCCGTATGGCAGCCCCACACGACCCATACAGAGTGTACAGATGTGCAGATGTACAGAGAAACTTACTTGGACAGTTGCCTTGGGGAAACCGGAAACAGCAATGTAAGCACGTTCCTTTCTCGACAGATTTCCGCCATATGTTGATAAATATGCAAAGAGCAGGCGGAACTGGACAAAATAGAGAGAGAAAATGCGCAAAAATTGTCAATTGTGTGTCAGTGTGTGTGTGTGTACTAAGTATATGGTACACTAATTATAATTAAGGTTCACAGGTGATGTTTGCATTTCATTAAGAACCTATATTTTAATTTCAGATTCATTCGCTGACAGTTGCCTCTCTTATGTATTAATTGTGTTTTTTCTTTCGCCAAATAACTGTGCAAAATAATTGCTTTAATTACCAAACTTCCGACCAACACAAGTAGGGCTCCGTAACCAATTACCCGACCTTCGAGTACACCAAAGTTAATTTCCTTGCCAATGAGAGCAAAGGACACTGGCTTCAGGAATTTCCACAGCAAGTCCAAGCGACTCGTCACACTATCCTGTCAATTAAAAGTATACACAACCACAATTATTTACATTAAAATTCAGCAGACTATGTGCATATACTTACGGTTTTATTAACCAGTGCTTGATGCGGCGTCCACTTGTGCTCTTCCCGCTTCCAGCCTATGTTTGCGATAAATACCATCGATACGCAGCCCAAGGCCCCAGCCGAGGTATACCCAATAGCTCGACTGCCCATGACTGCTATGGTTCCACCCAGGATGGTCAAAACAAAGCGCAGACTGTTGACATAAACCTGAAGAAAAGTTTGTGTCCAAGTTCAAAAGTTTTCATAAATTATAGTTTTATTTTAACACTCCAGAACTTTAAAAACTCTATCAACACACTAATAGTTAATGCAGAAGTCAACGCAAAAGAATTGCAAAGTTTTTTCTAGTTGGTGGGACACCAATCCACCTAACGTATACTCTTTACTGTCTGTCTATTGCATATGTATATTAACAATCTGAACCCTTTTGTATAGCCTGTACCCAAAATGGCAAAGGGATATACAACTAATTCTGTTTTTACAAATTTTATATGTTGTCATACGACTTTATTCCATTTACCGCGATTTGAAATGACACAAAATAAATAAATAAAACAAACAGCTAGAAACCATTCTTATATGAGTCGTTGTGCACATTCTTTTATTTTCTGTGCCTAACTCGTTTTCGCGGTGCATTTTAAATAATTATTTATTTTAAAAACCAAAAAATCTACATAATAATTCAATTTTTTTTCTGGAGATAAGTGGGGTTGACATGTATGATGTGAAAGGATAAAATGCATGACCAGGGATTCTTTTAAATTCTAACGGTACTGGAGATGAAGAGCTGATAAGAAACGAATGTATGAGAAAGCAACACAAAGTAAAAGAGAAAAAACTCGTATACACAAAACATTAAAACATATATTAAAGAGGTATACAAGTATGTGATGATTTCGCTGATTTTAATAGGTTTTCGAGATAAGGAACCAATTTTTGCATATAATCAATGTAATTTTTTACACGGATTTAAACACTTTTTCTTATCGGATTTTTCTGGAAGCAAAGTATATACATTCTTGACCAGTAAAAAAATCCATCTGCCTGCCTGACCTCAGAGAGTATAAGAGCTAGAATAACAAACTTCTTCTAAGTCCAAATAAAGACGAGTTTCTTGTTTCTTTTAATTACAAATCTTTCAATTTTTCTTAAAGCAATACTCGTATATAGGGTACGATGGGTATGTATTTGTATGTATTTTGGGTATGTATTTTGCTTTCCTTCTTCTAAGATTCAGGTGTACGATATGTATACAAGTATATTCAGGTGCTTAGAAATTTAAATTTCCAAATTTAAATATTGAAGGGTTTTGGTCTGTTATTTTTTCCAGCAAAGACATATGTATTTACAACAATTTAGTGCAAATTTGTTATTCAAAACAAAAAGTTGTGCAAAAAGCGTTTTTCACTGTGAACGGCATGAAATTTAAGACTCGGTTCACAAAATAGTAAATAAATAATGGAAACATTTTTATGAATCACTACAATTTCTAACAATTTATTATTTTCAACTAGCTTAAGCTGCCATATTGGTAGCAGAATACTGGTTTAATAAATTGTATATACTTTGAAAAAAAATATATAAAAAAATTATCACTTTAAAAAATGTAAGCCAAGCCTGGCGCTATTGCCATAAAATGCATTTATATGTTATAGTAAGTTTGATCTTTCGATTCATTTAAAGTTTTAATTAAACAGGGTTCCAGTGAAGGTTTAACTGTTCATTAGCTGGGGTATTTAGTGAATGAGTGAAGGGTATAGGAATAAGTAAGTTTGTCAAGCGAACATACATATAGTATATGTAGAATGAGGCGACGTCCACTTGACTGAGCCCCGAATGTAAAATCGATATGGGCCCTACTGAGATAGAAAGACGCACGCACACGTCTTCAACCGCAATTGTTAAATGTGCAAAAAGTGCTGAGCGACGGGTAGCACGACTGTGTGGCAGTGTGGCAGTGGCAGAGTGTGTGCATAAAATATGCAAGGTTGAAAGTGCCGCAACTTCATCGATGCGCAGCGTGAAATTTTGAACAAACTGCAACGCTGCATGTCTGCCTGACTACAAGTATAAGGCTATAAGGCTATATGACTGCATGGCTGCCTGCCCTGGCTGGCTGGCTGGCTGGGTGGCTGGATGCGTGGCTAAGGGGCAAGGAGAAGGAATTCAAGTTATGAGTAGTTTGTGGATGTGCTCGCTTGTACTATACTACTTGTATAGTGTGTGAGTGTTTGTGTGCCAGCACTCAGAACTCAGCACCACCCACTGCGTTTGATTATGCGCACCATTAGCGGTGTAAGTTGCGGCAATGAGTTTTGTGGCAAGCTTCCACGGCATGCTTGCAACTGGGCTGCCGTCATAACTCCCGCAGAGGCTGGCAGTAACTGTCGTCACAAATGTCGCCTGCGTTGTAAGTATCTTTTTATGCAAAATGCGCACCGAACCCGCCAAAACCCAACTATCACCATATGCACCATGTTGTAAGGGTGCATGAATGTTCTTATGGCGACAATAGCGCCATAGCACCATCGCTTGACGTCCGCTCGCGTTTTACATCATTAAATGCGCTGATTGAGTGTCTAAGTGTTCACCGAGTGCGAATTTTTAGTAGAGTCGTACTTTGCTGCTTTGTCTACTTACCGCGTTGCGCGATGGCAAATATTGCAGCATCATGCCATACAGATAGCCAAAAACAACTCCAATACCAATGCCAATGGGGCCCTGCATCACTTGCTGTAAGAACGATCCTGTAAAGTGAAACAATCATTATTTTTCCGCACGTTGTGATGTTACATTCAGTGGCCAATTATATACGTGTATGTACTTGTGTATATACGCACCAGTGGAGAAAATGACACTTATTACGACGCCAAACATAAATATGCTGGCAACATCGTTGCAGGTTGTCATTGCATAGATGAGAGTGTGTATGCCACTGTTTAGGCCCAGTCGCTCCTCCTTCAGCTTAAGCATAACCGTGACGACCACATTGGGGGAGACTGCGGTAATGACGAGGCTGCACACCCCACCGTCAATACGAATATACAATAAGGTTTGTGTGTCAGTTACTTACCCCAAGGCAATGCCCCAGAGCCAAGACATTCCCAAGGTAAAGCGAGCCAATGAAGCAAGTACCGCCACCTCAGCTATGGTCGGCAAGAGCGCCAAACGCATGATCATTAGCCACAGCCGTCTGAAGGAGTTACCATCTAGTCCCAGACCTGCCAGCAACATAATGTTGACCAATGCCATTTCCCTGCAGGAAAATATATTATATTATATAATATATTCGCACTTACTGTTTCAAATAAAACATGCTCAATGTATTGTTAAGATCAGGGTTCGTAAAATGTGAGCAAAACTCATTCGGACACACGACATGTTCTGCCGCGAGTCGCGGTCGCTCGCTGCCGACTGAAGCAGAGTGTGGTCTGAGCCGTCTGGCAGAGGCCATGGGTCGTGCGTGTCGGCCGTGGGTCTCCGTGGGTCGCCGTGGGTAGCTGCCGACAGCAGCAGAGTGTCGTTTGAGCCGGGCTGCAGAATTCGCGCGCTCGTTCGTGGCAGGCAGGTTTAAGGCGAAAAGTGCGACAGCGACCCACTAATACCCGCGGCAGAATTTCTTATGGGTAACAGTGGGTAGTGCGCACAGTTTACGAACCCTGGTTAAGATCAGATTAAAATGTAAAATCTCCAGGCCAAACCCTTTGCCGTCCCTTTGCAGAACGTTTAAATTTAAACATGCACAATTGACCTATATTTTATCCTTTTTTATTTAAGTAATTTAATTTGTTATTTTAATTTAAATATACGTCTTCTCTATCTTGTATTGCTATTATTTCTTCTCCTTTTCTTTTTGGTTAGGTCTAATAACTTCTCTGAATACCGTCGGGACAAATTGGCAAATAAAATTCCCCCGCCGAGTTGGATTCGTTATTGGATATTTTTGGTATTTCTTTTCTTCTTCTTCTTTTGTTTTTCTTTAGTTTTATCTAGTATAAGTTCTACATTGTCTTGATTATTTTTTCCTCATCATCAGCTCTGCTTAAATAAATAAATTAATTAATTAATTACCTCAAAAACAGCTCCACGGCCTGATATCCCTCGAAATTGGCCCAACCAACATTCCCGTAGAGAACGCCAAAGAACAACATACCCAACATATCCGGTAAGTTAAGGAATGTCACCAGAATTCCCGACAACTGCGCACCAACAAACAACAGCACTATACGCATAAAGACCGTTGACGGAACAGCGAGATCTCGCAATAGAACCCATGTCATTGACCATAGGCCCAGAAATATTGCAAACATCGCAACATGCTCGGATACAAGAGACCAATGAGCCACCAAGTGACGCCACCTGAAAAACATTATTTTATTTTATTTAATAAATCAACAGATAGTGCTGTCGATACATATCTAAAAGCTATGATTTATATAATATTATAAAATAAAATAAAGATATGTAATAATAACGTTATAATTTCAACTGCAAAGATAATAAGCCTATTAATGCCTCCGACACCTTGGGGGAATTTTATTTGCCATTTGGCAAGCTATACCCCGAATCATCAGAGACATTATACAAGTAGACCTAACAAACTAACAAAAAAGTAAGCAGAGGAGGACAATTAATTATACTTAACAGCTAATTAAGCATAAAGAGAAAAAAGGAAATCTTGCTTAACGTGTTGCTCATTAATTGATGTTCTTGGCCATTTTGGAAGGGTTCGTCTTTACGCTGTATCGACCCTATTTGAACATTTTGTGTCATTCAGAGACATGGGCTTTCGACAAGATTCTTTACGTTTTTGCTGCAGAAATTTCATTACTTTCACAAAATTTAACATTATATTAAAAAAAAGCTCGAAATAAATAGAATACCGATTTCTTACCAAATATTCTTTAATTTAGACCAAGAATTGGTGCCAACTGTACAAAATTTCAGTTCGTTAAATAGGACTTTTAGTCGTATAATATAGTATACATTATGTATACGGCGGTGTGGAGAAAAATCAATTGCATTTAGTTAGCTCAAGACATAATGGAACTTGAAAAATCTTTGATTTAATGTGCGTGACTATTTAAAGTGGGTCTTTCAAAGGGTTAATAACAACTGCCTCTATTATGCAAACAAGTAAATTATTATAATTGTTTTGGTTGGTAATTAAAAAAATAAATACCCAAAAGAAGAAGAGCATGTAAGAGCTGCAAAAGACCAAGTTATTAATTTGTTTATAAAAGCAGTCACTTCCATTATAAGTTCATTTTGAATCCTGGATCATGCCGATTATGGCGAACTCAACGGATCGGATAGCGGCCGTGAGGACGTTACTAAAAATTCTATGCTGGATAGGCCTTTGGAAGTGGCAAGATGAGACCGGATTCCTAGGGATAATAAAGCGCAATCTTCGCTTCGTCCTCCACCTGCCTCTAAATATAACCTATTTAGCGCTTATGTGGCTAGAAGCGCTAACATCAACGGACTTTGAACAGGCTGGCCAAGTGCTTTACATGTCACTAACCTTGCTTACCGTGGTAGTGAAGTTAATGAACATTTGGCAAAAACGGGATATGGCTTGGAGTTTTATTAACGAGTTGAGCTGCGACCCAAGGTATGAGTTGAACAATCGTGACGAGCTCGAGTACTGGCAAAGCGAGCAAATCAAATTTAGGCGAATCTTGTACACATATATGGGATGTAGCTTTGCGGTGGGCTTGTTCGGCTTTTTCAGTGTACTCTTTCAAGAAAATTACGAGTTACCCTTCAGCTATTATGTGCCATTCGAATGGCGTAATCCTGAGCGCTATTACTATGCGTGGGGCTACAATGTCCTGGCGATGGCACTGGCTTGCTCCACCAACATTATGCTCGATACCATAGGCTGCTATTTCATGTTCCACATATCACTACTCTACCGTCTTTTGGGTCTACGTCTCGAGGCCCTACAGAAAACGTCAGATCAGGAGGCAACCCTGAAGCTGCGCCAGATTTTTCAAATACATGCTCGACTCTTCCGATTGACGCATGACTGTGAATACCTGGTGTCGCCTTACGTGCTCTCGCAGGTGGTGCTCAGTGCATTTATTATTTGTTTTTCCGGATACCGCCTTATATACATGAGCTGGCAGCAAACTCCCGGCCCCTTTTTTACTACGATACAGTTTGCCGGCGTTATGGTACTGCAGATCTTTTTTCCGTGCTACTATGGAAATGAATTGACCATCTATGCCGATCAGCTCACCAACAGTGTATTTAAAACGAACTGGTTGGAGTTTTCGGTGGAAACTCGGAAAACACTAATCATTTATATGGAAATACTCAAGCGCCCAGTAATAGTACGCGCAGGAGACTTTTTCAAAATCGGTTTGCCAATATTTTTAAAGGTGTGTTTTGCATTTCAAAAAAGTCACAAAAAGCATATAAATAAATATATAATTTTTATTCTATTTTTCAGACTGTGAACAATGCCTTCAGCTTCTTTGCGCTCCTCTTGAACCTCTCCGAGCGACAAATTTCTATTAAACCATAACAACAACAAACATTAAAATCAAGGATAAAATTATTGCAAAGCGATTGGACTAATAAAAGCTTTACAACGGAAGAAAGTCAACTGTTTGTTTCAAACTTACAGGAACCCCACAATGTGAGTTGGTTCCTAAGTATATGACTCGGTTCGAATCCCGGCGCTAAAAGCATGATTTAAAAAGATACTTGCTACTGATATCTAAAAATATAAACTGTCGTGTTATGGCCAAATAAAAAATAGAAAAATAAATAAAATAAATATAAAAAAACAACAAATATCTCCATATTTAAAGACATTGGTTGTATGTATTAAAAGCAAGATCTAAAAATGTAGTAAACTTTCTAGAAAAATTCTCATCTCATCAAATGAAGACCTTTGAAGAAGTCTAAAAGCGCTCATCTTCAACTAAATGCTTTCATCTAAGTGATTAAATGCATTGCTTACACATTTGGGCTAAGAGAAGCTCAGAAAACATTTTTAATTTCGGCCAGGAAAATATGGCGAACACAGTGAGTTCCCTGAACAACTAAATAAATATCAATTCGTTAAATATAATTCTTAGTCGTACAATATAGAACACTATATATACGGCGGTGTGGAGAAAAATCAATTGCATTTAGTTAGCTCAAGACATAATGGAACTTGAAAAATCTTTGATTTAAATATGTCACTATTCATATTTATAATCGTAATGTGCGTGACTCATTTAAAGTGGACCTTTGAAAGGGTCACAAACAAGTGCCTCTATTATGCAAACAAGTAAATTATTATAATTGTTTTGGATGGTAATTAAAAGTATAAATACCCAAAAGAAGAAGAGCATGTAAGAGCTGTAAAAGACCAAGTTATTAATTTGTTTATAAAAGCAGTCACTTCCATTATAAGTTCATTTTGAATCCTGGATCATGCCGATTATGGCGAACTCAACGGATCGGATAGCGGCTGTGAGGACGTTACTAAAAATTCTATGCTGGATAGGCCTTTGGAAGTGGCAAGATGAGACCGGATTCCTAGGGATAATAAAGCGCAATCTTCGCTTCGTCATCCACCTGCCTCTAACTATAACCTATTTAGCGCTTATGTGGCTAGAAGCGCTAACATCAACGGACTTTGAACAGGCTGGACAAGTGCTTTACATGTCACTAACCTTGCTTACCGTGGTAGTGAAGTTAATGAACATTTGGCAAAAACGGGATATGGCTTGGAGTTTTATTAACGAGTTGAGCTGCGACCCAAGGTATGAGTTGAACAATCGTGACGAGCTCGAGTACTGGCAAAGCGAGCAACTCAAATTTAAGCGAATCTTCTACACATATATGGGATGTAGCTTTGCGGCGGGCTGTTTTGGTTTTTTCAGTGTATTCCTTCAGGAAACGTACGAGTTGCCCTTCAGCTATTATGTGCCATTCGAATGGCGTAATCCTGAGCGCTATTATTATGCATGGGGCTACGACGTCCTGGCAATGACACTGGCTTGCGCCACCAACATTATGCTCGATACCATAGGCTGCTATTTCATGTTCCACATATCACTACTCTACCGTCTTTTGGGTCTACGTCTCGAGGCCCTACAGAAAACGTCAGATCAGGAGGCGACCCTGAAGCTGCGCCAGGTTTTTCAAATACATGCTCGACTCTTCCGATTGACGCATGACTGTGAATACCTGGTGTCGCCTTACGTGCTCTCGCAGGTGGTGCTCAGCGCATTTATTATTTGTTTTTCCGGATACCGCCTTATAAAGATGAACTGGCAAGAAAGCCCTGGTCCCTTTTTTACTACGATACAGTTTGCCAGCCTTATGGTATTGCAGATCTTCTTTCCGTGCTACTATGGAAATGAATTGACCATCTATGCCGATCAGCTCACCAACAGTGTATTTAAAACGAACTGGTTGGAGTTTTCGGTGGGGACCCGTAAGATACTGATTATTTATATGGAAATACTCAAGCGCCCCGTTATAGTACGCGCCGGAGGTTTTTTCAAAATCGGTTTGCCAATATTTGTGAAGGTGCGTTTTGCATTTCAAAGCAACAAAAATCATATATATGTACAATGTTTTTTTTTTTTTTTGCATTTTTCAGACGATGAACAATGCCTTCAGCTTCTTTGCGCTCCTCTTGAATCTGTCGGAGCGTTAAAAAGCTATTAAAGCATAACAACATCAAGCACTAATAAATAGTGAAAAGAGGATGAAATTAATGCACAGATTAACAAAAGCTTTACAACGGAAGAAAGACAACTGATTGGTGCATGCTCACAAATAGCCCCATATTTATAGGCCAGCAATAATAGTACTATTTATTAATAGCAAAATCTAAATATTGAATTTAAATCCAACAAAATGTATATTTTTTATCCCTTTTAAAAGCACTCATCCTCAGCAAAATGCATTCATCTAAGTGGCTTAAAGCAAATTTTAAATTAATAAAATTTTAAGATTCCTAAGAAATGGACGGATTTAGAACGGAAATCCAAGACGCTATTTTCTCAAAGATTACTCGGAGTGACAAGCCCGAGACAACTCCTATAATCTGCTGCCCCAACATAGGCTGCGATGTGGCAAGTCAGCATAAATGACTTCCATGGCTTGCCACGGGCCATCGTGCTCACAAATCATGGAAAAAATTTAAACTAAATATCATATATTTTGGCTTTTCGTTCATCACAATATAGCTTTTTAAAAAAAAAATAATGTTGCCATACCAATTAATAATGGTCAAAATATTTCGTGTATTATGAAAATTGTCTTATTTAAATTGAGTTTTATAACTTTGTCGATATGAAACGTGTGCATGTTTTGATACGAAATTAAAGGATTCAAGAATTCAATGACCTTCTTCAAAAGTATACATTTAAATATAAGTCGTTGAAAGTTGCACTATCGAAAAAGACCTAGCCGTACCAATTAATAGTGGTTAGGGCTCGTATAGATTTTATAAAATGGGAACATTAAGGCAAATGAAAATTTGAACTAACTAGGTGAAGGTCTGTACCCACTGGGACTAGTGGAAGATCCCATTAGCAGAATGCTCCACAAATCAAAAATTATTTTACCATACCAAAAGTATAAACTGCCAAAACGTGCAATTCTGGGAAATAAAAGATTACGCACCACATGCAATCATAATAAATATTAGAAGCATACAAGTACAAGTATGAGCGGAAAGCTGATCTTTCAGTCAGCAGTTTTATTTTTTTTTTTTAGTTTACGATCGCAGTGCATTTAATTATTTAGGTGCGCACATACATACTATGTATGTCTGTTTATATCTTCACGACCATATTACTTACCATTTGGGTCCTTTGTACTCCTCATCCCGTGCTGGAAATGCCGCACCATTGGTATTTTGCGTTGCATTTGTTAAATTTAGTGATGGTTGTGTTAAAATTATTGTTGCAACGTTTTGTGGCGCGTCGCCACTTCCACCTTCAGTGGCAATGCCAGTGCCAGTGCCAGTGCCGGTACCGTCGACACCATTGTCACCATCAAAGGCAGCATTACTGTAGTCCTCCGAGAATTTTTGTATGTCTAATTTAGTATGCAACGACGTAGTGTGGGTGCCACTTTCTGCGTCCGACGTTGCATTGTTGCCGTTTTGTGTCATGCTGTCACTTTGCGAAAGTACTTTGTTGTTAGGCTGTGGCTGCTGTTGTTGTGCGCTGGGCTTAGCTGTAAGTAGCGAACAGATTTAAATGTTTTAATAGAAATGTCAGCCGCAGGGGAAAGTTGCCGCCGGTGGCTTCCATTGTGTTGCAACGCCAACCAAGAATCAACTGTTAAAATTGCTTATACTCGTATGCAAGTGCTAACGAGCTGCATTTAACCTATTGTGCATGTTTTTCTTAAACTCGTCTGCGTCTAGCGGAAAGGGGAAAGACAATGACTCCAGTAGGTCCACAACCCCACCAACCCAACCTCTTTTGAGCCCAGTGTATATCATAGAGTACTCTAACTTATTCGCCACTCAAGGCGACCTGACGATGCTGCCAACGAAAAGGACAGAATGTTGATGGCGAAATAGAGATTGCTACAAAGATTAACAGACGTTGATTGCACCAAAGGACGGTGCTCTACCAGGATCCGGCCTACAGGTGCCTGCTGCTTGTCGACTACGGTCGACTATCGCTGCCGCGCCATAATTGGCTTTATTGTCCTTGCGACAACTTCACACCTTCCATAGCCAGGCCGGATGGGGCGTCGTGGGTGGGCCACATAAATAAATATTTCCTCTGGCAATTAGCTCTGTTTACCTTGACTCCTTTCAAAAGCGGCAACTGATGCAAATTTCTTCTTATTTCACATCTTCTTTAGACATTTTTTCTTGAATATCTATTGAGGTGGGGGCGACGTTTTCAAAAATTGTATACTACCCGTATATACAAAGAGGCAATCAGTTTAATACAGATGTTAATAATCATGTTTTTACATCGCACAGTTTGAATACTAGTATATAAATTGGAGGAATTATTTTGTCAAGTATTTGTACTTGATTGGACATCTTCATCATCATTTATCACTAGGCTGTTAATTGGGAGCAAACATTTAGTGTCAATTTTGAAACAGCTTGCGTCTGCGGATCACGTGCAAAGTGTCACATGTTTTCATAGAATATATAACAAATAGACATTTGTGTGTATTCGATTAAGTTACATTATGTATTACATTAGTGAAAGGAAACCAGCCAGAACTTTGTTCTATATCTTTGCTCTATGCTCTCACCTCCTGTCGAAATAAAACTGCCATGGTCTGGCAACGCTGCACAGCAAAGAAGCAAGAAGCAGCATCAATACATTCAAGAAGTAGAGCAGAGTAAGCCGATGAGAGATATACTCTATGTACTTTAAAATACATTTTGTAAATTAATTTAAGCAGAAGCAATATTCAGCAATATTCCCACTAGCTTAAGTAGAACTAACTTTGGTGTTATTCCATTCCACTTTTCCACTCACTCGAATAATCTAGATAGATAGTTCAAAGTTAACACATGTCGCTCACATATGTATGTATGTATATGTTGTTTCAAAGTAATGGTCAACGTAGATATTCTAGATATACAATATGTACTATTTTCACAATACACATGTACTATTCACACAATTGAAAACATATGTATATATCTATGTACATATGTATTGAAAGAATTCTGTTTGTAAATTAAAGAAGTCTGAAAGCAGTGCTTGGCAAGCCACATCAAATGCAGTTGATAATTCAATTGCTCACAACTTTAAAGCGAAATAAAAAAGCCATGAGGGTGCTCCTCAGGTAAAATATTATCCTCTATACAATACATAACTGATTATTCAAGCTGTGATCCATGAAATGTGTAAATTTAAAGAGATACAAGAGTTATATTTAGCATTTTTTGCCAACACCAAATAAGAAAACTAATCAATCGGCATCAAAATGTTTTTTTTACTGAAAGTTGATTAATTTTTTAGGTAAAATAGAAAGTAAGATCCCTAAATAACAAACGTGCAACATGGTCGTACTACTTGTAGTGTATGTGTGGTTACACTATTAATCAAACACGAAAAAATGTAGAAAATGTTGCCTGCACGATCATTCCCAGGATCAGACGAGTTATACAAAAGTCTCGTATTTAAAAAATGAATACAAATTTCGTTCTTTTGTTTCAAATATTAAAAAGATGAAAATTTCATAGAGGTAATAATTTTAAAATAATAGCAAGAGCATTTTCGATCCTAAACATACATTCCTATAAGAGTCATTTCCTATATACGAGTTTATTATTGTATATTGTAAGTACTGCCGACTGAATCGATGAATACAAGTATAAAAGGAAGTAAAAGTAAATGCAATTGCGACTAATTCTGTTGCATTGAGTTATGAAATTTCCCATCAGCAATCATTACTTAAAGCTGACTGGAATCCAATAACTATGTAAGGGAAACGAACTAGAAATGAATAATAATTAATGCAATTGTTTTATTGTTATAAGCTTTGATGAGTTTACTGAATATGAAAGCAACTATTGCATATACTTGGTGGGCTCAGAAGTTAAGTTCAAACTATTTGAGTTCTCCGAATCAGTACAAGTGTGTATAAGCCACAAGGACACAGGAGTCTGTAGCTAATTTATGCAGATGGACAGGATTTTGTACATACATATATTAGTACAAATGGTTGTTATATGAAACGAGCGGCGCCGGTATTTCTTCCCTTTTGGTTTAATTTGAATACTTTCTTTCAATTCAGTTATCAATAACTATGAAAGGGAAATGAACTAGAAATTAATAATAATTGTTGTTGCAATTGTTTTGTTGTTATAAGCTTTGATGAGTTCACTGAATATGAAAGCAACTATTGCATATACTAGGGGGGCTCAGAAGTTAAGTTCAAACTACTTGAGTTCTCCGAATTAGTACAAGTGTGTATAAGCCACAAGGACACAGGAGTCTGTAGCTAATTTATGCAGATGGACAGGATTTTGTACATACATATATTAGTGTAAATGGTTGTCCAATGAAACGAGCGGCGGCGGGCACTTCTTCCCTTTCGGTTTCATTTGAATACTTACTTTCAATTCAGTTATTGATTAAAATAATGGCAAGTTTTCTCACAATATTTTAATTAGCATTTTAGTCTCCCCTTATTTTAGACACCTTTGAGCTTCCACTGGAATATGCGTTAGCGCATACATCTAATGTTGGAAATAAAACCACAAGTAACTTTAATACAAATCCAAATTTAAAATTCACTGATAAATACAAGTACTGCCGACGTTTTCCCAGCCACCTACCACACCGAATCGATAAGATTAACCGTCAAAAGCTTACTAATACGGCCGAGATCTCGCGAATGCACCGCTCAGTCTACTGCGAATCGCTGCTCTCAAGTTCCCCACAAGCCAACTCATTTCAATGGAGAGCTTGGTGTTCATATAAAATACATATTGAGGTATATATTTACCTACATACCTACATACATCTACTATATTTTTTATCTTGTGCTAATAAAAACAACAAACACGCGACAGTCAATATTGCTCTCGCGCTAGCTAGCTCTAGAGAAAAAGAAGAATTTATTTAACAATTTTAAATTAGAAAAAAACAAAACCAACAATTATAATCCAGCGGTGCTGAGAACGAGTTGTGTTGATTACAAACAATAATAATGTAAATAAATACACTGATAAAAAAATTACGTGTTTAAAATGTCGAGCAAATGTATTTTGATATCAGGAAGCTTACGAAGGAAAGCGAGTGTTAAACCTCTGGGCGGTTCTTCTTGCCTACGGCTTCAACAGAAGTGCATAAAAGGTACTTCTAGTCTCTCTAAATATCCTATCGTTCTTCTCAATTACTATGTCTGCTTCAAGCTTTTGTCATCGAACTTTTATCGCCATTGTATTAACATATACAATTCTTGTTTTCGTACTCGTACTATAAAAAAACTTGGCATGCAAAAACATATGTCTAGCTTCTGTTTCTCGGATGAATAAATAAATCAGCGTGCGAATATGTTCAGTAGCTCCATGCTATTAAGATAAAAAGAGTCTAAAGAAATGGGAAATGCCAAGGCGAAATCTTGAGTCTATATAAAATATAGATGGCAAATTTTGAGACAATTGCTTTCGTGCCTTTCGATATATGTATATATATATATATATGAATTGGTAAACTTTTAACCAAAAGCTCCAAGATTTCGGAGATCTTAGCATTCATACAGACAGACGGACAAGAGTGACTTACTCTGTCAAGCTCATTTTTGGTGTTACAAAAACTGAAAGATGGGAGGACTGAGTAAAATAATAATAATATAATAAGTCGTCAAAAATGTATATTAATTTAAAATAAAGTTGTAGTAAAATAATAGAGTGGTATTTGTAATAGATACATTTAGAAGAGTTGCCTTTTCTAATATCGAAAATGAAAACCATTAATATACTTTTCCAAGCGAGGCTTTTACTTAAGCACATCTTTTTGAATGAGAATGTTCCTAATAAACTTTGGTATCACCATCGAATATCGAAACTTGATTGGATTTCGCCTAATTATGCTTTTTATAACTTTTACATTGTTTCCGTATGTCCAATGTTTGGTGACATAAAAATACAATAACAAATTAATTAATTTCTCCCGTCGTTTCACAATTGATATATTCTTTGTCGAAAAGGTTAAAAAATCATTCCACGAAAAAGTTCATTATTTTATACCACTTTTATAGACGAATGTAAATGGCAAATCGTTTCTGCTAACACCTAGTCATATACAACCCCATAATACCTTTATTTTTCGATGATGTTGTAAGTTTGGCAGACCCATGAAGTCGAGGAGGAGGCAAAGGGCGTTTAAGCCGTTCAGTGGTTGGTGTGGATGCGCCCAATAGATGCTGGACTTCCGGCTCGATATCGCCCAGAATACTCTTGTTCACCGTCTCACTTGCTCTCCTCAGTAATTGCAATGGTACATGATTTCCGGGATGTTGATCCTCCAAAGGTACTGCCGGTCTTCCTTGTGGCATATCAAACGAGCTGCTGTTGCGAAAAGCCTGCAGCGGCGGCTTATCGTCAGAGGCCACAATATCGGAAATATCTACAAATATCACCATTGCCACTAATGAGTCTAGCACCTTCATACTTGTTTTTTATTTCTATATTTATTTTTTAAATGGAGCATATTCCTACTAACCAAAATCAGTGCTCATGTTACGCAATTCAATTAAAAGTGCTAATCAGATTTGAGTACGAAACGTGTCTAAATTAAGTAATAATCGAAAATTATAAGCGACGCAAACACCGCACTCATAAAGAGGAAACAAACTGTAAAGAGACCAGAAAATACCTGCGAATTTCAAGCAATTTTTGTAATCGTATGAGAAATTCGATTTAATTATTTATACCCAAGTAAATATAAACATATATGCCGATGCAAATATTTGCCTAATTTATAATTAAAGAACCGATAATATTGCTCTGCCCAACTGCTAAGCAAACACAACCAAAAATTCAGCTGCAATGCTTCTCGGCTATCACTAATTAACAACATATAACGCCTCTAACAAAATAAATATGGAAAAGGCAAACACAATCGCCAGCAGCGCGATTGGAAACATGCATCTTAATACAAATCGCTATATATACAATACTTACAAGTATTTGTACATATACTTGTATACATTTACGGGTATGTACCTAAGACAGAAACATAACTTAAAGATTTGATTTTTGTTGGCATTATTGTTGTCTTAACAACTTTATTATACCACTCTAAATACTAGATTAGATTGTGTAAACAATACCCTATACACAAAGGTAAGAGTGTATGCTAGTTTAGTACTTGTATGCATGTATGTAACACACTGAAGGAGCCTTGGTGTAAAGGGAAACTAGAAAGAAATATTATGAAAGCAATTAAAAAAGTTAGGTAAGCCTGTTGAATGTTAAAAGCATGTCATGAAAGTTTTATTATTTCAAATAAAACTAATAAGAAACTATATGTGTATCTGTATATATAAAAATCAATGCCACTTTGCGTTGTAATTTTATAACTCAAGAGCGGGCTCACCTATCCAAACCAAATATTTAGGCTTTGTTCAGACTATTTAGTAGATGGTTTATGTAAAGTTTGCACAAAATCGGTTGAGCGGTTCTTCATTTATCAAATTTTTTGTAACAAATGAATTCAATAAATGGCGGATCATTTTGTTAATGGGGATTTCGCTGTCAAATTGAAACTTTTTATAGCCTGTACCCAAAGGGTGAAAGGCTATACTAGTTTTGTGCGCATGTATGTAACACACAGAAGGAGGCGTGGCAGACCCCACAAAGTATATATATTCTTGATCAGGATGAGAAGCCGAGTCGATATAGCCTTGTCCGTCCGTCCGTCTGTCCGTCTGTCTGTCCGTATGAACGCAAGGATCTCAGAAAGTATAAGAGCTAGAATAACCAAACTTGGTTTCCATATTCTCCTAAGACCGAGAAAGTACGAGTTTGAGTTTTTTTTCGATGCACCCCCCACTCGCCCGCAATTCGTGTTTTTTCTTATAACTTCCGTAATTCTCGGAATTTTGAAATCAATTTTGGTAGGTACATCCAGTTAGTACTAATGTGTCCGTGTGCCAAATCATCATGATAGGTCAATTCTGAAGAAAGTTATAGCCATAAGTAAAATCGCTGCTCATGCGCTGCCTGCAGCTCTGTCGGCAGCGCTGCCCGCAGCTGTTGTTGTTGTTGCTGCTTTGGTTCAACTTTGTGCTGCATACATACACGCATATAAACACGCATAGGTCACGTACCTATTTACATCACGATGTAAATGTATGCTGTTAAAACTAAACATAAACATATATTCTAATTTAATTTAATTAATTAATTCATTAATTTTTTTTTAATATTTTAATTTTTTTTTAAAATTTTTTTTTTTTTGTGGAGAGTACAGGCTATTTTACTGTCGGGCTTGCTCGACTGTAGCGTTCTATCTTGTTTCAGATTGGAATTGTGATGTGAATTTGGAGGAATCATGTTTTTCACATGGCCAAATTTATGTTGCCTGTTCCAGAGTCAGTAAACAAAAAAACTGTTTATCCAAATGTTTTGGATTAGCTAGCAATACATAAAATATTTTTTTGTTTGAATAAATGAATTTAATGTTCCAATTAAATTTGTTTGTTATTTCACTTTATACGTAGCGAAGCACGTACCGGGTCGCGAGTTAGTTATAATTTTTAAACGTGTAAAAATAAATTTGAATGCAGATTATTTGCATGTGTGACCATAGCTTAAGATGTTCTTCCTTATAAGCACTACCGCCTGGTGGGAAATTTATGTTTAGGAATTAAATTTGCAATATTCACACTAATATTTTAGGCATAACAATTTGTTCGTAATAAAATACAATTTCCTTTTTTGTTTATTTTTAGGAATAAAATTTGTAATATTCACAATAATATTTTAGGCATAAAAATTTGTTCGTAACGAAATTACATTTCCTTTGGTCAACATATTTGAAATTCAACTTCCAAAATTTGTTATGTTCTTGCTAACTTTTTTTCTTAGGTTTATAGCGTAAAAGATCCGGCGCTGTTTATCAACAACCGTTTTTACTGTCTTAAAAAGTAATGCTGTTCTGCCAATGCTGTTCTATCGCTTGAGCCTGGAAGCTTTTCTAAGAGGCCTTTCATTCTGCTCATTTTTGTGCTCAAGCACTGCTCACTGGTCAAGTGTGTAGCACATGAGCAGCTCTATGAAAAAGTATTGCTAACCCCTATTATTATGGCAATCGTTTTTCTGACGAGCAATGACTAGAAGCTTGGAGATTGTAGTAGTGAATTAAAAATATTATTCCGAAAAAACAAAAATAAACTTCCATCATCCTGAATTTGGGGGAAACCGCAAACAGGTTGATTATCCAGTTCTTAATAAGGCAAATGAAATGATAAGCCTTTTGTGATTTTTGAATTTCCTACTTTACTAAAATTTGCGAAATTACCAAAATGAAACTCCCGCATAAATGGAAACTAATCGACTGTTGATTAGAGCAGGATGCAATGAATGATAGATTTTTTGGTTATCATGCTTGGAAAAGGTGAACCTGTATCAGCACTTACAACATAATAGAGAATACTTATTTATTTATATTTACAAAAAAAAACGTGAATACAATAGAGAACTTACACTAAATAAAATTAAAGATTAAATAAAAAAGCCGTTGCGGGTATTTAATTTCACAAATGTCCCGATCACGGCAAAGAGTAGTCAGAGACGTTATTAGACCTAACAAAAAAGAAATAGAGATGAAGAAATAGCAATAAAATATTAAAAAATTAAACTAAAATTAAAACTCTTACGTAATTAGAGATAAAATAGTCAAATATATCAAATGCTGAATAAGGAATATTTTACTATGCTGCAAAAAAATATATATTCTACGCGCATAGCTCTTTGTGGTAGGGACAATTTTTTAATTACACCTGCCGCCAGATTGAAAATTGAAATGATCGTTAGAACTCTGCCTTTTTTATGCTGCAATAATTTTATCCGTAATTCTGACAAAGACTGCACAAGCTCGCCAATAAATTAGTTCCATTTGGCTCTGGTCGAAAGAGTACTAGCTGTATTTTTAATTTAACAAATGTGGCGAGTAGGCGTTCCCACTCATCAACGTCACATTATTTGTATACATACACATACACACACATACACACATATGCATGTGTACATACAAAGACACATAGATCCCGGTCCGTACAGAGTCCATGAGAAGCTGTCGTATGCAGAATTTTTAATTTATTTTAACTACTTTTCGTGCAGAGTTATTCCTCACACGCAATGTCGTCCATCAGGCTTCAACTCAGCCATCAAAGCAAATGCAGGCGACAACGTGAATATATTGCAAAAAGAGAAGGCTTTTTATGCCGTTGTGTTTCAAAATTGCAGCCAAAATTAAATTCCGGTTTTGCTCTTTTTGTGCCAGCCTTATCCCCTCTACAAAAGGAGGTATTTCGTATTTTGTATTTTGTATTTGACATGCAAGTTTGTGACGCGGCACATCGATGTGTATGGCTTTAGCAACTTGTATGTACATATGTTTGAATCACTATTTGAGTTCCGAGGCTATCAAGGTTTTAAGTCTTCCTAAATCAACGCGTCCAGGATAGAGGAACGTAGATCGTGAAAAACTTTATTGCGTGGAAAATACAGTCGTCACAAAAATAAAATGTATGTAGTGTGAAAACTTCATTTACCATTGCGTGACTAAAGCGAAATAAAACCAGATACGTTTACTTTTTGGAAAACAATTATTTAAAATGAACCAGAAAGTATTAAAAAATGTACATTAACAATTTTTATAACTTGATATTGGGTATAGTAAATAAATTGGAGCTAATTATTAAAAGACCGTTTTCTATTACACCTAATTCTGTTTTTACACGGTATTTTTTTACACGATTTTGATATACTTGTAAGACGGTTTGAAAATTAAAAATTGCATATATGTATATTTCTTCAGAGATAAGGATCCAATCCAGTATTTATGCGTATGAGCAATGTCTTTTTTTACACGGTTGTTTCTGGAACCGATTTACCGTGTAAAAACAGAATTAGGTTATATATGTTCTATACCTGTACCTCAAAAAAAAAAAAAAATTTAATAAAAATACATTCAAACAAGAAAGGAATGCTAAAGTCGAGCAGGCTCAACTCTTAAATACCCTGTACCACTGTACCACCCCACAAAAAAGAAATTAAATTTATTAAATTAATTAATTAATTTAATTAAATTAAATTAATTAAATAAATTAAATATAAAATATTCCATGTATGCATACATACATTTACATCAGAATCGTGCCTTATGCGTGTTTGTGTACTTACACATATGTATGTATGTGTGCATTGGGCCGGGTTTATGGCTATAACTTTCTTTCCGATCATTCTATCATAATGAAACTTAGTATACGGATATATAATCACTAATCTAATGTGGCTACCAAATTTTAGTTCAAAATTCCAAGAATTACGGGAGTTATAGAAAATCGTTAATAGGGGGGAGTGGGGGGGTGGATCAGAAAAAATGAACAAACTCGTCCTTTCTCAGTCTCAGGAGAATCTATATACCAAGTTTGGTTATTCTAGCTCTTATACTTCCGGAGATCCTTGCGTTCATACAGGCAGACAGACGGACAGACAGACGGATCAAGAATATATATACTTTGTGGGGTCTACCAAGCCTCCTTCTGTGTGTTCCATGTGCACTCGCACAAAACTAATATACCCTTGTACCCTTTGGGTACAGGGTATAATAATAACATGTCAGCTACATAGGTTTGTCGCACACATTTGTTGCAGCATTATGTTTATATCGTGTGCAGTACAATTGATCAAACTTCCTTCAAATAAGCACTAATAGTGTTTCATTGTTAGAGAGGACAAAACTTCAAGAACTACAATTGTAATTTATAATCACTTGTATCGTGAAGGTAAAACTCCGAAAACCCCAAACTTGTCTTGTTCAGAGATTGGGGAATCTTGTTTATTCTAGTTCGTGTACTTTATAACGTCCTTCCATTCATAAAGACGTACGGACAAAAAGAGATATGACTACTATATATCAAATATATATGTATTCAACTTGTGGGGGCGGCATACTTTGACACTAAACTAATACACCTAATTCTGTTTTTACACGGTAGATTGGTTTCTAAAAAAGTCGTGTAAATAAAACCTTTTAAAAAAATACATTGATCATATGCAAAATGAATCGTGCTATATGGAATAAAGGCATGTAAGCATATACAAGGTGTGTACCAACGTAAACACGACATTAAAAAATAACAACAAATGGTTTTTTCGGCAAATTCAATTTATTTTATTCAAAAAAGTCTCCTTCTGCTTCAATACAGCTTTTTGCGCGATCCAAAAGCATGTCGAACGAGTGTTTTGCTCGTTGGCCGGTATGGCCGCCAGTATGCCGGTGCAAGCCTTTTGAATGGCCTCTACGTCTGCATAACGCTTTCCTTTCATGGGCAAATGCATTTTTCCGAAAAGGTAGAAGTCGCACGGTGCCATATCAGGTGAATACGGCGAGTGGTTAATGGTTAAAATGTGATTTTTGGTCAAATAATCGGTCACAAGCGTCGATTGAATGTTGGATTCTGAGCAATTTTTGGTCGTCAGTCAATTTGTGCGGAACAAACCGTGCACACACCTTTCGTAAGCCCAAATGTTCGGTCAAAATGCAATAAATCGATGTTTTGCAGATGTTCATTTCCATTTCCATCAATTTCAATGGTGATTTCGGCTGATTTTTGATGATTTCGATAGAATTTTCGGTGATCACGAATTTTGATTGGCCCACATGCTGATCGTCTTTTATGTCCTCACGACCACTTTGAAAACGTTGAAACCACTTGTGCACTCTGCTTCGGGATAGGCAATCATCGCCATAAACTTGTTCCATCAATTGAAACGTTTCGATAAAAGTTTCACCAATTTGAAAAAAAAAAATTTACTTTTGGCTCTTTGTTTGAAGCTCATTTTCCGACCGATAACACAAACATACTGACACTTAAAACGCAATAACTTCACTTCCAATCGATGAAATGTCATGAAATTCTCACTGGACAATCGATAAAGATAGCAGATTCTAACGCACCAGTCGACATATAGATAGCGCCACCAGGGGCGCTAGATTCAAAAAGTGCTGTTTACTTTGGAACGCGCCTTGTATAACATTTTTAATTTTCAAACCGTGTTAAATCAAATCGAGTAAAAAAAGAAGAAGAAAAAACAGAATTAAGTGTATACGCTTTTACTCACATTCAAATATCTGGTCATGCTGATCGTATACTTACAGTATGAATCTATTAATTCCTTCAGTGCGTTACAAGCTTACCAATTGTTTATGGAGTACCCGTTCAATGTTCAAAATAATTTTTGTTATTTATTTGAATAAAGTGACTGCAGATCTCAGAAACTTTTTGATTTCAAATATGTAAAATAATGTGAGTAGTAAGTGCAGTAAGTCAGACAGTTCATTAGGCTCTTTGGGGTAAAAGGTAGTTTATTTTTGGATATAATTAAGTTCTGAGTTCTGAGAGTATTTGTCTTTAGATCATACTTGTATGTAGAGTGTTTGTTGAAAGTTATTGAATATAATGGCAACAACAAGGCAGTAATTGTCTAACTATCAGATTCAATAAGACAAGTCTATCACTAGTTAGTAGCCCCCAGTCGGTTCAATTGATTTATTTGACTACTGCTAATCACAAAAACCATAAACTTTAAATTATGATCAATTTATAAACACACCATTGTCCCATTTGGGAAACAGTAAGCGCTACCTATAAGCCCCCCTTCCGTAATAAATCCAGTAATTCCGCTGTCATATCTACTTGTATATCATCATGGGTATCTACTTGTAGAGTATTACTTATGTAGCTAGACCTTGGCGGCCCAGACTGGTTGGCGCCAGGCCACTATTCTTGAGTATAATACAAACATTGATTCCAAAAAAATTCGTAACGTCGCTATTATTCCTATCGAGGATGCCGGAAATAATTTTGTCTTTCAAAACTTCTGCGCACAGCCAGTTCGTATAGTTTAGGAGGACGATAATGCTTTTTAGAAACTATTTATTCAATAGAAACGAACACAAATTTGTATACCTTTATAAATACGGATATACTTGTAGATCAATCCATGCGAATGGGTATACCTTTAGCTGCAATAGGTGGGGAATACATTCTGAAGACAACTTACAAAGTGCTATCTGAACTTAATGGCCAAACTATGTCCATTAGCATTCCCCTTCTTACCAAACTTATTACAAAATAAAATAAATTTGCTTAAATAGAAATCGAATTTCATAATAATTTGTATCAATAATAATTTGTACATGCTACTGCTAAAGAAATCTCCGGCCGTGCTACGCTGCTAAACTACCTCTTTCCAAAAACTGTGAACCAGTCTAAGCCCAATTTTAATTTTCTTGAATTTTACAAATATTTGTAAAGGTATATTGTATTTATTTATATACTTGTAGTATGTATTTAGTTGTAGACTGATACAATCATTTCTAGTACTGTTGAGGCTCTTCTGATAGACTTGTAACCGGCCCTATGCCGTCTGCAGATGAAACAGTCCACTGTAACTATATCTTTGGTTGTTGTTGTGTGGAATCCGTGAAGTTATTTTGTTGCTGCTTCTGATTTCATTCGTTTGTATTCCGATGCATCGTATTTGACAATTTGTTAGCTGCTTTCAAAAGTTTCACGTAGTTCCTGTGACTGCTATTCCTGTCTGATTTCCCAGTCGGGCAGTGACAATTTCGGCATTTCTGTTGGCCTCCGCCTTGCTGTTGGACGCCATTATTTACGTTTTGAACCTCAGCGCAGTGCAATTCATCTTGATCTTAGCCTGTAATCGTCCAACTTTTCTTGCTTAACTTTCACTTTGGCTTAACGAGTATATTGTTGATTCTTTATCACTGCTCTCTTGCACCTTCTGCACCTCCTGTGTATATGTATAGTATGTATGTACATAGTACGTACGTACGTAGCTATCTGTTGCCTATGAAGTTAACGGTTCACAGACAACTTTCCTACTGCTGTTGCACTTTATGGTGCACTGCTCCAATCCACTACTATTGCCTTTCAGCTGCTCCTTTCTGCTGATGTTGACATTATTTTGCTTATCTGTTGTTGGTAGTCGCGTGCTGTCCTGCTGTTCCTGCTGAACTTGATTGACGTCCAAGGACTCAGCAGCTCGAGTTGCCTCCTCGTTCTTAATTTTATGGCACTGCTCCCGGATTTGCAGACTTTGCCTGCCTAACTTTAATAAGCTGTGCGCCAGTTTCGGTTGATGATAGTATGTGGTATCAGGTTTTAGTTTCTTCTCACTGTTGCTCTGACTTTTCACTGCAAAGAAATGTTGTAGACGGTTTTAGTTGATACATTCTATAGAGGAGGTACTTGTATTTTATGGACATAGTTGAAAGTCTCAATAAATATTTGAAGGCTATTACGAGTGGTCACCACTTGTTAATGCTCGAATGCTTGCTTCCTACTACAGTGTATAGTTAACTTAATCTTCTGCGTAAGTTTGAAGCACTCTTGGGCTGTTATGAAAATGCACAGATTGAAAATGGCAGTGGGGGCGTGGGTGGGGAGGGGGAGGGGGAAAAGTTTAGTGCTGGTAAGCTATGACAACAACAATATGTAATAAAATGTCAGCAGCCAGCGCAAAAGGCGAGCAGCAGCATAAAGCGTGAAAACTTTAGTAATTTATGTTACATAATTACGCCATAAAAAGAAAAACAGGAACAAAATGGAAAACAACAGCATCAACAGCAGTCGGTGGCCTGAAATTGAAGCGCTCCGGTTTTTCTTTTTTTGTGGTTGTTTTTCCTTTTTTTTTTTTTTTGCTTTAATCATTTTTGCTTACAGCAGAGATTTAAGTGAAACATTGACACTTGTTCATTTTTAGGCAAGATGCTGCGTGCTGTTGTCGTTTGAGGCTTAAAACTTTTACACAAAGTAATTGACGTGTCGCAACAGAACGTTTTGTTCATTTGAAGCCACCAGCTTCAAAGCCGTCCTTTTTTTATATTATACATACACTAATGACACTGCTAATTGAGACGCACTTAGCCAAATACGAGTTTTATAGTCCTTTCTTGTTATTGTTTTTCACAAAGCTGCGGCATTATTCAGAACAATTATGTTCATACATATATGTATGTATATACATACTGTGTATACTATATACTCGTTTACAAATTTATGTGCAGCTTTGCTTTAAACATGCTTACAACTTTATAATTAAAACAAAACATAAATAAATCTTACCTCTATCGCACGGGAAATTCTCTGCCAGCAATGTAAATAATTTATCGGAGAGGAGGCAACGTCCCCGCGGTCCCAAGGGCACACGACACACAGGACACTTAATCGAGCGGCTGCGGCAATTGTTGCAAAGTACGTGTCCGTTACAACACTGCCAACCAGGGGGCTTAACGACCTTATTTTCGCCAAAAATAGTGACGATGAAAAGCGGTAATAAAAACGAAACATAAAGATAGTATATAATTATTAGATGGTTAAATAATTAAAATTCCTTGTTAAATGCTAGTTTTAACTTCACCTGCTTGTTAAGATATATATAAAAACGACAAAATAAATTTTTATCTCACATGCTGGTCGAATTATGACTACAAATAGGATTGTCTTTTGTTACAACGATCAATATCTATCAATATTAGAAAATATTCCAACTTATAAATGGTTTGTAATCGTATTGGCAAATGGTTGCTTAAGCACTTAAATTTACGCTTTCCATGCTGTAAATAACTTTATTTTGTAATATTGAATTCTCCATCTTATCGTGCCGAAATTTAATTATTTACAAACAACTATTCACTGAAAATCATTTGGAAAGGCTTACTATACATGACACACTCCAGCAGCATATTATGCTTATTGTGCTTGAGAAGGGCAAATGCATTGACGGAGATGTTGCATCGTCTAGTTTTTGTATCGATTTGAAATACAAATTATTCATTGAAATTGCAATCAAATTGATAATAGTGCAAGCAGATTTAAAATACGAAAATTGTATTTTATGTGCAGCAAAAATTGCAAATATCTCTTGCCCATTTCAAGTTGCCTTACCCACAAGAAACCAAGTAGAAGCTGCCTCAGTGTTTAAAAAGTAACAAATACACAGACAGAGACATAGCCAGAGAGAAGCTCAGTTTTCGTTTTCCTATGTGTTGTAAACACAAATGAAGCTGAGCATGAAAAACAGAAAAAAATATAATATTTGAATCATTTTCCTTTGCCTTTTATTCTGATCAATTGCAATCGAAGTACCACAAATATAAAGCGATTTATTTGCAATCAATTTCCAGCTGAAAGCAAACAGTCATGATTTTATTTGATTTGGGTCAAGCAAATGCAATTGCTTCTTGACTTCTCAGATATAAAATGTTTAAAAGTACGTATTTTGTTAAACATTCATTTTAATTTCTTCATTTGTGCATAAACAATATCTTCAACTATGTATACATACATTTGGAGATTTTTCTTATGTGAGCAAAAACCATTAAGAGTTTTATTTATATAAACATGTATGTTTGTGGCTTAAAAGCAGAACAGTTCTGTGGTATATGGTGTGAAGGAGATAGAGGATTTAAAATAGAGGGCCAGACGTACGTCATTATACTGAGACTTCTCGTCATACTAATTATAAGTATGTACTATATCTAGTCTATCATTCTTCCTTTCGGGTACAAAGCTTTCAAGCCACAAACAATAAGTGCATTCCCCAAAAGCTCTTTAAAATATGCTGCTTCATACAAATTCTGCATGTTGCTTGAGGGAGCGTTGTTTTTGTGGTCAATAATTTGTTCATTTATCGCCATCTTTGCTTTTAACATACAGGGGGGGAATAGGTCTGGCAACGCCGTCCCATTAGCCCACCAAACTCACCACCCACCTAGAGTTAGCTGAAGACGAACGAGCGAGAATTAAGAAGTCAAAACGGGGAATGCAAGACAAGGAAATTAGGAGTGAAGAGCCAGAAGTTAGGAGCGGCGTTCGAGAAGAGGCAAAACGACGCTGTTATTCAATTAAACTCTTTTCGTAAAATTTAAATACATACCTAATATTATTAAATCTATATTAAAAACTACATATAAGTAAATGAATATGTTCACATACATACGGGCGACTACTTACATACATTATGTATTTTGATTAGATGTTTCATATTCAGGATTTTTATAAATTGAATAAATAAATATGTACATTCATTATTTTAAGTATATGTATGTATATACTATATCAGCTGATTAGCTTGCTTCGCTTTTGTTTCTGTTAGGCGCACAAAAATCAACATTTTGAAGTTAAGAATTTAAACCAAATTAAAATTATCTCACAATGGATAACATTAATTTAGATACATACTTTTTCGATCCCTGATATAAAACCTCAAACATTGATTTCTGCCGCTTCTAAGTCAATCCTAACATTCAAACATAATTTAACAAACAACATTTAATAACAATAATAAGGCATTATGCCAAGTTCTTATCAACCATAAACGAGTATGTGCACGATTATGTGGGATGATTGGTGTGAGCATAGGACTCGACTTAGGACTCACTTTCCACGTTCTTACCTTACGCTAGGAGCAGCCCCCAACTACCTAATTCTTAAAGAAAATCGAGAGGCACATATACAAATCATTCTTTACAAAATTTTGTAAATTTGAATGAGTAATCCAATTGATATGTTGCCTCAAGGAAGCACAACTTTCATTCAATTTGTAATAAAAAGATGTCGCCAGGCATTCCACATCCTGTCCTAGATTTCATTTCCAACGCCAAGCTACTTCAAACATATTAAAGCATATTAAAACTTATTGCAAAAAAGAGAAAAATGTTCTACTTATATATGTACGGGTATGTATGTTAACGCTCTGCCGTTGACTGCATTTAATGAAGCACTTCCATGGCGCATATGTAAATATCGCCTCAAAGCTTCTAAGGATCTAGGAGTTAACGAGAAGCGACGTACTGCATTGTATTTTAAATTTAGAAAGACGAAATCCCTTAATAACTTAATGGACTTGTGTGTTTGCGTACATAAATGGACGTACATATGCAGACACAAGCTCAAGAATAATGCCCTATTCGTGCTGTAATAATAATTGCGAATATGAAGTCCTGGCCAGCAATGTGCCACAGGCTAACCCACACGTACGGGAAGCAAAAGACACAGGCTAGCTTCAACCTAGCACCAACTGATTCCTGGTTGATAAACAAATTATTCAGTGAAGCATGAGTCGAGCTGCAGATTAGAAGCAGTTGGTCAGTTTTAAGCTGTAGGTGCTTATCGTTTAAAGGTGCTGAAGGATATATTGTCCATACCATGAATGCTGATTACAATTAAATGGGTGGTGAAGTGGTCTACATTCGGATTCAAGCGAAGTATCCACACGTTTATTAAAAGAGAACCATTTAATCTGACTAATTTTTTCATACTTCAATAAAATATATGAATAAATATTACCAGTTTAATAAATAGAAGCAAAAGCCACTGGTCTTTGCTTTAAATTTATCCAAATGAAATTTGATCTGCGTTCGCAAACCAAAAGCAATTGCATATGAATTTTTATTTTATAGATTTAATTGTCAGTATTTGACTTTTAAGTGCACTCATCAATCATGCACACAAAGCATCGCAAAACTAATCAAACAACATGCTTTGGCAAACATTTATCAATCACAAAAACGGAAAAATGGGTTGTTGTTTTTTTATTTATTTTTTTTTTTTTGGCTGCACCGAACCCATTCACCCTTCATTCTCTTTTTTTAACAAAAAAAAATGAACCCAAGGCTATGAACTGCACTTTACCTCTGCAATATTTGTTTCGTTATTTCTATCAATAACTACAAGCTCAGCATTAGGGCTTTTAAACATTTTATTTTTTATTTTAAACACCGTTGGATGTACAATTTTCAAATATGTATGAACAGATTTTCATAGAAAAGTGGTTTTAAAAATCAGTTTGTTATTAAAAAAAAATCTTTTCAGCTTGGATGAACAAACATATTGTAGAGTTAAAAATTACTAAACTTGTTGAAAAAGTTTTAAAACGAAATTATACATATAAGCATACTTCTACTACTGTTTTATATGGTATATTTTGTTCTACCATAATAAAACATGCTTAAGAATTAATGTTACTGACGGATCAATGTACCCTGTCACTTAAGTGTAGGGTATGGAAACACACTTGGGCACGCATGTACACATATCGCTCGTATGTACTCGCATAAGCACTGCCAATACAAAGGTAATCTATGATGGGTGTGAGCCTATCAGGGCTTCACCACGCCCCTCAAAAGCACACTGAAATTGAGTATGTACGTTGAACTTTTTTTAATCGCAAAAACTGAACAGAGAACGATGTTTATAAAAAATGTACACAAAAAATGAATGCACCGGCAACGTGGCAAGCGTGGTCTAGGCACAAACTAACGATATGGTGATTGCTAACTTATCAAGAACGGATGTTTCTATGACACAGGTCCAATATTTGCAGTTTCTGCAAACAAAAGTGTTTTTTAAACACTAATTGGAGCACGTGAAGCGCATTAACCTACAGGCTTATATTGCAAACATCATAAATACAGTGCGTACATGAAATAGTGGACATTCGTAAATACAAACATTTTTTTAGGAATAGCGCTGCCAAAGTCAAGGATATATATATATTTTTTTTTGAATTTAACAAAATCTAGTTCTATAGCCCTGCTTGTGGTTACTAAATTTTATAAAGAATTTCTTTTTATTTCTCTCATTCGTTTAAAAAAAGTCAATTTAGTAGCTAAAAATTAATTTTTAAATAATATTTACAGAAAGTTTCTTAAAGTCAGCTATAGTCAAGGAAACCAAAAAGAGAGCCCCAAAGGTATGCTTCTTAATTCTTCATTTTAAAAGTGTTCCATTTTCACTCAATGCATAATTGCAATAGGAATGTTCTGAATACATTTGAAACAATCGACATTCTTTGCAGTTGGAGACCGGAATGGCATCCGTTCTACTTTTCAAAAAGTTTCTTAAATGGAAACAGACCATATACTACGAGTAGAACACACGAGTACGTAGATTAGCTAGAAACTTACAGCAACAAAATCAACGCATGCTAGCTGCAGATAAAGGCAAACATCCAGCAACTAACAACTAAGTTTGCAAGTTCAGTTCAACTAGATAATGAAGAACAAAACTACGCGAACTACACAGACTCATCGATATGCAACACACATGTGAGAAACACAACAATAGCCATACTGGTATATGGCGACATGGTGCTACTTACCTCTAGGCAGACAGGACACTCCAGTAATTGGGCAATATGTTGCAGGCATGTGGCAAACTTTTGCAACGATTGCTGATTAATTTCGTGCTGCTGGAATAGAAGAGTGAAGACAAAATCCATTACTTTCTAGCTGCATAATAAAACAAGAAGGCCAAACTTTAGTTGCTTGAAATTTATATTGAAGTTGATTGACGTAGAGACGTCACCAATCCGGTGCTTTCAAGCTAATTGCTAGCTAATAATGCTCTGAAAATATGTTACCTCACATTCTTTTAAGTCCTGCTTTAAAACAATCTATGCAGCAACCCATATAGTACATATGTACGTATTTGATCTAAGCTTTGATTTATGCATAGAATGTGCATTTAATTATCGAAATAATGCATGTATGCAGAACTGTATGCAAAGACACGCACGTTCATGTGTGTGTAGATATGCATTTGTGTGTGTCATTGTTATTGTCCTAAGAGCATTAATTAAATAAATAGGCAGCCGGCGAAGTTAACAGATAGAATCCCTGAGTTGTGAGTCTGACTGAATTGGCACGAGGTGAATTGCTTTCAATGCTAATTGATATTGATACGAGTATACCATGAGGGCTTTGTTAGTTAAAGCGGCTTAAAGTATAGGAGTTGCACTTCTGTTCAGTCCTATACCTCTCAACTCTCAGTTGAGTGATAATAATGAATCGGAAATGTTGCATTGAGTCTAATGCAAGTACGTATAAATAAGACATAACTATTTTATAATTTCCACCTGAATATATAAGTAGTTCAGCTTAGTACTACAAGTGTGTGTTGCAACATGCAACATAAAGTCAATTAGTTGCAGTCTAATTATCCCAACAAATCTGCTATCTGGCGGGGAATTATAAAATTGCATGCAGCTTATACATACTTAGATCGAAACGTTACATAGTCAACATGTTGTCGCACGCATGGTCTGCGACAATGTCTTTATTTTTTTTTTTCGCTTAAATAAAGTTTCAGAAAACATTCCAAGTGCTCGTACCGATATCAAAGCATGCCTGTACAAGTATGTACACTCAAAAACAAGTTGCGTAGCATATATGAATATTTTCATATTCAATTAAATGTTCTACTACTATTTTATATTTAAAGCAAATATAAACATCGTAAATTTAACTAAAAACATATGCAATTATTAATTTAAATATGAATAACATTCTACACAAAGTGTAAATCTTTCTCATTTAAGTGTGTAATATTAAATTTAATGTTTGACCATATTTAATTTTAATATACGCGCACTTCAAATAACAAATAGTTAAATTTACTATATTCCATACTAAATATAATATTTTTCTCAACTTTATTTTTAGGTACACAGAAACCTAAGTCGATTTAAACATACTAGAAATATTTTAATATTTTGAATAGTTAAATCGAAATATTTTAAATGTAAAAAAAGAGACAAGCAGAATCCTCAAATCGGTTTTCAGCGGTTGTCTGGTATAAATACAAAGTGTAACCCCTTAACATTTGTGATCGTTAGGAACATGTCAAGTAAGTGTATCTTATCGGCCTTTCTCCGCTTTTAGTATTAATATTGATCCAAACAATATAAAAGGCATAAAAAAGTCAAAATAATTAATTTAATAATAACAAAAGAATTTTGAAATTACTTTCTGCTAAAAATGATTCTATACAAAATATAAAAGTGCCATTATTGAAAAGAGTTAAATACAGTATAGTAGACAAAAAAGCGGGAAAAGTATTTTATAATTATAATATTTTTTTATAATTATAAATAAACCTTTGGCGTGAATCAATCCCACGTGATTTAATATGGTCACACTTTAAATTTAATATTTTAACATTAAACTTTAAATTGAAGTGTGCACACTTTATTTTTACTAAAACACACTACGGTGAAAATTGATGGTTCAAATATTTAAATCAACGTGTAAATATTTAAATTTACGTAGGTTTTTTTTTTATCAGTGTAAGTACTTCAGGGCTGTGCGCCAACGTACTATTAACCTTAAACCACACACACGCAAGAGCACTCAAGTATGACCGAAGACTGCCCCTCACTTACCATCGCATGCTCCGTTTCAGCGGCTCCCAGGCTCGGCTGTTGGCGCCACATCATCATTGTTACGCAGTTAGCGCCGCTCTGCCAGTGGTCCCGCAATCGGGTGGCCAGCTCGCTAATTCGCAACCCCAACACATCGAAACCGTTAAGCTCGAGTAACGTATCTCCCAGGCAGACACCACTCTGTTGTGCATTTGAGCCTTCTTGCACGCCGCTGACCCACGGATAAGGGTCCCAAGGCGCGCGACTCAAATTTAGACCCAAAGTGCCATTGGCGCCGCCATAAATAGTGCACAGCTGCAACATTTTGAAGACTCTTTAAATTATTGAAAAACAGAAAACAATAAATTAAATTGATTTAGCGAATGGCGTTTCTTTCATTCAATCTTAAGCATGTTAGTATAAATGTTTCTCAATAGGCGGAAGTATTTAATTCCTTTTGTTATAGTGGATTTAGTTATTAATTCACTATTCGCTTAATGAGCGTGGGAGCGCAGGTGGATATCACACACTTAAATTTCAACATTTTAGTTGGATTTGATATATGAGTTCACGACTCAATCAACCTAATTAGTATTTCTAGCCATTTAACAACTGAACTTCTGTGGTGGCGAAGCATTTATTTAAGATCTTTTTAAATTCTATTCCTTATTAGAAACCAAAGAAATCATGGTTGAACTGTTTGATTATTTTTAATTAACCCAAACTTTTATTCCGATTAATGATTGATCTTTGTTTGGGTTAACTTTTAGGCGTTTTCTGGAATGTACTTATTTACATCAATTTTAAATTTCATTTAATTGCCATTAAATATTTTTTCCTCCTCTTAAAAAAAAACGGTCCTCACTATAAAACCTACGGCTGTAATTAAATTCATAAAAGTTCATATTTCATTTATTTTTTTGGCTTTTATATATATATATATTTTTTTTTTTTTTTGAGCTACGTTCATTTCAACGCCCCAATTGAATTTATTCTGAACGTAACGACCCAACTCCACACACGCCAGATTTGCCTTTCAAATGCGTAGCACGTAGCCCTACCAGATGAGGCAACACCTTCACCCTCCACTAACCCTCAGTTCCTCACGTTATTTATATCGGTTTCAATTCCTTTTGAAATTTGTGCCGAAAAGCAATCATTTTCTCTAGTTTCTTTTACATGTAAAAATATATAAACCTTATCAAAGCAGTCTTGTGAGCATGAACTAAAATGATTTGATAATAATTTTAAATCAAGGCGCAACGTTTGATAAGTAATTTGATTTGATGTTGTTAATTAAAATAACTTACACATAAATTTACAAGTGATATATGCATTTTTAATTCCTTACAATATTAATAGGTATGTGCAACACCGAGTGGAACCAAGCGCTCAAGAATTGCTTTTATGGCTATAACTTCCTTCAAAGATATTCTATCATTAGCCTATATTGTGCTGGGCTTGCTTACATGCTGCAACTGCATACTGATATATATATGTACTATCAAATATATATACTTTGTGTATTGCATATATTTCCACTAACCTATCATCATTCGAACATTCGTTCGAAAATTAAGACTACAAAAAATGTGCAAATCCGATTTACTTAACTGCTCGGTAATTGCAAAACTTTATTGATCAATTCTAGTACAGTAATTGCGTTATTTAATAAAAAACGAACTAAGAAATTACCTTCGTCTGCGCCGAAGCTATACACCCTTCACGCTGTCATTGATCTGCGCCATTAATATACATTCTAAATATGAATTTGAACAAACATATTTTTATAAACAATACTATTTGTGATGCAATAACTCTTTCCAAAACATATTGTTATCCTTTGACTACTATATATACATAATAATAATATAGTGACCACCATCTCATGAGCCTCAGTGCAAATTAGCAACGCTCTAAAATGTGGGAAGCAGTATTGTATAAAACAGACAGACTTCTCAGTAAAGGGTATACAAATGAACGGAATCCAGAATAGCCACGATTACCTTTTAAACATCCGTAATGCAAACAATTAGTCAGATGTGTTGCTGTCACTACTAATTCTAACAATATTTTTTTGCTCTTAAGAGCACCATTCACATCCGTTTTCGGTAGGTCTCTTATTGCAAATTATTATTATTTTTTATGTACGCGGATGTTGTTGATATGAGTCAATACACGCACACTTCACAACTTCTTGACATTGGTCATGAAATTTTTTCAACGTTTGCACAGTACGAGTATTTGTACGTACTTGTATGTGTGAATGTGTTGTATGTTTCAAGTGTTTCAAATCAATTAAAAACCATTTAGAAAGGCGGGAGCAACAAATTATACAAATGCTGCAGAGTTCTAATTGTGTTGCTATTTATGTGGTTAATCCATAGATATAGTATAATATAATGCATAATAACGGCCATATGCTTTTTTTGCAAGTAATTTTCGTTAAGCCCCCGGAAGTCACCTTAATATTGTGTTCTAATTCGTGTTCATTAAAATAATGAAAATACTTTTGGCATATGCGGAACTCCCTTTTAATTTAGAAGGAAATGAAAAGCCGCACTTTAATCTAAAAGCTTACCGTATTTCTTGTCACTTAGATATCTAAACTATTTGATTTTGTACATATGTATGCGTGCGCATTTGTGCGTTCTTTACGGCACAAAACCGAACTTGATATAGGCGCGTGTGATTGAAAACTAACCAAATGGCAAAGCGAATCATCTAAACAGCTGTTTCCAGTTTGCGCAACATAATGCAATAACAGCAATACTTGTAGTAGCAGCAACAACAAACAAGAAAAACACAATGGAGAGCTGCAACTGCTGGCAAGTTTCATTTTCAGGCAATAAACAAACTGTAAAACAAACACAAATGCACATAAAATTGCGTCACAGCCACACATACACACATGGACACTGAATAGCAGCCAAAAACCTTGCAAATTCAATTTACGACAGAGACCCAGAAACCTCAAACCGGTCAAAACTGTTGCGCATGCAAACACATTGCTGTAAAGTTTGCGCAAGTGTCACTACCGTGTTGCGTTAATACGAGTATCGCTCTCTGTGTTGGTTGGTAGGTAGCAGCTAGTATTTAGTAGCTGCAGCAATCAGCACTTAGGCCCGCTCATGTTTCGGATTCACGCATTTGCACAATTTCAAATCAATTTGATTCAATGCTTTACGTTAAACCTACACACTCCAATGTACATACAATCGCTTGTCTATTTCGCTTAGAAATAGGAAACGATAAACAGGTTTTTCTTTTCGATTTTAAAATATGCGTTCAACTACACAGCTTCCACGTTTGCTATTTTTAGTTAATTGCTTAAACTAGCTGTTTGGGTATTGTTGTCACTATTTTTGTTGTTGTTTAATATCTTAAAGTTTTTATTTAGACTTTTATTGTTCAATAATTCAATAATAAATAGCAGCTTAAGCACTTAATTTAGTGATTAGATCTGTAAGAGAACCGCATCAATATCTGCCGCTTTACTACCTGGCACACTGATTTGCTTTTAAAACGCCAGTGCACGTTACAATGATCACCAAGACTATATTTTTTTTACAATACACTGTGCATGTACCGACACGTTAAGCTGGCGGGCAGTGCTGGCGCACAGCACAACTGTTTGAAGTACACTGTCTCAAGTAGCGCAACAGTTTGCAGAAAGCTCGAAACTGTTTGGCTCTGAAGCGCCACCTGTAGGCAAAGCTTTTTTCGGTGCACTAAGCCGAGCTTCAGTATAAGCCGCAAGAGTCCATGGTTTTGTGACAATGTGTCAAAACATGTCTATATTTTAGACCGAACAAAAAAAGTGTTGCATAAATGTTTCAGAAGTAATAAATAGTTAATAGTAAGTACATAAAAATAATTACATATCTCTAAGACTAATGTAAACCACCCACCTTTGAAAATTTGGTAAAATGTTTCAAACTGTGTTCAGACTTTTTAAAAATCCAAGAAGCTCAAGAAAAGAGCCATCGCTTAAGAGCTTTACATTGAACACAAAGCAGTTTAAACGGACCTACAATAAGTTTTTTTTTAAAATTAGTACAAAAACGTAATGCACCGAATTTTCATCTGCGAATCGTTGGCTAAATCAAATGAAATCAACGCAACTCTTAAACGAATGATGACTGGTAATGAAAAGACCAGTGTTACCATTTCAGCCCTTTTCCGGATAGATTTGTCCTTTTGCTTCACCCTGAAAAAAAGTCAAACATCCTCTATCCGGAAATCTATTCTTTTTTCCCCGCTTTTTTAATGTTTCTTTGTCCTTATTTGGGACGATGAGCTGGCAACACTGCATAAGACACTGTTCTGTGTAAACAATCCTGGAGAAAACTCGGTAAAACAGCTTAAACGATTCTCAAGTTTGAGCTAACAACTGCCAAATAGCAACCAATACAAAAAAGCGCTGTTTTTACAAACACAGCACCAGTGCCCATAAATTAATAATGACTCGCCGGAAACTCAGAAGGCTTGGTTGGAAAGTTTCAAAGCATGCACTCTATAGTAGTCCTATTGCCGTTTTTGTCATTTGTAATTATTAATAAGGTTAGCAAAAATTGACTTCTCCCCCAACTCAATAGCATTATATGTATTCCATATTGTCCAAGCAAGCTAATAATGCTTTCCTTCAGTAAGAGTAATATAATTCGTACACTTCTCGAAGATATAGTTCACCAAGCCCTTGCTTTTAATATATCCATACAATTTATATTTATATAGACTTGTCAAAATGTAAGTAGATACGTGTCTGTGTTTGTAAATTTTAAGCATTAGATATCTGTAACGTATAAACGATTTAAATTAATAAGTAATTGAGCCTTTGTGCATTAATTACACAAACAATCACAAATGAAACACCTCAATACAAGTAGATGGAGAAAAAGCATAAACTTTATAACTGGCTGGGTAATTGCATGGCGGCAGCTGGACCTCAAAGGGTTATTTACCTCTTTCTTAACTTTTGCGTAACAGCTGGCAATAAGCGAACATTGTGGTGCTCTAAAGTGGTATTTGAACTTGATTCAATACACAGGCATTGAAAACACAATTTTATGTCTTAGACTTGGCGAGTAGTCGGCCACAATGACGCACCACCGTCTACTGTGGTAACAACTTGTTAGCGAGTCAAGAACAACAATATAACAATAACCACTGAATACTACAATCCAATTGAAAAGCAAACACCAGATCGCTTGATGGCCGCTTACCACTGGCGTATTTCGAAAGCGCATTCCAAATGTAACACGGACATTTCAAATTCAAGGTTTACTTCATATTAACGTATAGGTTTTCAGGTAATTTACAATATTTTGTTGGAAAATTAATTTCTGCAGTTTAACTTCAAAAATTCCTTTGTGTAGCTTTCAGTTCAGTTTAGTAAAAAAAAAATAGCATGCTCATTAGCTTAAGCGTGCAGAAAAAATAATAAAGTTTATATTTGTTGATATAATAAAATAAAATAAATACTTGACTCGAAAGCCAAAAACAACGAGCAATCTACCCAAATGTGTACGTATTTTTACTTTTATTTATTTATTTTTTTTAGTTTGCATCCGCAATGCAGTTGGATTCCGCTATTCTATAAATTATACATGTTTTTGATACTACAAAAACAAAACATTCAAAAATCATATTGTATCTACTATATTGTCTGTCTTAAGATACGGTTTCAGTCCGTCTAATGGAGGCCTCGGCGCAAAATTTAAACAGACGCACAGACATTGCAATTTGGATTCGTCTCTTCATGCTAATCATACTGCTATACAAGTATATATGTATGTTCCCAAAACATGCGGTAAACCATTCTTCCGTAAAAGAATTGCTTAAAGAAACAAAGACACACCAAATTAGATGATTATTCCCAATCGGACTACTAGTCCGAGACGATTCCGTTGGAGCAGTTCTATACATTAAGCTACTTCAAGAGAGTACCAGATTTATCTCAAGAATAGTTCCTTTAATGACTTTGCTTGTCTGCTGTGTGCGACGATACCCATTTATATAATTTTTTGCACTTTCATCATTTGTTTGCCTGTACCTAGCCATACTTCAAGTACGTATGTATATGTAGAAATTTGTACAGCACGAAAAAATGTAAATATTTACAAAAGTATAAGCGTATAACGTGTGTACACATATGTAGTATATTTGTATATGCATATTTGTATGTATATTTAAATGTGCGAGTGTATGAGGAGACATATGCAGACGATGCTCATTTAATCGCGTGGCTATTGCCATAGCCGCTCCGAAGCTCTCACATCTTGACTGAGTGTGTAGTTTAATGCCACAAGAGTTACAATAGGGTGGCGATGATGCTCTGAGCGTCACAGACAACAGACAACACCAAATAGTCAACGAAGCCGGAATAGCGTTAAATTGTGAGTTCAAGCGCTCGGAAACTTTGAAAACAGACGCTAATGTCGAAGTGAGTGAAACTTGAAAAACAGTTTACAGGCTGTGGGCGCACGTTCAACACACACATCTCCAAGTATTTTTAACGCGCGGGTGTTCTTTTAAATCAGTTTTAGTTGTGCAGTAGAATACAATAATACGAGCATGTCACATTCTTCAACGCCAAACTTCAGAAAGACGCGTGGTATACCCAGGCTCTCCAAATTTACCTTCACTCACAGCAACAACTCCGCTGCAGAGGTCACTGAAAGCGCTGATTCCAATAACAGTGACCCAAAAACATCATATGTGCGTCTCTTGAAGATACCACGCGCAGCTCCCTGCATTGAGAGCTACGGTTTTAATCTTACGCGCAGCAAGTGGGATCCGTATCCATGGGTAAAGCCTATACTACACTCGTACTAGTACGTGTATATCCAAAACGATTTCAACACAGGTCTCTGAGGTTACATTAGGCACACCGGCTGCACAGTGCGGACTGAAAGCTGGCGATTGCGTTTTAGAGGTCAGTATTTTTGTACTCAGGTATACAGAAAATAGGTTAACGAATCGGTGAGCACTCAAACGAATTTTTGCCTCGCGATAGGCCATGCAGCGATAATGGCTTTCACCCGAGCAGCTACAATGTGGTCCAAAACATTAATAGGTCCAATGCAATCAGAGAGACTGAATCTGACATAAAACTCTAGAAATCGACTTCTAACATCTTGGAAAACATACTACACCTAATTCTGTTTTTATACGGTTTTGATTTAACACGGTTTCAAAATTAAAAATTGTATTTATTGTTGCACGACTTTATTCCATTTAGCACGATTCAAAATAACAAATGATCAATGTCCCTTTTACACGACAATTTCTGGAACCAATCTACCGTGTAAAAACAGAATTAGATGCACTATGAAAAGGTACTATGTACTGATATTATTAAATAGCACACATTTTAATACTTTAAACTTATGCCTTAGAATTTAAAATAAATTTTCCCAATATCAGAAGTAATTTGCTGTCATCTACTATGTACATTTTTCTAATGTACAAAATATTTGTATGACATTTTTTTAGCCTGCAACGAATCGATATATATGTATAGATATATATATTCAAACAGAAAGACCTTACGAATTGGTGGTAATAGAAAATGGCAACAGACAATGGTTAAATAAGGGACAGTTTTTGTTTGAGGCGCTTTTCTAAAATAGAGACAATATTCTGTTGCTGAGTGTAAGAGTGATATTTGATCACCATTTCAGACAGCTTTTCTTTCTTCGAAGATTTATGAGTAACAGTCTAGCTTACGACACAATATTTTTTACTTCATTTGCAATTTTTTAAGTGTACTAAAAGGTAATTAGTTAAACTTTATGTAAATTTTTTGCACTGTGCTTTATACTATAACTAAATTTCAACCGATGTGTAAAATACAAAAAATTCATCAATGCACCGATAGTTATACATAATTACACATACGAGTACACATATCTACGGAAATAGCTATTTCATTGTAGAAAGAGACTACCTGGTACGCCATTAAAGACTGCAATCTCTTGCTCTCACCGCACAGGTATGTCTAAATAGGCACTCCTAAGTCCATGATAAATGTGTGTGGTCTGTCTCTCCCACTATGACTGACATATCATTTTTGTGCTCTCTTCTATGCTAAGGCAGGGGTGCTAATATGTAAACGCGTTGCAGCGCTACCTATGTTTTATTTTCCAACTAATTTATGGCCATCTTTGAATACGACACAGTAATTTGTGAATGTGACATTTTTTGAATAATTAAATTCACAATAATTAAATTCACAATAGAAACTATTGGGTTTTATATTGTATTTGAGAATCCAAAGCCAACGATGCATTATCTATTTTATATATTTATCTATTATTTATTATCTATTTTATTCTATCAACTCATCATTTGTGTTTTATTAGCAACAATAAAGCTCTCATTCAATAAAGATGTAACAATAAATATTATTTCAGGTAAATGGATACGATGTTCTAGGAATGCGCATTTTGGAGATATCTAAAATAGTTAAAGATCAGCAAGATTATGTGACACTTCTGCTATGGAACAGCGGATGCAATGTGGACTGTGATAAAAATGTGAGTAAGATCGTTCAGTTCTTAAGTTCTTAAGTCTAACAGCTTCATTTCAGACTATTTGCTGCGCTCCGGTAACAACCAGCCTGAAACGCCTGACCATTATAGTGCAGGGCGTACTCAGCATTATCGAGTGCCCCGTTTGCATAAACACAATTACTCCCCCGGCAATGCAGTGTCAAAATGGACACCTACTCTGTCTTAATTGTCGCATACGTGCGGAAAGGTGCCCTATGTGTCGGGAATTCTATACTCCCAAACGGGCTTTAATCGCTGAGCAGATTTTTGTAGCTATGGCCGATACATTCGAGCTTTGTCGCACGGAAAATAAGCTGCGACACAAAATCTTTGGTGGCAACATTTCGTCAAAAGATATACGAAAACCTAAATCTCGGAGTCCTAAGGAGGCCAGCATCTGCCAGATAAAAGCAACGAATCACTGCCTGTCGCCAGTGTCCCTAGTCAACGATTCCCTATCTTCGGATGCTTCCGAACAGGTGGTGGTGGAAAATAAAGTGCCGACGGCAACTCCAAATGCTCGCACTGAGCCAAGTGGCTTCCGAGAAAAGTCTACATTTTTATCAAATACTTGTAATTTTAAGCAATCTGGCATGAACGTTGAAACTAATTCACTCACTCTGGACCTGAACAATGAGAGGGATAAGTGCGATAGTTTAAGTGTATATCGACCTATCTGCGAAGCAGGAACGGCAGGCGTCCTGCCGCATGACATGAACGCAACCCCAACTGGCAATGCTCTCGTCAAAGTTTCAAGAACCCCCAGACAATCTTCAATTGAAGTGCGTAGCATCATTTAATTACTATCACATCGATGTCCTTAAATCAGCCTTTAATTCAACCATTCTTTCTGTGCCAGTAAATCAAAAGTTTTTATAATATTTAATTGAACGCGAATTGCTTTTGTTTTCAAAGCCACTTATCGTGCGTCTCTTTATTCAAAGATTGGGGATTTAAAAAGAAAAAATAAGTCAATAGCTGCAACTAGTCCATACATCAAGGAGTCAACAAAGCACATCAATGCAACTGCACCAACGATTGATGAGCGTCTTTAAATCGCTTACTGTGCTGGTCTGAAGCGTTCGCAATTACTACATTTCTCTATTGAGTCCCCTCTGAAGCACCAACATCAAAGGCAGTCTCATTCGTCTCTCAACCCTCTCATTGCACATTAAAGGATATTGCCGCTCAGCATAGTAGCGTAAAAATGTACAAGAAACAAGCAATAAGTGCGAAAATGGAGCCTTCGACTCACCCAACCGGAAGAATTTTCAAACTTCTATGATATGCTAATAATTCTTTGCTGTCATCAAACGGCGTATTAACGACTCTTCATTCTTAATATACCAGCTTTGTGTTGCATCAAGCGACAGCAACTGCAACAGGCACATCCTACTTGCCACTGCACCAACAAAGCTAAGCATCTGAGCCGGGCAGGCTGGCGGAGTTAAAGATATGATGTTGGTTTATGACAAGCAGAAAAGGACTAGCAAGATGGCGAAGGCAAAAAGTAATAAGCTTTGCTTACCAGTAGAAAATCCAGCCTACAAAGATAGAAGTTGCAGCAATAACGACCATTTGCAACCAACAAGCAAAGTCAACAAATACTCTGCCATGCTGTTTTACTCTCTATGTATGTGTCCTTTACGTCCCTATTAGTGATTTGAAGCCACCCAAATACCAATAGTAATCTACATTGACTGATTGGTGAGGCTTTTCGAATTGTCAATCTACAAGTAGATTCTAGAACGTTAAGCTCAATAATGGCGACATGATTTACTTGTCTAGTTTAGATTAGGAAAATTTTAAACTGGCCAACTACCAGCTAATGGTTAACAAAAGCAGACTGGCCAGCAACAGCTGGAGCTTTGACTGGGAGATATAAAAAATCTGCTTGTATGGTATATTTGAAATAAACATCCATTATTTTATATATGTATGTAGTTGCTAGTAGTGCCATTTATAGTATAATGTTATCACTATTAATGTAGAAGTAGTGTACGATGATGTTCAATGTGTAAATACTTACTGTAAACGAGTGCAGCACGACTTTGAGGTGTCAGCGGCAGTCCCACTAAGCCACAAAGCTATTGCCTTGGCCATCATTGACTGGCCGCAGATTTTTGCTCTACGCCCGCCTGCGATTAAAATGTCATCAAAGCGGAAGTGGCAGTTTAATTTAAGCGCGTTAATTGAATTTTATTTTCTGCTTTGTTACCGGCCGTTGCCGAGATTGATTTGCTGCAGAAGCAGCGACTATTTATTGTTACCGTCCCTCCCACCCGGCCCCTCCAGTTATCCCCGTAATGACTTTTCTTCAGTGAACTTTAATTACAAGCTTTTTCATACTTTTTTATGCACCGATGGTGAAGTGCGCTGGAGGATTGCAGCAATTGTTATACGAGTACTTCCTCCAAGTACCCTTTAAACAACAACTACTAGAAGCGAAGGTTTTCTTGCAATTATTTTCCTGTATTGAAATGTTTGGTCCGAATTGCGTATTGAAATCGAATCAAACTACTACAGGTTATCGAGAGCGCATCAAATGACAAATATTTCAACTCGTGACATGTTCGAGTGCAATTTTGTAAAAGAACCTTTAATTCGGCGCATTTTAGCGGAAAGGAGAGCTGTATATTTTAATTAAAAATCTCATTAGCGCATTTCATATTTTTGTGCGAGCTTATAACAGCAGGAAACTAAATTATGAGCTATTGAGCTACCTATTGTTATGTTAATATGTTGTACAATGTACATTAAAGCTGAAAACACTTAATTGCATTTTTCATTTAGTTAAGTAGTTTTTTAATTTGCATTTCTGCAGAAAATTGCGTCTGCGCAGCTTATGTTTATTTATTTGCTTCAAAAAACAGCACTTGGCTGTAAGTTTAGAAACGCCATTTACGCCCAAACTAAAAATTGTAATAGTTAAAGCAATAAATTTACTTTATGGTAAAGTTTTTGGTACCCAATGCATGTAAGTATGTACCTGTCGCAGTGTTAGAGGACACGCGCACACACCCACACCTACAACTACACCCACAAACACTCACACACACACACACATCGCTGTCGTACGCAATGCATAAAAGGACCGAGCGCCGTGTGCAACTTATCAGTGCCAGAGCAAGCAACTTCGGTCAGTGGTTGGGAAAATTGGGGGCGTGCATCTGCCACCAAAACGGGGCAACCTTAGAAACTTTCTAACGACCATTCACCGTCGGTTTAAGAGCTTTGGGCTTTCAGGAATGTTATAAATTACACTGTGCAACAAAAAAAGGAACACGTTTGCTCCCATTACTGCCAACACGTTGTCCGTATTTTAAAAACCAATCCCCAACATTCGACATGCAACAATACAAAATAAATTGAGGAAAGTGAACCTAGACATATGTACTATACATATTTATCTGAACAGATTCCATTAATATTATAATGGAATGAATGAATGAAGAGCTTCACAAAACATATGTAAAAACTGACTCCAAAACATCTCCTACAAATCTCAAAATTTTACGAAAGAGATTAGGATCTGACTTAGGAACTAAGGATGTACTGCAACCGAACCTCTATAGCTTTATTGGAAACAAACAATTGTTAGATACGTTTCTAAGGAGAAAAACGCACCAATCGCTTCAGAGCTTCACCTTTAGGAAGAAATGCCAAGTGGTTGAGAATACCTCACTAAAATAATTAAATGTGTCTCATATTTTTGTAAGTTTAAAGATGTACTCGTACAACTTTACAAATTTAGGTTTGCTGTTTTATTGCTTATAGTAAGTAGAACACAGAAAATAAGAAAAAAGTTACTGAAATCGTATTTCAATACATAACAGAAGGACCAAAGGATGTCTGCATAACTTAATGAAAACAGTTTGCCTCACTGGCCACCCCAAAGAAAAGAAGGCGTTGAATCTTAGCTTCACTTTCATAGTTTTTAATTTCAATTTAAATAAAATCAAGATATGGCAGTGACTGTCAAAACTTCTCACACACACAAAATATTCAGCTCTTGAAATCTTACTTTCACATTCACTTTCACTCTCGAACTCAGTACACAATTACACAGTACCTTAGAGACTGCAAGATGAGAATGACCACAAAATTAATGGCTTTTTGAGCATCAAAACTAAATTTTGTGTGGGTTCATTATATTGTAGTTATGTAAGAAATGGCTAAAAAGAAATAATTAAATATTTAAAATATTCACAATGTGGACATTTGTTGTCAGAATTATTCCCTTCCGAAATTTGGGTGCTTTTCAATAGTTATCTGAGAACCAGAGTCCCCCAAGTCTTTGAACAATCATTTGTAACTATACCACATTCACATTTATTTCTCACATAACTACAATATATATTGTGCTTATTTAATTCTATATTATTTATTTATTTTTTTTTATTTATTTATTGTATTATTATATTAATTTATTTATAATTTATAGCTACGTCCCCTTAGGTCTAATAACGCGTCTGACCACATTTCTCTACAAATCAGAGCTAAGCTAGTGGGAATGAAAAATACATATATTTTGTATACTTAAATATGAATGTTTTTTTAAAGAAAGCATTAAATAAAGGTATCTTCTAAATTTCAAATGCCAAAACGTGTATTTTATGTAATACTATTATTATTATTCAGATCAGATTATTATTATACTATAATTATCTGTCTGATGTTTTAATCTGTAGTTATTGAAAAGACACAGCTCATTTAAAAGCGGTACTAGAATATCACTATAAATCGTACCTAGGAATAGTTTTAATGATTTTTTTTTCAGGACTAGAATGAATTTTATGACCCTATATCGACATTCTGGCGTAAGACGCAGACACATTAGTTGTGCATTGGGCAGAAGCTCATTCCAGCTCAAAAAAATGTTAAATTCCCATTAATCTCCATTATAGTAATAACCGATATTCGTACATCTCTCGATCTTTCACATCACTTTTAAACTTACACGTTTGTGAATAGAAATGCACGTCTTGAAAAAGAAATACATATATATTTTTAAAGCCGTCTTTTTCTCCGACATTAAGCATTTCAATTACTGCAGTGTTACTGTTTTTTTTCACCACCACTGTACATTTATTGGGCGTGTTAGAATCTAGCATCAAATTTTCTAAATGAAATCAATGTGAGACTTGGCACAGCTTCTGTTGTGCAATTTAGCTGATATATGACTTCTTCACTTCCATAAAGGCATTAAAACCAACATTGTACAATAACCGTTTGACGATCCGATGGAAATCACACGCGAAATTGCTTTACCTAGCTCCAAAAATAAGATGGCTACCAAATTCTAATTACACTCACAAATACAATTATTAATATTTATGAGCACAAAATCCGCAATTACGCGTGACCGCAAACCGTTAAGCAGTAAAATATGTAAGCCGTAGGCCAAAACTCGACCGCTACGGAAAAAAAAGAGTTCGCAATTGCGGCGTACAACGGAAGTGGTGCGCATAAATACCAATTAAAATTTCATTGATTTCAAAATTGTAAATGCATGGAATTTAACGCGAATCACCGTGGGGCGATCTTTCCATTTGCATACTTGCACACAAAACCACTAAAGGGGAATCAGAGAGAACCAGAATGGAAAAGGCATAGCTAAAAAGATACTTATCAATTAATTCGGTCTGCCAGCTTGAAACCCATGAACGGAAGGTCCGCAAATTATTCATGTCGCTGCCCCTAAAGCTTCAATAACTTCTGCAAATTGAATTTTCCTACACATTACTTAACTTGTCTAGCCGCAGTTGTAAAACGGCTAAGCAACAAAAGAGAGTATTATCGATTTGAAGGACACCAACTGCGTGTGTGATTCTAAGTCTCCACATAACAAAAAAAAAAGAGGTATAACGCAAAGATCGGAGCAACTCGAGCCAACCCCCTTTCCATGACAGTCTTTAATGGAAGCTATACGCATATCGGTGCGTATGCAATTTTAAAAGATTTTCAGGTATTATACAAAATTAACACTAAAGTGGTTCTGATATTTTCAAATAAAAAAGATTTATTTAGCAATTATTTACTTAACTAATTCTGATCTAATTGTGAAAACAATTTTTTTAAGGGCCAGAAAAAGAAATTTTTAAAACACTACTACCATGTAAAAGGTAGATAGGTACGCTTAACAGATATCCAATATCTAATCTTGATATGCCATAAAATAACCATAAAATGTACTACAACATTTTACAAAGATTTTAAATGATTGTGTATAAAATTGTTCAAAAATAATTTCATTCAAAAATTTTCAACTCTTATAAATTGGAATTTGAACTCTAGTTTTACATTTTACAAAATTATATTTCAACCGATTGTTTTCAAAATGCATAGACGCTTTTCAGTAATTTGAAATAACTTATTTTGCAGTAAAGCTAAATAAAAGTCCACACAAACCAAGTCTGCATTTGGTTGAAAACAAATGCCTGAAGTGCAAACATTTTCCCGAGTTACCTTCTCTTGTGGCCAAATCACTAAAAACAAATTTTCTAGTCTGAATTTATTTAGCCATAATATAATCAACGTCGCTTTGCGTACAAAACAATCGACTTAAAACATGTTCCAATAAAAAATTCATGCAAGCCGAGCTATCGCACAAAAAATAACACTATTTTTAAGCTACTTATTAGCAAAAAAAAATGAAGATCAAAATATGAAGTCCTGTTTTAAAATCCAATGAGAAAAGTTTATGTATACATGTACTCAAAGAACTTTGTGAATTTATCAAAAATCCATTAAAATTTTTTTTTGTGAAATTAATGGAAATTGAATTAAATAACCCCAAATCAATGATTCGTTATTATAATTAAACAATTGTGTCTGCGAAAGATGTATTCTCGCCTTTATCCGCACAAGTTGATTAATAACCAAAATATTCTTTCATCGATCGATATTTGTTACTGATTTTTAACGGTTGATGCTTTCAAATCCTGATATTACCTTTTCAGAACATTGCATTTGCACATGAAATGAAATATAATGCAAACTCTTTTGAAACCAATCTGAACAGTTTAAAACATTGTAATAATTCTCGTTCTGATTTTGTTTAAGACATTTTTTCTTTGGGGATGCACTCAAGAGTATTCCCAAATACTAAGAATATCTAATTAACTTATGCACCCACGAAATAGCTCTTCGAGAAGTTATCGAAAGCAGAAATATTATTAAATTAATAATTAATTATAATTAAATTAATTAATCTCATTTCTTATGTAGAGTACACAAACCCAAGTTGAAAGTAAATTGGGCTAAAATGGAAGGGACCTTTTCAAAATCTTAATTGCAACTAAAAGCAACTCAAATCTTTGAATACATACTTAAAATTTATAGCAGACACGTATAGTATTCAAGTGTATGGGAAAGGGCAAACATACTTAATTACTTTACATTTTTTAATGCGAATGCTGTATTTTTGGCACTAAAATCGTAACTATTGGAAGCCACACCATGAAGCCTGTCAGTAAGGGAAGCAGCAAAACAACAACAGCGGAAAAATAAAAACAAACAAAAACAAAATGGCGCTCTTGCTGCTCATTCATGTTGCACGCTAAATTTTCAGTTTTCGTTGTAAGCTGTGTACTCGTGGCACTGCTTTTAATTGCTTTACATACTTATTGTTGTTTATTTCGGCGACGATAATGTTTGTTTGTGGTTTATGTGTGCATGAGTTGTTCGCAATGTTGCCCAGCCCCAGGGAAGCTGCCACCAGCAAATGACAAGTTGGCAAAAAGTCGTAATTTTAATGTTCACTGTCCGTGCAATTTTATTAAATATCCCGCAAGTACTTAATAAATTGGTAGACGTACGGATCCTGATTATTTCTGGCTATACCGGACACCACAAGTGTAGTCTGGCCTATTTGCATTTTCGGAACTTTAAAAGAACAAATTAAACGAATGGCATTCCGCTAATATTCAAAATTATATTGGAATATTTGTATTTTAATGCTTTTCGAAGTTTTAAGATACTTTTTGCAAACAAATATCCCGCAAGTACTTAATAAATTGGTAGACGTACGGATCCTAATTATTTCTGGCTATACCGCACACCATACATGTATTCTGGCCTATTTGCATTTTCGAAACAAACAAAAAAATTAAACGAGTGCAATTCCGCTAATATTCGAAATTATTTGGGAACATTTGTATTGTAATGCTTTTCCAAGTTTTAAGATAATTTTTGCAAAAAAAATACACTGAACTAAATGAACATATCTAATAAATTTAAGGCAATTAATTAATAATTTTCAACCCAACAGTTGGAAGCTAAATGGTAAAGAAATAAAAAAAAAAAACGAATAAAAGACAAACTCAATGTATTAGAATTTATATTTTGCGAAAATACAATTAATTTCTATCGGTCATAGGAAAACAAAATATGACCAATAGATATCATATCAATATAAAGAGCGTTTTATATAACTTTAACAAACGAGAAGTATTATATGTATAGTATGTACATAAAAGTAAGAAAAAATGTATTCAAAATTAAATTCTAATGGTTTCTCTTTGGGAAGACTTTAATAATCACTGGATATAAGGAAATTAGGAACGTGATTGATTGTTTTAATATTGTCGACTTATTTGTACGCATACTTGTATGATGAAGGGAAGATGTAATTAACTTAATATCTAGTAACTCTTTTAGTGTCTCGATAATGCTAAGCTTATGCTAATGTAAATGGCGCTACTCAATAGAATTGAGATCTTTGGAAATAATCATTACTGAATATCTGGTGGGCTGCGACCTTAATAAGGTTTCTACTCTCTAACACTTACTAAATAAATTGCTGCAGGTCATACATATCGAAATTATCGTCCAGTTGTAACTGAACGTACTGGTTCGCCACTTCCCCTCCGGCCCCATTTGGTCTCGCATTTCGATGTTGCTCGGTTGGAACACCCTCGAATGCATCGGTCAAATACTTTTTAACATACTCAAATGATACAAACTCGCTTATTCGATTATTGTCAGCATTTTCCGGGGACATAATAACACTAATCGTATTTGTACTCTGACTAGTTCCACTGCTGGGACCCATGGTTGGCGTTGTGTGTGTAATGTTGTTCTCAGCCATTCCGTTCGGCTGCCCGGTTGTTGTCAGCAACTGTTCGAGCTCATTTAATTGATTAATATTTTCATTGCCATCGTAGCCAGTGTGATTGCTGTTGCCGGTACTGCTGCTGCTGCTGCCGCTGTTGCTGTTGCTGGTGCTGCTTATTTTGTTGGATATGGCGAGGCCATTTGTTGCTGGAACAAGCGCCATATTGCCGTTAGCATATGTTGTCGCAGTTTCTGCGGTTGTTATGTTATGTTTGCTGTCCTGCAGGTTTCGGTTTCCTGCTGCCTCCGCACTCTGATTATGCTCAATGATGACAATGCAATTTGACAACTCATTAAAGTTCATAGAATTGATATTAGCCGCAATATTATTGCTGCTGATAGAGCTGCTACAGTCCGCAGTGGTTGTGGCTGTCGTTAACTCTGGCACATCCTCATAATGGAAATCCTTATGCAACATTGCCTCGCTCCAGCTATTGCTGCGTTGCTGCTGCTCCTGATGTCGTTGTTGTTGCTGTTGTTCGTTCTGTTGCTGATGCTGTTGCTGTTGCTGTTGCTGGTACTGATGCTGTTGCGGGTGCAGGTCATCCACGGCAGCGCTTGTCACCGACTCTGAGTGGCGACGTGTCTTTGTCGGCGTTGTTTTTCGGTTGTTGGGCCCAACAGATGCGGCAACAAATTTCCGCCGAACAAGCTGTCCGTTGTTGTTACGCAGCGCGTGATTTTTAACATGTTTGCGCAAGCTCGAAGGATCCGTGTAGCGCTTCGTGCAGCCGGGCAGCTGGCAAGCGTAGGGTTTCTGTGAAAGGCAGAAAAATCAGTATTGAACTTTAATTATTTATCTGCTATTTTAAATCACAGGCAGCATCAAAGCAACGCCTACTTCCGCCTATTCCCTGACAGAGCCACCGCATATGCTTCGTAATCAAATCGTTTTGGAATGTCATGCTGGGTTTGTTTGCACATTTCGGCTAGATGGTAGCCATAGACATAGGCATAGCCGTATAGCCAGCAGCTGCTACCTAACCGCGTATGCATAGTATGTGTACTAGTTGTGTATGGATTTGAGCTACCGGGCGATTTATTGCGCTCGTCCATACATACATACATACATATAGTACACATGCATGCCGCACAATTCAAGTGAAGGAAAGTAACTCGTTTAGCTTATTCGATTGGGCCGGCTCTGGCGCACTCTGTGTGACCACCCCACCATATATCAATCATGAACAAAATGTGCACATATCATGCAGACAACAAAGGCAACAATAGCCAGCCAATGCGGCCATCGCGACAACAGATTCCCAGATCCGGCGGGCATTTTTAGCAGAGTGACTCAACTGTTGTTGCTGCCGCGGCTGGCGCAGCTGTCCATTCCGTCCACTCGAGTTGAAGTAGGTCTTTCAATCGGTTGGCTGGACGTTTTTTAAATTTTAAGCTCGAGCGAGCCTTGTGAGGCGTACTCATCAATTTCTTTTGACACGTATCGCAAAGAAACCAAATTGCAAGCATACATACATACATACATAGATACATATGTATGTATGTATGTATGTATGTGCATAAATATATGTATACACATACAGAGCCACAACTCACCGTATCATAGTGGGTCCTTTGATGTTTCGCACGATCCGAACTATTGCTAAAGGCTTTAAGACAGCCTTTATACTGACAGCCATAGGGACGTTCGCCTGTATGTGACCGTTGATGAATTTTCAAATTTTCCAAACGCGAGAATGCCTTTTTGCAGCCAGGAAACTAAAATAAAAAAATTTAAAAATGTCATCGAAAATGGTTATTACGGTCACAAGCAATTGAGAATGTTGGCCTGCAGGTGCTGATGCAGATGCCTCAAAAACGTTCTTTTCACACAAAAAGAGCCAGATGGAAAAATTCAAAAAGATATACTATATGTACATACATACATATATGTATGTATAGAGAGAGATGCATTCATATGTTGGTCTGATTTTGATTGAATTTTTTTCCCGTGCGGCAATCATCAATTTCCGAAGAGTCAAAATTAAAACGAATGCTAGTCTGAGCCTAGCAACTGCACGTACGTTTCAATAATATTTCGAAAAACTCCATTTTAAGTGGCAGACACCAATGGACTAACAATTTCTGTGATTGCTGTTGCTTTGCAACATAGAGTTTATTACCGGTATTGCAACACAAAATATTAAGAGGCATGTAGCAAAAAAAAACAAAAAAAAACAGAAGCTGGATTCGTTTTAAATGTTGAACTTGACGTTTTAGTCTGTCTGCCTGTTTGTTTATTCAGTTAAGGAACGATTTTATTCGAAAACTTTTGTGGATAACAATTTCATGAGTAGCCGATATAGTTTTTAAAAAAGTAACTCATACTCGTATTGTCTGTCAAATTTTTTTTTTTTTTGCCTATTCCATCACATATTGTCTGATTTAATGTCAAAAGTATTTGAACAATTTAAAATTGTTTGCTGGCCCGCGGACAACACTAAACCAAATATAAATATTGGCCAGCTGTATTGAATGATGAGAGGGAAAAAAGACATATCAAATAAATTAGTCCCGAAGGTAGGAATAAAAACTCTTTTGACTTTTTGATAAGCACTAAATAAACACCAAGTATATGTGTATAGTAAGTGATAGGTGGTGGGTGCTATGGATTCTCGAATAAATGTTCAACTCACCGGACATTTGTTGGGCTTCTCGCCGCTATGTACACGCATGTGTATCAGCAATTTGTAGCGTGCGTTAAATGGCTTGTAGCGCCTGGGACAGTCCCGCCAGAAACATGAAAAGTCCTCACCCTTGCGCACATCCACATGACACTTCTCGATATGTTCCACAAAGGATTGCTGCTCGTCAAACTCCAAATTGCAGGAGGTCCACTGACAAATCAACGGCAATATCTCAGCCTCAATCGCGTCGCAGGCATAAGAATGGCTTTTATTTGGCGGGACAGGGCACAGCTCGTTGTCCTGGTCGTTGTCTATGTTATTTGCGTCACAGTTGTCCTCCTCATCGCTGACGACAGCTGAATGGAGCTGCTCATCGTTTGTGTGCAATTCATTCCCAGAATAATCAGCATTCAGTTTCGGCTCTTGTTTTACATTCTGCTCGATATACTCTTCGTGCTCATTGATGCTCCAAATGCTTTTGTATTCACGATTTGGCTTTTCGATGGCTTGGGAAATATTATTTTCATAATTTTCTGGGCCATAATTGTCGAACTGGTCGCACATGCCGCTTCCTTGTTCGGCGCTTTGGTATACTTTTGGGAAGTCCTCGTAATTGTTGCATACCGGCTGGCATTTCGGCATGCCGAATATTGCATTCATGGAGGGCAGTTTGGTCGGCATTAGGCTCGCGGAATCCTCTACTTTAATGCTCGTCAATGGCTTTGATGGCACCTGGTCGTAAATGTTGCACAATTTGGGCGACAATTCGAGCGCAGTCGTTGACGTATTTTGCATGTCACTGAGACTGAAGTTCATCCATGCATCGAGATGCGGTGATGAGCAGGGCGATTGGCTTTTCGATTGGCAGTTAATTTCGTCATAATTAAAATAATCATTATCTAAATTGAGCGTGTCGATGGCATCTGCCTCTTCCGCTGCAATTGTCGGCTGCGTCGACTGCGCACTGCAAGAGGGGTACGTGGGGTTAGTTGAGGTCGATGGCAGCCAGCTACCGAACTCGACATAATTGTTCCCATCGTCAACCGTCAAACGCGCTATATCCTCCGGCTCGAAACGAAACACATCCTCGCGATTTAGTTGCGTGTATTGGCCCTGTTGGTAGGGCATGCCGGCCTGATCTGGCGAGGCGCATACGATATCATCTGCATCTTGCTCCTGATCCTGACAGATGTAGTTATGGCAATCACTGAACACCGAGTTGGGCGTCTCGGCGGCAAAGCACAAGTGTGAGAAATCCGGAAATTCAATCTCAGCAGCTGCGAAATTGTTGTAGTTCGACAAGCCCACCATCTTTGGGGCACGAAACTGGTCCGCGGCTGTGCTTATATTGGCACTCGGAGGTGGTGTCATGGGCCCATCATAGTAAGTGTTTTGATCGTATGCCTTGCTGGCCATATTTTTAATATGCATATTCTCGGTGTTATCGCTGGCGAGTGAATGGTGCTGAGTCGTAATTGTGGTGAACATTTTCATAGGATTATCGCCTAGTGTTTCGCCATTTATAATTATTTATTGAGACACACAACACGTACACACACACACACACACACAGTTATCTGTTCAATCAGGTTGTCTGGCCCCGGTTGGATCGTTGCCAAAATGTTGTCACAATACGCGGGAAACCCCAAGGCGGACAACAGACACACGAACTTTGACTATTTACGTCACGGATATAGAAAACAAAATATTATTCACGATACGTTCCGCTTTCCTGCTCTCTTGATGTTCACGCATCCGCCACCTATTTGACAATAAACCTCAGTAGTGCGTCTTCACGTTATTTAAACAGACCCAGACCGCTAGTCCTGCACTGACGAAGAACGGCTATAGCCGCCGCTGCCACTGCCTCTGCCGCCGTGCCGCCGACGCCACCGCCACCGCTACCGTCACTTTCTGATGATCGCTGCCGTGGCCGTGTCGCCGCTTCTTGGATATTTCTTTCGCCCCAGCCTCAGCCTCAGCCCAGCAGCCTCAGCCCAGCTACGCACATGTTTGTCTGTCTCTGCCGCAAGACAGCGTAGTCATTACCCTCCCTATCGGTTCTGTTTTACGCTCATCTGCATACAAGAGCCCTGCCCCGTCCCCGTCCCTCCACCCTTTAGATGCGCTAGTGTCATGTGCTTGTTTTAGTTTTTTGTTGTGTTAACATTTCTGTTTTAATTTTCTTTCTTTTTTTTCCTGCGTATAGAAATTACACTCGATTATGTGTACATATACTTGTATTTAGTAAACATGTATGTGAGCATAGAACCCAAAAGAAAACGCAGTCCGTGCGCAGCTGCCATGAAACCAATTGAGCATTAGCATTGGATAAATGATGTCTATGTGGATACTTTTACTAGCGACTATACAGGTAATAATCATACAGATTATTACCCCAAAAGAGGGTGTTGCTTATCCGTGAAAATGTCACAAACACTTGTATTTGGCACAGGAAATGGGAAGTTATAGGAGTAGTTCATTTTGAAATAATTATACTTGTATTATCATACACATGCGTTAATTGTTTACTATGCAGTCCATTTTCAATTGGGACGACATACATACTATATAAGCACTATACTTGTATGTATTACAAAAAAAGGGATTGTCGTGTTGCTGATCTTGGCACACATGGTCCAAGTCTGTTTTAGGTTGGCTACAATTTCTTCAGCCTGCATACTTATGGAGATGCATGTACATATATACATATATACATATATAGGAGTAAAGGGTGTTTGTATGTATGTGTGTATGCAGTGCAATAAACGAGCGAGCGAGTGGCTGTCGAATGTTTTGTGCATCACTTTTTATTGCTACATATTTTTTTGTTACTGCAACAGAAGCATTGAACTAGTGACGACCCCTGCCCCGGCCCCGTCCTCGGCGACACCAGAATCTGTTGAATACCCAAAAGAGCAAATTAATGTACAGTATGAGCTAAATTTATTAAGGAAACTTAACGACTAAAGCACACACACACACACACACATGCGCACACTTGGCAAACTCTGGCTCGCTGTAGCCCCAACCCAATAATATACGTTCCCCGCTATTTTTAGTATCCGTTTTATTCCACTAGCCTGTGCGTTTATCCTATCACAGACGCACTGTAAATATGTTTTTAATTTACGCTGTAAGCACGATTTGCTCACTCTATTTTTATGGAGCTGTATATGCGGTTGATTACTGATATTTGCGACATTTCTCGCACTTCTTTCCACTTCTGGAATTGTCAATTCATTGCTGGTACTATCTGAACGATTTTTGGCAAGCGCCATTCAGTGGCCCACGACACTATCCTGCACAAGAGTCGTATGCGTCAAGGCAATTCAAAAACGTTTAAGACACAAATTTAACACTTGTGCGTTAGTCATTATATGCATATAAGTATGCTTCTCGCCCAATGCCAGCCCCATCCCGGCCACCTTGTCTTAATGCCTGCCGATTGCTCCGGAAAAACTGGGCGCGTGTCCAAATTTATTTGTCAGTGCTAGTGTGTGTGTGTCGGTCGCCTCAATTTTTTTGTTGGCCGCAAAGTGCGAAAAGTTACATCATTGTTAAAATTAGCCGATTTTGGACATAGTTGGGCGTCACAGTCGCCACTTGACAAAGTACTGGGCCTGGGACTATGATTTGGTTTGCTTTTTGCGTGTGGCTGACGCGCGTCCGCTGTCCGAATTCTTGGGAAAAAACTCTTAGCCGCTTCCGTTGTCATTCATATACATACATACATACACACATACATAAATGTTTTATGTCTGGCCACTCAATATTAATTATCACAAAATAAAAATTTTGGCTGATGCTTCAGCATGAATTTTCCGTGAGAGTTATGTTGTTAAATGTCAAAAGCGAAGAAAGTTGTTTTAGTGGTTGAGCATCGGTAAGAGCTCTACTATACCTTTATTATTTTCTTTGAAACCTGAGACCCGCACGCACACCCACTAAATAGTTTACACACAGACTAAGACAATGCCACAGGCTGTCAAAAATCATACAACCCTAGGAAAAACAGAGTGTCAAAATGTCAATTGATTTCGTTGACATACGAGTCGGTCTTCACATCCAAACAGAGCTAAGACAAATATTTAATTTAAACACGAAATGAATGCCAGTTTAAATGCTTATCTTAATGTACATTTATACTCTTTAACTTTTCATTTTATATTGCTCGTAAATATAATCACTTCCCAGATGAAGTCTGATTAAAATATTTGTAATTATTATAGTATTTTCATCTGCAGATGAACGCTGTTTTATATTAATGATCCGAGCTCTATGTCATCTCAAATTCGTAAATACACTGTAAGACCCCCTTTTACGTAGAGTATACAAATACGTATCACCCGTTTTGTAATAATTTAACGAGCTGCTGACTCTGCTGCTGCTGCGGTGGCGACACATCGCCTCGACTGCTTCGGTTTCATTTGACCTGACCTCTTGAAATTTTACATACAATGCCTGGCACTTTGTAGTCAATTCAGAGCCGAGCTCGAGCACATGTGGCAAGTTCAAAAGTCACAACAAATTGGCTGCATTTGTAAACATTTAGGACGTAGAATAATAAAAATAAAAAACCAACTGAAACCAAATAATAAGACGGCGGCAAACCAAGTGCAACTGTACCTTACTCCAAATTCATTTTTATACAATTTTTATGACTTTTGCCGCGAATGTGTGCGTCTAAGGTCCCTGGGGACTAGGCATAAATTTTACGAGCATTGTCGGACCACTTTCCGTGGGCGTTTTGACTTCTCATTTACGGTAGCACTCCGGTTAGGAGCATCAGGAGCATTAGGAGCAAATGTTGATGGCACTTTTTTGTTGATTTTTAAACTGTTTCGAATATATACATACATACATATAAGTATATTGTTTTACATAATCCAATGATAAATGCTATAATTGAAAACCAATTTACTCATCTTATTTAACATACATTTTATATTTGCACGAAGGAAAATGATGGATGGTTTTAAATTTTGATAGTAAGCTTTTTTCTAAGCTCCAAATAAGTTATATAAATTGAATGAATTCATTTGCCATAGACTTAGTGTGGGTCAAAAAAGTAGATGCCTGTCTCATAGACTTATCATAGACCATTTTAATACAATTTACTTAGTTTTTTGTAACGTTTCACAATACCTCTTTAGTTATATTAACCATATGCCTGACATGGAAAGGACAAATTTGTAAATGCTTTTTTCGAGTACAATTGTACGCTTCAGACTCTAGTTTCAGATTTTGTATCTATTATATTATAATAAAGCCCAATATTTAAAACAAACTCGCCTTTAATGCCTTTAATGAAGAACTTTATTCATAACATTTAATATCCGGTTGCTTCACTTTTCAATGGTTTGTTGCAATTCAGTTACGGAAGTCTAGGAAGTTTGGGAATGTTGAATTTAAAACTCAACTCAGCTTCTTAGAATAGCTCTTGATCTTTAGTTATTTTCATCTTTCACTTCCTTTGCTTGGTGGTACTTATTAATAGAGACAAAATATAGGTTTCCTGGAAAATCGGAATACATTGCTTTGGCACTCACAAGAAAAGTTTTTGAGTTGCTTGCCATTAATAAAATAAAATTAATACCATTAATATGCTGAATAAATAGTCGTAAATACAGTATAACTAGTTTACACCTAATTCTGTTTTACACGGTAGATTGGTTCCAGAAACAACCGTGTAAAAAAAGACATTGATCATATGCAAAAATACATGATTGGTTCCTTATCTCTAAAGAAATATATTTGCAATTTTTAATTTTCAAACCGTATTAGTGAAGTGAAGTGGTATTATTTTATTGGCTATTGTCTGTACATAATTCATTTTCAATGCGGCTTCAATAATGAACTTTTTATTATTTGTAAACATGTATTAAATTGTTAAGAAATATTCTGCAACTTGTCCTCCATATCTAAAATACTTAAATCGGTGAAAATGCCTTAGATTAGAGTAATTGTATTTGATGAAAAATGTAATTCTTTCTCAGCATTCTACAATAGTGTGACTTGTTGCATTTTCAATAAAAAATAATATATTTCGATTTTGCTTCTTCAATTCACCAAGATGATTCAAGATGATTTCTTGCCAAAGTTCACTCGTTCGATTGTGTACACCTTTTGTTCACGCGACTGCAGATTGTTGTTTTGCGGCTTGTTTTTCAATAATACGGTTAATAATTGATCTGTGACAATTGTGTACTTAGCGCATAACTTTGTCAGTTACAACTGCAATCACTCGCAGTTTTTTTCTAAAATTACGCGTTTCAGCCATTTTTATAATTTAACAAATAATGTTGTGTGTATACACTGAAAGACAAAAGCCACGATCGAAACAAAAAACTGTAGTACAAAAATTTTGTAAACATTGCCAATCTTACTGAATTTAAAGGGACAAGATAATTTTTAAAAAATGTTTCATAGATGGCGCAGCTAATATTCTTAATGTTCATAGAAAAAGAGAAAAAATTACAGCCGGTATAAGGCGCTTAAGTCTAAAGGGTCTTGAATACACTAAACGTAATTATTAGCATACGTAATCAACTCTTAATGCTGCCAAAAGCAAATTTCATGCAGCTATGTATCTTCCCGATGTAGATAAGTATCGGGGCAGCTAAGCAAATTATACTGTATATAACATTTTAATATGTGCATACATGTGTATGTCTATTGACAGTTACATAGGGTTGTAATTGGAACAGAGTCAAATAAGTTTATCATTTAGATTTAAACAAACATACTCCCCTTGTTGGTTCGAAATAACAAGCAGTCAGTGAAAGACAAAGGTCGTTTCTAACTTTTCAATCAGACTGCCAATGAGGCATGCTACATGACACGCATACAGGCCACATTTGTGGCAACCCTAGTTCATGAAGGCTTTCAGCACCACGCATAATTGGTGCATTTAAATGGGAACTCTAGAGTTTCCAAACATAATTAGTTGACGTTCATGGATTTTCTTCCCATAATAAATGTAATGATAGAATGTGAACGAGCGAGTGAATATATTTGAAAAAGAAAACAGTTTTCCTGCTATACGAAATGTGTGGCAACTATAGTTCAGATGCATGCCACTAACATGTGATACTCGCTCCGTTTTGTTATTTTTGCATTTCGTAGCATTATTTTTTCATTTCCGCCAAGCGTTTTTTTTCTCTCGCATTTCTTATTGCATATGCAAGTATGTGCATACATGTTTCTCATTTTTCTAAAATTGTTATGAATACGCTTGGCCTAGCTTCATGTCCTTGCAGCTTGCAGCACGCCAAGAGTTTGAAACAACACGAGGAAAAAAAATAGATGGAGAAAGACAATTTTCACAGATACTTAGAAAGCGTGTTGCATGTAAGGATGAGTTCCGCGTCCAAAGTAGTTCAGGTTGCAGCGCTGTCTGGAAATGTGTTCGTTTTATAAATACGAACAAAAAACAGCGCGAAAAAGATACAAATTTCAGTGTTGTGCCAAAAAAATTGGATCAAGCAAATAAAAATAAAATTAAATTTTTGCTCCACTCCACATACAACGTATTTGTCATGTGTAAGTGTTTTCGGGAAAAAATTTACTTGCGCTCTTCTTCTCCTTAATGCGTTTTATTTATTTACCATAAAAACGAAAAATGTATGTTTAATGTTGTAGCATTTAGTGGGTCATCAATTAAAAGGAATAAATGATTGTGGCCCACATAGTTTCATGGTTGATTTAACTTTTTGCTGTACCAATAATAATTGCGATTAAAAGGGGGTTTTGAAGCTATATTATATAATGAGCATAGAAACGGGATAGAGGCAGCTTTGCTTAGGCCTTAAGCTTATGAAACTCGCGAAACCTATCCCCGAAAATCCAAGGTCCGAGATGGTCCTGCCAATAAGCCGGCATAACACTGAAAGAACAAATTCATATTATTATAGTATTTATACTATTGTAGTCAACTACCTTGATACTTACACTATAGCGCGATAAATTAGAGCTAGCATATCAGGCAATACAATCTCTCGCTCATATCTTAGCATTCCCTTTACAATGCGACGTGCTGCCGCCTCCCCACTAATCAGTGGATAGATGCGATTAAAGCGGACCTCGTTGGCAACGTCCGTAACCTCATCGTTCGTGCGCAGGAAGGACGGCATGACAGTGCAGACATGTATGTCCGGCTGGCGTTCGATAAGAAGCTCTTGGCGCAGCGCCTTCATATGGCCGGAAGCGGCGAATTTACTGGCTACATAGGCGGTATTATATGCCAATGGAAAAAGGCCTGCGCAGGAAAAAAAACAGATCATTTTTTAATAAAAAAAACACATAATATTAAATGTGTATTTAATTTCTGGAAACCTACTTGCCGCCGAGCTTATGGTCACAATATGGCCCCGACGCAACTCTTTCATTTTGGGCAAAAAGACGCCTTTGGTCTATATAAGAGAGGGCTAAATTAGTGAACGTTTTTAAATATCCCTACCCTAGGAATACCTACCCAGAAATGCGATAGCACATTCACGTCCATCATGCGCTGAATATCGGCTGGCTCCGGATTAATAGGATTGCGCAGCATTAAAATACCAGCATTGTTGATTAGAATTGTAACAAATCCCAGGTCGGCGCTGATCTGCTCGTTGGCAGTTTCCAGCTCCAAGTAATTGGCGACATTTACCTTACATATTATTGAATACAGATGACAGTAAGTACAAACAATTATGGGTGGCGTATCAGAACCCGTTGGACTTGCTTTCTAGTTAATTACCTTATACGCCTTGGCGCGTACCGCACACGTATCACTAATTAATTTAACCGTGCTCTCCGCTCCCGATAAATTGATGTCCACAGCCGCTATATGACATCCCTTTTTAGCCAATTCAAGAGCTATGGCACGACCAAGGCCATGGCCAGCACCAGTGACCTACGATGCATGTATTGTACAAATAAAAATTAAAGTAGCAACAAATATACAAGTATCTGAACAAAGCAATAATTAACAGTCAAACCTTTTGACCTCTGCACACCTTGGGTCATATTTAACGATGCAAAAAACTCACCAAAGCCACTTCGCCCTCAATATTCTGCGGCGCACGACAAGCACACTTGGCGAAGATTTTGGTTAGCAACGCAACAAACATTAGCAGCGGATGAATACATATCAGTCCGACGAGAGCTAGATATGCCTGTACCTTGACCAGCGAATTTATAAATGACATTTCAAACGATTTAAAGCAACGGAGTCCGTATTAGATCTACGACGTGTTCACGGCGCGACTTCTACAAATCGTTTGATATCAACAAATTTGAGAAGCTTGTCTTACCTTGCAAGCCACATGTGTGGCATCGTAGTATACGTGCTGTAGTATAGGTGCTATGCCAGCTTTACTGTCACCAAAAGATATTAAAACTTATAAACAGATATAACAAGTAAAAAAGCTAAAGTCGGGTTTAGAATAATTATAAATATTAAAACAAGAAAAATAAAAAAAAAATTGTGATCGATTTTTCCTCTCTCGGTATTCGAACTCACGTAAAATGTGTATAATTGCACATAAACAAGGCAATTGCGTCTATGTGACTGTATGTATGTTTATGCGCGTCTATTCGTGTTTGTGTAAGCATGTTTGCAGTCAACAAAAGCACCAGCATGAACAACAGCCGCGGGCAGCGCTTGGGCAGCAAATATATTATGGCTATAACTTCTTGTTAAATCGGTCTATCATAGTAAACTAGTAAACTTGGCATACGGACACATAATGACTAACTGGGGGTATTTCCCAAATTTGAGTTCGAAATTCCAAAAATTACGGGAGTTACGACAAAATACACATTTTCGCGTATTCACATAAGGCATCTTGGACTAAAATTTGGTGTTCCTAGGTCTTATAGTCTCCGAGATATAGGCGATTATACGAATGGAAAATCGGGAAAACTTCCATAGGGGGGAAGTGGGGGGAAATTCAAAAAAATAAAACAAACTCGTATAGCGTACACATATAAGGCATATTTGTGCAAAATTTGGTGTCTCTATCTCTTATAGTCTCTGAAGTCCACGTGTTCATACGGACGGACAGACGGACAGACAGACAGACAGGGCTAGATTCTGCCTGTTACATTTTTCAGCTCCCGCAAACCTAATATACTCTTGTACATTTCATGTACAGAGTATAAAAACAAACAATTGTGTTACTTCTGATTACTCTAATGGATTGGGAGCTATAGCTCTACCAGTCCGAGAGCATATTTTTGTTGTAGCGTGCCCCCAGAATCGTGCAACCAAAAGAAGGCGTGAAACACTCCAGAAAAAGTAAATATGTACACATTATACATTTATATGTATATGTTTTCTATTAGCACGGCAATCCGATTTAGATGTGTACCCCTGTCCGCCATTCCGCCGCAACCCATACCCCATCATTACAAAGTTAATTTGCTAAGAAGTTTCAAAAAGTGTATCTTTAGACAAATTTTATTCAGCTCTGTATCTGGATATTCAATCCGGTTCTGGGAACATGTTTTCAACGTTATTGTAATTATTTAGTTGTATTTTACATCTGACTAAGTGGCAATGTGCTGCGTTATCATAAGCTTCCTGACTATTGCAATATCTTTCAGGTGCAATATCTTTCAGAAAAATGTCCTGGCGAGCAGGGAGGCGGTAGATAAGCTCAGTGCCAAGAAAAAGGTCCCAGACACGGGGGCATTCAAGGACAACAAAACACTTTGGCAAAGGAAGGAAGAAAGCTGCCCAGAAAATCTCAATCAAGATACTCATCTCACATCCTCTGAGAAAATAACGCTTGGAAGAACGCTAAAGAACAGTGGAACGATAAAGATTACTCCTGCAACTCCGGAGAAAGGAATGTAGACTCATAACAGCCCGATTCGCTGGAATACCTCTCTAACATACACAGTTAGATGCTATACTTGTACCTCAACGTGCACAGACTTGCCTTACTCAAGAAGGAGGCAAAACACTTCACGCGGCGCTCGTGTGGAGGAGCGCTGTTGACGATTTCAAAACACAGTAAGATGTTAACGAATTTCTAAGCCGCCCCCCAAACTTATTTCCAACACAACTCTTAAAAATACACGCAAATTAAATTCAGATAATACATATTATTACTTTATATATTATATTTTTTTCATTTCATTAACTTAACTGCAAATATTGAGTTATAATTTTGCAAGCCAGTTAGAGCACTATTTCATTCAAAATGTAGCAAAAACAAGAAAGGAATGCTAAATTCGAGCGGGCTCAACTCTTAAATGCCCTGTAAAAAAATTCAACACACACATACACACATAGGTGCTTATGTACAATTTCAACAGCATGCATTTACATCAGAATCGTGTCTATGCGTGCTTGTATGGAGTAAAGAAATAGGTCAAAGCAGCAACAACAGCAGAGCAGAGCTTGGGTAGAGCTTCGGCAGAGATTATGTTTATGGCTATAACTTTCTTAATAACTGACCTATCATAATGAAACTTTGCATACAGACACATAATCACTATCTGGAGGTATTTGCTAAAGCTGCGTAGAAAATTCCAAAAATTAGGTGAACCTAGATACCAAGTTTTGTAAATCTAGCTCTTGTACCTTCTGAGATCCTTGCGCTCATACAGACGGACGGACGGACATGGCTATATCTATGGCGCTTGTCACTTTGAACAAAAATATATATACTTTGTATGGTCTGCCACACCTCCTTCTGCCTGTTACATACATTCGCACAAAACTAGTATAGCCTTTCACCCTTTGGGTACAGGGTAAAAAAAACTATTTTTTCGCGAGAAAATAATAAACTTTACAAACAGATTTTAGATGAGAGTTAAAGCCAAAAAGTCTTAACATCGCTGTTTTTCGAGCTTAAAGAAATCTAAGTAAATACATATCTACATACATACGTGTAAATTCACATTAAAATGGAGAGTGTAAAAAAACTGCTCATAATTTAAAACATGATGTGTCCATAACAATGGTGCCTTTTTCAAAAAATCACACGCACGTATATAGGAGCTCTTAGAAAGAAAAGAAAGGATGAGTCGCACGTAAGAAGTAAAAATAGTGTTAGACACAGCATTACAAGTGCAGCTGTGACATTTTTGTTGTTGTATTTTTCAATTTACTACTTAACGCAATGTGTGTCTATTGATTGGAAAAAGAAAAAACAAAAAACACCGATCTGACTCCCTGCTCCACTAGAAGGCACGTCTTTAATGTTATGCGTCTTTTCAGTTCATTGCAAATGGAAATTATTATTGAACATATTTATGTGTGTGTGCCCTCCCGCTTGGTCCTCACCCTTTCCAGCGAGTTGTTGCTCGTTTCTTGTGCTCCCTCCAACCAAATGGAGCTCTTTCAAAGTGTTGTTGTTACATACCTTCAATTCCTCTTGAGCTCACTGAATTATTATTCCCTTACAGCATAAATGTGTATGTAGAAGGTATGACACGATGAGTAGGAGCAGGGGGAGGCGAATCGATGCGTTTTTTAACAATGTAACACCGTTTTTTTTTTTTAAGAAAAGCATGCTTTGATATTTATTTGACAGTACACTGATAAAAAAAATCACGGATATTTCAATATTTATACGTAGATTTAACTATTTTTACCATCGATTTTGCACCATCGTGTGTTTTAGTAAACATTTTAAATTTAATATTAAAATATTTTTGTATTAAGATATTAAATATAAAGTGTGACGATATACATGTAAAATCATAAGTGATGATGTGGAGACGTGGGTTTGATTCACGCCAAGGGTTTATTTTTTATAATTATGAAATAGTTTTTCCATTTTTTTCAATATTGACCACATTTCTATGATGCATATTTTATTTCTTATAAATATATATATTTTCCTTAGAATCATTTTAAGCATAAAGTAATTTTAAAATCCTTCTGTTATTATGAACTAATTTCAGGTTGGATCAATATTATTATTAAAAGTGAGGAGCACCTGATTGAAGCAGTTACACTTTGTATTTATACCACACAACCGCTGAAAACTGACTTGAGAATTCTAGTCAATTGAAATTTAATATATTTCTAGTATATTTAAAACGACTACAAAAAACTTCAAATTCAAGTTGAGAAATATATTATAATTTACTACGGAATATAGTAAATTTAACTATTTGTTTTTTGAAGTGTGTGCATATTAATATGTACTATGGTTCAACATTAAATTGAATATGACACACTTTAATAACGAAGTTTTAAACTTTGTTTTGTTTTTAGTACAATTTACGATGTTTATATTTGATTTGAATGTAAAATATTATAACATTAAATTGACTATGAAAATATTCATCCGTACTATGCAACTTTTTTATCAGTGTATCAATAGAATATTAAACAATATCAAATTCGTATTACAAAATACCAGTATTAATCTGCATCGTTATGGACTGGGACATGGGTTGGGTTTTCAAATAACTCAAATAGAAGAAATTCAAGCAATTATGCTTTAATTTGCGGAACTGAAGTGACTAACTTATTCAATAAAAACAAAAAAAAAATGTAAAAAACTAAAGTACCGTTTCGCCGTTTGGTAATCGCTTCGACTCAGCCCCTCCATGGCACTCCGCTCTTCTGGCGCTTGCGTCGCACAAACCAGACAGGGAAGCCACTTGCGCCAACACTTCAACTCAAAAAGGCACTAGAACAGCACTCACTAGCAGGGAAATAAATGCGGTACATCGTGCTTAAAGTAAAGGATTATTACTGGCTAACCTGTGTGGCAGACTTTCCCACGCCAACCAAGCGTATTAGCAGCTGGCAGCCATTACGTGAAAAGTGTTGGCAACCAAAGTGCTCCAAAAAGCGTTAATTACTTTTTTCATTATTCATATTTGCATACCGAAAGATCGAAAACCCTCAAAAGTAGGGACAGTCTTATTCCTGAGCGCAACTGTCAACACCGATTGAAAGTGTCTACGCGCGGTCATGGGAAATTAGGAAAGACAGCAACAGAGCCAGAACAAGAATATACTAAGTCTAACAAGACAACACCCGAAAATCCTAATAGAGAAGCACTGTTATGATCCCATGCCATATGTTTTAGCTAAAAAAACAAAAAAAAACTCATATTTATGTAAATAAATTAGCCGTGCGTGCAAAGTACTAGCTTGGGGCTGGCTGTCAGTAAATGAAATTGTAGCAGTAACAACAATCGACTGCAACCTGAAACCCTAGCATCATTTGGTAGTTGCTACTGCAGTGTGCACCACAAACACACAAACACAAAAACGTACATAAATACATACATACACACTCGTACATACAAGCATACGTTTACTTAGGTGCAAGGATAATGTTTTCTCACGCCACATATTACAGCACAGGACTAACACCATTAACAATTGCACATCATAATTTTAAACACACACACACACACTAGCTCGTTTCTGAGTCTGGTTTGCTTAAAAGGAAATTGTTAGTTTAGTAAATGTGAAATGCGATCAACATTTTCTAATAATCTTAATTTTTAATTGGTCTGTAATCAAATATATTTTATTTTAAACAGTTTTCATTGGCAGTTGCTAGCATGCAAGCAATTATATTAATTAGACTGATATGTATTAATAACGCAGAGCCCAAGAAAGTAGATTATATGTATAGTAAAGGCATATTCCGGCACCCTTGGGCACTTCAGAGACTAGCATGCATTTAATATTATGTACATTCGGCCATCAAAATAAATATCTTGACAAATTACTGTTAAAGTAATTAAAAACAGGTGACGAAACAAGGATCCAGCCATATGAGCGTGACATAAAACATCAATCGTCTGCATAGGTCTTCCCAGAAGACCCAAAACAGACCAAAATGGGAAATTGTAAAAATAGGCCAATGCTCTTTAAAACAAATAATAGACTGTTTTTTTGCAAAAACTGATCATGTCGAAATTGTAGCTTTTGCAGAACGTACTTAGAGCGACACCATTTACATATGTATGTAAAAAAGTTGAATGAAGATTGTGTGTTTCGCCTTTTATAGATATAACCTATGACAGTACGAGTTGTGGCTCAGGTTATAGACAATTAAATGAAGCATTAACAAGTAGGGAAGCTAAAGTCGGGTGACCCGACTTTGAAATACTCTGTACATATGTATGTTAAAAATAATTATAGAAATAAAAATAAAAATTTTTCACGTAAAGTGTGTATAATTGCACATTTACATAGCAATTGCGTCTATGTGAGTGTATGCATGTCTATGCGTGTCTATTCGTGTCTGTACCAAAGCACCAACATCAACAACAGCTGGCTAAAACTTCCTGTTAAATCGGTCTATCATAATGAAACTATGGCGTACGGACACATAATCACTAACTGGGTGTATTTGCAAAATTTGAGTTATAAAAGATCACTAATTGCGGGGCAGAGGGGGGATGAATGATTTTCTGCATATTCACAGAAGACATCTGGGACTAAAATTTGGTGTACCTAGGTATTATATTTTCCGAGATATAGACGATTATACGAATGGAAAATCGTGAAAACCCCCATAGGGGGGAAGGTGGGGCGAAATCAAAAAAATAAAACAAACTCGTATAGCGTACACACATAAGGCATCTTGATGCAAAATTTGGTGTCTCTAGCTCTTATAGCCTCTGAGATCCAGGTGTTCATACGGACAGACAGACGGGGCTAGGTCGACTCGTCTGGTTATGCTGATCAAGAATATACGACATACAATTTGTGGGGTCTGCCACACCTCCTTCTGCCTGTTACATTTTTCACTTCCCGCAAACCTAATATACTCTTGTACATTTCATGTACAGAGTATAAAAAGCATTAGTATGTGTACAAGTGAACGACATACCCGAAGAAATAGTGAAATGGTACATACTATGATTGTGCTATATGTAGCTATTATTTTTGAGAACATAGAAAGCCTAAAGGTACACAAGAACAGAACGAGATGAATTCGAAGCGCTATTTTCGTCTGTCCTCCCATTGCCACTACTCCTTCCAGAATTTAGAAACCTGTCGATTTCAAACTTTGCACCGAGCATTTTCTTGACGGACACTAATAACCTAACAGAACAACTTTTTATACCCTGTACCCGTAGTGTAAAAAGGGTATATTAGGTTTGTGAAAGGTATGTAACATGCATTTCAAATGCTACCTAAACCAAACTTTGCACACATAATTTATATATAATTGTCTACTGTCGTTCAATTATTCAATTCGGTCAATTCTAAGAAAAGTTATTAGCAAAACAAATTCTCGCCAGTACAACCCCCACAAATTGCAGCAACAAGTTCGCTCTTCTTCTTCCTCTTTTTGCTGCTGCTATGGGCGCATATAACTCAGTGACGGAAGTTTACCTGGGTACAGGGTATTACACTGTCGGGCTTGCTCGACTGTAGCGTTCTCTCTTGTTTCTGGTTTGGAAATAAGCAATTTGGTTTCAGTATATTTTCAAACAATAAGTTATGTAACTTGTACCTTATAAGATCTTATAACAAACACGAACTATACTATGTGTCCATACTGTCTAATCATTCATCTGAATTTGTTCATCCACTTATGCGTGGTCCAGGAGTGCTGCAACACCACTCTAGGTATGAGAACATAGACAGCCAGATGAACAAAGCAGCACGGTCTGCCCTTGTCGGGCTGATCATTTACGTACCACGCTTACCTTGTGGTCTGTAATTGGGAACCACATGTAAAGTTTTGTTTCCTGCAAATGCTTCGAATGAAAGGGGTAACTGCGTTTGGGGTAAACATTTTATCCATTAAGGAACGCATTATGATGGTCAGTGCCAAAATATTGGACGAAAAGGCAGTAAAGTGTTTGAAGCATCGACGCTGGCTCAAATAAGTTTTTAGATCCTTATGTACGAGTACGTCCGCATGAGGTTATGTTGCAGTCACTTTCAATGAAAATTCATTAAGTGGAACATGCGTTAACAATAGCAAGGACAACAACAATGCATTCATTGTGTTGTCAGGACCTCGTTTCTGATAGTGACAGGCATTGGTTATGCACAAAATGATTTTGATTTGGGGGCCGGGCCGAGACTCAGTACCTGTTTTCAGACAATACAATGCAAGCAATTCATCGTTTTTCCATTAAGGTGGTGTAAATACTTGTATGTGTGCAAATATGTGTATAAGTGCATTGTGCTTTATGGTTTTCAGGCAGGCAAATTATGCATAATTTGTTTTTAATCACAAATAAATGCAATCAAGTGAGTGCCATAGTCGAAAGTGTTTTAATTTGCAGCCCAGAGACATCCGCCTCCAAAAATTTCCTGTGCTGCACTAAATAGACTCTGTTTTCATACTATGAGTATGCCTTGTCAGACCGCAGACCTACCGACAGTGGAAATGCATTTTCACGCTATGGGGCCAAAAGTGAAGTCGAACTCATCTACGACGCCGTACGCCTCTCGCTGCACACTCGTCGTGTATTTATAGTCCGCATGGTAATGACTTCAAAATATATAAATATTCCATTTTAGTTGACACTTTGACAAGTGGATATGAATATTTGAGGCCCATTGTAAAAATGACAAATCAAATAAATTATGGAGTATGGCATCTTTTTCTTATTGAATCACGAAAATATCTTGGTTGGAATACCTAAGAAACTGTACTGACAATCGCGGCGAAATAGAAAAGTTAAAGACTGTTCTAATGCCTCTTCATTTTATTTTTTTAACTAATTAAAAAGTTATCCAGGTGGCACCTGAGCTTGCATATTAAATTAAGTGTCTATTATTAAAACATGTTGTAGTTTGATTTTAAATAAATAAAAAAATCATGTCTTAACTCCTTAATTTGATTATTTGTCAACCTACTTGGCATTCTCTACAGATTAATATTCCAAGATATTATTTATATGCACATTCCTCTTATTTAATTTTTCACTTACATGGAGAACAGCAATACACTTAATATAGTTAATGTCTCACCCACAACAAATGCAAAACAAGTTAAGCCTTGCAGAGTCCTTTGCTGGTTTTATGTTTACTTTATGTCGATCATTACATTTTTGTTTTAAACAAAACTCGCCAGAACTGTTTAAACCTACTCAGATACCAAAGGTTTATAGTAAAAATTTTTAAACATATCTAAAAATCAGAATAGGGAAGGCAACAGAGAATACTAAGTATACTCTTCTATATTTTTATTAACAAAACTACGAAGAATGGCACGGAAGTTTCATTGTCGTCGTTATTTATGCTAATCTTGTTTCAAAAAACCTTCAATATTGCAGTTTATTTAAATATAACTTTAATTTAATCTTTAAATAGTAAACATTTAAAGCACAACTGCGGTTTAAAGAGTTAACCCACTATATAGAACAAAGTATTTGTAGATTTCAGTTTTATATTAAAACTTAAAACAAAGTTGCCGTAATAAAAAATGTGTATTTCTTTCTTTATTCATTTCGGTCATGTGTCACTAAATTATACAACAAATAAATATTGAAATTCTTTTCTCGACTCGTGTATCCATTGCATTGCTCGGAGGCGATGGAGTTTATTCAAAATCCGCATATCGCAGCACAGACAACTCATCTACAGGAACTCGATGACAGCAAAGGTAAACATTTGTTAATACTATCCATTGTCAATGCATCGGAGCAGCTCATAGAGAATGTCAACAATAGTTTGAATGCTCTGAGCAAGGCCCTAGACTACATGGAGCAGCGCACGGACAACATTCTTATTCAGCTGCGTGCTCTACTCGAATCCAATCGTGAGCTACGGCACAACAACTGAAGATGTGTGGATCATACTATAATGCAAGAAAAACGCTACAATAATATTCTGCAAAATGTAAACGTTGGAAATAAACGCACCGATTTACATCTGTAGACAGAAAAACTTTGCGGGGGCAGGCGCACACATGTTCAAACGCAGTTGCTTATGCGCTGGTAACCCTAGCACATAATTAGTTGGCTATTTTTATAGAGCTGCTGCCGTTACGCATGCGCAGCACTTGCTGTCGTTCAGCAACAGCTGTGTGTGTGTGTGTGTGTGTGTGTGTGTGTGTGTGTGCACAAGTATCCCTTTAAATGTGTTTGGATATCCATCAGGTGCTGGGGGTCTCTATAGACATGCCATAATTGTAATTAGAATTTTTCCTCAGCCGTTTCTACATTACACTTGTATTGTATGCTGACAGTCGGTGAACTCTCGACAGCACATGTCTCTGAACTAAATGTGGAGAGGCTGATGCCCCTGCCCTGCTATTTTATTATTATTGTCTATGCACATGGCATGAAAATGCATGCATACAGAAATACACGCTTCCTTACATACAAGTATATATGTATGTATGTACATGCATAAATGTGTTGTCGTTAAATTCGTACTTATTTAGTCCTTGGACCGTATGGGGTACATTAAGCCTAAAGCGCAAGCTTGAATGAACTCTACAAGTATGTATGCAGCCAATTATAATTAAATTAAGTACGAGTTTATGTTTATCATAAGTATACTACAAGTATAGTTCTTTGACTGGTTCCTCAAAAATATTGTACTAGATATACTCAGATACTTAATAAGCATGGAATAAAAAATGTGTACACGCGATAAAACTGGAACTTAATGGTTGTATTGGAATGATTTAATTTCTTTTAGATTGGTGAGGGGAGCATTAATAATTATTCATCTGCGATTCTTGGCTGATGAAAATCTAATTTTAAAAGAATGGCTTAAAAATAGCTTTAACCGCTATGAATAGCTGAAACCCGGTAGAAAATTGCAAAAAGAAAACAATTATAGGTATTTAGAGAATGTCTAGAAAACATAAAAAATATATATAGAAATCCCGAAAATGGTTAGTAAAACAATTAAGTAGCTAGAGAAAGCGAACAAAACTCGCTAAAAATCCACCAGAAAATATCTAGAAAAACCCTAAAAAAATCAGATTTTTGTTAACATTCATCATTTCAATTTCACCAGCTGGTCTACTTGCTGTTCATTTACTATATGTGCACCTGTTACCGTGCTTTTAGTTTCGTCACAGAAAAGATTGCCGATCCAGCATACAAAACCCTCACATAAAGAATTTCACTGTACACATAATACACCTAAGTGGGATTAACATAAATTTATAGTTTACTGGACTTGAAAGTTCCCACAAACCAAATTTGGCGATTAAAGCCACTATACTTTTACCAAACTTGTCATACAGGAACTGCATCATTTCACAGTAACTCGTTTATCCTTAGGGATAACAAATACAAGACTTTCATTTGCGATTTGTTTTAAAGTCCTACTTTCGTAACAAAATTTTATACCTGAAGTAGAGGTATTTTCTAATACTTTCTTTTTTCAAATTTCACAAAGAAAAATAAATTATTTTTGATTATTATTTATTAGTGGTACTTGAATTATGAGTTATCTTAAGTATATACACGGGAAGTATGGGGAAAGAGCAGAAAATGAAACATTTGTGGAAAAGATAATGAAAACAATGTATTTATATGAGTACAGTTCATTTGTTACTTGTGTGAATCGAGATTTAATAAATAGCACGTATATATATATATATTTGTAGCTTACAGCGAGCCGTAAAATCTAAAATGGAAAACAAAAAGCGCCTTATTTCCAGTAAAACAAATGCGAGCTGCGCACATCAAAGTGATAGAAACGCAGCAGAACATAATCCTGCCACTTGGTGGGTAGAAGTCTGGAAGAATGTAAGTAGATGATGCTTTTAAGAAAACTTAATTTAATACCCGATTCACACACCTGAGCAGCCAGACGCTAAGAGCAAAAATTCTTGGCACATAGATCATCCGCTGATTTAGGAGCAGACCTTTGACTATTTTCTCAGCCACATATGTCGTAGGCAGTCCAGGATAGCTGTTTGATATGCTGCAATGACATTGGGATTACATCTTCAGGATAATTGGGAATTAAGTGCTCTTCTCACCCTGCATCGCTTAGCAGTGGAAGGTCGCCACTGGTCTTCATCAGATATGCGTTGGCTACAGTTGTGCGCACATAATCGCAATCCGAGAGGCGCAATTCCAAACGCAATGCCTCCATAAATCCCATAATTCCATACTTAGTTGCTGTGTAAATGCCAGCACCAGGCAAGGAAACCAAACCTTTTAAGAATACAAAGTAGAATCATCTAAAGGGATCACTTTGTTAGGGCATTCTTCCCATACCTGCTAAAGCATTTACGGCCAAAATATGTCCAGTTTTTCGGGTAATCATTTTCGGCAAAAACTCTTTGGTGGTCTTGAGAATTAAAAAGGACTTGGTATATAATACAAGTGTGGTAGAAAACATTAAAAGACTAACCATAATATATGAGCCTAGATTCAGCTGCAATATCGTTTCAATTTCGTCGCTCTTGAGCTGAGGAGTAGATGTCATTGGCATGAGCGAGGCATTGTTTACCAATATATCCACGGGGCCCAGATCTTTCTCGACCTTGACCGCCATAAGCTGCAATTCCCGAGGCGAGGACACATCGTTCTGTTGTAAAATAGTTTGCAGTAAGAATGTAACAAAGGTATGTAAATTACACTGTTTCATCTAAATCATTACCTTATACGCCTTGGCCACACAGCGCGGTATTTTGGTTAATAGATCAACCGTCTCGTAGCAGCCCTTTGAATTAACGTCCACCACCGCCAACTTGCAGCCCCGTCTGGCCAACTCCAAACAAATTTCTCGTCCCAAACCGCTGCCGCCTCCAGTCACCTGTGTGGGCATATATTTATAGTTATAGTATGTCAACACATAGCCCCACTTTAAAGTATTGACTTAATTTAGGAAACAAATTAGATGTACTGGTATTTAATGACACTAAATCATGCAAATTAGAACGAGACAAAGCAGTTCAAAAATCTAAATTAGCATTTACATATGTATGCACATATGTGTACATATAACATGAAATACATATGCACATATGTATGTTTGTAGTACGTAAAAGAAAACACAATTAAGTGACTTTTAATTAAAATAGAATGGCCAGGCGAGTTGAATGAGATTATCAGGGGTACTTATACATACATAGGTATGTACTTATTTATGTTTGAACCATCATATACACATAAGTACATGACATAAACATCAAAATGAAATAAACGCTAACTATTCCTATACTTAGATTTCTGCGCTACACGTAGAATACTACTTGTAGAAATAGATTTAACGATAAATCGCTAAACTTTCCTAAGGGTATTCCAGCGCTTAGGTATGGCAAACATGTATCATTTATTTGTATTTGAAGAGCTGATTAAATGAGAAAATGCTTAATACTTTGGACAGACAAGCATCAATAAGTAACTGTATTGAGTTCTATACTATCCCAATACAATCAATAGATGTGTTCGATAAAAAATGTTATTCTATCGTTTTAATTGATCGTCATAATTTGCATGTTAAATGATGCAGAACATGTGCGTTTATTGCCTAAATCCCAGTTACGGCTAATCGACAGCCGTAAGCTTAACAATGAAATTATACAGATAGATTGTCTAACAAAATAGTTGCGTAGGTTATAGACGATTTCAGAAAAGCTATTTAAGCAGTCTTCTGAAATTCTCAATTTAAAACTTTATAAGTATCAGTTTTTCGATTTGGATGCATCGAGTTCCTCTAATGTCATTAAAATACTAATAATATATGCTTAAAAACTGAAAACAAATATTTAATTCAACATAAATTTAATTTCGTTCAGATTTGGAAAAGCAGTACAAAAACCGACCAAACTTTTTGGAGCTAATCAAAAATCGTAAAAGAAGTCAATTAGGATATGTCTTTAATGAAAAATGTAAAAGATATGTGGACTATAAGAATTTCTAATTACTTTACATCTATGTATATAGAAATTCTCTTGATCTGACATAACATTAACACAGGGAGAAAGTTAGAATCTAGAGAGAAATACCTCTGTACCCCACTCGTTGTTGTTAAATATAACCGCATAGGTGAAGGCCATGTAGTGTCTTTTCTAACAATTTCCCTTAAGGTAGGGGAAAATGAAATAAAATCGTGTTGCCCAAGACCTAGGAGAGTCTTCACACCAAGTTTGGTGAGCGCGGCTTCAGCCGTTTCCAAAATGCATTCGGGCGGAAAAGTGTAGATTCATTTGTCTCGCCATGCTGATCAAGAAAATGTATACTTTATGGGGTCCAAAATACCTTTTTCTACCACTTACAAACCTAATATACCTTCGGGTACTGGCAACACAAAGTTATAAGCACATTTTGAAGAGTATATTTGAACCAACCCCTAAAAAATGACCTGCCTTATTTGTTATTTTTACTAACAATATTTAATTGGAGCATGTGAACTATATTTACCCACAAATTAAAATATTAACGGTGAATTAACAGCAGCTCGTTTTTTATTTGTTAATTAATGTGTAGTAAACAACATGCGAATTTTTTTATGAATATTTAGGTAAAGCTATGCAAACGTCTCCACTTGTATAATGAGGTAGAAAACAAAAGTGTGTAAAGCTTTTAAGGTTTTCATTTCAACAAAACCAGTTTGGCGCACGTCAACAAGTCTGTGTACATATCTATATGTCTGTATGTATGCATGTGAATTCACATATTTTTGTCTAGATATGTATGTATGTTTGCTTGAATTCGTGCTTAAATGACGCACTAACCACTAACTTTGGAATGTGTTGGACCAGCCCACAACTGAATTATTCTTGAACATACATTTGTGCTTACAATCAAAAGAACATAAACAACATAAAAAACAAACTGATGATTCTTCATGTCAAATAAATACACATGCTTTGGCCGCAATTCAAATGCTAACCTTGGAGCCACCATTAATTGACTTCTTATAATTGAATTAAGTAAGCAATGAAACCACATCGACGCGATTCAGACACTCAGAACAGATGTGTCATTATGAGTACACGATTACATGATTAATAGAGCACGATATGATCACCATAAGGGGAGATAATATCAATCTCCTTATGCCATTATTTGTTCTTGACTTATTTTACACATGCACGTGCATTCATAAAGAACACGAATTACGTCAATTTTCAAAGTAGCAGTAGCACTTTAAGAAAGCTGAAACTGTAAATTAATTATGAATATAAACATCATACATACACGTACATATGTACATACATACTTGTATATACGTTAACAAAAACACGTAAATATTTGTTTTAATGACGCGACTATTGAGCCACGCCCAATGCAAACGACCCCAGAGTAGACCGTGGGTGAAAATTTACATTGCAAAAGGAAAGTTGGTTTTCTTTATACGTATACGCAATAACTGTAGTATTTCTATGTTTGTATGAAAGCACGTACAATTATGTACCTATGTACCTATGTATGCACAATATTATACAGAGATACACATATGTATCCACTTACCAAAGCCACCTTACCGCTCACATCCTTCTCTTTCAGCCCTAAACCAAACAGGTAATCCAAGAAATGCTTGAGCAATACAGCAAAGAGCACGATTGGCAACAGCAGCAGAAAGATGATTATTTTTACATTGAAAATAGCGCGCGTTGTCTCATCATTACGACGCGCCTGTGCAGCTGCTTGCGATGCGGTGGGCGTGGCTGCTGTTGCCGTTGCAGCATTACTGCTGGCAGGCATGCTAATAGTGGTAGTTGTTATTGTTGCTGTCTCCACCATTTTCGCAAACTTAAGCTTTATTGCTGTTTCCGATAAGATTCAATGCCACGCACGATTTTCGCAGATCAGTTTACGGCCAAAACAATCTCACACTCTTGATACGCGCACCATAAGCTTGAAAGCTACTTCAACAGAGTAAACGGAACAAATTGCAAGCCACCAGCGCCACCGACAGCGGCACCAACCGAATGCCAACTACTACATTATTATTTTTTCGTTGACAAACAGCTGCGCCAAACTCTTGACTGTTTCCACTTACATCGAACGAGTGGAGATCGCTCACTCTCGCGAGCGCACTCCGTCGTCGCATTGTTTATCTTGTTTTATATCTACAGCCACAAATATGAGTAGCGGTGGCGACCGTTACCGCCATTACTACCTTCTATGACAACAGCATTGATCTTGGGCTCTGAGTAAAATGTTGTGCGCATCTGTGTGTATGTACATACAGTCGAATTCACCTGACGAGGCAACTTTCCGTCTACGGTAACAGTGAGGTCGGGCAAGGCAAACAATTTAACCAACAACAGCAATTTCGCTCAAAACCAGTCAGCGCATCTTATGGCACTGGTTTTCAAATGTTGTCGAAAATCTTTCATTTTCCTCGATTGGTAGAGCGGATGCAGTTTGAGCGAAAAGTGAATTGTGATGGAATTGAAGAGGGTTGCGGCAATTGAGTTTTTAGGATTCGTTTGCATCCGGTGCGACTTTTTAAAACTATTTGCGCCGTGAGCTTTCAGTACGTTACGAACGTACAGTGTTGCACAATGTTTGAGTGATTTTGCTGTCGCTAAGCAACACTTTTTACATTTGTCTCTTTTCTACACATATAGATATACGTACATACAAAAAGATATATACATATATACATACTTATGTATGTGCATAACTTTCCCAATCAAATATTGAAACAGCGCCAATTATTTAAAATGAATGATCAAACCGATTATGCCGAATCGATATGTATTTATTTCTATAAATTTACATTTACATTCGAATACGGCATTTGCTGTGAATCGATATAAACGATCCCAAAAATAAACAAAAAACTAATCAAAATAATGATAAATAATATGTTTCTTATATGTTTCTTTGTTATTCCAACATATACAACTAGAAAAATAACCACACGTTGTATAGAAAACTTGATTACACCTAAAATTCTAAATGTATACTTTTAAGTCAAAATATATGTATGTATGTAGTTTTCGCAGCGATATACACAGTAACACTTAGTTCAGCATCAGACGTCACGGAAGCTTCATCGCGTATTCTGCAATAAAGATATAGCAGATAGTAGTGATAACTTTCACATAAAGTCATAAACATTTTCATACTCTTTAGGTCTAGTAAGTTGTTCACATGTTGATGCAAAAATTGGCTCTCATTTTTTTGCGTGCTTAGCAAAATTTCCGTGGCAGTCTTTTCAATCATGCCCTCAATGCTTTGCAGCAGTAAGCCCTTCTTTGGAAAATCAATAACAAGGCGGTAACCACCTTCCGAGGTGGAGGAAAGATCCCAGTTTGGAGGCATTGTTAAGTCCATTTCGCTGCTATCGTTACTGTCAATCTCCTCCTTCAAATGTGATGTATTCTGACGACGCGATTTCGTCCCACTGACCTCGACTTCCTCATCCTCTGACATCGCCGCTGAAGGCATTTTTCTTTTCTGGCTTTGTAAGTTGCGCTCATCCTGATTTCGATCACGTTTGGGGCATGTGCAGATTTTGACATGCAAGATCTGTTGGCCAAGAATATCACCGCTGAAAAAATGCATAGTGATCTGAACTGTTATAAAGCAATATTCAAAAAACACAAAAATTACCTTGCATTTTCCAAACAGAAGACTAAGCAAGTCTCCTTGCGTCCAAAGCAGGAATTCTGACACGTAAACTCAAAGGCAAGAGTTTGACGCACGTGTCCTCCTTGGCTGGGCCTTTGATTTAGAGGAACTAATACGGAATAGCGTTCCACAATGCTCTTGCCCGAGCTCGTGCCGCAGTACATTGTCGCCGGGTTGGCACATCGCAGCAGGCTTTCGTGAAATTTTGGATTCCCTTTAGCTAGAAAATATTTTTAATATATTCTATTATTTTTACACTTCTAATAGTATACGGAACAGCTCCTTACCGCTGTCTGTGCTGAGGTGGTTCTGGCATCGCAGCACTGGGCCGCTCACCTCCTTCACAAAGCATAGAAAGGCACGCAGGTTTAACGGCTGAATCGGCAGTTTTGCCTTAAACTCTACATCAATATTAAATGTCTGTGATTGAAGATATTTTATTTCAATAAAATAATACATATGAAATTGGTTCTAACTTACCTTATTCATTCGAATATACAGCTTGTTTAATGGCACAGAGAACATCCAGTGTGATCTAGGGGGCTCTTTCAGTACCATGCCAAATTCGTAGCCACCATTGTTATGATTCTCCAGAGTGGGTAGCGTGTCGATATGGGGCTTCATATCCTGGAGCATCAGCTCTTGTAAAGCAGATTGCTAAAGAAAAATATACGTAAGAACATATAATATTTACAGCAAACAATAATAAACCTTACAATAATACAAACAAAAAGTATTCATCAAGGCAAACGTTCAAAATGGCCATTTAGTTTTGTGTCCTTTTCTATATCATACAGAAACTGCTTTCAATTTACTCGTAATTAAACAAATTTACGCCGACACCTTCTCGTGAGATAAACATCTACTATTCATTTATGTATACACACACGTATTTTGTCGGTAAAAATTGATTGGACAATTGCTTAAATATTTAATTTACATATGATAGAGAACAACAGTTAAATTAATGCCCTATTCAAAAATGCAGAGCAATTCGTTTTGGACAATGAGACTGTTTGGACAAGCATTTTCGCGCTGGAACTTAACTGGTCGCACGAGGCTGGTGTATTTTTTGCTCGTCATAATGCTGGCTTTATTAACTATCTTTGGGCTCTTTTCTATCCGCTATAAGTCGCAGGGTCGGCGACGCTTCGTATTCTCCAGGATCTATTTGGCCTACACCATGGTAATTACAATTGCTTTCACCATCACATACACGCATCAAATGTACGAGGACTACAGAAGCTCACAGCTTGATCTACGCGATGCTGTGAAGCTTTATAGCTACATGAATATAACAGTGACCATTATAAACTTCGTTACACAAATGTTTAAAGTCAAACAAGTAGCACGACTAATGAGCCAAGTACCCCTCTTCGATACGCTGAGAGAGTTCAGTGTCGGCGACACTCTACTGCGATCTGTTGTCACGTCAATTGTCAAAGTGATTGGTTTTCCATTTATAATCGGAATAACCATGTTCCTGCAGCAACAGCGCTACGAACCAGAGCTTAGCGGGATGTGGTCAGTTCACAAGTTATTTCCTATGATAGTCTCAAACCTGCTGAACAATAGTTTCTATGGCGTTATGATAATAGTAAAAGCCATCCTGAAGACATTAAATATTCGCCTAATGCGGCATGTGCGACTGGTGGAATGCATGCAAAAGGAAGAAAAATTAAAGCTTCACACTATCTACTATTCTATGCAGAAATATTGCACTTGGGCTGACGAAATAGATGCGCTAAGCATAAAATATAGAATAATATGTATACACGCTACGAATTATACAGCTCTGGTATCTCTATCAATGGTCCTGTCGCTACTTTGTCATCTGTTGGGCATTACCGTGGGATTCTTCAATCAATACTCTGCCTTAGCAGATACTTTCATCGATGGCCAATCATATGATGCCTTTAGCGCATTAACCAATTGTGTGTTCCTGATCATATCCATATTAGAAATAACTTTGCTGGCTCAGCTGGCCAATGACATATTAGTGGAGACACAACAAACTGGCATCATATTGCAAAATTTATCATTGCAGCGAGTCGATTGGCGGTTTAGGCAGGCGGTGGACACTTTTTCTCTTCAAGTGATTAGCATTAAGCACAAGATAGTCCTATTGGGGTTATTTGAGCTCAATGCAACACTTATAACGGATGTAATGGCAACTGTAGCTAGCTTTTTGCTAATTCTTATTCAAACGGATTTATCACATCGTTTTAAAATGAAGCAAAACTTACCTGGCTGAACTGCATTAAATTGCCGGACTGGAATTTTAAACAACAATAATTTGATATATATGTGTCGGTATGTATAAAAAATTAGATTTTGTATACCCACATGAAGACCTTGCAAATATGCCAGCGACTCATTGGGCCTGTAAATAAAAGTTAAAACCCCGCTTATTAAAGACACCTGTTGCTACAATATGCGTATAAATAATACTCACGATAAAGGGTCGATGTTGTCACCAGCAGCGTGATCAATACTGGAATTATCCTCAATAGTGGAGTCTGAACCGTTTTCGGCTTCATTCACTACCGTAGCGCCTTCACGCTCGTCGTCCACAATCTCCAGTTCATTATCAGAATAAGCGCTGCGTTCGGTACAATTACATATCCAATTGAGCCGGACGCAAAAAAAATTAAAATGTTTACAAATAAATATGCACGTTCAAAAATATACAAATGCGATTATGTGTTTGCTCAATTGAATAATGTCTGCTCAAAAGTACAAGTTCAGCATATTATTTTATGCTTCATGTACATGCATGCATACATACACATACATATGTACATGTACACTTATGTATATTGCATGCGCAAATTCTAAACTTTTTTGGACAAATGGCCTTAGTCTATATGATTTATATTAATACCTCACTTTGTGCCAAGACATTGACTGCGCAATGTACATGCCTTCTCGGGTTAGGCGGCCTGTTTGTTTTGAAAAATAACCACCAAATATTTGGTAAAAATAATATGCGTAAATAAAAACAAAAGCGTGTAATGCTTCTTCTTGGCGCGTGCTTAGAGATGGGCATATTCTTAAATCGTTTGCCATCACGAGTATTGCAATGGCAAAAGCTGGCAACGCTACGCTGTGACTTTTGAGTCGCTCATCGCATTTGCACGTGCTGGTCCCAACAATGTTGAAATTTCAATATACCAACTAAAATAATAGTAATTGTTAAACAAGTATAAGAAAATGACGCACCTGGCAGACGGGGACAAGCCTCGTGCAGTTTTCAAGGAAAGCAGCAAGATCTTTCGCCGCAACCGTGCAATTGGCTACGTTAGCAACCAAGTGCCAGCCGTGACACGTTATGTGCAACGTCGAAGAGATACATTGGTAATTACTTGCATTGGACGTTCCTATCAAGTGTACGCAGCCAGTCACTTTCGCCTGCTGCATGTAAGTGGGCTACATCCGGACGACATAACAGCTCTGGCCACCGACCGCTACCACACCTACACGGCAAGCAACAAATGTATCTATGCCTGGCGTTCCGGCAAACATGTACTGCACGTGTACCGCGGCCACCAGCAGAATGTACATCTGCTACTGCCGTTCGGCTCGCATCTGATAGCCGTCGATACGGGCAATGTGATGAAAGTGTGGCAAATTAACACCGAAAAGGTTTACCTTGATATGCCTTTCAACAACGATGAATTCCTGATCACCGCACTGGCACACCCGCCGACCTATATCAACAAGGTGGTGCTCGGCTCGAGGCAAGGTCAGCTTAAGATTGTGAACATCAAGAAGAACAGCATTCTCTGCACGCTGAGCCATCATAACAGTCGCGTGGTGTGTATTGAACCCTCGCCGGCGTTGGACGTGGTGGCTGTTGGACATGGAGATGGCACCATAATGCTGCTAAATTTAAAGTATGATGAAGTGCTGGTAGAATTCAAGCAGAATTGGGGAAAAGTCACCTCGTTAGCGTTCCGCACAGACGGTCCGCCCATTTTGGTGTCTGCCAGCAGTAATGGCCACATGGCTTTATGGAATTTGGAGGACCGCAAGCTCAACGGCCAGTTTCAAGCGCACATGGACCAAGTAACAACGGCTATTTGTTTACCCAGCGAGCCATTAATGCTCACTACCTCGCCGGACAACTCGATGAAGCTGTTCATATTCGATCAGCTCGATGGAGGTCCTCGGCAGCTGAGAGTGCGTGAGGGCCACACTGCGCCGCCACTCTGCATTCGATATCACGGCAGCAGGGGTACCTCAATCCTATCCGCCGGAGAGGACTGTACGATGCGTGTTTTCTCCACCATATCTGAGTCGCTAAATAAGAGCATGGGCAAAGCCACCTATAAAAAAAACGCCACAAAAAAGAAGAGTAAGTGAAAAGTAGAATCTGTTCGACCATGACGAAGATAATTCCGTTCTTTCAACCTATAGATCGCTTTCAATATGACAAATACATTATGCCGCCCATTGTGGAGTTTACTACGGAGACGACCCGCGAGAAGGAGTGGGACAACATAGCCGCCATTCACGCTGGCATTATACAGACGACAACGTGGTCGTTTAACAAGAATCGCATGGGCGAGCATAGACTTGTGCCAATGAAGTTTCAGAATAAGAATCGTGTCGATTTTAAAAGCGAGACCACATGTCTGACATTGACACACTGCGGCAACTTTGTAATTATTGGTTATAGCAGTGGCGACATTGAGCGATTTAACATGCAGTCTGGTGTTCATCGGGCTAGTTACGGAACGCCTGCGCACAAAGCTGCGGTGCGAGGGGTGGCAACCGATAATCTGAACCAATACGTCGTGTCCGGGTGCAGCGAAGGCTTGGTTAAATTCTGGGCGTTTAAAATGAAATGTATGGTTACTTTTACTTTACTTCTTATTGAGCTTTAAAATTTTAGCATATTCTGTTTGCAGTGTTCCAGACTTCAACAGTTCCAATTAGTCAGTTGCGATTGATGGACGGCGTTGCGCTTATGCGTCATCATCGAGAGAGCTCCATGTTAGCCATTGGATTGGAATCATTTAAAGTGTACGTTGTGGACACGCACACGCGGGTGATTGTGCGTAGGTTCATCGGCCACACAGCAAAGCTGAACGACTTAACCTTCACGCCAGACGCGCGTTGGCTAATCTCTTCTTCAATGGATTCGACTATCAAGGTCTGGGATATACCGTCCTCCTATATGATTGACCATTTTCGCGTCGAACCTCCCTGTGTCTCCCTCAGCATGTCGCCGAGCGGTGATTTTCTGGCCACAGCGCACGTCAATTTACTTGGCATTTATCTGTGGGCCAACAAAACCATTTTCAATCAAGTGTCGCTGCGGTCCATTGATCCAAACGAGCCTGCGCCATATGTAGGACTGCCAACTCACATGTGTGATGCCATGCAGCTGGAAGAAGCGCTGCAGGACCTTAATATGGATACGGAAGATTCGGGGACGAAGTTGGGCGAGGAAATCGATGCCAAGTACGAGACACCGACCCAACTCAATCCAGATCTAATTACACTTTCTGGTCTGGCGGCATCGCGTTGGCAGAACCTGCTTGATTTAGATCTGATCAAGAAACGCAACAAACCTAAAGCGCCTCCTAAGGCACCCAAACAGGCTCCGTTCTTTCTGCCCACGATGTCTGGCTTGGAGCTTCGATTTGATGTAAGCAAGTCTTCTCCTGCTGAGGATGCATCCAAGGTACTGCAAGCGACCAACTTTAGCAATTTGACCAGCTTTGGTAAGCTGCTTCAAGAGAGCGAACCCAATAATGATTTCGAAGCAGCTATTGCTCACTTAACCCAGCTGGGTCCATCGATGGTAGACTTCGAAATAAAGTTGCTGCATCCAGACAACGGCGGTACCATGCGGATCATGCTGCAGTTCCTTAAGCTTATTGTACACATGTTTGGTACAAATCTGAATTTCGAGCTGGCGCAATCATATTTAAGCGTCTTCCTGCGCACACATGGCTTGGCACTTACCAAGCGACCAGAGCTAGTTCAATCGCTTGAAAATGTGTTGCGTGTGCAGGAGGAGGCATGGAACCGAATTGAAAGCAAGCTCGTCTATGGCATGGGGGTGGTGGCCGCATTACGCAATTTTGCGCGTTAAGTACGCAATTTGCAAAAAAAAAAAAAAAATATATTGTTAATAAAATTCTTACAAATTTTAATTGTTAATTTTTGTATGGCAGATCAAAAGCTTGATTTGAATGACCAGCTGAGATGATATCTCTATGACATACCTTCTGGCATAGTTACTCGTATATATGCTAAGACTAGACATTGGCTGGACATCATGCAATTGTTTGGGGATCAGGCTCAGCTTCTATTATTGTGGTGCGTTTCGCATTGTCCTGACACCACGACATTTCAAGAAATTGTTTCTATTATCTTCGTTTGGACCTTAACGCGTTTTTATTGTTTCGCCAGCAGTTTAAAGAATGAAGATTTCGCAGTGGAAGAAGAAACACAAATCCATTGTATCGTTCTTAGGATATTCCATGTGCTACCTAACTTCTGGAATTCCCTTTTTTTGTGTCACCGCGTAAATACAAGGTGCAATTCAAAGTAAACAGGACTTTTTGAAGCTAGCGCCCCCTGGTGGCGCTATCTATATGTCGACTGGTGCGTTAGAATCTGCTATCTTTATCGATTGTCCAGTGAGAATTTTATGACATTTCATCGATTGGAAGTGAAGTTATTGCGTTTTAAGTGTCAGTATGTTTGTGTTATCGGTCGGAAAATGAGCTTCGAAAAAAAGAGCCAACATTAAATTTTGTTTTAAAATTGGTAAAACTTTTACCGAAATTGATGAAACAAGTTAATGGCCTAGATGATTGCCTATACCGTAGCAGAGTGCACGAGTGGTTTCAACGTTTTCAAAGTGGTCGTGAGGACATAAATGACGATCAACATGTGGGCCAATCAAAATTCGTGATCACCAAAAATGCCATCAAAACTGTGCGTGAATTCATAAAAAATCAGCCGAAATCATCATTGAAATTGATGGAAATGGAATTGAACATCTCCAAAACATCGATTTATTGCATTTTGACCGAACATTTGGGCTTACGAAAGGTGTGTGCACGGTTTGTTCCGCACAAATTGACTGACGACCAAAAATGGTTCTCATCGATCAACGCTTGTGACCGATTATTTGACCAAAAATCACATTTAACCATTAACCAGTCGCCGTATTCACCTGATATGGCACCGTGCGACTTCTACCTTTTCGGAAAAATGCATTTGCCTATGAAAGGAAACCGCTATGCTGACGTTGATGCCATCCAACAGGCGGCGACCGCCATCCTCAACGCTATACCGACAAATGACCTAAAAAAGTCGTTCGATCATGAACGTGCAAAACGTTGTATTCAGGCGGAAGGAGACTATTTTGAAAGCGACCAATAAATTTTTCAAAAAAAAAATTAGTTTTCATTTTTTAATAAAAGTCCTGGAACTTTCGAATTGCACCTTGTATGCTGCCAAATAGTACTCCTTACTTTTCAAGGGATTCAACGCGTAACCCTTTACCTCTTTGCAAAGATAATAAAATCCGAACTTATTGTCGAGGAGAACGAATTCCTGCACATTTCGTTTAAAATAAGGAAACGTTTTCGCTTTTTACCATGAACTGGAAACTATCTTTGAATAGCAAAACAACAAATATTACGGCAATAAATGAAAATCAAATACATCTATATATTTACTTTTGTTTATTACTATTTATTTTACAAACTTATATCGTGTGTGTCATACATACACGTACATATTTGAATATTATTTCAAAAGGACAGTGTTGAGGTAACGTAGGTTATAGGCACACTTCTTACTTGCTAGACACAATAGCTTACGAGGAAATAGGTTTTATTTTTCAAAAATTCAGCAAACGAAATAAAATGGATTTACAAAAACGACTGTTTACTAATTAAAAATATATTTCCTACCAGAATAAATTCAAATTCTATACGATAAATAAAAATGCTTATACTTTTATCTGTGCTCTTTTAATACTTCTCTGTCGGGTTGGGTTCGTTCTGTGCTTCATTCTGATTTTCTGGACCCGTTAGGTCAGCAGTCGAGGATCTGCCCGATTGTCTTTTCAAACGAAAACAAATTGTAGCTTTTTGAAGTAAGAGCGGAAGTTCAAATACACTTACCTGTAAAAAACGTAGTGCTGCAACATGAAGAAGATGTCGAAGAGTACGGAGAATAGGCCAAGGCCGAACTTTGTTGGGTCCCCAAATATGGATACCCAATCGTCTGAAAATAAAAAAACAAATAGGAACTGCATTAAAGCTGATAACAATTTAAAATTAAATACAAAACCCAATTAATTTTCTTATTTTTATGGAACTAATTGTATTGTTTTTGTACAGAATGGTAGAACAGAGAATTTAATACAGGAAAAAAATAAATAAGTGAATAGTGACAAATGCGGAAAAATATACACAAAAGCATAAATTGGCGGTTCAAAACCACAAAAAAAAAAAACAATTCTATGTTTTACATATCAAGAAGGGAATTTTTCTATAGATTTGAATTTTACATTAGGGGTGTAGATATAAAGCAAAAGAGTACCCCTTTAGTTAAGCTTTTCTTGATATACACGATTAGGCAGACAAAAAGGCATAGATAGATGACAGACCGGTTCATATACTATTTAGATCAACTACAGTGCGATTTAAGCGCACACAACGAATAATTCGAAGAATGGCATAAACTCTCTGAACAAGATGTAGTCAGATTTGTTGGAAGTCAGAGGTCATTGAGTTCTTTCATTTTATAATTACCATAGTTGTGTGCATTCAAAATCATTTGGAGCATGCTAAGCGTGCCGCCCGTAAAGTCCAGTAAAATGTTTCCAATGCTCCATCCAACGGTACTTTTCCGGCGGTAATTCATGAGGGCCTGTGGCACATACTTAATGATGGTTATTGTCAGCTTTACGTAGCTGCAGTAGTACAAGAAATCCAGCCAGTGTATAACAGAACCGCCAGCCAATCCGGCAGATATGACAACAAACAACGCAAATATACCTATAAGGCCACTTGCGATTTTGGAGACACGTTGCTCGCCGCGCTGAGAACAGAATAATTTCGATTAAAAAATTAAAAACAGTTTAATTGATTAAACTAAGGATGTCACCTCATAGAGAAAACATTGTACAATCGTTATAACTGTGGCGAACATGGCATGCAGCGAAAAGACTACATCGTTGAGCATTACTGGGTTGAGGCCACGTGGATAGCGATTCTCGTATTCCTGCTGTAGCTCCGGTATCCAGAAGAGACCACAATTGAACAAACTGTACAGAGTGAAGCCGATGATGTTAAGGGCCAAGAAGTCGAAGTTCAGCCCAACCACCGATTTACGTTTGAAGTTGATATAGATCTGCGGATAGAACGAGACCGACCAGGCCACAAAGTAAATCCATCCAAAAACGGAGGAAGTGTAGATCAGCCCTTTAGATCTGGCAACGAGGACGCGAACGAAAAGCTCTGCTGTTATCCAACTATCATTTGGATCGCTTGTGGCAGTCACTTCCACATGCCCGGGCCTTCGTCCAGTAATCGAAACCGTCTGATTGTGCGGACTATCAGCGTAAAATACAAATGACTCGGGCTCTAAATCCAAAAGCTCCTCATGTTGTTTTATGAGCTTCACGCTGACGTCCTGTGTTATTAGCGGACTAAATTTATGGCTTTACCATGTGATTCTGGATAGCGCGTTTATGTATTAACTTACTCGTCATACACTACAAAAGTCTCCTTGGCATTCAACAGAACTGTGATGTCGTGTGTGCTCACCGTTAAGCCCCTACTTTGGGTCTGTCCATTTGTAAATGCGACTTGAGAAGAAATACAATTGGTTAGTAGGCCGATATTTCAGGTACAGGTTGTTATTAAGGCGTCAATTTGAATATTTTGCAAATCAATTTCAACTTGTCGTTAAATAATTTTAATGCATTTTTAGATTAAAAAATTGATTTACTTATATCTAAAAATCTTGATCAATTTTAAGATAAATTAAATATTCTTTAATTTAATATTGATGCCAAAAATATGGTATCATGGCTCATTTCAAAAATTGCATACAAAAAGGAGATTGCTAAACATGCAAAAAAAATATTGTTACGGATTTAAATTGCAATAATACTTATAATACTTTTACTTTTTGTTCAGAAATGAAGAGACTTACTTTTTGTCGCAACGGCGAAAACCATAAATATCGTTTTTAGATAACAAAACATCTTTATATTTGACGTCATTGTTGTATGCGTTTGTGCTTCTGTTTCTTTTCTAGAAGCAATTGCCTGCAAATATTTGGCTTAGTTTATACTATTTAGTATGTATGTATGTAGAATGGAATGCATGCGATTCTTTGCCAGTTCCAATTATCAATGATTCATTGAGAGCAGCAGTAATTTACTTCGTTGCATACGACCAATTAGTTTAATGAACAACTTGAACAACTTCCAACAATATCGCTGAATCAGACGGTGCTGAAAGCAAACGAGGTTGACTGATATTTGGCATATCGGAGTTGCATTAATTGACCCGAATACATTATTTAGAACATTCAACAGCGCACAACATTGAGTGCCCCTATTACGAGTCTAAATTTTAAATAAGAGACGGGTTTGTTGAAGGTTCTACATAGTACGACTACTGCTAACTAGAAATCACACATCCACACATTTTACACATGGTGTACGTATATTAATATTTATATTTATGTATATCCAGTGCCAGTATGGGATTTCCCAATTAGCACATTCTGACTCTAAGACACCGTTTACACATTGAATCTATTGTAAAACAAGTAAAAAAGCTAAAGTCGGGTGTCCCGACTTTGAAATACTCTGTACATATGTTTACAATAATTATAAAAAATAAAAAAAAAAATAAATAAAAAAAAAATTGGATCGATTTTACCTCTCTCGGTATTCGAACTCACGTAAAGGGTGTATAATTGCACATTTACATAGCAATTGCGTCTGTGTGAGTGTATGTATGCCTATGCGCATCAATTCGTGTCTGTGTAAGCATTTTCGCAGTCAACCAAACAGCAACATCAACAACAGCCGCGGGCAGCGCTGCAGCAGCGCTGCAGCAGCAAATATATTTATGGCTATAACTTCTTGGTAAATCGGTCTATCATAGTGAAACTTGGCATACGGACACATAATTACTAACTGGGGGTATTTGCAAAATTTTAGTTCGAAATTCCAAGAATTACGGGAGTTAGAGAAAATCGCATTTGCGGGGGAGAGGGGGGAGGGAGGGAAATTCCAAAATATACATTTTCTGCGTATTCACACAAGGCATCTTGGACTAAAATTTGGTGTGCCTAGGTCTTATAGTCTCCGAGATATAGGCGATTATACGAATGGAAAATCGGGAAAACCCCCATAGGGGGGAAGTGGGGGGGAAAATCAAAAAAATAAAACAAACTCGTATAGAATATACACATAACGCATCTTCGTGCAAAATTTGGTGTCTCTATCTCTTATAGTCTCTGAGATCCAGGTGTTCATACGGACGGACAGACGGACAGACGGACAGACGGACAGACAGACAGACAGGGCTAGATCGACTCGTCTTGTCACGCTGATCAATAATATATATACTTTGTGGGGTCTGCCACGCCTCCTTCTGCCTGTTACATTTTTCAGCTCCCGCAAACCTAATATACTCTTGTACATTTCATGTACAGAGTATAAACACACACACACACATTCTGCTATAAACAAATAATGCAAAATCTACAGCCAACAAGATGACGTTGCAGAAGCAACATTTGTGCAGCGAATGCGATTGCGAATTCGAAATAATCTGATTGCATTAATGTTGATAAGGGTAACCGATTTCTGTATTCAATTTGCCATATTAATGGTCATGCTATATTAAATTTGTAATCAACATAATTGCTGTAATCTCGCTGTCTTGTCTATTCTTTCTTATACTACCACCATATTTATTCTTCGATGTACGAGTATAAGTAGTATGTGTGTATGGAGGAAGCTCCATCTGCGTCTTACAACTGCTGCCTCACACGACCGACTGCAAAAACAATAAACGAAAGATCGCAAACACTTGATTCAACACCATCCCGGCTGAAGCGTCCAATTACTTATGCTGACAACTTTCCGCACTCCAGGGCGAAGTGAAACAGTTTTACGTTATATATGTATGTATGTATATATGTGTGTGCCTTCAATTATAAGTTTAAGTATGTATATACTTGTACATATATCAGCACACTCTCGTACCTATTTGAAAACACAACGTACAACGCTGGCTGAACAGCGACTGACCGCCTCGAAAAGCGTCGATGAACATGAAACCCACTAAATACCACAACACAACACAAGCCGGTCGGGGTTTTGTTTTGATTTGATTTGTTGGCTTTGTTTTTCGCACTCGCACTTCATATTTAAATTGAGTTGGAATTGTACTTCAATTTAACAGTGCTTGCGCAATTTATTGTGTACGCTCATAAAAATAATCTTTATGATTGTAGTCGATGTAGATGCTATTTTAAAAAAAAAGAAACGCTGAGGCCAACGTCTGCGCGCCGACAAAACGCTTATCAAATACTCGTGTTTTAGCCAGTCATGAAATGAAACTTTACGTGTCTGATACTTGGTATGTAGTTTTTAAAAAATACAAAGCTATTTGTTGAACATACATACTCGTACACTGCGAGTTAATCGAATAATGCCCCTTCCTGTTCGAAGGCAGCCATAAAATTCCCGAATTCCACCTCGATTTGCATAAGGCTATTTAAATTGTAATTTAGAAAGATTAAAAATGAGTTCATTACCCTACTTATTCACCAAGCTGATAATGATTATGTATGATAGCAAGTTTGGTGACTTTCGTTCGTTGAGCATCCAATAACCCACATCTGTAATTAAAGCAGGCCGAAAGGGTCATGTGTTCCTTTAACTTAATATTAAAACATATGGTACAGTAATATATACAAGTAGTATAATTGTTAGGGCGGTCCTTTTAGTTTTAATTTCTCTTTATTACAAACAGCTTAGACATTCCTAAGTCTGAAAGATTAGGGGAAAAACTAAGTTCTCAACATTTCTTATCATATCCAAGCGCCATGCGCTGAAAGTAGAAGCGAATGTCCGAGGTCGATTTTCGAAATATAATACTCGTATATATGAACATATTTACGTCTTCTCTTCTGTTTGGTTTCACATACAACTTATCATTAATATTGTTATAACCTTTAATGGTTTCTACCGCTATTGACTTGCATACTATTCACCTAAAGCTGTGCTATTTAGTTGACGCGCAGTGTCTAACAATACATGACAAATCGAATTCACGACCGTCTTTGTTCTTTTCACTTTTTGTTTGTCATTATAGCACAATTTCCTTAGTATGTTGAAAGAAGAAGAAAACCATGATATTATATTTTCTAAAAATAATTCCTTGTGCGAACATAAATTTACAAAATGTTAATAATATAGTCACTAACCCCGGCAGCTTCGAGATCAAAGGACATTACCTTACATTTTTAGGAAACCTAATTTTTCCTTCACAGCCAAATTGAGGAAAATTTTGGTAAGGATGACATTAATGTTTTCAATATCACTTCTTGTATATTGCCATAAAAAGACTAGACGGGTCCTCGAGTAAGATATAATTACCATAACACAAATACCAATCTATCTCTAACTATCTATATCTATATATATGACTATGTACGTTCTTATAAAGTGTACCAAAAAGATGAAAGTCTAACAATCAAATATTTGCAACAGTCAGAAGGATGTTTGACAAGTTCCATGTTTTAGATACGTATTACAGAGCACTGAGAATCTGAAACCACAACAGCAAACTTGGAATTTAGACTTATCTAAACCACACGTTAATGGCAAATCATACATACATATATAGCCTGTTTATTTGATAATAGCAACCATTGGACACATTGGTGCGGAAATCACTTATAGTTATAGTTTAGTTTATAAAGATATCGTAACTAAAATGTATATTTATGAGTTTATTATATTCATTAAAAGGAATACTTCCAACATAGTTTAAAAGTATTAGTTAGTAGAATGTATAGAAAAATTGAACTTGCGCTAAGTACTTGTACTTCACGTTCTATTGGTTCTTATTTATGTGTTTGACGCCGATGCTCTTCCCATAAACTTTACACAGCTAATGGTAAAAAGGTAAGCGAGATTAGTAAAATGTATGTAATAAACAGAAAGATCAGTATGACGAAACAAGTCGATGTACGGTTTTAAAGACTACGACTCTAGCCCTCCGTTTTTGCTATAATTATTTCGTTCCGAAAAAATTGTCCATAGAATATTTTATAATAATAAATCAAATTAAGAAAATATAGAAGAATCTATTTAAACGGTCGTAATTATTTAACATAAGTATTTATAACTTCATCGTTTATTTTTCCTCTCTCCTCACAATCCTTAGAGGTGTCCTTATCATAAGAACAGCTTTATAGAACATCTAACTTGAAAAACTAATCAATGTCCTATTAGAAAACTTCCTCCTTATTTGTATGTAATAATTTATTTATTTATTCAAGCGCGTAGGCAGCTTTTACCATTATACAGAAATAGTCTGTATTTATACAGCGAACATATTCGATTAGAGGAGCGTTTTCTGATCTTGTAGGAAGCGAGTAACAAAAAGTTGGTTGTCACATAGCTTAATCTACATATGAAATGAAATAATTAAAAAGATAACGGTTCATACAACAAAGATAGAAGCCAATGAACTGAAACTCTTCAGTTGTCAATTAAATGTAGTTTATTTTTTTTTTGTTGTTGAATTCTTCATCTTTATTCATAAATTGAGAATCCAGAGCAAAAAAACATATTGTTCCTCATGAATTTTATTGATTATTGTAATTATTTGATATAAGTATTAACATCTGCAGATGGTGAAATTTTATTCTTCATTATTTTTTTTAAGTGTTTTTCTGTTTTTGAAAAAAACATTTTAAACGCTCATTTTTCTCACTTTTTACACAACATATTCAACCCACCGAAGTCATTAAAACACAATTAAGTTAAATATAGATGCATGCCGCAGCTTTAGGCTTGGTTTTATTTCTGCAATACAAAGTACACCGGATTGATTTTTTTTGGGGTTCATCATTTTTTCTATATGCTCGTCTTTTGTTGAAACGCATGTGTGCTAGTATGTAGTCTGGCCTCCTCTTAAATGAAATCCTGTCTACGCCCATGTTTGTATATGTATGTTTGTAAATCCTAATAAGGACACAGAATATAGTCATGTTTTCCAAATTCCATTTTATAAATTAACGTTTAATCATTATAAAATATTGAGAGTAGCGTCATTCTATATGACAACTTACACTACCTTCAATTTTAAAGACATCTTTAGTATTACACAGATTTGTATATAGTATTGTCGTATATGTTGTGGCGAATCGAATAAATGTGGTGGCGAGTGTGGGTTGCGCTAACGTAGCTACAATTTTCTTTTTCACTAATGCAGTGGGTCGACCTCGGCGACGACGTTTTCGTTGGTGTCATTGGTGGTGACTTTGGTTGCCGCTTGCATGCAGCTCCTGAAGCTTGCGCTCTTGTTCGGCTCGTTGATTCTTCTCGAGTATTAAAGCGCGACTGTGAAGAATACAATGTAAACATTTAGTTAACAATCAGGTCCAGAGCATGGTCATTACTTACCGATAACGCTCGTAGAAGCCCACAATCGTGCCCAGCTCCTGTTTAAAGAGGCGCACGAGCATGCTGTCGAAACCTTCGAGCTCCTGCAGACTGAACATGTTAAACTGTAACAAATGGTCCTTGGAGGAGTCGGCCCCAGAATAGACAGCCAACCATTTGGGTATCTCCTCGAGCAGATAGGGATTGGCTGGTACAAGAGCATTGTGTGTGTGCGCTGGTGGGGCATATAATGGCGCCTCTGGTCTTATTGTTTTTGGTGGCTCTGCCGATGTGGTGTAGACGTAGTAAGATGTGAGGCAGGGATGCTGGCGCTGGCACTGGCCTGTGTATTGATTCTCGTAATATGTTCCATGCAACTTGGACACGACGCGACGCCAGCCAACCGGCAGACCTTCACGTTCCAGTGGGTGATTCCAGTGTGTTGTATGGGCATTATGATCAATATAATATTTTCGACCATGCATGGTGAACATTGTCGCCCAGCCGGGGGGCAGTGGCAGTTCCTCCGTTAGGGACTGCTGCGAAGGCACTTTGTGCAGCGAACTGTTTCCGCTATTACCAACACCAGTGGGGGTATTTGCACTGCCAGTTTCCACAGAAGACGTTTTTGGTGCATAGAGAGATTGTATGGAGCTGGATACACCCCGCAAGCTACCAGAACTGTCACCTCGTCCGCTCAACGAACCAGAGGAAGGCACAGTGAGGTGATGTGAATTTGCCAATAGTGTGGCAGTTGAGGCAGATGTGTTGCTGTAAATGGGCGACTCTGAGCGTTGAGATTGTCCCACGCGCATGGATGAAATACGGTGGGGATTCTCATAGATTGGGTATTGTTGCTGCTGTTGTTGTTGCTGTAATGCAAAATGTGCTGGGGGTCGCTGAGATATCTGCAGCATGTTTGCATAAGATGAACTCAACAGTCCTTGATCGGCATCATAGTTGCTGGTGCCAATCTGAGCATGTGCATCTGGTGCGTGTACAAGCTTATGATTTTGATTCGTGGAGTAGCTGCGTTGAAATCCGCTTGTTGACGCTCTAAGCAGCGGCGACGACTGTTGGCGTCGCATGCGCTCAACCTGCTCGATGTTCACATAGTTACTACTATTTTGGCTTAGCTGAGTGCTGCTTGTTCGAAACGGCACCATTGATTGTGCATACAGATCCGTCTGGCGTTGCTGTGGTTTATTGTGTAGAGCAGGCGGTAGCTGACTCTGTGCTCGCCGAGCATGGTAGTAGTCCGGCTGCGTGTTGTACTGGGCAGAGTACGTGTTGCGACTCGTGCTTGAGCTTCGCGGCTTAAACTCACAGTTGGGTGAGCTGCTGGCACACCGCTGGAGCGACTTCTTTTTGGCACGCTGATCTCCGTACGAAGTCCACACATTGATTACCGGTATTTCTGGTGGGGTGTCCTTTTTTACATACTTCCCCACAACGCCCTCCTTGTGTGCTTGCGATTTCTCCTTGCTCCGGCGCGAGAGCATCGTCGGTTTTTGATTGCACAGCAAAATTGTTAGATAGTTCATACAGCGAAACGCTCTTGTTCCACCTCTACCAAGGCCGAGCTCTATCAGCAAAACTTTTTTGTTGTTGATATGTATTTGTAGTTTGGCTGAAGAACAGTCAAACTCCTAAATCAACACCAGTATCAACAGCGAGCGCTCCTCCTTTGTGATGGGTTTTCCATTATTACAAATTTAGTGTTTGTTGTGCAAATTACTTGTTGAACGACTAATGGCAGAGTTGCCAGGGCAGGCCAACTCATGGGTTCAAAATTCTTCAAGGAGCATTGCCTTCGGCAAAGGCAGTAGTCTACATCAAATTGTTCAGTTTATCAACTATGTTTAGAAGTGAAGCATTTGCTACATCACCTCTCTCGAATGATATTAGAACTTTTATATTAATTAACGTTGGCAGCCCAGTGCCGCTAAAAACAGCTGATTACTAACGAGAGACCGCTGCCTTAGGTGCGTAAACGTACATACATAAATTCATTCGATGTACTATAGATACACATGAACATTCATACGTGTTTATATATGTGCCTATATTTATATATTACACACAGATGTACATACAAAATAGGGAATGCCAATTTTAAAGATTTTCGTTTATTTTAACTGTTGTTAACATTATCGTGCTGTTACTGTTGTTTTCAGCTTAATAATTCGCATTACAGCGGCTGTATTCCCATCTAGGCACGCCTGTCGATTCATCCGTCTAATGATGACCATGAGCCTCAGCTTCGAGCTGCTCCTTAGATTTATAACCAACCTGCTCCTCTGGTGTATGGGGCCAAAACGTGGGCTTGTTAAGGGGATCCAAAGCGGTTTCGGGGAATGCATCGCGGTAATCCTCCATGGTCATTTGATCGTATGGCAACAGAGACTTCAAATGAGCGATTTCCTTTTGTAAGTTTTGAATGCGCTGCTCGGATGCCTTTTTGAAGCTTGCAATCTCGCCTTGGGTTTCCTTGATTTCAGCATCAACTTGCGGCGACACAGTGTCCTTGGGATAAGGCACGCTCAACGCATCGTACTGCTTCTGGAAACTGTCGACCAAACCGGCAACGGGCACTAAGTTCTTGTAGTACGCCCAATCAATCTTTGGAGGAGTTTCCGGGTTGGCCAAGACCGCGCGGACATAGGTATCAGCCTTGGTTTTGAAGGCTCCAAAGCTACTCTTTTGATTGGCAGGCACACGCTCGGCCAGAGCGGACCAGTTAATAGATGATTGAGCGATACGGCGGGCGGCCATAGTTTAGCAGAGTACTAGAAGAATCAATAAACAAGGTGAGGTTATGGTAGTTTAGAAAATATATTTAAATACAACATTTTATGCATTGTATGGCAAATATACTTCTTATTACTAAAGTAATATGAGAATAATTCTTGGGAAGTTGGCACAAAGCGTACATATAATTGCGTATGAAAATATTATGTAATTTAGGCAGTAGCTGCCGATTGATTTCTACTATTATTCCAGAATATGTTATTTTTTCGCCACTTTGTGTTTTCACTTATGTAGTCCATTAAATTATGCAACTTGGCTGAATTTACTCTTGCCAGATTCTTTTATAATTATTTTGCGAATATAAAATCCCGCACACTTACCACAACGCAACGCTTGAAGCACAAACGAGTGTGAAACGTCAAACTAACTATAACATTCGCTGCTCACAAAATGTTGTGTTAACAGTGCCATACGTCAATTTACATATATACATAGGTCATACATATCGTCAACATAACACACGGCGAAAGCACATCTCTATTAAATAAACAGCTGTTTTATCCCCTCGTTCTGTATGAACATCAGCTTGAACACATTTCCGAACAGAACATTAATATTAATTTATAAAGATGCTTATAAAGCAGTTTCCTCTAATTTGGCAAGTGCGTAACATCTCTTCCACAACGGCAGCGGTAACGCGTTTGCATCGTTCTATTTACTGCCGCATGTATCCAACTGTTGTTGTGCAACCGGATGGCTCTACAATAATGATTCGTTATCACGAACCTCGCAAGATTATTAAAGTAAGTTCACCGTGCGATGTCTTGCGTTAGTTATATTATTATTTTATCCCACGCAGTTGCCATTGGATTTGAGTTCGTTGTCGGATAGCGAAAGAAAAGCCCGCCTTGAGGCTCGCAAGCCTCGTAAAAAGGTCAAAATTATGGAGGAAGTGGAGGACAGTTTTAATGCAAAGAAGTACATGAAGTTTATAAACAAGAAGTAGTCGTGTATATGTGAACTTGTTATATATATGTATGTATTTTTTAGAAATATAAATATTAAAACTACCAAATCGTATTGTCGAATTTGGTATTTTATCGATTTCTTGCTTTAATCGATTGTAAGATGGAGTCAACAATGTCGATGTTTTTCTATGTTGCATCGATAATGGTAAAAATCATCGGCTGTTTTCCAGCTCTATTACTAGACTACCACTGCTATTGCTGCGCGTCGGTCGTGTTGTTTATTTAATTTCCTACTTAATCCGTGCGATTGCACATACATCAATAAATTAAGCATACAATGCTGTTAAACAAAATGTTGTGTTCTGTAACCAATTTATAAATTGACTTGATTTGCCAAAAACAAATGTCTTCAAATGAAAACTTTTTCGGATGAAAGTTGCCTATATTAAAGGAAAATAAAACGCTAAATTGTCATCGTCGCGACAATCCAAATGTATCCCAACAAATATTTTGTACGTATATCGGCATGAAAATAATTTCAAAACAAATATTTGTACATACATGTTTTTACATACCGACGAGAAAGCAAATCAAATAAGAAAAGCGAATGCAATATGCATATTTTGTGTTCAATGTATGTGTGTGTGAAGTGAAAACTACAGAAACAGCATACAATGTATGTACATACGTGAATAACGGCAACTGCTCAGATGAAAATGTACAAAATTGGATTATAAAAAGAACTGGTAAATAATTTTAGTCTACTTTGTGTAAGCGGTAAGCTGCGGAAAGCGGACGCTTTCTGTTTTTCTTCACATGGATTCTGTTGTACAACAATTTTCGATGCGTATACATAAGTATATATGTGTGTGTGTGTGTGAGTGTACCCTCTAGAACTGACAGTGGGGAATGCCTACCTTGTAAATAGAGTAAGAAAATAGGCAACACATCTGCATTATATCGCGAATAGCTTCTCCCATGCAAAGGTGGATAGTTGCAGGTCTATTTGAACGCAAAATTATCCTAATCAGAAAGGACAGACAATCAGAAAAATACACCATTGGAAAATATGCGACTACAAATTAACCCAATATGGAGCGCGACTTGTGTGAGAAAATTTTTCGCTTGATAGTATATCAAATGAATTGGCCAGCAGTTAGTGGACACTCAATAGTCAGCGAGTGGTCTATGAGTCTCCAGTCATAGGCACTACAGGGTATGAGCACACACACACACACACACATATAAGAATTCGTTCTCTTTTATGCTGCGTTTTCTGCACCGCAGCATTTACATGGCAGCGGAAATATGTACATATGTATGTATATGTTTGTATGTATGCGCATACATATGCATGAGTTTGCTTGTGAGTGCACAAGCGCTATGAATGTTAAGCGGGGAATGTGGGATGCACAGCACATACCATTAGTATATGCATACATACACACATACTTAAATATTTTCGTAAGCAGCGGAAATGTAAAAATAACACACGCACGCATTCGCAGCTAACAACAAGAAGAAAAGCCAACACGAGATTACATCTGCCGTCTTTTTCCAACCAAATATTCAAACGTTGAGACAGATGTTTTAGTCGGTGTTATTAAATGCAAAATACATATGTACATACATATGTATATTTGTAAGTACGTTCACTTGTCTTATATACATATGTATATTTACCATCCATTCATATCAACATAGTATGTACATATGTTCATGTATATGTCTGCAATTCCATTAAGCTAGAGCAATTTCCTTTATACTTGTATTGTTGCCTTTCGTAATTATTTCATACGTTCAGAGCGCCATGCTATATGAATGCTCCCATAAAAATATTTTTTTTATTACCAAGCTTAACACCTAAAAAATGTTTTTGTCTCCGGCCGTGGTGTTGTTTTCATTTGTTGTATTTGTGTTCTACTTCTTCAATACCTTATCTGTGTACAATGGAGAGTACCATTCTGACAAAACCATCATCTTATTCCATAATATCCTATTATCTAAAACATATTTAGTAATAGTAGTATGTACATCCGTTAATTTTCATTAAAATCGTTTGAGTTTGTCAATAATACATAGCTTTTCAAATTCCGGAAACGGCTTAGCTCGACCCAACGCCTGTATTTCTCTATGTAGATTAAGGGAGAGAAGATTTTTGCAATCATTGTATTCTTGTATACAAGACGCAGTACAGGCCTGCAAAACAGACTAAGCTAAGATCACGAAATCAATCGGTTTTATAATATTGAAATTCACATGCAAGTGTTGTATATATCCATAAGAATATACAAATATGTCCGTATTTATATACAAAAAAAAATTTGAAATAAAATAACTTTTAATTGGGAGCATACAGCTCGCGCCTCCATTTTATTTTTATTTTATTTGTTGTTTGTTTTCGCATCATAAAAAATGTTAAAAATAGTAACTCATACATACTATATGTACCAAAGAATGTAGGCGAGCATCTCGAATACAAATATTCCCCTGGTACACTCTGCAATATTTGTATATTGTGTAAAATGTAGGTATTGTACACACGTTTTAAAATATTTGCAAACCTGTAAGGCATTTAAAACAAAGAATATGCATTTGTTAAAAATAAATATTCTATGAAGAAATCTACTTACAGCACTTTCACTAATCAATGGGACGAAACTGCGATAAACATTTATTAGGCCCAACTGAGGATACTCTGTTGGAAATTGAAAAATACGCCACTTTACGCATTTCATGAAAATGTAATGAAACAAAGCAAACAATGTGCCTTTGTATTTGTTTTTCACTTCTTTTTTTAACCTTCCCCATCAACAACTCACAATTCATTGTTTAAATAATAATAAAAAAGCAATGCATGTATATTCCATTAATTGTGTATATATTATATGTTACATTTAAACAATTCCTCAATGATCAGCTCTTCAAAAGAAATATCAATTGAATTAGCAAGACTGCAACGCAAATAAAATTAAATTTGATTTTCTGTTGAACCTGTTAGTTGAATATGTTTTTTTGGCAGATGGGAAAGCATGCATTTTTCTTTTGCATTGTTCATAAAGCTTGTGAAACATGAATAAATACAAAATTCGTCATCTTACAAAATTCTCTACTTATTCGTAAGACCCTTCTGCCAAGGCAATTTCGTTAAACAAATCGCTTAACATTTGAATTTATTTTAGTTTTTTATTTGGTTACTTATATAAATGACTAATTTGTGCACACTAAAAATAAAGAAGAGAAATCACCGTTTACACTTACTAATCACGTTTTATTTTATCGGATAAAATCATATTTAATCACTTGTACGATTTAGTATGAACTATTGCAACGTATGTTGGAGTACTTCTTAATTCCAAATTCAACTTTAATCTGCATCGCACTCTCTCAAAGATTTTAATACTGTACTAGAATACTGCGCATGCGTATAGAACGCATCAAGATCGGATTAAGTCGGTCCAGAAACAATGCCATTATTTTGCTCTTTGTAGCTTTAACTGGGATCCCACTGGGATCACCCCAGTCTTTTTTTGCCCGCCCACTGAAGCAGGCTTCTGCTTATTAATCTTCCTCCCTTGTCCCTGGAGTTGTGTTCCTCCACAAATTGTTTGTCGGAGAAATTCTCTTGCTCTTGTTTTGCATAGACGTACAATTAATTATCCATTGCACAATCCTTTCTGGTCTCTATGTTTAATTAATAAAAATCACTTCCATCTGCTTTCAACCGAACTCTCTCTTTCCTTTCACAGCTGTGAAAGGTCGCACTGGCTAATGAACCAGGGACAGTGATTACCATCTTTCATTTGGTTTATTGCTTAATATTTAATAATTGGCGTTTTAATAAATTCTTAGATTATTGGCTTTTATAGACCATTACCTCGCGTATAAGGCTTTTTTATAACTTTTGTATTGTCATACCTATGTGTATCGACAGTTAAAAAAAAATTGCGTGTTCAGAAATTTCAGACAGTTATGGTATAGGGTGACACCATTAAAGCACAAATTCTCGGATCTACTCTTCAATACCCGGCTAAGCTCTAAAACATTGTTGTAGGGTATTTCACAGTTGGCGATCTTGCTGTTTCTGCTTGTTTGTTGTCTATTGCTGGCAGACCCCAATTGGAAGTAAGTTGTTGTTGCCAATTTCTTTTTGACAATACATACTTACGTGGCTGTGTGTGTGTGTGTGTGTGTATACTGCAAATGTTCTGTTAGATGCTCGAATGCTTCTGCGGTTGCGGGAGGTGCTTTTCTTGTACGTCGTGGTGTTTGGTCACGTGTACACATCGCCGCCCTGTTCGCTCGACAGTTAATGCGACCTAAGCTAATTTGTTTACATTTGTGGGCGAGGTATTCGGCCGGACCCCCAAAGAAAACGCCATCAATAAGATGTGTACATAGTCTTCTATATACATAGATACATAAAGCTTTTTTGATTACGACTAAGCACCAGAAGCTAACAACAAATTCTGAACATGCAATTTGGAACCAATATCTAAGTAAAAAAAAATTGATTTCAGTTTTAATTAATCGATTTGTCTGATGGAAATTACTCGTATATGTCCTTTAAAATAAGAAAAAGGGACCTGGATAATTGGTCTAAGTTTTGTACTTACCGATGTTCTTCGCCTTATTCCGATCGACTCGTCCTTTCATACATCAAGAGTAGACTTTTAGTGTTTCATACCTGATAGTGTTTCCCTATTGAGTACGTCTCGGGGTCGTACTCTGCTTATAGTTTAGAAGTAGACCCTCAAAAAAATTGGCTATTTTTTGTAAACATGAATATTGGTATGTTACTAAACCGCTAACGGACACCTTCTTATTTTTTATTAAGAAACAAGCAAGCTTTTCAAATAAGCGCTAATGCTTGATTTTCATGAAACAATTAGCAATTGACTTAGTTAATTAAAATAAAACGGGTATTTTATGAACTGTGAACTAAATAGCCGGTCAACTGTTTCACTGATAATAACTCATGCCATTTAATGGGTGGATGTGTGCATCTTAAAAATGCTTCAAACTTCACAACAAAGTTAAATCTTGAGTCGACCTGAAATTTCCCAAAACACAACGTTAAGAGAAAAACCGGTCATCCGAGTTTGTTGACCAATGTATGCGGCTTATGCGCAACCTTGGGAAATTCAACGGCATTTTCGATTGCGCATTTTGAAATGTGTTTGGCCATAGAGTTTTGATCATTTTTTTAAATGCAAACATAATACATTCATGCACAATACGAAACATCAAATATTGTTTCATTTAATTGAATTTGGTGACGTTTTTACTACAGTCTTGCACATTTTATAATGCTTCGCTTTGTATATTTTTGATTATTGGTTTTTATATCTGTGTCTCTCTGCAACAGTCAAGATAATGCATTCGACTTGTGTTTTGTAACCTATGTATACCTCGTACCTGCATTGTTGCGAAATCTTATCTAAGGCCTAGAGGGAGTCGTTCCAGACCCCACAAAGTATGTATACACAAGAATATTTGCATAAAAAGTATGACTAAAGAAGCTTCACATAAGCTTCACCTACCCGTCTGTGCCGTTTTATGAACAAATAATTAACGGAACGTACGGAGATAAAGCCTACACCTATGGCTGGGGACAAACATTAAAGAATTAAACATTCAAAGGAGTATTGTAGGGTCCATTTATTCGACAAAGAAAAATGTAAATCATGGTAAAAATTAGATTTTTAGTTAAACGACTAAAATCCGGTTCTTACTGACCTTAATTGAATTTAAATGAATTTAATATCTCTATGTAAAAGTATATGTATATGTGCTTGTAAGCACCTGAAGCACATTAGCAACAGCGGCCGCCGGCAGAGCCTAGGCAGAGGTTACATTTATGGCTGTAATTTCTTTAACAATCAAGCCGTTAAAAAAATGCAATTGTTAAATTTATAATCACAATACCAAGAACTACCGGAGTTATTCAAAAATTCTTTGGCGGAGAAGTGGGGGGATTTTTAGTAAACGTAAACGTGCTCATCCTTGTGAATTAACGAATCTAGAAATCTATTCTTCAATCAAAATGCGATGATACACTTTTAACCAAAAGCTCATTACGGATTGGGTGGATACTTGAACTCATACTCACAGACGTATGAACAGACGGGGATGTCTATAACGACTTGCCTTAGTATGCTCATCAAAAACACATATGTATACTTCTGGGTGTTACTTAAACTAATCGATTTCGTGATGCCCTTTTAGCGAGGTCAAGGCTCAAGCGATTATTTCACAACAAGCGCCAACTTTCCCCTGCTCGATACCGCGAATACAAGAATCGAAGCACAATTGTAGTCAACATTCTCTTCACATATGACTTTCCAAAACAGATGGAAACCCTTTTAAACTCCTTTGAATGTTAGTCAGTCGTCTCTAAATTTGTTGTAAACTTATTGTCCAATTATTATTAAATTGCGATTAATTGATGCTAGGGAGATATTTAATTTCATAAATATTATGAATTAACCCACATTTTGGATGACATCTGAGATGATTGCGGATTTGAATTGGCCAATCATTATCATTGTATAGAATAGAACTTTCTATTGCCATAAGCTGCACCTCTAGAAATAAATAAAAAATGTGCTTGAAGTTATTATAACCAAATTTAAAATCAGATTCATTCCTCTTACATTGTTGTTGGTTTTTTTGGGCCGTTTTAGAAGTCAATTTTACGTGAATTTTTCCAGTTGACGCAATCTTATCGTAGCATTCCTGATAAAAGGTGCAAATCAAATTGCTAACATTTTTGCTTCTCCTTGAGATTATATTGTGCAATAAAAACAATACAGAAAACAAAAAAAAGTTCTACAAACTTATCTTCGGCTTCGGTGAAGCTGTACGCCCTCCGCTGTCAGGTTTCCGACTCATCCATTTTTTTTTTTGTTGCTCACATGTTTCTCCAATATAAATTATTATAACGCTATTTACGAGAAATGGCCCACTATCTGCCATCATAAAGCATTTTAATTCTTCCATTGTCATTATCAGGCATTAATAAATTAGGTAATATTGTTAAATAGAATAAAGCACAACATGCAAGTTTTTTTGAAGGAGAATGCTAAAATATTAACTCCGATTCAAATGTGATAAATTTGACAGATGTAGCTATAACTCTTAAAATGTATTCTCATTAGGGAGTACTGCGTCGATTTTATGGAAAAAAGTAGAGATTATCATTCAAATGTTATTTATACAAAAAAAAAAAATTTAAGAAAAAAGTGAAATTGTTTTATAATTTACAGATATGTTAAAAGACGGAATAAATTCCCACTTTTTTGTCCCTAGGAAATTTCCTTAAGGAGGCTTCTTATTATTAATCTTCCCTCAAGCCGAGTTGTCTGTCCCAGCACAGCTTCCCGGACTGTGTAGAAGTCTTCCCTTAACCATGTCAGAGACCCATACACCCATACATATGATGTCATTTTATGCTCAGTTTAATAAATTACATATAAAAGTACGAAATCTTGAAATTATAGCTTTTTTGTGATTTAAATGTGATTGCGAATCTGGGGCAGGGGTAGAAAGGTGCAGGGTATACAAGAGCCGGGCGCGTGCAACTCTAACGCTCGACAATTTTTTGCCACTTATCAAGCATTAAAGCAACAAAAAGCATTTTGTGTTTCGGTATCAATATTGCTGATAAGCACATGCAGAAAACCAACACTTTGCTATACATACATATACATACGTACATACAAGTATGTAGTACATACATACATAGTTGCTATGACAACGGGGTGAGTCGACTTTGACCCTGAATAGTTAATTAGCACGTTAAGGAACCGCGAATTCTATAGTGAGCAGCTTATAGCTTATGGAGACACTTTTCTAATTACCTTTTTTAAATTTCTTACGTAAGTAAGAAATAATGCGTCGGCTATAAATCATACGCATATGTATGTACATACTTGTATGTATGAGTTAAAACGCGATCATGCGACTCATACTCCATTGCGTAATTCCTATCAATATTTGTATATGTATATGTATTGTGATTGCTCTATAACAAACAATTGACTAAAAGTGAACAATTTTTTTGATTTATATTTTGCAGGCTTCCATTGACATTGCGCTTCCTGTGCAGGAATTTTGCCCTTCCAAAACATGCAACAAACCGTGCCAACAACATACATATTATTAACTAAATGAATAAAAAGCGGAGTTTTTTGTCAGCTTCAGATGTAACAAAAAATTCCTGGAAACATATTGAATATATGTATATACCTATTACATGCATATGTTGAGAGATTTTGGGTGTCTAATATTTTGTTGGTTTCAAAATTATTCAAGTTGTCAAATTTTCATTTGCACTCCATTCGTCTGTTGATGTCTCGTGCAACGTGCGCTGTGTATTTAAACACAAAATAAGAATCACAAAAATAGACTGCTGAACTGTAAACGTGCTGGTGTTTTGCTGTTGTCCTTGTGTTCTGTGTGTGCCAATGTGGTGGTCCTCCATAAGTCGAACAGGTACAGCAGGGCTTCAACGGTGCTAAACAACGAGCTGGAGCTACCACGGAAGTATACCACAACACCTCTTACACTACACAGGAAATATATTCGGTGTAGTTGATAACGATGAGCTTGAATCAACATAGTGGACCTGGGCCACCAGAGAAGGATCAACGCAAGCAAAACAGCCAGAAGCCGGGCCACCAAGCGGACTCTGGCATGTGTGCAACAGCGTCCCACGAGGGTACTGGCCAAGGTGCTGGTACTGGTGTCGCCCACCCGACTGGCAATGAAATTACAGTGCGTTTCAATGGAAACAGGCTGCCACCGTCAGTCAACCGCACCATTTCGTCAGATCGCCTCGTAACCGGATCATCCTGCCTCGCCCTTCGCACTGCTGTGTCAGCACTGTATTCCGTGGATGACTTTGTAAAGGAAAAAATCGGATCCGGATTTTTCTCCGAGGTTTATAAGGTCAGTAAATTGAATGTTTTTTCATGCTTTCAATAAAAAGCATTCATTGAACCACAATTCAATTTTTTTTTTGACGACACTTTCATTTTTCGTCGGCGCCTGCCACGCTACTAATATTTACACAATATTAATTAAACTTTTTAATTTTTAATTGCTTAATGCCGCATCTTCCACATCTACTCCATCTCTTTCTTGCTACGCAATGGCGAACAATAGTTAGTAATTGCTATTTGTGCGCCTACAGAAACTGCTCGTGTTGGGCTGAGAAATTGTTAAGAAAGCAACAATACTCGTACATATTTCATATTTCTGTAAAATGTGTTTTAGATTGGTTTTTGAAATTTTTGTTAGCCTGATCCAAGAAGTAATGAGGGGAACTAACAAGCATTTGCTTTGACTTTTTAAACACAAAAAATGTCATTGACACCAGCCCAGGTAGCCGTAATGGTGTGATGATAAATGTCCTTTTACACAATTCGCTTAGTACTCTGGGGTTATTCCAATTTTCAATGTAAATTAACTCTTAAACTATTATTTCCCTGATGGACCTTTAACCGAAAAGCTGTAACACGTCTTAAGTGAGGAGTAAGCTAAATAGAATATATGTTACAAGCAGCAATCAGGTACAAGCAAGATAGAAAACGAAACCTGTACGGAACCATACCAGAACCAAAGCAGTTGGCTAAGAACTAGTTGAGTGTACACACCATGTTTACATGTCCAGAGTATTATTCTTTTTGGAACCGAACATGCTTTGGAAGATTTGCGAGTACAAACGTTTTGCGTTGAAACAATTGGAAGTGCAAACAAATTGTGGGAGGTTAGCGACCCTAAAAGGATACTTTTCTTTTTAATCTCCAACTCAACTCTTTATCGCACACCTATCGCAAGCAATTATATAGGTGATTAAAAATAAGAAACTATGCGCTCCTTATTATTGGCAAGAGTTACACAAATGGTATTGCTATTTTAAATAAAAACGTTGATAGTTGGCTCCAAACATTTTTCAAAAGGGATTCCATCTTTCCCCACTTGCGGGTTGAATTTGCTCAAATTCAACCATTACCAAACACCGCTATTTATCGAACTGCAGCCTTGCTTAATCAATCTTTATATAAGATATTACATATTGTATGAGATAAAGGTATCTCTAAGTAAACACTACAAATTTTGGAGAACTATAAGAAAATCTGATGTTTTTTATAAACAATTTTACGGCACAGAGGTGGGTGAATTAAGAAAACCATATGAGTGCGCAGAGTTAAAATGATAAAATATGAATAGTGGCTCATTTCCAGTTGCCCAGTCAATATTTTTATTGACAGCAGCCAAACCAACGTTACCGCATATGTAAAAACATGTTGGTGGTGATGTATAACATACATAACAACAGGCCGGTGAGGCAGAGCAGGCTGAGATGATGTGAATGTTTTTAGGAAAGCTGCCCGTTGCTGATTCGAGTGAAAACTCGTTTATTTCATTTTTTGTTGACTGACTGCGCTTCCAATTGGGTTCAGTGCACCGATGTCTATAGACTGTAAGGCAGCGTTGTTAAAAGAAATGTTAAGCTTTTAAATGCATTGAATGTAATAGTTGAGAGCACATTTTAGGCAAGATGATACGTTTCGACTGATCATATTTAAGTTAAACATATTAATGGTTGTCTTATTGCTTCTTATACTAAAATGTTAAAATGAAAAGAAATCTGGAAAAAGAGGAAATTTCAAATACAATTCAATGCAATTGTAGTTGCAGATTTATTTTTATACATGCTGTTATAAGTGTTCCATTATATTAGCTAGGGAACTCCATCTGCAGCAGCAAAATATTTCCAGTTAGAGATATTTTTCACGGGTATGTCAGAAAATTCAAACCCCAAATGGCAAAAGGAAACAGGGCAGATCCTCGGATAAAGACTTTATGCACAGCGATACCTTTTGAGCCACAACAGTTAGATAGTTAGATATAAAAAACGTAGTCGAAAGACTTGTCTTCTCCTTAACCAACAGTTTATTGATCATCGTTTGGTATTTATAAAATTTCGTATTATTAATATTATTAATAAAGTCAAAAGATTGGTGCAGGGTACCAGCTATAATTTATCAACCAGTAGCTAAGCCCTACTTCAAGAAGCCTATTTTAAGATGACACTTATTATTACATAAAATATATTTTCACCATTTGTTGTGTAAAATTGTTTATTAATTAAGATTTGTAACTACTATTTATAATTTCTAACATATAATCCTTTACAATGTTTATTTTGTTCTGGATAGTATTCATTTAATAGAATTCTCCAATATACTAGTGTTTATGGGGGGAAGGCTTCTTCATGGCCTTTTTGTGTGTTACACACATCCCTAACTATTTGATATACCCTTTCACCATTTAGCTGCAGGGTATATATATTAATAAATTCGTTTGGAGCAACACTAAAGACTGAGCAGACAAACTAATGTGAATGAAAAGAAACAAAGCCATTTATGTGCACTTTCTATTTAATTTTAGCCACAATACTGGCGACACAGCGACCGAAACACAAAAGAAAAGTGATGGTGCAAATGATGAGGCTTTGAGTATTGGTAGCATTATGTTCATTCATTCATCCATTGTATAAATATTATTTTGAACTGACTACATGTTTTAAGATTAAAATGAAAAGGTCGCATAGTATCTGAGCCCGCCAACAATAACTCAAGTGAAGCGCAACTAAGTCTAATTTTCCCATCAAAAACAATAAAGACATAAAAATTTATGAAATGTAATAAAAAAGAGAAAAACCACCTGAAGCTACTAGTATTTAAGGTGTAGCCTGGTGTTATTTCAAGTGCGACAGACACGAGCTTAAAAATCCCGCTGAAATCGTTGTGCGAGGGGATAGATATGTAACGACTGTTTCGAAAAATGTATTTAAAACTGAATTAGGTATGTGTACATTTCAGGCATGTAGATACGCTTTATCTCTGCAGATTAATTCAAAGTATGTATTTCCGTCGATCAAATTTCGCAAACAACTCCCTCAATGATTTTGTACGTATACAAGTATTATGCAAACCGACTTTGTGTATTTAGAAATTATTTCCCCTACTTGAGGTCGAATTTTCCATCAGCTTTGTGTACTTTTTTCAACTTCAAAGAATCCTTAGCTATGATGCCTGTAATGTGTCAAAACAAAACGTTTTCGTTTATGGTTTATGTCAACAAACATATATTTATGTTAGGTAACCACCAAACTTCGATTATAAACATATGCACGTGTATTTCGACTTTGATTAATCTGCGACTCTCCAGTAAATGTGCTAATAAACGGCTTATGATTCTTCTAACTGGTTTCAGAATTAAATACATATTTTGTAGAGCTAACGCAAACATTAAATTGCTTCTTTACAAAGAAGCCGCGTGCTTGTTTGATAATAACTGAAAGCAAGTTAGCAAGAAATAAAAACGTACAACGGAACACAAGTATGAAAAAAGCAAACTAAGTAGGTTAAATTCCACTCAGTGGAGCCGAGACTGCAGCTAGCTCTTTCTCTAGAAACTTGTTCTGGTTTGAGCTACCTATGGCTAAAACGGACCTGCTAATAAGTAGAATGCTTTAAAAAATTGTATGTAGGCTATTACTAGCCGCCTAGAGATTGCCCAATGAAAGCCAATTGCTCTTCAATTTGTTTAATTACTTTTGTTATGAAAATCAATTGAACATTTGGGGACTCATTGCCAACCCAAAGTGAGAGAATTATATAATCTTTGAAATGTTTGTAGCTTATAAACAAAACAGTAGCTTATGAAAGAAATTATGAGTCTCCGAAATGAACACAACTAGAGAAGAATATTATATTTATGTGTTTAATCTAATTACAAGAGCTTGCTAGTAACCTACCTAGATAGCTGTGTCCAACAAATTAATGGGCTACCAATATGTTGAATTAATAAAAATAAATGTATAAATTAATGTGGCTGATGTAAAAATACCTAGAATTCAAAATTGTAGCATTCAATCTATTCAAGACACACGTCGATATGTCCATTCAAATGTAATAAAAAATATCTTATCTGTGGGTTTGATGTCAAGTGTTGATAAACAAATAAATTTTTCCAAACCGCAATAAAGTTAACACCTAATTGATGTCTGGCTAATAAGATAAAACACTTAGTTCGTTCCTCGAATAAGGAGCTACCGAATTATTTCCAAAGAATTACAATTCCAAACTGACGTCAAAAGTCGATCAGAGGTAATCGACATCTCATGTGGGGAGTTGGCGTTAAGTGTTGGTAATCGAACATCTTATTTGTGGTCAGGTCGCACGGATAACAGTTAACTGGTGGAGAGATGACGTTACAATCAACCAATTAGCTTTCTTTGTCCAATGAGTAGACGGTTGGGATGGGGGAATTGAAAACTCATCGAAAAATCTGTCTGCCAAATTTAAATTTTCCACATACATATGTATATAAATAATAAATAATTGTGCAAAGCGTTGGGCAAACATTGGAATGTTCTTGTACTATTATTCTTCTTTTCAATAAACCCTCTAGCCAAATGCCCTAATTACATGATTTTTAATTTGAGACCATTGTTCTTTTATCGCCTTTTTACTAGCAATATAACGATAATTAACGACACACAATTCGTACTTATCGCTTTATTATTAACTCGGGGCCCACGCGCTTGGCATTTAATTCACCTTCAGCATTACCACAAATCATTTTCCATTTTTTCCATAATCCAACAAAGTGTTGTTAATCAGTATTTCAAGCCAAGTTCGTCGTATGGGTATAAACGATAGGCTTTCCAGCAGTATGTGAGCTATAATCACCAATCGATTTGCGCCTGTTCTGATTTTCTACAATGCTCTCCTCACTCGTTCTATTAGTGTAATTTCTTAATTGCAATTTTGTCCTCAATTTTGGCAATTAATACCTCATGTCAAGTTTTATCGTTATCAGATAATGTTATTGCTGTTTTGGTCCAAATTCATACATAAGTAGTAGGTAGAAACCTGAAGAAAAATGTATTGAATTGAACATAGACATCAATAAAAATAGACTGTAAGTTTTGTATGTATTTTCTTTCTTAGCATCGAGTGCTATGCTTTCTGCAAACCATCCTTGAAGAATTTCAATACAAAATCTTTTTCGCCCAAGTTGGCGTCGGCGGTAGAACTTTTATGCACAGGACTTTTCAACACTCGTCGCAGATATTAGACTTCCCAAAAAAAAGGCCCATGACCGGTAGTGTGTGTATTTTCTATGACAAGTGTATGAATACGTATGAATAGTGGTATATGGTGTATAATTATACATACAAAAGTTTTGCCATAACAACTTTCGTTGTTGTAGTCAGCTGTTGAATTGGTGAGAGTTTGGAAAACCCGTTGAAGTTGTTTTGCTTTTTTATTGCTTTCAAATTGTTTATATGCTAGGCAACAAAACATGTGGCATGTACTTAATAGTCCGCCACTTTGCTTTGATTAATAACGGGTAACGGACTACTGACTACATTTTTGCAGCGGCATTTTTAATTTTCTTAGTCTTTCACAAAATTATGAACACAATTGAATTACCAGCTGAAGGGCCCACCTTGCAACACAATGCGAGGAACGTGGCTACTTGATGGATATGATGTGACGTTCAAAAGATTCGGCGAATATCGCTGCATCGTTTCTTTGGTGTCTTTTCTAAAAAATTGTTTCTATAACTTTTTCAAATCCATATATTGTTTTTATACACCCTATAGTTATAAAGTGTGTATGATCTAGTCGTCCTCCATAGGTTATCTGGCTAAGCACTTTTGAACGACTGGCAGATCAAAGGCCTTCATTCCAAGTACTAAACCCTTTTACAATCATAATAAAAACACATTTAAAGTATTTTAATAAAAGCACATTTATCAAAAGTTATCTTCAACGTTTTCGCTATACAACTGGTTTATTATTACATTCACCTGCATTGAACTTTGGCGACTTTCTTAGCTTAGAATGAGTTGTGTTTTTGTGCTTACTCGATTTGAATATTTTCATTACCTTTAATTCATGGTTAAATCCAAACGCTCTATTTGTGTCTTACAGGTCACGCATCGTACAACTGGCCAGGTGATGGTTTTAAAGATGAATCAATTGCGGGCCAATCGTCCAAATATGTTGCGCGAAGTTCAACTTTTAAATAAGCTGTCACATGCAAATATATTGAGGTAGGGCTAAAAGAAGCGCTATAATATTACATCAGCACAGTTATTATATATATGTATATTGTTTGTTTGATTACTCCATTCTAGTTTTATGGGTGTTTGCGTGCAGGAAGGGCAATTGCACGCTCTGACTGAGTATATGAACGGGGGCTCGTTGGAGCAGCTGCTGGCCAAAGATGAGGTGGTACTGAGTGCCACACAGAAAATAAGACTGGCGCTAGGTATAGCGCGCGGCATGGCATACGTGCACGACGCAGGAATTTTTCACAGAGATCTAACAAGCAAAGTAAGTTGAATTGTTTTATTTCCATCCAAAAAATACCAAATAGTGTCACTTGATGAAATCGTAGAATGTGCTTATCCGCAATTTACCAAATGATCAATACGAAGCGGTCGTTGGCGATTTTGGCCTAGCTGCAAAGATACCAGATAAATCGTAAGCTCAATCCAACTTTCTATGCATGTCCAAGTCGACATTAACGTTCATTACTATAACAGTGGGAAAACGCGTCTCGAGACTGTCGGGTCGCCATATTGGGTTAGCCCGGAATGCCTAAAAAGCCAATGGTACGATCAGACAAGTGATGTGTTTTCATTCGGCATCATCCAATGCGAGATAATAGCCCGCATCGAGGCCGATCCCGATATGATGCCGCGCACGGACTCGTTTGGACTAGACTACTTGGCTTTTGTGGAGCTCTGTCCGATGGATACACCTCCAGTATTTTTAAGACTGGCTTTCTACTGTTGCCAGGTAAGTGAGCAGCGAAATCTTTGCACCATTCTACCATTTGACTAATTAATCTGACGTTTGCAGTATGCTCCGAAAAGTCGACCAACTTTCCATGATGCCACAAAAAAATTGACACTGCTATTGGAAAAATACGAACATGAGTCAACGTACACAAGCCCCCTAAGCTCTTTGGAACTGATGAGCTGCTCGCCAAACAGCAGTGATACTGAATACACAAATTCCAATATACCGACTGTAGGAAACATCTGCACGGCGCCAGCGGGCGTGTGTTCATCGCAAGGCTTCCAATTTCCAATACATAATGGTATTTGCAAGCCAGCGTCGACAGACTTACCAAACTCGCCTAGCGGCTCAGCCGGAAGCAGCGAATTCGATGAGTGCATGTTAAAGTCTCGCGTACGGCGAGCCACACAAAAACTGGAAGCGGAGATATTATTGCACCGTCGGTCGCTTAGCGAAAACATAATACACTTTCCACTGCACACGTCTCCAAGTGACAAGGCGCGCTGCCATCAGATGCAGCGCCAACGCTCATCAACGCATTCGCCTACACCTCCCCGTCAGCTAGCTGGTGTCAATCAAAAAATAGACTTGGTAAAGCCCATTACAAATGCACCCGAGCCACCGTCATCACTGTGGGCCGTATTAACGCTGAGGAAGGTAGGCGAAACGATGTGCTTGAAGGACCCGCATTATAAACCCATGTCCAGCAAGGATCATGGCTCCAAGCCTAACCCCTTCACAGCGCTGGCACAGCTACGGGGGGTGAAAAAAATATTAGGTGCCAATCCGAAGACGTATGCGGCCGGTGTGGGCGACCTGTTTAGTTCTTGCTTCGAAATGTCGGCGCCTTTCTTTAAGGAACTTGTTGCATTGCAGTGCAAAAGTCAGGTGAGGAGTACAGAAATTGACGGCAAGCCAGCGACAAAGGCATCAAAAACAACGCATTTCGAACCAAAGAGCTTGCCGGTATCCCCGCAACTGATGCGCAAATACAGCGCCATTGAACTGAAGCTGCCACAGCGCGTCGCTGATGCTGCAACTGCAATGTGTCCAACAACAGAAAAGGGCTTTGAGGAGGATGACTGCGATGACTGCAATTCGGAGGGAGAAGATCCGGACTGCGGTGGAAATTGTGCCGATGCAGAGGCTAGCAGTGATGATAGTGCCGGGCCTCACGCGACTCATCCCACTGCGCGTAAATATCGCGCGAACTCGCTATACACGCACCCGCTTTTTCGAGGAAACGGCGTCGTCAGTATGAAGAGCAGTAACAACGAATCCGATGTGGAGCCGCAGCTCAAAGCAAGCTCATCGACAGTCACTCTGATAAGTGCCCCTCTCGGCACCGATAGTAACTCCTGCGAGGACATGGCCGATTTAAAAGAGCTGCATAGCAGCAGTGCATCGACGGCTTCCTATGCAGCTCCCCAATGTACAACCTTATCTGCCCTTTCTACGACTCCTGCTGCCTCTATTTCGTCATGCACCGATTTTGAAGAGCTCGAAGCAAAAAAATATTGTGAATTGCCCCTAAGCAAGAGTCTAACGCGTCGGGATTCAATAGAAAGTGGATTTTTTTCGTGCTTCAATGAGGAGTCGGACGTCGCCAACGCCGCCACAAGTCATAGTCTGCAACTGAATGGCATCAATGCGCTAGGGCCTGGCTGCGAGGTCAACAATGGTAGTTGTTGCTATAGCCAGGTGACGTCTCAACGTATACTCGAGCCAGACTGGGGCGCAAGCAATAAACTCAAGTAAGTTGTGGCCCATAACATACTTGTATTTATTTCATGACGAATGAAATTTTGTTTTTATGTTTAGTGACAAACTAGCGAGTCTGTGCCGTTGCTGCTACTATGCGACCTCTACTGCAACAGGTTCAGCCAAAGCCCCAGTTACTGCGGCACCTACTCACCGCACCTCCTCCTCCAATTGTACGTCCATGTTACTTGGTGGCAACGATGGCTCTGTGGTCAGCGGCCCCACACTGTCGGCTGTAGACCCTGAGGCCATGGATGACTTAGGGGCCGACTTGACTGCATCCCTTCCGTACCAGCGTCGCTACAATTGTCATCATTCACTGCTTTGCGGTAATGTGAGCGATCCACAATTGTCCGCGACGGCAGGACTAATAAATCATCTAGCTCTTGATACTGAAATACAAACACTCCTCCAACGCGGTCCTTTCACCACTAACCAACTCCTATATTGTAAGAATCGCACCTCATCCATTTATACGGACAGCTCAGATGACATAAGCAGCCTTGCTGGTTCCGATTCGCTTTTATGGGATGATCGCTCTTTTACAGCGCTTCCAATCACACGGTCAGCTCAGATAGCAAAAATCGTAGAATATTTCGAACGTAAGCGACAGGACTCCTCACCACCTTCCCTGCATCATCGCAACGGTAATGGAACAGTCGCTGCTGCAGTGGCTGCATCGGCGCTCGGCTCAAAATATTTTTCTTATGAAGCTCGCCGTTACTCAGACTTTAAGCGGCATCTAAATGCGGACACGCTGTGCTTCGACATGGAGAAGAAACCGGCGCAACAGCGTATGATGGTGTGTGAGGGGGCGGTCAAATCAAAGCTGCCTATTTTCGATAAAAAGAAGCAGCAGCAACAGCATTATCAACCGACTGGTAGTGAGCACGGAGGTTAGCCATAAGACTGGCATAACAATGTTTTACAACCACTTTTTAAACAACCCTTTGTCACACATCAAACAATTTTTATTCGACCCTGTTTAACAAGAATACAAAAAATAGTTCGCCTAACAAAACACTAACTTTTTCTGGTCATTTCTCATTTTCAGTTCATCGCATTTTCCGAGTTATTCATTGTGTGAAGAAGGAGAAGTCATATACTATATAAAATGAGTCATTATTTTAGTGAAGATAAACTGCGATTTTGGTCTACTGATACTAATTATCAAAACAACACATATTTTTCTTACACAATTCGCATATAGTACAGACATTTGTTAAATCATGTACTCCAAATTTACTTATGTACTATGTGTGTACAATTCTAGAAATTTGTTAGCTGAATTGCCTCCTAAAATACGATAAAGCCCTGTTCTCTTCATTGTACTATTCTTACCTAACTTATATACATACTTAAGAGTAACTTCTGTATAAACCTTCACTGTTCGTTCATAGGATCATATTTATTTAAACATATTTAATAAGAGTTATATGAAAAATGTGTGTAAAAGCACTAACAATTAGAGGTTGTAAGGCTAAAATATTTTATATAGAAAAAAAAAAAACGATAAATGTGCAGCCACCCCATTGTGGTTTTTTTTGTTTTTTTGTTAATGTCGTAAATTCTGCTGAACATGGTATTTATAAAGATTATTTTACTTTAACTATTTACCTTTACTTTTCTGTTATTATATTTTAGTGGTTATGTAAGAAACTTCTATAAATTTAAATTTCGTTTAAGATAGATTGAGTATTGCGGTCTTGGTATGAAAAATATTTAAAACATGTACATATACTATAAATACATATATCGATAAAAAAAATTATTTCATGAAAACTTATGTCTGATTTTATATGAAGTTTGGTATACACCCAAAAGCATTTATAACTTTCCAGTTAAATATCCATTTTTTTTAGCAAAACATTTGACGAAAAAGTTCCTGAGCTAAGAGATATCGTAAAATGTATTTTAAAAGTTCTTGTAAACAAAAGACTGGGAAATATGCGTATTTCAATAAGAGTATTGTAATAGAGCTTAACAGATATATATGTAGGATTTAACAGCAAATGAATTTCGAGGGGAATAATACCGTATAGAAATATTTGAAAATTTGATTGATTTTTAAATATGGGCTCGAGTTTGACAAGGAATGAGAACTCGTCATAACTACGAATTCAAAGAAAAGCTAGATTGAGAAAATAGAATTATGTGATTTAGGTTATAAATTTGTCATACCTACAATATTGCATAACTTGTGGATCGTAGACGAAAACCAAAATAAGTAAATAGGATTTAGAGTGAAGGTTTTGGAAAAATAGAAACGAAAAGATATATTATAACAGTCAAAGCTATATAAATTGGCGCACTCCAACACAACTTCTTAGCTTCTTTATATCCCAATTCCCCCAAAATGTGGCCATTTGTTTTAATAGACTGCCCATTAAGTTCAAGAAATAATAAGGGAAAATCCAAGATTCCGACAAAAACGAACTAAATGAATGATGTTTAAATATTTATTTCTTAAAACACTTTAAAATTTTGTTTAAAAAAATTGCAATAATCATGCACATGTATAAGTTCTATTATTTATAAAATTTTTGTTCCCTTAAATTCGCAACCAGGCTTGGTTCAGCACTTGATTTTAGTGGCAATGATAATTTGAAAGTATGGGCTGAAGAGATTATTACGATCCTAACCAACAACTATATTGAAAGGGTTCCTTTTTCGTGTATGTAAGTTTTAACGTTGGAGTTGAGTTGCAATTATTAATTTTCCCAACACGATTTATTTTATTCAATAATGGCGATTCGAGAATCCAATCAGAACTTCGAGTTTGTCCTTCTAATCAGATTCACAAAAGCCGTAAAGAAATACATTTGTCGGAGTCCATTGATTTTAAGTGGAGTTTGGCTTACAGCTACAGCGTGAATCAATAACTAGATTACCACATTATTTGTTTAAATGCCGTTACTCATTTTATATGAGCTTCGAATAAATAATATCTACAAATTTAATGTAAATTAAATATAACCGCTGTCTAGTGCCGTTAACTCAGCTCAGGCTCCGCGGCCCCATGCGTGGCACATTCCGGGGGCTACCCTTGGTCTTTGCAGTCTTCCGAGCGTCGTCGACATTTTCGTCTTCCCCGAACAGCAGGGCGGCCAGGCTAGTCTCGAAGGTTGTGGCTTTTCGTTGTGGAGGAGTCACGGAATCTTCTGCTCCATTGGTTATTGGTCCCTTCTTAGTGGGGGACGTACTTAAAATGGTGCTGAGCGTCAATGGGGTTGGGCTACTGGAGGAAATCGTTGTCTTTGGACGGGTTGTAGGAGCGTCCAAGTGGATTTGCGTTGCGTTTTGACTAACTAATGGTAATGCTAGAGGCTTCTGCGTGTTCTCCAATACTTTCAGTTTTTCATTAGTGGGAGTTTTAGGTTGCTCTCCTCTCTCGATGTTGAAGTTAGGTGGATATATTGGCTTGAAACCGCCCTGCAGTTCCGGCTTAAAACTGTCCAAGTCGATGGACTTCTCCGTGGTGTTTTCAACCATAACCCCCTCTGTATGCCTTTCCTCTACAGGCTCGACATCGGCACGATTAATATTATTCTTTTCGTATACTGAATGAGCGGTCGTTGTGGGCACAATGCTCCAGCTGTTCAGAGGAGAGTTCATTGGCGTGGCATCGCTCGCACCGCCTACACTAATACTGGGGTAAAAAGGGGCCATGAAATCTCTCTCAAAATTTTGTCCTCGCAAATTAAAATTTGCACTTAGATCGTCCTCCGTTTGCGTGTCACTATTTCGTATTTCGTTGATAACTGGCGTGGCCAAGTTTACGTTTGAGAATTGTTGATCCCTTTCGGCAACGTTGCGAAGATACGGTTGCTGCTCTGTTGGTGTGTAGGCAATAGCGATGGGCACCTCTGTTCCACTATTTAATGCATCCCTAATAGGTGCAATCAATACGCCTTGCACCGACGCCTTCGGCTGCAACTCAGTTAATGACGAATCCGGTTTCTCAATGGGATAGGGGAAGTGGCCGCTAGGTATTTTCTCAACCTTGGGCTGCTGCGGTTGAAGTTTCTTATTCTTAAGAATCGGCTCCTGCGGCTGGTCGTGTATGACAGAGAAGGGTGTGTTCTGATACTCACTACCGGTGAGTGCCTCCGCATGAGAAAAAGATAGCGACGGAGCTTTCATATTTTCACCAGCACCGGCCTTATTTAATTTCTCGCCACCATTGGGAAACACAACGTAGAGGCCATTCTGTTCGTTAGGTGAATACGGTTTCATTTCTTGTGGGTCCATGTCGGCCGTCACTTGGATCTCGCCGGCGCCGGTATCATCATTCGGCAAACTCACCGGCTTTTTCTGCGAGTGAAGCATTTGAAGTGTGACTACAGGCTCTAGTTTCTTCTCATCGCCGCTCAAACGTTCCTTGCTGGACGTCACCGGCTGTGGTGGGTCATTTATAACCAAGTCCTCCTCCTCGAAATTGTATAGCCCGGTAGATGCGCCTGAGGGCGCATGCCGCTCTGTTAAATGCACGTTGGGGCGAGGAACATGCAACCGTTCAGAAGGAGGCTGTGGCCCCTGTTCTCCATAGGGCGAGGGCGGTAGTCGATAAACTCGTCTATTTATATCGACGCCATTGGGTGGTGGACTTAGTGGGTATTCAGGCTTTCTGTTAAGAGGGTAACGGCTCTGGAGCTGCTGTTGAGCTAGGGGCTGGCGGCGGTGTGCGAACTGCGGAGGCGCCCCGGTATTATATGGACGCTTCATGCCCTGTGCGACTCTGTGCACGTTACTGGGATCCTGCTTATATTTAAGCGGATGGGCATTGGAAATTTTGGCGTTCGGTCGGAATTGCGGTAAGATATTTGGCAGGTCCATGCTGATTCGGCTGTTGCTCTGGAAATTTTTGCGTTGGAATTCATTGTAATGGGGAAAAGGTCCTGTTGGCTGCTCGTGTGGTCGATGTCCCGGAGTTGGGGGTGATTGCGGCGCAGTTGGGTTGTGAGGATAACGCGGTGGTGGCTCCATGTTCTGGGATGGGGAATGTGGGAATTGTTCGTTGCCGCCAGGATGTTGCGAGGCAGATTGCTGTAAGGTAGAGAGAATTCGAGGTAAGAGTATATGGAGATCTAATTTAAATATATGCTTACCAGTTGCTGCTGTCTGTGCTGGCTCATGGTAAGTACCTCATGCTGTTGTATTTCCAAATTGGGGTTTCTGATAGAGCTCGCACCTTTCTCATGTTTATTTGAGGGAAAGGTCACAGGGTTGCTGCTTTTGATTTTTTGTAAGCTTAGCGGCTGAGCATGACCATTGATGTGTGAGCCCGCAGGTGGACCGGGCAAGACGGCTGAAGAAGTCAGCTCCATGGACTCATCGTTGGCGGGGAATCGTATATTTGTCGAGACGAGAAGCTCCTTCGTGTCTGAGTTGTCAGTGGGTCCTTCAGTTGGATGTGCTTGTAACTGCGTAGAGGGCTGTTGATAATTCACAACGGTTGACAGCATGGGTCTCTCTGACCGGTTCGGAACAGACGATTTGGTGGGACGAGAAGGGGAACCGATTAAGGGCAGCTGTTGGTAGGGCGAGGGCGCTTCTGGGGGACGTTCACCATAGCCGAATGGCGCATAGTTTTCGTTTTGTTGAAAGGAGGGGTTCGGCATCTCTGGCATCGGTGGAACTGGACGTTTAATACTGGCTATGTCCTCATTTATAACTTGGCCGTATTGCACCCCGGGCGTATCCTTTGATAATAGCGGATTATTCCCTATAGTGCCGACGTTATTCAGATGCCCCATTTGTTGGCTGCCCAACACAAATGAAGCTGACTGTTGGCCAGGTGAGATGACCACATTATTTATCTGACCAGGTGTTGGACGATACTGCATTACGTGTGGTTGTTGTGCTTGGTACGATACGTACTCGTTGCTGTGGACTTCTTGGCTGCCTGAAATAATCTTCTGTTCGTTAGCGGGTAGAGGTGCCTGATGCCCGTACGTTTGGCCATCGGACACTGACGAGGTGGTATAGTTTTTAGACCGTAATGGCACACTGGGAAGGTATTGTGGTTGCATTGCGAATGGGGACGGCCTGGAGGGTGCGATAGGTTCGATTAAATTTCCTGAGGCATCAAAACCCTGATTTTGCTGATAATTATGAGCCACAGCAGATTCCTCCTCCACTAGACTGTTGAAGATATCGCCCAGCGTCATCGGAGGCTTAACTGTAGCTTCCTGCGCCTGAGTCTTTTTATTGCCCAATGTGTGGTAGACGTCTGCGGGTTCCAAATTTGGTATGTGGCTGAAGGCCGGTTCGCTGACTGTAGTCGATCGTATGGGATCTTCGGTGAAGACCACAGGTGGACTGCTACTTGAAGTGTAAATTTTGACGGTTGATGCTGACTCTGTGGGGAAAATGGGGGCCTGTGGAGTGGGATGGTGAGTAGTGTAATCCACTATGTGGCTGCTTTGGGTCGGCTTAGATGGCGTTGCTGTCGTGGTGGATGGAAGCTGTTTCTTAGCCACTGCTGTGCTGTTTGCCATCGGAGTGGTCTTCTTTATTGGCACAAACTTTTTTCGTGTGGGGCTGGTGCGTACCGTTACTGGCGCTCCCGTAGTCGTAGTTGATGCAGGGCGGCGTGTTGTCGTGCTCTTTGTAGTCGTTGGTCTAGCACTAGTTGGAGCCGAGGTGCTAGCTACTTTGACGGTTGTGGTTGTTTGGACCAAGTTAGGTGTCGCTGCGGAACTTGAGATGTAACCGGCCGTAGTGGGAGGTACTGCTGTCAGTTTTGTGGTTGGCACCGTAAAGAAGTTACTGGCGTTATGAATGGGAGGAGGTGTAACTGGTGCCATAATTGATGTTGGTTTTTTATTCGTCACATAGTTCTTATTACTGCCCTGGTACTTCAAGTTGGCATACGAGCTAGACACCAGTGGGTATACAAATTTCGACGAGGAATACTTAACGGGAAGATTGAGAAAGTCGTGTATATTTGGCCCGCCTCCACTCAGTACGATTTTCTCCTTAGAATCGACTACCTCGTTTGCTGCGGGCTCAATGCCTGCCGGCTTTTTGGCGCTAAAGTCCAGCTGCCCAGAAACAGGATCTTGTCGAGCATAGTATGGCTTGCCATCATTAAATATCTGATTGGGCAAGACGTAGCTAGTGGAGATTATATCTTCCTCGCCAGATAAGTCTCCGCCTCTTGCTTCCATACGCAATTGGCTGGACGGTATTTCAGTGTCGGTTGTCGTTGTGCCTTGGCTAGAGCTCGCCAACAGAAACAAGAGCAAAACGCAGTAATTTATGGTCTGCATTTTGCGTGTCAAAGTCAATTGCTGGAAGTATAGGAAAAACAAATAATGTTACTTTCCACCTTTTGTTAGCTAATGACTTAAAAAGAGTTGAAATCTTGAATTTCATAGCTAAATAAATATACAAAAGATTGTAACATTTATTACAGAAATAAAAAATTGCTGAGCACGTCATTCCACAGTTGTACATATACTATATACAAGTATATATATATATGTGTATTTAAGCCTTGGCGAAATTGACAAGGCGATTAGTTTACTTTCTTTAACTTAATTGAGACTAGCTACTAGCTAGGTTATTGCTGTAATTTCAGCGCCAATTCCGGTCTCTGAGCATATGATCACCACCCCGAAACAAACACTTTTGTTTTTCACGATGCCATTAAAAGAGTGCTCCTCAAGTTATTGTCATGTTACCCATGAGTTGGTGCTTTGTAAGGGGCTATTAAGAAATGACTTTTGAACTATACATTTATCATGGGAAATTATGTATACTATATGACTCATAATGTTTATATATACGTACGTACATAGTGATAAATAAATAATGATAGAATGATAAATCTATGCAAAGGTATGTACATGTTTAAAAACGTGACGGAATGAGGGAAAGTGTTTGTCTTCTTTAAAATTTATATTGGTATTCGTTTTAATTTTTTTAATCTTAATTTTAGAAATGTCTGCACTTGTGGCATTTTTTTGTTACTGAAAAATGCATATTGACTTGCGTGTTTTATGTGGATATGAATGGCAAGCGAGGAAAGTAAAACATTCGGGCCCGCTTCCATTTCCGCTTCCGCACGAAGTAAACAAAACCAAATGCACAAAATTTACAAACGGATAAAAGAGTATGAATATGGCATCGACTGGTGCCAGTTAAAGAAAATATTAATAGAAGTTTTTTTTTTCAAAGGAGAAAGTCGGTACTAAGATGGGAAGTAAAAAAATTGCACCCACAATTAGGTTGAATAAATGAAGGCATGAAGGGAAAACAAACCAATTTACTGTGTCGCGAAAAATGTATTTTTCAAACAAAAGAGAATGATAGATTATTATTATTACTGAAATGTACATTTAATTTTTTTTTTGTATGACATTGAAATGAAAAGTTTAGTTTGCCAAGTATGTTTCAGTTTAAGGATTTCTTAAATGCTTCCTGGGGAATTTAACAAATGGACATTGAAATATAAATAAACATTGGGAGAGTTCTTCTTATTGTAGCACTACACTATGCTACCAAATTTTATTGGCAAGTACAGCAGCAGCATTTGCACATATTCAAGACATAGGAATAAGACATGTTTATAAGCCATCTATTCTTGCTTAATACACATACAAGTATGGATAAAAAGGGTTTAAAATGAACGTCTTTTACTCGTATTATAGTTTTAAATATTTTCGCATTGGTTCATGTCAAAACTGAACTGCATATACTATACTTGTAAATTGATTTTGCCGTAAAAACAATTTGTTCTGTTTTTTTTTTTTTTTAAAGTCTTGTTTACTTTGGAACACACCTTGTAATAAATTTAATTTTTCCAACGCTTCATTTATTAGTGGCAAACAGCATAGTTTTGATTTATTCCCGTATGCCTCTCATTACGAAATTGATTAAATATTAGGATAGTGAGTCAGGGTATCTGTAAAAATGATTCAAATATTTGTAAAACTATGTACCTTCGCCTACTCTGGATTTATGTTCTCTTTAATGTCATTGAAAGAAAGTGTATATGTATGTAAAAAAAATGCTATTCTCGCTATTACCTTGTCGATAGGCGAATATGCTATGTTGTCGGTCGCGCTTACAACAAATTATAGAAAAGCAAACAAGTTTCATAAATTGTGACCCAATTGCCCAGTTTTCGTTGTCGTTGTTGTTGGCTTGAATTTACATACATTCATAAAATGTACAAGTACTCGTACGTACATAGATGGACAGTTTTGAGTGCCGACGTGAGTGTAAAAATTGTTTATATAAGGAAGTAGATACTTCAGTTCTCAGACGACTTGTCATTCTTTCAACAGCTTATTTGCATAAGACCTAGACAGCGTTCCCACTAACTAAGAAGCGTAGTAAAACAAATAGTATAACTATCTTCTATTAACATGCAATAATCCACAATTATATTTATAAGTGGCGAAAACAAAGGAAAGTAGTGTAGCTATATTTATACATCAGTTCGATAAAATCGACTTTGAAAACGAACCGAACGGCACTAGAAAGCAACGGACAAACACGTACATGCATTACCATTTCTCTTTAGGAGAAATATTTAAATATAAGCTTCAATCTCCATCTAAAGTTCCAAACTACATTCCTATACATACGAGCGTTTTCTATGATTTCTACACCAACAACCTTTTTTATTTGGTATAAGTACATAGTACACCTTTCAGTATATATGTACTCGTACTAGAATTCAGAAGACTACTAGCTTTAGACAATGTAAAATATATTTGTTCATTAGGTAGTCCACAAATCCACTCTTTTGAATGTTTCATATTTCATAAATTTACAAAACCGAAAAGTCAATGGGTGAAATGGCTATAGGGACGAAGAGCTTCCAAGCTATAACTTTAAGAGATGTTAGCTTCAATAATTCCCTTTTTTATTCCAGCATTGCTGGATATACGTTATATATATGTGCACAGAATGACAAAACATCTATCTGTCAGCTAGTCAGCACGGGCTAACACATTTTGTTGAGCTTCGAAAAATAACCATAAATTTGTAAATCTTGCTCTCATACTTCTGGAGATCCAGACACACAGGCGGACATGTTAACGACTCATCTTGTCAGGGTGATTAAGAATAAATACATAGTATAGTAACAGTAGCATGCAATAAGATATATATCTCACTGACAAAATGAGTAGGTAAAGCACGTTTCTTTTGCAAAGTATACGAGGTGTTATCACTAATCCAAACTGGGTATGTACAAGTATTTTTTTAGCTTTCGATGTGTCTATGACTCCCCGCTAGAGACGTTTTGTTATAGCTCCCATAAATGTATCTTGGCTTTTTGTTTTCAAATTTCACAGTTACATTGTTTTAGTTTTTTGTCAAGTTTTTACTCGTATAATGAAAGTTAGTGCCGGAAATGTAATCTTTGTTCATGCACAGCAAGAAGCTGTTATTGTTAAATACTAATTTATTCATTTGAATTACTAAAATTTTCATTACCGAAAAAAAAACACTTCATTAATATGCATATCTGTATAGCAGACGACTATAGCATTCCATTCATTTTTTTAATTGACTTGCGGTGATGCTTTCTTTATTTTATTTGCACTCATAAGATTTTATGTATATTTATAGAATGCACTTAACTATTTTATGCAATTGAATATATACATATGTACGTTGTTGTTATTCATCTATTATTAGTAATAAAAAATTGTTATTTATGTTTTGAAGTTCAGGGTTGTTTTAACCGGTCCTGCGCGCACGACTCTCGCATTCCATTTTAGTTTTATGTAGAAAACAAATCAAATGCGCTTCCGAAACACTAAAGTGAATAACTTTTACTTTTTGCAAACGTAAAGCGTCTAAATTTCAAAGCTTCAAACAAACTATTCCATAATTGCAAGACACAATATAGCTTAACTTTATTAACCAATAGTAATGACCATCGTTGTAAAAGTAATAACAATCCAAAAAATAAGCTCCCTATGCAGTACAAGACTTAAAGCACTGTGAGAAGGAAGTTTCAAAAGTAAAACAAAGCGAGGCCAAACCTAAAGCCCAGTTGGTCAATAACCGATTTTAATTTAAACTGTCGTTGAAGAGCTGATTTATAAACCACTGCCTGTTTGCCGCTTTTCTATATTTTTTTTTCAACACCGTTGTAGCAGCAGCGACTTTCACTTTTGCCAGCCAAAAATTTCTCGTTGATCTTTTGACGCACATACATATGCAGTATAAATACAAACGTATATACACTAACAGTCGTATACCGATAGAGAGATAGAGAGAGAGAGAGAGAGAGAGAAAGAAAGGAGAGAGAAACGAGTTCGGGAAGAGAACTGCTTACAGTCTAGCAAAATTGTATTTTAGCTTTGAAAAATACAATTAATCCTAAGAAATTCCAGTTTGAAATGGCGCCAAAGAAAAATTGGTAGCCTGTGGAGCATATGTAATTAAAATGAGTGAAAATTAATAAACTCACTGCCCTCCCACACACACATACACAGAAGTTGCTGAGTGTATGCATGCACTCTCGACCAACGGCTTTTACTTACACAATTTACCAGCTGACCTTATTAACGGCCAATGCACAAATATTCGCTGCCGAGTGCGCCAGTGTTGTCACCACAGAATGTTTTCATGTATGTGGATGTGAGCGAGTATCGAGACTGATGTGTGGTATGTCCACAATTTTATTAGGACACGAGCTTAAAATATGCAAATATTTCAACTATATATGCAAATTGAAATTTTGTATATATGTCATAAAAATTGGTCAGTGACATTGAATTTCATTTATTTTTTGGAAAAATTTTCACTTTTTTGGTGTGTAATCAAAAAAGAGAGATGAATCATTTCAGTGTAGAAAAAACTAACGCTTTCGCATATTTGAAAGTCATGCACATTTTTTATATGTACATACATACATACATGTGTGTAGCTGCGTTCATAAGAATTACCTAGCGGGTCAAAAGCAGAGCCAAAAAAATGAAACATATGTCACACCGTTATAGTCAAGCCATATTATATAGAAACTCAATTCCTCATTAGCTAAATAAGGTAGGTCGTTTCAGACGAAAACTACGCAAAATTATGGTCTCTAAAGAATAACAATGAAAGTAACAGTTCGTGTTTATAATTTTATATTTGATTCGAGCAGCAGCGGCAATAAAAAAAGAAAATCTGGTACCCTTGTAAGAAGCACAGGCAAGTAAATGGTGAAATTCTTTCCTACTATATATTTGTGTGCAATGCTTATGAAGTGTTTATATTAAGCTTCTACTATTCTATCATAAATGGAGCGAAAAACGCACATACGTGTTTGGGGTTAAGAGTATTAATAGAGCGGACTCAAGCAAACAAAATGTATGTTTTCAACTCAGAAGAAATCAAAAAGTTCGAGTAAGTTTTGGAATGAGTCATAAAATGGATAACTATATGCTAGGCTTGACAAATTTTGATCTGTGGGCCCTGATAAATGTTGTTAAGACAGCTAAATCCATTCTAATGAACTTATTATAAAAGGTAAGCTGCCAGGAAATAGTACATAAGATAATTTGTAATTATGTAGATAAGTACATGCATATGTGTAATAATGCTGCTTAAATAATTCAGATGATTGGCTGAGCACGCTACATATTTATGTATGTATATACATACCCGTAAAATGTTTATAATCACGCGAACTCAGTAACTTCGAACATCAATTTATATAATAATTCAATGGTATGTATTCTCTATAAAATAACATGCATGAAAACTTCAACGGTACGCCTGAAATAATGCAATACCACAGTAGTTTAGAGCAAAGAACTTTACAAATTAACATATTTGGTCCGCAATTATCGGCATTGTTAGTAAGAAGTTGAAGCCGAATAAGCGGCACGATTTTATTTGGGTCAACGAAATTAGATAGAAATCAAAATATGACCATATGTATCTAGGTACATATGTTTATGTCGAAAGAATTTGTTGTTTGTATTGGAGAAATTATTACCATAATAAATACAAGCATTTAGAACATTATATATCGAAATGATTCTTAATATATAAATGCAATGAAAAAAAAACTGCCAAGCTACAGTTATAAAACAGAAACAGAAGAAGGCAAAGAGGCCAAATTGTCGATCAGCTCCAACAAAACAAAAGACTCAGGGCAGAAACTTGGTCATTTTTATGCATTGTCGCATACTATTTACCTAATTATTGATGTGGAACTCGTTTGGTGCATTTGTATGAATACAGTCTTTTCCTGAGTGTACAATGCATATCTTTGTCGTTCTCCGACGAATTAGCTACATTTTATAAGTTACACGACCATGTTAGTTATTGCCTTACCCAAAATGCTGGCTCTGGCTTCCGAAGTTATGAGGCGTTTCTTTCTTTGTGGACGCTGCTTTATAGAAAATGACCACAATTCACTACTTTCGAGAGTGCAAAGGTATTCAATGCACACAGCAACGGCGCATAACTACCGTTTTATTATTTCCATTTACAAAGCCGTGCAAAGGTAAATTGAAGTTTTCTTTATTTCACGCTATTCCTCGTCCGTGATATCTTACTCTTTTGCTTGCCACTTCTGAGTCAACGCGGCAGAAACTCACAGAACGAACCAATACCAACGATTATTTCAAATATTATTTTTAACAGCTCTCGTACTTTTCGTTTAACATTTCTTTTGCGCACTTTCTGCCTCTTCGCGAACACGACCGTTGCGTTCGATAGTCTTGCACTGAATGAAATTCAAGCTGAGTCAAAGAAATTTTTATTTAAAAGAAAGCACAATCAACCAGCTGTAGCTGTACACGCACTTCGGCCACAAGCCATGCTGTAAAACAACTAACAGAGCTACTGTTAAGACCACTGTTTACATTTTGAAATTGAAATTTACTGCTCTGGAACATTTTAATTGTTTTGTAAAGCTTGTGGGATTATATTTTTAATGCTGATTAGGTGCTATTAATAGCTACTAAGCTACTTACTAAGAACACGGTTACGAAGCTGCACTTTCATTTTGGCATGGTACTTTGATTTTAACTATGAGTTATGCAAAAATCCAAATGGACAAGTTTTATAGCGTTCCATTATAGTTTTATTGTCATCGACAAATGTTGAGACTCCCGAATAGCAATGACAGTGAAAGCGGAAGCGTTCATTGATGTGCATTTTGCGCAAAAGAGCAAGAAATACTATAGTTTAACAATGACCGAGGCAACAAATGTTCAAATTACTTCATTCGTAGAAATCATGAACGTACGCAATCAAATTATGTTGACAGTGTTTTCTTTTGTACTCAATTTTATTTTTATAATTTAGGTGCATACTACAGCTATTTGTACCAATAAGCTGCGATGTTTTTCAATATTTTACAGTAATATAAAATGGGATAAAATACGCAAATCCATATGTATGTTGACATATAAATAAGTACATAAGTCTGTTCAGTATTTGAGGTGAGATCCTTTAAAATGAAGATTCTCTCCAATTCGTCTCCAATTTTAAATAAGTTAACATAAACAATTAATTAATTATATTGCAATTTGTATGAAGAAACTCAGATACCTGTAATCTTTATTCACATTTATGACTTATTTTTTTATATAAAGCAAACTCACGTTAAATAAAGAAAACAAAATGCAAAAAAATACATAATAATGCCGGGCCAAAGTGAAAGCAAATTCAACGCTCAAAGGTGTGGGTGGCATAATAGTAACATTATTTAATTTTTCTTTCTGGTTTATTTGTAGCAGTGTCGATGTTGAGTCAGTGGGTCATTTCGGTAAGGTGTCTGCTTGTTAAATATAAGTTACATTTATTTCAGACTAATACATTAAATTCTATGAATTAAATAAGGATATATACTTTTCCGATGCTTTTAGCGCATTTCATTTAATTTAGGTGCCAGTAAACTGACGGTCACTAGAGTATGCACACTTGCACTAACTTTATTTGTAGCTCTTTATTGCGCACTCGTCCCTTAACGACCCTGATTAAATGGATTATCAGGGGACTTGTTCCACTCTTTCATAAGTAGCTGCTTCCACTGGGACATACGGAGTTGAGGATTTTCCGCCTTAATGCGAGGAAGGTTTGCGGCTTCAAAGCTTTTGTACGCTGCACGCATACGCTTTTCCGGGTGTTTATCTTCTTCATCATTAATGCTAAAATTTAAAACAAGCAGGTAAATTTATATTATAAAAAATTAAAACCCAATTAAGTTAATATTTTAGTAGATATACTCTTTTTAGGTACCGCCTAATACACTCCAACCCATACAGAAAAAAGTTCTCACCTCAGCACCGCCAGGGCCTGGTCAACATTTGTAGCTAGACATGTATCTGCCATTGCACGATTGAGGTTCTCCTCAATGACAACGTTTTGCTGCACGACAGTACGAGCGGCGGGTTTGTTGGCAGAATTAATTGCTTCAATGACTCGTTGTTTTTTGTCCAGTTCTTCCAATATCTGCTGTCGATTGATTTTTGCAAGTGGTTGCTTGCCCTGCGTTCGTATGGAGCTCATTTCCTGGTCCAGCAGTACTTTTGCTTCGGCCTTGCGACGTGCAGCTTCTGCACGTTTTAATTCATCATTCTCGCGGCGGCGCTGCTTCGCCAAATTTTTCTTGTCATCATCTAACCACTTGACATCTTCTGCCTCTTTTGCCACCCGTTCCTGCGCTGCCTTTTTTATTGCATCCTTTCGTTCACGCGCCTCCACTGCTTTTGAGTTCAAACCCATTTTCTTTGGCATGGTGTTGTTGTTGTGTGTGCAAATACTAAGTGGCCGTGTTTCTGTGATTTTATTGTTTTTAGTTATTATGTTCTAACGATGCCTATAAAATATCGATGGTTGAACTTCCTCGACACTCTATTTTGATAAAGATGGACAAATTTCGATAGTTTTAAATACTGTTTTAGTATTTCATTCAATTCAACGATTAAGTACCATCAGTATTTTCAAGACCGATCAGCTGCTCAAACACTTGGTATTTCCTCTCAAGTTCATTCGAATCATTAGTGGTATTCCTGCAACTAATTTTGTTTTGTAAAAGCCCTCCTAGCAAACAAAATATATTTAAATAGACTCCCTAAAGAAAGTACTTACAGCTAAAACTAATACATTGAAGTATACTTTGGTTGTTAAATCAACTTTAAATAGGGCTGCCCAAATATTTTCTACATGAAAAATTTGCATCTAATCTGATTTATTCACTAATAAAAATTAAAGTCAGCTGCAAGAGTAATTTTTATTTCACTAAGAAGCAAGAATATATATTTTTATAAATGTACATATATTACACACACACTCAGCGGAAATACGTGCATCCCTATGTGGATATATGCAAGTATACATATTAATGTAGCTATAAGCGTATTATTTTGAAAATATTCGATATAGGATACCGTATCTATTTTACTTTTTGCCCAGCTCAGCTGATCGCTGCGCCGATTTTTCTACGGCATTGATCAGAGTCGCCCTGCAATTGTGATGGAATAAATTGTTTAGACTGTTAAAGTATTGAATTTACGCTACTTGCCTAAGGTTCCCTTTTTCCAATTCGTGGACCCCCACAATGGTAGAACCACCGGGCGAGCACACTTCATCACGAAGAACTGCTGGATGCTTTCCAGTCAAAAGCACCGTTTTAGCCGCTCCCAGCAACGTCTGAGCAGCAAATTGCAACGCCATTTGTCGTGGTACTCCTTGCTTAACACCTCCATCTGCTAAAGCCTCGATGATCGTGTAAACAAAAGCAGGGCCGCAGCCAGAGAGGCCAGATATTGCATCAATCATTGTCTCCGGCACTTGCTGTGCCACTCCAAGTGAGTTCAGCATTAAATGCACCTTTTCAAGGTCTTGATGTGTAACATGAGAGTTTCCCGTGTAGACAGTGCAGCCTTCCCCGATCTGCATTGACGTGTTTGGCATTGTTCGAATAATTTTAATTTCTGAGCTGCCGAAGAAAGTTAATTTATCTTCCAAAGACTTCACAGTTGTGCCTGCTAACACTGAAATGAATAGTTTATTTCCATCCTTGGCCGACGGCACGTATGTGTTTTTAAGTGCAGTTGTGCAGGGCTCTAACATGTGTGGCTTTACACAAATAAAAATGATGTCGGTGTGCTCCACCACTTCGTTGTTTTCGTCTGTGGTGCCTGCGCCAATCTCGCGCCATCGTGCGAGGTTTTCAATGTGCGGTCCCGATGTCAGAACTTGGCTTGGCTTTACTATTCCTCTCCCAATCAACCCGGAACCAATTGCAAATGCCATGTTGCCTCCTCCAATAAACCCGATGCGTTCGTCCAATTTTGCCATATTGCAATTAATTTGATTCCGACTTTTTCAAAAACTTGTTTGCAACCAACAGCGATTTTCCTCTCCAGTAATAATTTCTTTTACAATATACACACATATGTTTGTATGCATGAGTTCGTATGATATGTTGACGGAAAAATTTGTCGATGGCAGCTTTTCGATTACACTCGATTTTAAAATATAACCTTTTTTTATTTGGAGTACAGTATTTTTCAGCTTGGCAGTATAATGTTGACAGTAAGAAATGTACTCGATAAGAAAATCAGTTTGTGCGGGAAATTTAAAAACTATAATTTCGTGCAAAAACAGATCAAAGATCAGAAGAAGCAGAATATATTGGCTCATCTTATTTTCTAGGGAATTCCAGGGCTTAGCGAGAAAATACGCTTGTTAAAGATAATGCAGATGTGTAGCTTTAGCGTCACTATTCATATACAATTTAATTTGATGATCACACTTTCGACGTACTGAAGGGTACATGTATAGTCGTATATGTATATATGTATATGTATAGTACATACAAATATTTTATATACACATTGAATAGGTTATCTGATCTAAGATTTGATTCAAATCGGTGTATAATACATACATATATTTTACAAAACAAATAATAAATACAAATACGAATATTAGCTTTGGGGCTGAAAGCTTGAAAACCCATAAAAATATATGTATATAATATATGCAATGCACTCAATTTTAACTCGGACATTATCATAAACAAAAAAATTTTTCATACATCTTAAACATGATTGTACCTATGGAAACTACATACAAGTATATGATTAGTAATCCGATTTTAGTATATGTTGTAAATTTATTTCATCCTATATAGTGGTTCAATTCGTGAGGGTTAGACAAATTTCAGCGTGATTTCATTTTAATAAATGTACGGTTAGTTGAAAGAATCAAACAAAACGCAATGCATAAAATCTAAAAAATGTATTTAGTATATAGATAGCACAGTTTTTCAGTGAAATAATAGTCCAATTATCTTTTTACATAATACTATTGGATGTTAGCAACTCGGGCCATATAAGCAAATGAAAACAATCATCTTGAAAGAGTGTTCTTTAGTTTATTTACAATTGTTGATTTTGCGATTTTTAATGACATTTAGCGAAAATTGAAACAAATCTGCTTTAATAACTATAATTTAATTTTCTGAACAAAATTAACTACTTAACACAATAAACGTAAGAATATAGTTTTTTTTTACTAGTTTTTTATTTGTGCATAAGCTCAATTTTAATTTTGCAAGATAGCCTATAGACTAATGACTCTAGAATTTTAACATGTAGCATGAAAATATTTTATAATCGTCTACGATTTCCATATGTCAGTCTTATTTAACTAAATTACTACCTAAATACATACATATGTATTTACAAATTTAATGTGCTCTTGTAAAATATAAATGCATCATTTAATGGCAAATATACAAGCTAGCAAAAATATTAACTTTTGGACATTAGTTTAAAATGGGAAATGTTAAAAATTCACTACATTAGAAATTACCTACATATGTTTAACAAGTAGAGTAAGCAATAGTGGCGGTAGTTCTGCGAGTGATTTCGATTTTTCAAATATTGATCTAACTAATTGAATGCCTAAAGGATGTGGTAAAATGAAACTGTCGAGGATGGTTTCCTTCTTAAATGCAATCAAGCCAAAAGTTAGTCCAGAGTCGTTTCTGCAGAGAACACTTTCATGCGTATTTTATAACATTGAAATGGGGCAACAAGTTACTTTTGTGAAACGAAATCATTTACAAATATAAATCACTCGCAAGATTACCGCTAATGTAGAAATAGTCTGCATGAATTCATCCATATTTTGAGCAACACAGAATACTTTTTAATGTCATGCTCATAGAACCCATTGATTTGAGCGATCATTAGAGGACATACGAATATTGTGCGTACATGGGGAACCAATTATGAGTGAGCTCTATATGGCAATTCATTCTTTTTGAGTACAAATATTTCAGTTGTCGTTTTGAATAAATTCATGCGGACATTTGATACATACACACATATAGTATGTGAACGGAAATATGTACCTAAATATGTACATGCATGCGTAATTGTACGCCACTTGGATACCTTTAACTCTAACGAAGCACTGCTTTTAGCTTTGCATTTTATTGCTTATAGCTCCGTTGTGGTTTCCACCTCTGACCTATCCAAGTCGTTAAGATATGAGAATCCCATCTGACCGTAGCTCCGCTTTCCGAAGGTGACATTTTCGTTTGTAAGGCTCAGATCACCATGGGAGCTGTTAAAACTGAAATCAATACAAAAAATACATAGTATGTACTTCTGCAGTGACACAACCAATTGAGTAACTTACTTTGGATAAATCGGGCCATTGTGTTGATTGTTCCGACCTAGGGTGCCATCATTTCCTGTATTGGCAGTTATAGCACTGAGAGCTCCCACGCCGCCAAAGGTGTTGGAACGTCTGTCCATTGTGCTGTATGAATTGTTTTGCGAGTTCTCAAGATTGTTGCGGCTCATAGTATCCGATTTAAAGCCGTTATTCTGATAGTTGTTGCTATTTATGTGCTTGATTCGTCCCAGAGTCAATGTGCCCGGTAATGTGCCGTTATTTGGAGAGGCCAGTGGGTTTGCGTTATTTCGATGAAAGGTGTTTTGACGATTATTCATAGTCATATTACTATTCATGTTGTTAAGGTTGTTATGACGACGCAGAGTCGCAAAGGTGGCAGTAGCGGCATCTGAGTGAGTGGGACTAGATTGCCCACCGCTTTTGTTTTCCTTGTGCGTAATATAACTAACGTTGTCTAGCGAGAAAGCGTGATTCTTGGCACTGAAGTCAATTTGCAGATCATCGTCCCCATCAATCGGCACTGCCATTGCCAGCATTTGAGTTTCATACTCCTTCATATTAGCCACAATATCGCCAGCGTTTAAGGTTTGCGAGTTAACAATCACGGGATCATAGCGCGTGGTACTAGGAGCCGAGTAATGACTTATGCGCTGCTTAAAGTTTTTGTATCTAGAACAAAAATAATGTTGATTAATAATTATAATATTTCCTTAGTCTATACTAATATTATCAAGAGGAAAGATTTGATTGTTTGTATGTTTGTTTGTTTGTTTGTTTGAATTGAAAAGGCTCCGAATCTACTGGACTGATTTAATGGATTCTTTCATTGTTGTGTAGCTTACTATCGACGGTTAACATGGGCTTATTATATTTGCAAAAAATAATGGAATCCTTACTAAAACGCCTATAAAGTAACCAGAGGTGTAAAAAAATGGCCTTAAAAAACTCCTGAACAGCATGCTGTTAATTCATAATCATCCACGAAACATTGTCACTTTAAATATTAAGGAAATATTATTCAAAAGCCCTCCAGCCAAATAAAAAATTACAAATCGATCGACAACGTGATTAATATTGAAGACATTTAAATTCACTAAACCCTTCTGGACTGACGCCACATGAATTGACGGTAAAATTAAGAATTGCCATCGTGCTTTTGAGAAATTTAAGCCTTCCTTCAGACGAGGCTGCTTATTAAGGAATTGCAGGACAATTTAAGTGTATTAACTAATATCAATGGCGATGATCCCATTTGATCATTTATATGGCTTCAATTTCCGGTGGTGCCAAGGCCAAGCCTTCGAATTAGTATGGATCGACATACGAAAGCAATGTTTAACTGTATGTTGACTTATACCGGGTCGGAGCTCCTAAAAATCAATTTGTTTTGCTACCACAAAATAAAACATCAAATATCTTTTACAGAGAACATTTGACCTAATAAAGAATAACAAAAAAATATAAAAACGAACAAAAAATCATTAAAATAATAATATCCAAGCTAAATTTGACTCCTTCTTAGTAACTCATAGCAAAATGAAGGGTGTATGTGGCTTAAGTGTGTGTGTGTTATAAAAGGTAAATTTTTTTAAATTTTTGTAAAAATACCCGTGCGAAACAGGGGCAGGACGCTAGTATACAATAAATATGTATTGCATTGATCTTGGAACATTGCCTGGTTTTTTTTAAACTTACTTGGACCAACTTGAACATATATACACGATGCCAATGGTGCCCAAAACCAATATAATAATGGATATGGCAATGAGCGTGTAGGGAAAGATTTCATTATCAATAGCCATGGTCGCCTTGACCTGCAATCAAAAGATTAGTCATAGTCATTAGTTATTATATATAGTAACTCCTCACACTTACTCTGTGGATTTGGTGTTTTATGTTAATCGGCCCATAGATTCCTTCTGCAGTTGCGTGTGCAACTCCCGACGCCGCATATGTAAGATCCGGTAAGAACTGCTGGACGACGCTATCGTTGCGCATCAGCAGCTGCTCAGTCTTGGGGTCGATTAAGTAAAACCACACGTCTGTGGCTGTGGCATTTTCCATAACTGTCCCATTGTCCAACAGGAACTTTCTATTGCTGAAGCGCTCAATTCCACTGATCAGCCCTTTCGACTTTTCCTCGATCACTTCTTCCAAAGCGGCAAAGTGGCTGCGCAGCTGGTTGGGTGCTGCATCCGAAAAGGCTAGAGTCATACGGTTGAGATCTGTCAGTAGATTAACCACGATGCGAGCTCGCGTTCGGTGCGAGTTCAGCTCCAGCCCGTCGTTGTCGCGAACTTCTGCAAAAAATATCATTGGAAAGTGTGCTCCATCGCGGAAAAGTTTGGTCGTTCGCAAAACACCCGTATCTTCGGTTATCATAAAACAGGTTGTGGGCTGCAAAAAAAATATGCATGGATGCAAAATGTTGACAGAGTTGTGGCGCGAGTCGAACACTTACGTCGTCGTTATCGTTGGTGCTTCCATCATCGTCTTTGTAGATGCTGTAGCGTAGCATTCCGAATTTTCCTGAGTCGCGGTCAGTGGCACGTACCTCCAAAATAGGCGTGTCTATGTCCATTTCGGCTGTAACGACGGCGTAGAAAGTATCCGTTCGTCCATGTAGTCGATTGAATATAAATTCTGGCGCGTTGTCATTCACATCCTGCACAATGATCTTGACTGTTGCCTGATTCTTTTGCGAGTTCACCAAATACTTGTGGGAGCTCAACTGAAGCTTCAATGTGTAAACCGTTTGATTTTCAAAATCTAACGATCGGGCGAGCACAATACCGCAGGCATGATTCTCTAGCGTCACATTGAACACGCCCTGTTCATTGCCTTCCACAATCTCGCATTTGTATTTTGGAGCATTACGCGAATTTATAATCTGCACAAGTTTCAATGTAGTGTTTACACTTGTTGACTCGGGCACGTCTGTCGTATAGCTATCGTCACTAAATGCTAGTTCCATGTGCTCGGAATCTGATTTTAGGCCGCTGTCCATTTTACTGTCCATCATGTTCTCTTCGTTGGGATCCAGAATCGAGGGCCGGACGAAAACAGGAACGGTAGCCATTGAACTCAATTGTGGTTCACCCAAGTCATAGGCGCGTATGTCCACGTGATATTCCGTATCTGTCTGCTTCCGTAAATCGTCACGTATGCGTACGATGCCAGTGTCCGGATCGACCTGAAAATACTTAAGGGCTTTGCCACGACCCACTAGTTCGTAGCGCACTACGTTGCCAGGTGATGTGCCATCGGCGTCTACGGCCGGTACTGTTGCTATAATCGCACCTATAGCCTGATCATCACTTATTGTTATAGGCTCGGGCATTGAAATAAACACCGGCCGTACATCGTTGCGATCCTCAACCTCTACAACAAGCCGTATCGTATCTCCGGGACCATCGCCGTCATTTTCGATAGTACCAATGATTAGCTCATGTTGCCGTTGTTTTTCGTAATCCAGACCTTTGGTAGTGCGTATTTCTCCAGTCTTGGGCGCTACCTTAAACAGCTCCGTCTCGCCTTTGCGTATGAAGTATGTTATCTCCGGAGTAGAGTCCGGATCATTGGCTTGTACAGTAGCAACCAGAAAATTGGGTTCGTTTTCGGGAATGCGCACAACGATACGGGCATCGCTGAACCTAGGAACTTCGTCAGGTAGATCACGAACCAGTACCGTCACACTTGCCGTGCCCAGACGGGCATCTGGTGCACCATCCTTCGCAGTCACAACGAATCTATATTCGTGCTGTCGCTCAAAATCTAGCTGCGTGCTAGTTCGTATCTCTCCCGATTTATTATTTATGGCAAAGGGTATGTCCGATGGTATTGAATATGTGATTTCTGCGTTGATGCCCTCATCAGCGTCCGAGGCATGAACTATACCCACAACTGCGTCGGCCGTTCCTTCGTCCACAGTAAATACATATGGCAGCGTAGAAGGGTCAAATTCTGGATTTTTGTCGTTGATGTCGGTAACTTTGATATTCACTGTCGCACTGCTGGAAAGTCCTCCGTTATCTTCCGCTTTTATGATCAATTGGTAGCGGGTAAGACTTTCGCGATCCAATGTGCCTAGAATAATAGATAGGGAGTATTTTTTAATAAACGAATGTTTGTCCCATTTTTATTTAAAAAGTTATAGTAATGGAAATTTTAGCTCAGTACCTCCGGTATTTCGGGCCAAGTAATGACTAAATGAATGAATCAGTCAGTCGATGAGGATTAGGAGATTCATAAGCTATACCCACTACCTTAATTGATAAAATAGTTTACTTACGTATCACCATTATGACGCCGGTCTCTTGACCTACAGCGAACTGCCGTAAATCGTTGCCCGATATGATTGAGTAGATAACGGGATCATTCTCAGGATCATCAGCATGCACGACGGTTACTGTCGAGTTTATTTCAGCTCCTTCGCTGACGTGTACTTCGTATATGCTTTTCTGGAAACGTGGAGGCTTCGTATTCGGTCCCGGAACCACACTTATCTCCACAATGGCTTGGGACGAGAGTCCACCGATGTCGGTAGCCTGTACTGTTATGCTGTACTGCTCGCCCGTAGAGAAGCGTCCTTGCGTTTCTATATCCCCCGTATGCGGATTTATGGTGAACTTTTGCTTACCATTGTTGGACACATGGTAGATGGAATAAGTTATCTCTGCATTGACGCCATCGTCGTTGTCCGTCGCCGTCACTCGTGTGACCTTCCGTTTTTCTTCACCCGCATTTAATGAAACAGGGGCTATCATGGCTATCTTCGGTGCATTGTCGTTTATATCGCGAAGATGTACGGTGAGGCTCAACGGTGCGCTGGCCGCGTTTGTACGTGGCTCGCGTGCGACTGCCTGGAACGTGTACCGCCCTGGAGAGGGTGGATCGCGGTCCAATCCCTCCTGGTTGACCACCAGTATTCCATTAAAAGTAACATTAAACGACGGCGTAGTCAGCTCATAAATGTAATTGGGTTTTGGATCACCCTCGCCCAAGTCCGCATCCGTAGTTTGGAACATGATAGGCACATTATTTGCGTCCACAATCTTCGTACCTATTGGAGAGTTCTCGTCTACATAGCCATCGACTGCACTCGAGGATATAACAGGAGGACTTGCGTCTACAGGTTTCACATCTATAGATAGCTTGGCTGTGGTGAATCGTCGAGCTGGAGATATTTCCTCAGCGCGCACTATGATGTCATACCTCTTAGCGGTAGAGGTATCCACAGCTTTGATCTGTTTCAAAATGCCTGTTTCTTCATCAATCTCAAAGTAGTCTGCATAGTTTCCTGGCATGCCATTAGCAAAGCTGTAACGTATACGTGAGCTTATAGTGTCAAGATCAACGGCCTGAATACGCTCGGGCAGAACTGTTAGCACCCCTTGTAGTGAGCCTGCGGGCACGGCGGCTGTGTATTCGGGATTAATGCAAGCACCTTCGATTAGAAAGCAGCCACGGTAGATGAAGGACGGATCTAAATCATCGGAGTCCGCTATATTGACCGTTAAAGTGGTGGTCGAAGACAACCGCTCCGATACGTTACGTCCTCGGTCCTAAAAGTAAGACAATTTCATAAAGAATTATAAGTATAAGTATACTATAATATTAATTTATGCTGTGAAAGGTAATCATAAAAATTCGAACTTAAGCTTTAAATGGCAACGACTCGTCTTTTATTTTTGTGCACACAAGAACTATATATGTGGGATGGTTGGTAGAATATAAGCGAATAAACTAAACAACCCTAGACAACAATAAGTATAACGGAGCCATAGAGAAGAGGCAAAACTACAAAACTACGAAGGCGACAATTATGAAGTGATCGACGGCGCAAGCATAGAGTTCGGCGAAATGACGAGAGGCGACAACAACGGCGGCAAGAAGTGCAACACAAAGCTATGACGGGCGGCGTGTGGGAGAGTCTTCGAGAGTTCGTCGAGCAGGACAGACGGTCCAACAACGATTCGAGTAGAGTTCGTCGAGCAGGACAGACGGTCCAAGAACGTTCGAGTAGAGTTCGTCGAGAAGGACAGACGGTCCATGAACGACGCAGAGAGTTCGCCTTGAGTCATAGTGAAGGACAGACGGTCCGCCAACGATGTATAAGACGAGCCAACGATGTTAAATGAAGTTTAATCACTTTTATATTTCAAATACTCCTAAATATTATATTGTAATCCAAATATCAGCTTAACCAATAAACAGAACCCCACATTTTGGGCGCTCGTCCGTGATCGTGAGTGTGGTTAAGTTTGGAAAAGAAGAATAGTGAAGCTGAAATACATAATAATTTTTATTAAATCGAGAAACGTGTCTGGTCGGCAGTACACATGTACATAGCTGCCTTAAAAAAAAATTACGACGTAAAAGTAAAATTCATAACAACGATGTCAGCATTGAACGATTTGATTAGCAACAATTTGCGTGTTAGCAAAAGAAGCAGCATAGTCGCGCTGCACAAATTTGTGTTTGAGTGTGAAGGAGACAGAAATAACCGCAAACGACTACGAGAGTTTAGAGGATTTGATTTTAACGAAAATAGTGAAAAATTTATGAATAAAAGAGTCTATATAAATGAAAATTTAACTGACGGTGATCTTGTTTCGATTTGTAATTTGCTAGAAATTGGCTACAAAGTGGAAAACGAATTATGTGTGCATATATTTTGCAATTTGCAAGTGAATCGTTTGTTGTCGAGCAAACATGTAGAGGACGTATTTAGCGACGAAGAAGAAATATTGAGTGAAGAAGATAGTGTCGTTGAGATGAGAAGCGCAAACAGTAACATAATGTCGACACCGCAACAACGAAAAGAATTACCAAGTACAGCAGCAATGCAAACGGTTTGTCAAGGTCAAAATAGTTGCGCAGGTAGCGGCATACGCGACGACCGTTTCGGTAGCGGCCATCGAGGCGCCGTCGCCAATGAATTCTTAGAAAACGGAGACCGTTACACAAGTGATAGAATGCAAACGCCTAGGTTTGCGATCAGTTTTCGCGATGTCGAAGAGAACATTCGATGTTTTGATGGCACAAATGCTATTCCAGTGGAAGTGTGGCTAGAGGAGTTTGAAGAGCAGGCGACGTTAATGTGCTGGAATGATTTCCAAAAATTTTTGTTTGCAAAGAAAGCGTTAAAAGGCATAGCAAAACTTTTTGTGTTTAGCGAGCGGGGATTAAATTCGTGGTATACCCTTAAAAATGCTCTTCTCAGTGAATTTAAATCAGTCGTTAGTAGTAAGCAAATTCACGAGCAACTCGCGCAAAGTAAACATGGCAGAAACGAGTGTCTATTCGAATATTTTTATCGGCTTAAAGACATTGCGTCCCGTGGAAAAATAAAAGAAGATTCTTTGATTCAATATTTGATTGACGGCATAGATGATAAATCGGCAAATAAAACAATTCTGTACGGTGCGAAAAATATAAATGAGTTTAAAGAAAAGTTAAAATTTTATAAAACGATGGTCGATAAAGAAAATGAGAGTGAAAAAATATATCGGAATGATGACACAAAGTTGAAAATGAAAAAGAGTGTGAATGAAAATAGAAATATGAAAAAGGAAATACAGTGTTACAACTGTGGTGAAAAAGGGCACTTTTCGAGTAATTGTCAAAACAAAGAGAAAGGTCGAAAATGTTATAAGTGTCAACAATTTGGGCATATTTCTAAAGAATGCAAGCAAAGTGAAAAGCTAACAGAGAAACAAAGTCCCATTAAGATGAATACACGTAATTTGCAGCAGAAAAACGATTTAACGAGCAAAGAAATTTTAATCGGTGAAAATAAGTGCACAGCCCTATTTGATACGGGAAGTAAATATAGCATAATACGCGAAGATTTTTACAATGATATCGGCAAACCAAAACTGGAAAGTTGTAACGTTTTTCTTGTTGGATTTGGTAGTGACCGTAACGCGAGTAAAATTAAACCGATTGGACAATTCAAACATAAAATTTTTGTTGATGGTGAACAATTTTGTATGAACTTTATGGTGGTTCCAATCAGATGTATCGATGTGAAAGCAATTATAGGTGAAGAACTGTGCGAGCAAGCTGAAATAATTTTTAGCCGCGATGGAGTAAAAGTGCGTAAGAATGATACTGACAATTTTGATGTAAACATGCTCAATATAGGTACTGTGGTCGTCAGCAATGAATGTAATGTAGACGAAGAGGCAAGCGACGCAGCCAAACAAGAAGTGCGAAATTTAATTTCAAATTACGTGCCAATGCAAACGAAAACAACAAAAGTCGAAATGCGCATTATCCTAAATGACGAAACTCCCATATGCTCGCGTCCGCGTCGTTTGGCTTTCACTGAAACGGGCATTGTTGACAAACAAATCGACGAATGGTTAGAAAACGGTATAATTGAAGAATCCACATCCGAATTTACAAGCCCAGTTGTTCTTGTTAAAAAACGAGATGGCACAACAAGACTATGCGTCGACTTTAGAAGAATTAATAAGGTATGTGTTAAGGATCAGTTTCCTTTACCGCTCATTGAGGATCAACTCGATCGACTACAAGAGGCAAAAATTAGCATAGGGATAGAAGAGCAAAACGCCATCGATAGTCTGAAGAAAATGCTGACAGAAGGTCCAGTCCTGAATATCTACAGCCAAACGTATGAAACCGAAGTTCACACTGATGCTTCTCAAGATGGATTTGGGGCAGTGCTCATGCAAAAGTCGCCTGACGATGGGCACTTACACCCTATTTACTTTATGAGTAAGAAGACGACCCCTGCGCAGAGAGAATACCCAAGTTACGAGTTAGAAGTATTAGCAGTTGTAGAAGCTATTGCCAAGTTTAGGGTATATCTCTTGGGAATAAATTTTAAAGTATACACCGACTGTGAGGCATTTGCAAAGACCATGAAGAAGGCAGATGTAAGTAAGAGAATCGGCCGTTGGGTGATGTTCCTCCAAGAGTATAATTGTGAAGTGTGTTACCGCCCTGGCACACGTATGAAGCATGTCGATGCGCTCAGTCGCTATCCAGTGAGAACCATAATAGGCGAACAAATCAATATAGGCATCGAGGAGGCACAGTCACATGACGAAACAATAAAGGCGATCAAACAAATTCTCAAAGATGGAAATACTTCATACAACGACTATTTCTTGAAGTCTGGTATTCTGTACAAATTAGTTAACGACGTAGAACTAATTGTAGTCCCCAAAGAGATGCAGAAAAATATTATCAGCCAAGCACATGATAAAGGTCATTTTGCTGCCAAGAAGACGAAGGAGTTAGTGTGCAGAGATTATTTCATCCCCCAGATTGACGAAAAGATACAAAAATACATCGATTGCTGTATTCCGTGTATTTTGTATAACCGAAAACGTGGTAAGCAAGAGGGCTTACTACACCCATTACGAAAAGAAGATATACCACTGCACACATATCACATCGATTTTTTGGGTCCACTTAAGTCAACGCATAAAGACTACAACCACATCTTGGCGGTCATCGATTCATTTACGAAGTTTTGTTGGCTGTATCCTACGAAGTCTACAACAGCAAGCGAAGTTATCACAAAACTAAGCATCCAGAGTACAGTGTTTGGCAATCCTGCTGTCGTTATTTCGGATAAAGGATCTGCTTTTCTGGCCCAAGATTTTATAGACTACTGCGATAAGGAAGGTATCAAGAGAGTGAATTCGACGACAGGCCTACCACGCGTAAATGGTCAAGTGGAGCGCCTAAATACGATAATAATTGCAGTCCTCGCCAAGCTAAGTATTGATGACCCGACGAAATGGTATCGACATGTTGGCAAAGTTCAGCAGGCAGTTAACTCGACGTTTACCAGAAGCATCAATACTACTCCATTCCAGCTATTGATCGGCGCAAGAATGCGAACTAGCGAAGATCCCCAGCTACGAAAACTTATCGACGAAGAAATTATAGCCAGATTCGACGAAGACCGCAACGAGTTAAGACAAAAAGCGAAGTCACAAATCCTGAAGGTGCAAGAAGAGAATAAAAAGACGTACAATCGAAGGCGTAAAGAGGCACGACAATACGATGTGGGCAATCTTGTCGCAATAAAAAGGACACAGTTTGGTAGTGGATTAAAACTGAAGCCTAAGTTTTTGGGTCCCTATCGTGTCATTAAGGTGAAGCACAACAACGCTTACGATGTGCAGAAATTGGGCAGCTTTGAGGGCCCAAAGAGCACATCAACATGTGCAGAGTATATGAAGCCATATTCGGTTTGCAGCCTAGAGGATGTTGGTAGCAGCGCATTCGGGGCGAATGCGTAGTCAGGACGGCCGAATGTGGGATGGTTGGTAGAATATAAGCGAATAAACTAAACAACCCTAGACAACAATAAGTATAACGGAGCCATAGAGAAGAGGCAAAACTACAAAACTACGAAGGCGACAATTATGAAGTGATCGACGGCGCAAGCATAGAGTTCGGCGAAATGACGAGAGGCGACAACAACGGCGGCAAGAAGTGCAACACAAAGCTATGACGGGCGGCGTGTGGGAGAGTCTTCGAGAGTTCGTCGAGCAGGACAGACGGTCCAACAACGATTCGAGTAGAGTTCGTCGAGCAGGACAGACGGTCCAAGAACGTTCGAGTAGAGTTCGTCGAGAAGGACAGACGGTCCATGAACGACGCAGAGAGTTCGCCTTGAGTCATAGTGAAGGACAGACGGTCCGCCAACGATGTATAAGACGAGCCAACGATGTTAAATGAAGTTTAATCACTTTTATATTTCAAATACTCCTAAATATTATATTGTAATCCAAATATCAGCTTAACCAATAAACAGAACCCCACATATATGGACTGAATTCGAACACCTATTACAAGAAGCTATAACCGACAGAGTTATATTATGAGTGTTTTGCTGAAAAACAGGGAACGACTTACAAGCTGAAAACTTGCCAAATTTTTCGCAGTTTTCTCATAGAAAAATACAGAATCTTTAAGAAATTAACTTGATATACCCAACTAAGCTGAATGTCAAACTTAAGAGTCCAGTTTCGATTCCGAATTTTTGACGTAAAAAAATATCCTTCTAAAATTCCCAAATTCTACTTTAAATATAGTTTGTAGAGTCACAATTGAACAATTTCTAAGATATTATTTGTTTGTCCTTATATGTATTTACAAACAATTTTTTATTCCAAAAATTTATATATTTTTTAGGCCACAACTCTTTTACTTACCGATGCAATAATGGTCAGATAGTACCGCTGTATTTTTTCATAATCCAAGCTTTTGGCTACAGTGACCTAATAGTAAGAAAGACTGATCAGTTTTTCAATTGTTCAATGTAGTTACGAGTTGATCGTACCTGTCCTTGATGAGGATATGATATATCAAAAGTCCCATATCCATCTGCACTCGTCAGTCTTTCATCTTCGGTGCCGTTTGTTTTGCCAGCCACTATAAAGTATTCAACCAGACCATTAACTCCTGCGTCTATATCTACCGCTTGTATGTTGCGAAATATAGTCGTGCCCACCGGAGTGCTCTATTAAAAAAAAATAAATAAAATAACATTTAAACAATTAAATACCAAATAGAATATTGTGTTTCAGGAAGCTTGCATTATAGTTTAACAACAAGGGTTATAGCAGCGCTGGAAAATTTCAACTCAAAAAATTATGAACAATACTGGTTTACAAAATTAAAACAAAGTTTAGTGCTCCCGTTTATTTGATATTGATTAGACACATCGGCTGAACATGAAAACGAGGTCTTCGAATTGTTAACTTATTAATTTGTTTGATATTGACGTATTAATTTATTAATTTTTTTTTTGCGCATCAACTGTCTATTGCCGGGTGTTTTGTTGAGGTAATATTTAGAAAAGTATATTTATATATGTATGTTGTTGTAATCCAATGGCATTAGGCCTTTAATGTTTTTGAAAGTTTTGAATGAAATATTATTATTTCAAGAGATATTGAATATAAGTTTCATAATCCAAATCTGACGATCCAGCATCGTTTAAAGGTTGCGTTCAGTGGTCATGGATGGTCACAAAATTATATTAAGTCTCTTTAGAATAATGCATAAAAGGGTATAAGAATGTGTAGGGCATAAATCAGCTACTTCCGTGTATATTAAATGAAATACAATACGAGCGTTCAAAACTATCTTTAGCTTTACGAATTGGGCTCACCTCTGGCACTGTTACTTCATAGGGTGTGTTGAGGAAACGGGGCGAATTATCGTTGACATCGGACACTCGCACAATAATTGGTATATTACGTTTTCTATTGGAAGAACGTATTGTACATGACACCTAAATAAAATAATTTAATCGGTCAGAAAAATGATTAAAATAAGCTTCGGGAGTTATTATCTCACTTGGAAGACAATGTGACTGAGATTTTCTTCATCTCGATCCAGTGGCTGCAACAACTGCAGTTTCTTTCCATTTAGTTTAAACGCTGGATTTCCTTTTGGGAATATTAAATCAAGAGCTATATCCATGTAGGGATCCCCAAAAATTGGCAGCTCAGGAGGCGTTGTTTTTTGGTCAACAGCTGAAAGATAATTACGTTGTCAGTTTTGTAGCCTACTTAGCGCCGCACGTCCATTGTTAGGCAAATATAGAAAAAAAATGTTTAAATATCTGCACCAAAAAAGTTAAAATCGTTCTATTAGCGTCTCAATTTTGGTTCTAACGTTCTATTTGGGGTATTTGATCATAAGATCATAAGATTAAAAAATAATTGGGTTGCTGGACATTTTATACAACACTAATTAATCTACAGTTGACAATCAGTATCTGATTGTATTTACTTACAGCCATTACGACTTTCTTCAATATCCAGAATAATATTTGTCTGCCCAGTTTCCACTTCACACATTTGTGACTTTCCTAAGGCAGCCGCTGCTGGCCGATAGTTGCTTACTTGTAGTATTAATAATAGCACAAAAAGATGAAGACATTTTTGTGTTATTAAGTTGGGCGGATTCATTTTTACTGAAAGTACAGATAACCAAAACAAAATATTTAGTTTAATAAATGAGTAAAAATATATCATATCAGTGGCATAAATATAATGGAAGTTTTGGTAATTCAATTCAAAACAAAAAAAAACCCACTGAAGTTTTGAGTAGTCCCCCAAAATTTCTAGGCTAAAAGATGCAAATTTTTTACAAAAAAAAAAAAAAAAAAAAAAAAAAACTATGCGGCTATCAATACTATATATTTACTAATAATTAAGAAAATAAGCATTGATTGAGTTCCTGAAATTAAACCACACTGTCCCACAAATTCGAATTTGATTATGAATCCTGAATAAACAGAATCAGTCTCAAATTTTTCTATCAACTAAAATTGAAAGCAAAAAAGTTACACACGCTTAGTCAATAAAACCTAAAGAATATTAGCACACCTTCCATTAAAAATAATGACAAACAACTTGTTACATTTATAAATTTGTTGCTTTTAATCTTTTTAGCGGCTCCATTTCGAATAAGACATGTGTGGGACAAATACATGGCCGGACGGCCCTATATTTTGTTCTTTCTATGCCATACACTACTTAACGCACAATTCTAACCCTTTTTGATATGAGAAAAGCGCAAAATGTAAAAGTCAGCTCACGAAATAGTTTGCGACACTAAATAAAATCCACAATACCAACATATGATTTAATACATACAGGGAAAAAATAAAGAATTACGAACTTGATCAAGATAATAAATCATTTTTTAAGTACATACATACGTCTTTTCAATGTCGCACAGTCTTGACTTCAGAAATTCGACTCTTACGACTTGATTTGAATATTTGTAAACTAAAGTGAGGTTTTTATTCTAATCTTTAATAATTTTTTTAAATTTGTTGTTATTATTGATAACGTTTTTAAGTAATGAATAATAAATAAAAATTTAATCCATATATGCATATATTCAATTTATATTACACGTTCGTATTTATGGCACCCTTGCGCTTAAAAATGAATTGGAAAAAAAGGCATGTAAAGCCACACTCAAGTAGATTTCATACTTGAAATTTCAAGTACGATTCGAGGCGAAGCTAAGCACGTTCGGCGTAAATTTCAGACCACCATTTCTATGTCGTACTTTACTATTTTTCCTATCTTGATGCAATGTTTTTTTAAATAATCTGACATACATACTATGGCAGCTATATGATATAATTGCCTTAAATGATTTGTCTGGACAGGTTTGATGCGATATTTCAGTTCGATAAACTGTAGGACTCGCCATGAAGATCACTTATGTTTGTATAGCACATACAAAATACAAGTAATGCTATACTTAAACCTGTGTTTTACAATCTCTAATTCTAATAACAACTTTTCAGTAAATGGATTAGTAAGTGGCCTATTTAAAGTTATTTTTAGGGTGATATTTAAGATTTAAAGGCTAAGGTTTTGAACAGTTTGCTAGCCATTAGAAATAAGGTGCTGCTGAATCAGAACAGTATTATGGCAATACGGACACGGTGATGATAACATTATTTGATTCCAGCTTTAATATAACACAACAGAAGTATCCCATAAAACGCGTGTAAGAATGTACCAATTAAAATTTATTAAAATTAAACTGTCGGGTACTAATAGAAATGTAAGCAAACACAAAATATTAAAAAACAAAAATCACAACAATTTCCATTTTATTATTTTCCTTTTATTATCTAGCAAGTAGATTTATATTAATGTAACATTGTAATATACCATTCACCCAGGAAAAAGGCACATCATTTGCATATACTTATAAAGATCTGAAAGGCATAGAAATGCCAAAATGTTAGCTATAACAAGCAAATCTTTTTTAACTTCAACTATACCATTAAGCATATTGATATTTCCGAATATGCATAACCACTTGGCTCATTCGAAGTCTACAATGCTGATATGGCACAATTTTCGCTGCTTTGACATTTAAAATAATGATTATGTATTTAGTTGATGATTTGTTTTTATGCTTTGCGTGATTCGAATCGTTTGAGGAACGAAAATTTGAAACTTAATTTGGCAGCGTTAATAGGGCAATATCCGCAATTGCACATACATTACACAATTATATAGTTCTCGGAGTTCAATACCATTTCGTAAAATCATTTTTATGCATTATTAAATTTGGGGCGCAGTTGCTTTTGTGCTACGTAAACGGAAAAGTTTAAGCAAGAAATCACTATACTAGTCTGGGAACCAGCAAAGCTCGTTGACATTTTCTTTTTTCGCCAAAACCTTTAAGTTTTTAATGCATTTTGAATTTTTTTTTAATTTTCGCAATGGTAGCTATGATGACTGTTAGTCAATAGCCATCACGTAAGACAACAGGTATTAAAAACTTTAAAAAAGGCATTAATGCAAATGTTGCCTGCTCCATGCAATAAAAGTTGTGCGACAGGTTATAGTTGAATATGATTGTGCATACACAGGGAAAAATCAGGTAGAGCCTTATATTCAATTTTCACAGAACGCTCCATAACATAAGTGGGTATGTTTATGCTCTTCACCAAAAACGTAGCTAAGTATTATGGAATACCAGACTAACTATATTATTTATATATGAATATTCTTCATCAATATAATAAGACGAATCGATCTGGACATGTCATAGTTGGGAAGTACAATCATCATGCTTGAAAAATAGTTCTCTTTTTGCATTTCCGTTTTAAAGCTGAAAGAAGTTCTAGCACGCAAAATGGGCCAGTTTTTCTAAGTGTATCTGCCATTGGTGACTGTGATTCGAGTTTCTTAAGCACTACATTTCGCACAACCATATATACGGCCTCATTTGCTAACCACAATAAAGCATTCTTAAATACATACACACAAGTATGTACATACATACAAGTATATTGTAGATATATTTGATTTTTTTGGCTTGTAAATGTCTTAAGTTAAATTTTTCTATCGCATTGAGGAAGTGCGATTTTTTCGCTAAAGCGTTGACTTTGGATATGGATGGAAGTTGACTCCGGTTTGAAATTTGCGCTGAGAGAAAGTTCATATTTCTATTTCCCGTTTTTACCGACAAATATAAATCGAAGAAAGTGTCTGCATGGAGTATTTTGGTTAATGTTCAGGGACATGTGTGTTTAAATTTCTTTCATTGCACATACTATTAGCGTTACAGAACATGGGATAAACAGCACTCACTTCATAAAGGTAAACACTTTCTAAAGCACACACACACACGCACACATAAGTGGGTTTAAGACCTTTGTGGTATTATAACTCTGCAAAGAAGAATCCCGTCGCGAGCGCGACGCGTACATACATACGCTGTCTTACGAACTGTGGCAGCAACAAGTGGGCGCAGTCCATTCGACTGCTCAGGAACGTTGGAATGCAACGCGCGGAACACGCTGGAATTAACACTCTTAAAAGGTTGTGTTTGTATGTATACACATTGCGTTAAATATGAATGAACTAATGTACAAATTAAAATGTTTAATTGCAAATTTGTATTCGATGTAACATGAAACCCTTAAAAAACAATCCGATGTCCATGAATGAATTTTATAATTTAAAACACTTTAAATACAATTATTAATACAACCGCGATATCAAACACAACGTACAGGTGCAGTCGTTTACAGTGTGCTGTTGAAATAACAGCTCAACCCAGCGGCCATGTTCATTTTCCGCACAGGTTTAAGAACCGGTTTAAAGTTATTTTATTAAAATGTTTGTACATATCTATGTATGTATAGATGTATGAATGTTTAGGCATACATACAAGTGTATTCAGAGCTGCTTTGCAGCAATTGCTTAGAGAATTACTTTTATTTTAGCCTTATTCTTTTTTCTTTTTCTTTTTTGATGGTGATATCGTTTGGCATTTCGTGCAGCAAGAGCAACAGCAACGACTGCCGAACTGTGGTTGGCGCTTTGACTCTATCAGTATGGCAGCTGCTGCATGATTTCGCATGCCCACCCCTTGCCCCTTAACGCAGCCGGAGCTTGGTATAACATGTTGGAACCGAATTGGATTCAACTTTGCCATGCCATGCCACGCTCCATTAATAATAATGTCCAAATATGTAACACTTTGGCAACATTTTTTGGGGTGCAAATTGTACATGCTTGATCCAGTGTAAATACATACATAGGCCTACCATAGAGAAAAGTTAACCGATAAATAATATTGCTACCAAATTTGGTATTGTATATTGTTATTATCAGCAAATAATGTTTAATTTACACGTGGGCTGGTCCCAAGCTTTATAAGGCCCTGGGTAAGCCTCCGATCCAGAACTTTAATTCCAATTACAAGCAATCGCTTGCACAAGTGTAGGTTGCATTTCTGGCTTTGTACGCCGCCTTTTACAATAGCCAGACAGTCGACTCATTTGCATACTCAATGGCTTTATTTTGCCATTCAGGCATGTTCAATCAAACTGCGACACAATAAAACAATTTCCTATAACACATTCATCGTGATCTTGCTACGATATTTAAATGAATCAGAGCGGCATTTGTTGTTTATATAAATATCATTTTATTCTTTTTTAAGTGTTTACAAGCACCTGTTTTTCTTTTTTTTTCGTAGTATTTGTAATGCCAGAAAATGTAATATTATAATCTCTAGCCCAATATTTTAAGTTGATTTTGTTTAGTAAAACAGGTATATTATTTGTTTTGAAATAAAAACAGAATTTAAAACCGGCCTTTTTAAGGTATTCAAGTCGTATGTATTTGCCTTTCGCAAAACGTGATTTTTTGCTTAATAAATAAACTAAAGTCGACTTTTGCTACCCTTCTGTGTTCGTTGCTTAAGAGAAATATTCCTTGCACGTGCCAGAGAAGCGATCTTGTCGCGTCATTTAAACGTTTACAGATTGATATAAGGCCTAAAATTGATAAGTTTTTTGTTTAAAAGATTTCAAAAGAAACTTTCACTTTTATTATTATTATTATTATTATTATTATTATTATTATTATTATTATTATTTCACTATATTATTTATCGAGGCATGTATGTTTATAAAGTACCGCGACTCATATTTGGCTATCAATTAATGAAATGATCTTTAACAAGAAAGGAATGCTAAAGTCGAGCAGGCTCAACTCTTAAATACCCTGTACCACCCCATAAAAAAGTATTTAAATTAATTAATTAATTTAATTTAAATAATTAACTAAATTAATTTAATTAATTAACTAAATTAAATATAAAATATTCCATGCATGCATACATACATTTACATTTACATCAGAATCGTGCCTTATGCGTGTTTGTGTACTTGTACATATGTATGTATGTGTGCATTGGGCCTGGTTATATGGCTATAACTTTCTTTCCGATCATTCTATCATAATGAGAATTGGTATACGGTTATATAATAACTAACCTAATATGACTACCAAATTTTAGTTCAAAATTCCACATTCCAAGAATTACGGGAGTTATAGAAAATCGGTAATAGGGGGGGAGTGGGGGGGTGGATAAGAAAAAATGAACAAACTCGTCCTTTCTTGGTCTCAGGAGAATCTGTTTACCAAGTTTGGTTATTCTAGCTCTTATACTTTCGGAGATCCTTGCGTTCATACAGACAGACAGACAGACAGACGGACAGACGGTCAGACGGACAGACGGACATGGCTATATCGACTCGGCTTGTCATGCTGATCAAGAATATATATACTTTGTGGGGTCTACCAAGCCTCCTTCTGTGTGTTCCATGTGCACTCGCACAAAACTAATATACCCTTGTACCCTTTGGGTACAGGGTATAAAAATATTAGTGAAATTAGCCATTTATGAGCAATGGTATGAGCCAATTTGGTAAGCGCCAAAACAATCCTCGGATCAACAGATACCCGAAACATTATTTAGATAAGTTTTGCTGCACAATGAAAACAGGTATAAGGTTTTTTTATTTTCAAAACATATTTAAACACTCTTTACTGAATGGTAAGCCAAGACATGCGCAAGCAAAAGCTTTAAAAATCATGAAATGCCATTATTCTAAGGCACTTGATAAAAAGTTTAGTAAACGAAACAATTCACTTATCCATATTGTACGTCAGTCAGAAACAAAAAGCTAAAAGATTAAAAAAAAAAAACAAATCATGAAAGTTTCTTTTCGTGCCAAAATAATTGTCAACAGCCTAGGGCCTAGCTAGTTCGTGATTGATTAATATGTTGCGCTTCAAATACAGAATCACTTGCATAGAAAGTGCAGGAAAGTAGTCTGTCTGATCCCAAATACATAAAAAAATATAAATATCATTGGATTTCAGACAGCATGTGATATGCTCACACAAAAAATTTCAATTCGCGAGCAGTCATCAGATATTACTCGACTAAGCGCTCCAAGAAGAAAGTTAGTCAGTTACAGTTAGGGACAAATAAAAGGCAAATTTTTAACCATTTAGTGAAATTGGGATTTATAGTTACAATGTTATTATTAAATGGAATATATCACACTTCTATTCCATGCGGATCATGAGTTATAATTACGTATCCGAAAAATATATCCCCAGGATAGAAACAGGATTCCGAGTAAGCACGACAACTTTTTATAGCCTGTCCCTTGTCTATCTTGTTTTAAAACTTCCTTTAATCATATACAAAATTTGTACTCCTTAATATCTCACGATTCCAACAAAATAAGTTTGTGAAACTGGCTGAACACCTTTATCTTAATTTAATAAATTCGATTAAACATTCATTTTTAGGGGAGGCTATTATTTTCAAGAGCAATTACATAACAATAAAAGTAATTTACAGTTGTTTTATACATATCAACATATGTATATAGTATGTATGTATGTATGTATGCACATTTATGTACATACATATGTACGTGATGGGAGCGGTTAAAGCAGTCAAATGCCGCTTCGGCCCAGCAATGGCTCAAAAGAATGCGGTACTTGCCTATCAAGTAAACATACATATGTTGGTACATCTTTTGTACGAAATATTTTGTCGATTTTTAATCGCATTTTTGCTGAGTTTGTGCAGGTATAAATACTGAAGGTATTTCTTAAATTGCAAACTCTTCAATTTGAGTTTTAGTTAAAGCTGAGAATAGAGTTCTGAGAAAAGATTTGGACTGGGTCTGGGTATGGCCGACAACCCAGATTTTAATCGCAATTTTTGCTGAGTTTGTGCAGGCATGAAGGGAGAAATTAATTTGTTTTAATTTTTTGACTCTTGAATTCGAGTTTTGATTTAAGCTGACAATAAAGTTCTGAGAAAAGATTTGAACTGGGTCTGGCCGACCATCCATATTTTCTTTCTCTCTCTCTATCTCTCCATCACAGTTGAGTAATATGAACGTACCAATCGTTCCTATGCAGCTTCAAACCGATTCCAATTATTCCAATAAAGTTCATTTCGATGAAGTAAACAAAATTTAAAAATTCCAAATATAGTTAAATCAATCTCATTGAACAAAGAAGTTTTTGGTACTAATAGCGATTAGTGTCGGAGAAAACTTCAGATAATAATATGGCTGGTTAAGAAATGTAATGAATACCTTGGTTGCGAGTTTTTCAAAGACAAAAAGTCATGCCAGCAAGACCGAATATTGCGCTGATTGCTCCTATGGGAACTACATATATAAAACAATATATCTAGTTGGTAGTTAGCATGATCTGCTTTTAGATTAGACAAGCCTAGCTGTTGTGTTTTAAAAGTTCTCTGCCTGTTACATAAATTTGGCATTTAGACTTTCTAGTATACCCTTTCGCCCTTTCTTTCGGGTAGAGTGCATAAAAAGTTCATTTGAAATCATTCGTTTTAATAAGCCATATTCCACAAATGAAAGTTAACCTTTTCAATCACAATTAGAAATAGATTCAAGACCACAATTAGCTCGCTCGCTTAAACGATCAGACAAATGGCCAACACTGTGCTATTTTTACATAAATGTGTCCTTATATGGTAAAACACCAACGATGAAAGCCGCGTCACTGTGCGATCATGTAGGAGGAGAATAACTGATTGGTTGTCGATCAGAGCAGCGGGGCTATTATAGCAGTAAACAAAGCATGTGACGTCACCAATTTGCTTAACGTGGGCTAACAAGTTATTAAGCAGTATTTAGACTGGTCAACAAAATTTTTCGTCAGCTATTGATACTAAAGGTTAAGCTTCTAATTGAGCCAACGCCAGTGAAATTAAATATTAAATTACATTCGCTTTAGCAGTTTAATATATAGCTCCTTTCTCCGATAATGAAGGTAAAAAGTAGTGGAGTTTTCAGAGAGATAAATGGAAACATAAAAACAAAAACCGAGTCAATGCCATCTGAGTGAGGGCGGGGAAAAAACGAACTGTGATAAACATGACAAATAAATTCATCCACTTTGGTAGCCAGTGTAGTAGTTTTTTCAGCCAGTCATAAACAAGAAATGACACAACAGACGGTGAAATCATATTTTACAATATAGACAACAGTTTCGCAGCTCATTTAAGTATTGGATCGCCTCGAGAGCGCATGGGCTTTTTCGAAGGGAAAAAAATCAAATAATTTATAAAAAATGCCTCTTCACAAGAAAGACGATTATATACCAATCAAGTGCGAGGGTTGGAACGGCAAGTTCCTATACCCGGAAGGTGCAGTCAATAATGTATCCAAAATTCGGCGTCAAAATCAAAATGTGACGAATACAAACAACTTCTACGGCTTCAATACAGAGCCTATTGTGCTCCCCACCACCTGGGACGGTACTTTTGCCAGGAGCGGTGAAACACGCATGCAGCCTCAACGTAATTGCTCCGACGATCAAAACTATTTCGACTACGACACTTCAACAACGGTTTTACCGCCTACATGGAATGGAGAGTTTGTTACCGATTCAAATGATGTACGCATCAAGCCGGAGCGCAATTATTCCGATCCCCGAGATTTTGCCGAGGCAAACCGTTTTAAGTTGGTCAAACAATAGGAGCTGGGACCTGCTTCCTAACCGAGTTATGCGTGCATGCACATGAGTTTGTTATTATTCAAAATAATTATTTTCCGGTTTATTATTTTCACTATTATCCCTAATTAACTCTTAGTTTTTGTATTACGTGTATTAAAAACATTTAATAAACGGAACACAAATTTCAAAAGACAAACAGTTTAATATATTGTTTCCAATTCTAAGATTGATGTTGGCATGGGTGGGACCCCAAAGTGGAAAGGAAAACGCTCGTACAGAAGACCCAGCACGATTCCAGAACGTTCTAGCAAGGTCTGGAAGCCAAGACCGAGCGGTGACCACTAGAAGCATATATCTCTAGTAAGAGCCTTTCTTACATATGTATTTATGCTTCCACCGTCTGGGTTAGTGCATCATCATAAGTCCCACCCGATTCATTGTTGCATTGGTTAAAAATCAATTTAGAAAACGTCAAATTGGCGCCGCCGAATTAGGATGATGGATAACGTAACATAAGAAAACTTGAATGCCACAAATCAAATTACTTGTACTTTCTGAGGGCTTCTACTTCTTTAACATAAGAGGAAAGACATGTGATTAACCATTGGCGTGATCAGGGAGCGCTTTGCTATAGAAAGGAAACAATATGCATACTGAGTATGTATGTATGTACATAGTTACATTTTTTTCACGCTTCTTATATTCTTTCTGAAAAACGTGAAACGGAACTGCCATAATGAGATAAGCCTTGTTATTAATGTTTGATTGGTTTAAAATAATATAGTCACACATGCATTTCATAATATAGTTATAATCGGCAATTTAGCTTTACTTTTTACAAAATTTCCGATAGTATCCTCCGCCTCCAAATGTTTCTATACTGTTACTTTGTTCATACCTATGTATAAACAATGAGTCTTTTCATATTTTTTTTTTTTTCTAAAAAAGCGGATTTACTTAAGCTGAGGTGTCATGCAAAGCAATAACTTAACAACATGATAGTATACTATAACAGTTTTTAAAGGCGGAAGTCAGATAAGAAGTAATTCAAAAATAACAGAGCAAGCGCCAATAAACATTATTCAATGCAACTCTGCCGTCAGTGAATACACACTCGAATAAATATGCTTCGACGCGCTATCGAAGTCACATTTAACTGTTATGTCGTTATTTATTATTAATTCCATAAATTGTCACCAATTGCTTAAATGTGATGAATGTGTTGTAAATAAAATAATATATATAGTATATGTTTTTTAGAACCCGTGTGGCATTTTTTCTGTTAGAAGATATGGTAACATTAACAGTCCTAAAACCAAATTTATAGCCTTTTCTATTTTCATATTATTGTTTGCATTAAAGTACTTTATGCAATAACTTGAGTTTAAATATTGTCCCCAAGGCTACACAGTCATTCAGAATATATGAAAATCGTGAAACGCACTTTAAACGCTGCATCGTAAGCCAGGAAAAATTTTAGTGTCCAACGTAACAGCAACAACAAAAGTAATAACAGAACCCAGTAACTGGAATCCAACATAAACTGTCCACCGATGAGTGTACGTTTTTTTAAAAGGAAAACAACATAATTTGTTAAAAATGCCACTTCAAAATAAAAACGATTATATACCAATAAAGTGCGAGGGATGGAATGGCAAGTTCCTATACCCGGAAGGTGCAGTCAATAATGTATCCAAAATTCGGCGTCAGAATCAAAATGTGACAAACACAAATGATTTCTACGGCTTCAATACAGAGCCCATTGTGCTCCCCATTACCTGGGATGGTACGTTTGTAAAGACTGGTGAAACGTGCCATCAACCTCATCGTAATTGCTCTAACGATCAAAATTATTTTGATTATCACACTACAACAACAGTTTTACCGCCTACTTCGAATGGAGTGTTCGTTACTGATCCAAACGATGTACGCATCAAGCACGAGCGCAATTATTCCGATCCCCGAGATTTTGGCTATTATCCTTAATTAAATCTTGTTACGTATTACATGTATTAAAAATATCTAATAAAAGGAACTCAAATTTTAAAAGACATAGGCAATTTCATATGTTGTGTCCATTTATAAAATTAATGTTGGCGCGGCTAGGGCTCGACACTCCACTCCGCAATAACATAACAATAGGAGAACATGTATAAGCCATAATAGTTTATGAAGGCAATCATATGATAAGGAGGTTTTAAAAGGAACAAAACAAGCGCCAACGCTAAGAATTGAATACAACTCTACGGTCAATGAATACAAAGGAATTAAAATGTTTCGATACTTCGACTAGTTTTTGATATCGAACTTAACGACATAACAGTCGTTATTTATTAATAAATTACCATTAAAAAGGCAAAAAATTCCCATAGAAACAGTCGCCAAAATAAAATATTTATTAATAAAATAAAATTACCAAAAGTACGTTTAGTATATATTTTGGTAGAAGTCGTATGGCATTTATTCTGTTGGATGGTATGGTAACCTTAAACAGTCCAAAAACATAAAATTTATAACATTAGCTATTATCAACATATTTTTGGCATTTAAGTAGTTTATGCAATAATTTGTGCTTAAATGTTGTCCCACAAGGCTACCCGGACATTCAGAATCTAAGAAAATCGTGTAATGCACTTGAAACGCTGCAACGGCAGCCTGGACAAATATTTGGTGCCTAACGTACAAACAAACAACAAAAGTAAAAACATAAATCAGGAACGGAAAACCTGCATAAAATGTCCACTGATGAGTGCACGTCATGGCGAGAGCACGTCATAAAATGTCTGCGTGAACGTAATAGCAAGGAATGCGATAACTTCAAGGAGATCATTTTGCAGAGTAAGTGTTACTTCCAACGACGCCACTGCACTAAAAGTAGTTGTGCCTTCAATACAATCTGAAAATACCCTAACGAAATGTTTTTTTTTAATACTCCCATTTGTAGATAATCGGCTCATTGGTCAATGTGCACAACTCAAATCGGACAATTTAAAACTGTCGGTCGAAAATGAGCAGCTGCGCAATTCCGTGTCAACAGGTGGTGCAGGCCCTAATGTAGCTATTGTGACGTTGGAGAAAAAACTGCTCGAGGAGCTGACCGAGCTGCACAAACGGAAGGGCGAGAACTCGCAGATGATCGTGGACTTAAATGTCAAAGTGGAGCAGCAGAAGAAGCTTATTGCTGAAAAAGAGCAGAGGTGAGTAGCTATAAGCTGTATGTACCACACATTATTGTATTTCAACATTTATTTTTCAGCCTTTTCGAACAACAAACTGCCAATAACCGCCTACGTGCAGAGGTCCAAATGTTACACTCCAATCTTGAAGAACTTAAGAAACTAAATACCACAATGCTGGACGAGCACACAGCCCTGCATTTGGCATTCAGTGCTTCCGAGGAGAAGCTTAGAAGTGTACAGGTGAGGGTGTCAGAGATTCTTTTCATTTTCCTTCAAACAAAAAATTATATATGTATGTATATATACATATATAAAGTTATGTGCGTTCTGAATTCTTGGTGATTATTTTGACTTCAAGTTGTACCTTGCAAAATTATAAGTTTTTAAATAAGTTTTGAATTTTCTAATTAGTAAAAAATCACGGTATTCTGTTTTTTTGATTTTGTTCAAAGCTTGAGCATATCATTATCATATAAGCAAAAACTAAAATTGCTGTAATTTTCGAATCTCACGCATACATACATATATATTCTGATAATTGTGTTTGAGTAATTTCTATAGAGCAACATAACATAACTTCGACATTGTACAAGCCTGTGAGTTTTAGGAGTTGTATATAATATTGTACATTATGTTCGTATATTAAAGCTAATCCTGCGAGATTAAATATTTTCACTATCTGTAATATTTGTGGTTTGTGTACCCATTTTAAATGTTTCTTTTATATATACAAAAAAGAGGTATTCATTGAAATGCGATGTACGATATTGAACGCTACAATAAGGACCAAAAGTGGTGTATAAACTTCCTTTTTACTATTACATATATTTCTAAAAGAATCATTTGTTAAACCCTCTGGTACCTTTTAGGATGAAAATCGATGTCTGCTCGATCGTTTAATGCGCTACAAGTCTAAGGATGCTGATAAATTAAACGAAGAGAACGAAAGTATTTTACGGTGAGTTACAGCTTGGACACTGCATTTTTTTTTTTCATATACATATGTATGTATTGGCCTATTCATACATAACCTGTTGGGCCATTAAAATTAATAAATACACATATTTTTTCTTCTACGCTGATTTAATAATTGCCTGGTGTTTTGTTTTTTTTTTTTTTTTTTCAATATATTTTAATGAAATAAAAGTTGGAATATGTTCTTAATTGAACAGCTTACCACCAAACCAATCTTAATCAATTTCCTCCATTCAGTAACACAAAAACATTCAATTCACATATACTTAAAACACATGTGACTTACCATCCTTCAACTCCAATTTTTTATCATTTTTTTTATTTTTTTTTTTATTGTATTATGGTCCAATCAAAAATATGTAACCGTTCTTAAAAATATCTAGAAAAAGACTGCCGTCAATTTTCAGAAAACGTTCGGATAAATTGAAACGAGACATCGAAGACGCTGTCCGAGAACCCGGCTCATCAAATAATTTTAGTTCGCCTGTGCCACGCAGTTCGACAAGTCCAGTGCCATTTGGGAGCTGCGCTGTTAGCGACAACGAGTGCGAGGAAGCGTCTATAAACGGTGCCATGGACGCCCTGGGAATGGGTGACGATGACTATATAAGTGGGCGTTTCTCGGCCGGAGAGGCTGAGACGGCCCGCCCATCGATAGACACACTTAAAGCTGCTGGTTATTTAGGACAACCAAACCCGACAAAAATAATAATGAAATTTGAGGCCCATGAGAATGAGTCTCATGCAGTGCGATGGAGTCCCGTTGAACGGATGGTAGCTACAGGTGGTGCCGATCGCAAGGTCAAGCTATGGGATGTGGGGAAGGGTATGTATGCGTCGTATAAATGTATTGCCGTGAAAATGACTAACACACTTCTTGCAGCTTCTACGGAGCCGCGTGCTGTGCTCAGCGGTAGCAGTGCTGGCATAAACTCCGTAGATTTTGATTCAACGGGCACCTACATATTAGGTACATCAAATGACTATGGGGCCAGAGTGTGGACTGTAATGGATAATCGGTTAAGGGTATGTATAACACAATTTTGTAAAATATTTCTAAAAAGATCAATCAATAACCACTTTGTTATAAAATCGTCAAGATAACAAACTTAACATTCGTATATGAACATAAGTATTCACCATTATTTGATCATTATGTACATTGTACACAACTGATTTGACAGCTTGATTTGTTTATTTTTGGGAGAATAAAACAGACTTTATGGTAAAAGCCATGAAATGCATATAACGACCACGACAACCACCAGCTTCATCACCACATAACCATTGTACTGACAGATAAAAAATAATAAACTATTAATTAGTTAACATACACTTTATATTTGTGTTTTTAATAGTTTCTTGTTCTAAGTGCGGAATATGCGTCACACAATATGAGAAAGATGTTCACAATATACTAATGTTTTGCATTGCATTTTATGTCTTCACAAATTTCCTTTCTTCAGTAATTACTAATTACACTAACTACTCTTCAAAAATCTGTTAAAATTCAGTTTTGTTTTGGCCGACTGTTCATACATAGTCTTTGTAACTGTTTAATTGGAATTTTCTAAACCGTTTTCCTGCTATGCAATCATATAACCAAAGGACACTTGTGTCCACATTTCAATTCTCTATCTCCAATGGCTGGTCCTGAATGGTGCTAAGTCAGTGAGGATAAAGCTTTTTATATACGTTCTAGGAGATTAATTAATTGATTGAAAGGTCTATTCTGCTAATTAAGCCTTGATGCTTCACGGCGTTTATTATTTATTTTCGCTATAGAGGTTAGACTATTTTACCTCGTGCTGGAAGCCGCCTAACTTGCACCCACATTCAGCGTCTACTTCTTCCGGCGTGTCCTCTTGCTGTCGTATCCTTTTAGAGATGTTAATACAAATCTAAAAAAAAAACGTATACTATTTAAGCATACGTAGGCATGGCGATTTCGACGTGTCCAGTTCTTATTCGGGTCCAATCCGCACAGATTCTCACGCTTGAATTCCACCGCATCTGGATTACTTAATTGCCAAGCAGAAACCAAAAATACTTTTCTTGACGTGCTTCTTTGAATGCGTAATGGGCAAGCATTTTCTCATTATGATCTTTAGACAGATGATTCATGACTCAATTCGATTTTCAGATACCTCACTTTAATACCACTTTTCCCAAAAGGAAGAGTGAAAATTTTGTCACATATGCAGTTGAAAACATTTCTTTAACCAATTTTCAATAATTATAATAATAATATTGTATAGTATTTCCTCCACGAATTTATTGTAGTTGGATTACAGAGTATACAAGAGTCACTTACTACAGCATTTGAAGCATTTTTCTGCAATCAAGAGTTTGTGTAAAATCCACTTATACTCAGTTATTGGTAAATAAAAATAAATAAAGTAAATGGAAAAATGTGACATCACAGTAGACAACGAAAGCGGCAATGATCGACAAAGGTTAATGCCTCGTATTATTTTAGAGCCCTAGTGCAAACAAAGCAGTGGCAATGACTTGCTTTTGGCCAAAACTTTAACATTAGCAAGTTTAGTTTACAGTAGCTCCATTTATAAAAAGAAAAACTGTCGGTGAAGTGCCGACTGAACCTAACCCAATAAATCATTTTTGTTTTCTTATGCGCGTAACTCTAAAAGTCACAATTACCAGGTTTAATTGTGGCTTTAATTGCCGCCTTTTCCACTGAAAGACACTTATGCTGACATAAGTAATTAGCGGCCACTTATGTAACACTCATATGGTGCCCATAAGTTGTCTTCGCACATTGGTTCATGGGGCATATGCGGTCGTAAGACAAACGTAAGACGACGGAATTATGCTTGTTCTTAACGGTTGTTGTAACTGCCTGTCCTTTGATCTTGCTCACCATAGCACACGCTAACCGGACACAGCGGAAAAGTTATGGCCGCAAAGTATGTGCAAGAACCAATAAAAGTGGTCACCGGAAGCCACGACCGAACGCTTAAGATCTGGGACTTACGTAGCATAGCATGTATAGAGACGAAGTTTGCGGGTTCCAGCTGCAACGACTTAGTCACCACAGATAGCCTCGGATCCACGATTATCAGTGGGCATTATGATAAAAAAATACGCTTCTGGGACATACGCACCGAGAAACAGGCGGATGATGTGATCATGCCGGCAAAAATCACTTCATTGGATTTATCAAAAGGTGGGTGGGGCCAACGATATACTATATAGTATGTACTATAATATCATTAATTTACGGTTATATGCGCGCATTTCTGTTTCAGATTGCAATTACCTCATATGTTCAGTAAGAGATGATACAATAAAACTTTTAGATTTACGTAAAAATCTAGTGATTTCCACATTCACGTAAGTAAACCCATAAGTCATACACATATAGTATAAGTTAGTATGTTCTTCCAGAATAATTGTCATTCTCAAGTTTTCAATACATATGAGTATAAAGTTAAAATCTTAACTCCAAAATAGGCCTATCTCTTTGTTCTCCTCTTCGAAAGTACTGTTTGGAATATATGCAGTCTCTATATTTTTTTAACACATTGATATTATTATTGCGAGCTGATAAAAAGTGTTACTAATTATTGGTTGTTTAGAGTGCGTATTTCGAATTGAAGGTCTGAAACCCACGTTTCAGTTAATATACAATTACAATAATAATTATAATCTGGCATAGTCTTGTATCAAATTTATTTAATTTTTCACAGAAACGAACACTTTAAAGTTAGTTGTGATTTTGCGCGCGCAACCTTTAATTCAAACGCATCAAAGATTGCCTGCGGCTCGGCGGATGGTGCAATTTACATATGGAATATAAATGGGTTTTTGGAGACAACGCTTAAGGGGCACAGGTGCGTAGTAATACCGTCAACTGCATATTAAGGCTTATATAATTTGACTCACATATGTTATGCACGTATGTATATATATAGCACATATTTGTATATATACTATATATGTATGTACAAGGCTTTCATGCACGCATAAAATTACAATTTTGCACTTTATTGCATTTCTTCTTTTTTTATATACTCGAATATGTACCTAAAACAAACAGTTTTGGTTCGGGCTTCTTCCACAGCACGGCGGTCAATGCAGTCAGCTGGAGCCCCAATAGCAATTCTCTGGCATCCGTGGGCAAGAGCAAACGCTGTATAATCTATTCAAACTCGTAGCCTTCAAAGCCAATGATAGGTAATAATAAAGTCTATTTGCCATTAGATGGCTGGTTAATAACATTTGAAAGGATAAGCTTATGCTAAACGTGATTGAAAACATCACCTTTTTACCTTCAATGCAGCTTCGTTTTGGTTTTTATAAGGACTTTACTAAAGTTGTGAACTTAAGATTGACAGAAATCGATTACCAAAAACAAAAGGATTTAATAAATTGTATAAAATATAATATACTTACTTGTAAATTTGGATGTGTTTCTAATTTTTAAATGTATGTAAAAGAAGTAAGTAAAACATTTAATTTTTATAAAATGTATTTTATGTATTACTTGAGATAAAATTCTTATCAACGGCCGCAGTTGCGCTGCGCACCAACTCAAAGGTTTAAAATATTCGAGTTTTTTCAGTGACTCAGTGGTAATTAAACTTTTCTACGGAGCATTCAGTGTAATAAATAAATAATAAAAAAGTAGGCGTCTCAAAGCAAAAAGTACATGGCGGTTTTTTAAAAGATAACTCTGTTGTATCATTTTCAAGATGACCGTACTATGACTTAACATCAAAACCATCAGCATAACAACTGTTACTGCTATATCCATATATATGCCATAAAAGCCAGCCTCTGTTTGCTGATTTTTTATTTCAATAAACAAATTGTCAGGAATTATTGCCTCCACTCTATTTCCTTACTGCTATGCTATTGAAAGCTTCTGAAACTCAACTCAATCTATGATAAAATCGAACAAACAAATGAGAGAAATATCTCATCGAAACATTTCGTTTTTGCAGCAAATGTGTAATGACAAAACGCATAATGCTATAACCCATTTAAAAAGAGATAATGTCACTTCGATTTCTAAAAACTCGATGACTACTTTAAATTAAGACCAAAAATATATTCCCATGTGTCATTATTAAGAAGATTATTGCATTGGCTGTTCCATAGCAAACATTATGTAACTGACTTTCTCGTGCTAAATAGCTTTCTACACACAACGCCACGATAATGTGAGAATGTGACATTATCTTCAGAGCTTCTGCAGGCTGTGCAAATGACTGAAATAATGCAGGTAATAAGAAAAGTACTTTTCATAATACAATTACAAACTAGATTATCTTTGGATTTTAAAATAAATGCAATTAAGCGTGATGCTACTGCTTCTCATATATATACTCTCATACATATACTCGTAGAATATGTATGTTTGCATGTATGATCTCAAAATGCATCTTAGGAATCGGCCTATTCGTTAGAAAACAAAAGCGAAGTTATACGGTCATAATAAATAAATAAATTAGTGGACGTAAAATGTCTTTAAGGTTCTCTACATGGTGAGCCTTAATGAGCTATAAACGATCTGCCTGTCACTGCTCTGCATACAGTGATGGACTAATTCCCAGTCTTCTACATCATAGGGCTTAAGAGATAACACGCCTATAGCTTGTGGCGTGACATTCTCTCTAAAGCTTACATACAATAGCCATAAAAAGAGCATACAAACTTTCTATTTTACATATGTATACAGAGCAGGGTAAGCAGCACACTTCTCCCTCATTGTATGTAGTTATAATATAAAGATAATTGACATAGTATCATGACAAGTGGCTTTTTAATTAATTGCATTACTTGATTTTTTTCACACAGCGCGCTAAAGCTAGAGCCCAGCAATTATGGAAATAATGGCACATTATCATATCAGATTGAACGTCGCGGAGAAGATGTCGTGGCGTTGTTCAAAGTCATTCATCTCTGTCGTGCAGCAAATTATTTAGTACCAGAAAGCCGGTTACATAAATTTTCACTTGCTATGCGGACTTTGTCGTGTGAAAGTATGTACGAAGCGTAGTCACCGAAATAATTAACTAAATGACTAATCATGGTCATATAATTTACGTAATCTGATATTTTTGAAATTCGTTCGAAAAATGTTTTAAGCTGAAAAAAATAATAATAGGGGTAACACGTTTACCACTACATGAATTATAATGAATAAACACCTTCCATCTGCACTATTCATACCTAAGTAGTACGTACAGAAGTCAATCAGATTGTACCAAAGCACAAATTGGTTTTACCTGCTACCATGCTGCTGGGGAAACAACTTTGGCGATACGATCAATATTAAGAGGCTTTCGCCGCTCTTCCAAAAATATTGCAAATTCTACTTAACGCCAAATTATTATGAAACATTACAATAAAAAGTAATGGACCAGCATTTTAAATACACACAAACAAATCGAGAACGTTCCTTTTTTGGAGAAATAACGTACGACCAATCAGAAATAAAGCTTACAATAAAATAAACTCAGAAATCATCGTCACATATGCTGAATCATATTTTGACAGCAGTCTAATCGGCGTAGATATATAAACCTTTAGTTATTTGGTGTTAGCTTTGTAAAATTACAAGTCTCTATTTAGAATTTTAAAAAGGTTTTATATATATTATGCCTAGATATAGGCATATATGTATATCTAATTAAAAAGTCAAAGTTCCCACCATATTAATTGCTCGGTATATTGTGTTACTTATGATCCAAACAATATGTATTACAAAATAAATAATGTCTCGGTCCTCCAGGGTTCTTATCAGTCTCGAAGCACTTAATAACATGCTTCAAACAAGCTATATGTATATCAGGGTATGAAATACATTTGTATACTTGTATTCCCAAACACTGATGCTCTCGATATCAAACGGCCTTTGGGGATAAAATTCCATGAAATTAACTTTTCAAATTAAATTTGTTTGAATGTGTGTATATTTATATTTTTTTACACTTAAAACTAAGAAAAATAAATACATTTTTATAATTCCTATGTGAGTATGTGTTATAATCCGAATTAGTTTCATGATTTCAAATTGTATATGATTTTGTCGAACATTTGCAATGCGGCTAAGCTACTATGACATTCAAAATTGTATAATTTAATTAAATGTTATACATACGTTACAATACGTTAATTCCGTTTACTATCATTTCCAAGTCACAAAAACAGTACAGTATGCATATTATACTGTTTTTACAAGTAGAGAAAATAATGGAATAATCAAATATTTTGTTTACCTAATTTTATACGCAATGATCGCGGTGCTAACTAATCTTGGAGCCACTTTTTAAAATGTGACAAATGTCTAGAATCGTTCATTGACTAGATAAGATATCGATATTAATGTCACTGCGGCGATGACTGTTGCAACCAGCTCTGCATTGCGTAATCGAAAATTGCACCTTGTATACTTTAAATAGACATTGGTGGGGGAAATAAGCTAAGTTTAATGTTGATAGGGCTGCAACTTCTGGCGGCGTTGGTAGCAGTACGTCCAGATGGCAATCACACCCAACTGAGTGAGTAGAAAAATCGTGGCCGCTGTAATCAGACCTAGATAAAAATTACAAAAATAATGTTGTAAATTAAATACGTTATACAGGTAGATGATTTATACACATAATATTGGTCTACATATACAAGTATTTCGGAACTACCCAATAGATTAGTTACTTGGGGCTACCTTTTTGCCCGCTAACTACTAATAGTAAGTTATTTACGATCTAGTTACTTCGTTGGCTACTTATTTATGTTCCCATCCATAAAGCGTTTTAAACTTTTCAACGTTTGTCAACCCCCATAAAGAGTTTTATTGGCACGCAAGACGCCACAACTGCTGCCACAAAGGCATTAGTGGCCAGCATTTGTTTGCTGTGGACATTTGCGTCGGTGTGGATTTCAGCTATTGTGTATACATCGGAGCAGCATTTAGTAGCACTTTTCTCAATGACTCGACAAAAAGATAAAATTTTTTTTGATTTTGATTTTCTGTGCAGCATGGACTTACATACATATGTGGTTCGGTGCGTGAAATGTGATTTTGTGCGTCACACGTGCACCAAATTTTCAAAAGAAAAGCTTCGACAGTGAAGCGAAGCTTGTTAAAATAGCTAAGAGAGTGCGTTATTGAAAGTATTTAGATTTACCCATCCGAAGTTTGACCGCAATTTCCCAAAACATTTGTCTAAAAGTCAGCTCTCTAGTTTCTGTGCTTTGGGCCGCACGCTTCTCAGCTCTATACTATACTACTTATAGCCCGCACATTTTACATTTTATTACAATTTTTGTAAAGAAATTTGTGCATTAAAGTTATTGGATTTTGTCGCTTCTTTTGACTTATTGTATACATACATAGGCCAATAATTGTTAGTCCAAGCGGTTCCGTTAACATTTGAACTGGAACTCTTAATCCAGTAAATCTGTGGGGAAAACTTGTTCTGGTTTCTGTTTATAATAATGGTCCATTGTTGGTTAGCTACGTTTATTTTGTTTGATTTAGAGAGATCAGAGTCGTTATAAGATATTGTTGTTCATTTTTATAAGTACTATGTCTTCTGTACATTCTTTTTTTATCTACATGTGTTCGGAGAAAATCTCTATAAGGGCTGGTGAGGTCTAACTCATAAGTTATAAATGTAATTTGACGCCAAAAACGAAAGGCTCATGTTTTCAGTAGTCTTTAACCATTAAAACACACAGGGGGTTCACAATCGATTGATCTACTTTTCGAATAAGTGTTAATTGAGAACATTGTTTGCGATTACTTACCAATGGCATTCACGCAAAAACTCGGTACCACAACTCCAGGCATGAATGTCGTTTCATTGCTCTCGTAGTAGCTGCCTCCGCTTCGTTGGTGCTGCTTTTCGAAGCCGAATTTGTCGGTGATTTGAATCGATTGCACCAACAACATATCGCTCAGATTTGGTTGTGAAAGCGTCCCCAACTCACGACGAAAGCGTGGTTTGCTGCTGTTTGTAGCTGGATAACAAATATAAAAAAAAAAAAGAACATAGTACATATAATAAATTCGATTGAGTTCGGATTCAATGCTATCAGCTTAAGTAATCAACTTTGTGACACAAATATGGAATAATCCGTCCACCCACCTTCCACGTTAAGCGATCGGCGTTTGCGCCCGTATGAAGTCAGCGAGCGCAATTCGCCGCTCGAATCCTCCTGATCACACAGCACAGGCTCGCAACTAGGTATGCAGGGGGTCACCAAAGCGCGGAATTGCACCATTTCGCTGGATGGGAACTTGAAGGCATCGAAATGCGACAGCAGAATCTTACCAGAGAGCGAGCGCTTCTCTATGGGACCCATAATGAAGTGGTCCGTGGGGCAGCCATTCGAGTCAATTAGAGTTATTTCAGAGTTATCAACTCCGTCCATTGCTACCAGTTCGCGCACAAATATCTGGAACGGGCTCTCCTCATCAACAATCTCAAACTGGAGAGCCAACGGATCGCCGACCTCGGCCGAATGCATGTCAGACCCATCGCGCGAAGTGATCTTCATTATGACATTGGGGGAATCCACAATCACTTCCTCGGAAAGCGCTGGTACAATGTCGCCACGCACATCCAAGTCCACAACGTTGCTGACAGACTGGTTTTTAAGATCATACTGACAGGCTAAGGCCAGCCCCAAGTCGGATGAGGTCACTATCATGTCATGGTGCTGAATGATAATGTCGTTGACATAGCGTCCTGAACCGCTTTGACGTACATTGCACTCCAAATCTTGGTAGTTCATACGCAATTCAAAGTCCAGTGCGCTCTTTACATCGACGGCACAAGATTTGGGAGAGCCCTTGGCGTAAACCTTTCCGCTGAACAACTTAGACGTACGTATACGGGCCAGCATGTCTCCACCGCCGCATTCTATGGTTACGTTGTAGCAGGAGGCCAGCTCGTAAGTCGACGCTTCAGGCACCTCTAGGTAGGGATCCTGGACATCGGTTAGGGTGGCCCGACTGTGATGAGATAAGCGGCACACCATATCGCCAGTGTCATTGTAATCGTAAGAATGGCATCTAACGGGAACAAACAATTTTAGTTTGGTAAGGGGAATGCGCTGGCTTCATGGATGGCTATATCACCTATAGGGGGTATTTAGACACAGCTCACGGCACTCGTCAATGCTGTTCACTTCCTGGTAGACAGAGTCCACAGTTTTAAGTATCCGTCCAGGAAGACGCTTGAATTCACACAACTTATTGGGCTCCTCAATGCAATGGTTCTCCAAGTAGTCGGTGCCCTCCATTTCCTGGAAGGCATTGCTTCCAGCCAAAGTCATGCGATCGAACTCGCTCAACTCACACATACCCGTCTTCCGTTCATAGTTTGCGGATCTTCAAAACAAGTGACGAATATATTAATCTTCTCGCATGACTACTTAATCAGTATGGTCATTAAAAAAAATAGAATATATGGCTTTTGCTCTGCTTTACTAAGTATGTACCTCTGTACAACGAGAAAAAAAATCAAAATTTGATATATAGTGTACGGTATAGTCGGCACTATGGAAAGTACTGCTGATATGTTTGCAGCTTCTGGTCTTAGACATGTCCCCTATCTCATCACAAAATGCCAATAGGCATACAAATAATATCACCTCAAATCAAAATATAGCTTCATTAAGAGGTTTGAAATAGCAGACTAATTATAAGAGACTTTACAGAAGCATTCAACACTACATAGAATCGACTTACCTGCATGAGAATTCCGTTTCGCCCAAACAAAGTTCAAAGCACTCGCGCCGGGAAGCCACCGGCACTCTACGCCTCATTTTTGTTGCCAACTTGTAGTTCTGAACGCGGTCGACGTACCAGGCTCGCGAGCAGGGCTTTTTCGAAATGCACGATTTTTGCGCATAAATGGTAAAAACGGGGAACTGCGATTTGGTCAAAGCACCTGAAGTTTGAATTTATAAATTGAATTCAAATCAAAAATAAAACTCAAGCTGTAATTTTGCCTGAAAGTATTTTTAAGGATGTTTTCTTTTGCCCAAAACTGTACTATAGGGGTTCGTATTGGCTTATTGTTTAAGAATATATTTAAAAGGGTTTAATTTTGTTCAAAAAATCATAATTAAATAATTATCATTATTTTATGAGTTTTCTTTTTTTGCTCAAAAATAATGATTTTAATTAAAAATCAAGTAAAACTCAAAATTAACCATTATATTGTGAACAAATGAATAGAATTTTAAAAAATCTTCATTTTTATATTTTAATAATAACACTTATAATGATAACAGTCCCTGGTATTACCAAGAGCTAGAATCTAAACAGATTTAAATGGTTTTTTTTTAACTGTCCATCGTGGACAATCATTAAATTGGTTAAACAAACTTGACAATTAATTGTTTTCATTTACGAAAATAGTTTTCTGACTGAATTGAAAACTTAACTAGGTCGATCGATTATTTATGAATTAATTATTTAATTAATGACTTACCCGGTAACTGATCGGCATGTGCCGAGAACAACACACACAGGCCGGTCTCATAATTTACAGATTCACACGTTTCGTTTTTCTGGCAAGTGGCCAAACAATCGGTCAACATCAAAGTTCCCGGCAGCGAGTCCATAAGCTTGCCAGGTGCGGAGAACACATAACTGCAAGATAAACACCATAATCGGCGATCAATCAAGAGCTTAATCGTATCAAAGGCATTATTATCACATACAAATTGAATTTTCTTAAAACATTGGTTGGCCATTGAACAAAAGATATTTATAAAATTTGCATTTAAATTAGAAAATTATTGTTAACTATTTTGTTATTTATTATCCATGATCACCTGTTGCATCACTCAAGAAGAAAAGTACTTTACAAATTTGCACCTTGAACAACTGTTTACGGCTCACAACTATAATTTGAACACTTTGTTCTATTAGCACCTTTTATTAACCTACTTTCTTGTCCGTTTGCTTGTGCCTGCAGGTTATCATCTATGTATTACACAAATTTGAGGTTCTAGCTTGCTCTATTCGTTATAACAATTACTTTATAGAAGTTGCGGATTTGATTAAATTATGAATAGATTTTTTTTAACATACAAGATATTTCTGTGTATTAATTTATAAAGTATATATAGTGTGCACTTACCCAGTAACAATTTCAAATCCTGCCATTCCCGGGTCACACGGTGCGGACACATTGTCATAATAGAGTTCGCTTTCCCCCGAGGGAGCGGCATCAGCGCTTGCATTGAATTCCTTGGACTCTGTGGCTGCGGAAATGTTTAATTCGGCGTTACGGTTTTCAGCGGCAGATGGTACTACGTCCAGCACAAGTGTAGATGTTTCTGTGGCAGTCGGAATTTCAGTTGTCGTTAGCGCTGCCGGGCTGCCGGTAGTTGGGGCAGGCGTGTACACCTTCTCGGCAACGGTTGTTTTATTTGGCTCAGAAGTTGCTCTGCGCACGCGAGGATGCTGTTGGGCCATGGCTGCGGAAATTAAGACGCAAGCCACAAACACGTCTCGCAACAGGCTTTTGTGTCTTGGATGGCGGACCATTGCTGCGGTGAGAGCTATTTCGATCGAAGTGGAAAATACAAAAAAAGAAGAAAACTATTAGAAAGAGATTACATCAAGTGGTTGAGTCAAGTGTGCACTCCCCACAGTCTTATAAAACACAAATTTTGCATAAATAATCTATTACTTTGTGTTGGTCTGCGCCGATGCATATACCCCTAATTGTGGCTCACTACAGGAACACGTTTTGGCCATGGTCAGGGCCACAAACTATATACTCTGCTGTGTCCGCACGATCTTATTTTACATTATATCGCATATGTTACCTTGTTTTGTATATGATCACAGAAATATCAGTTCTATAACAACTAAATGAAAAAGGCTTGTCTTTTTGGCGGACAAAATAAGCAATATTTCAATGGAGCAGTAATAAGCGTTTCAATGCTTGGAAGTACACAGAGATTGATGTGATGTGGATGCTCTTTTATGGGTGTAATAATCTTATACAAGTACTTTTCAGTGAATGGTATACAAAAATAAGTATCAATTTATTTTGCGTTATCGGTAAAAACACAAGTGATGTTAATTTTTGATAAATCTTCAATCATCTTTAAAATTAATTTCAGAATTAGGTGAGTACGCCTCTAAGGTATAAATAAATTCTATAAAACTTGTAAAATGTTCTCAATCCCTCTTCTCACATTAACGTTAAAAATAAACCGAAAAATCGTAATCATCAGATTTAGAAGGCAGCTGCAATGATACTTTCCGAGGGACTAGTATGTATCGGTAATGCAAAAATGTGCCTAGAAGATTATCTAAATTTAAGAGCAAAACGTTAATGTCAATTAATCCCGCCAAAAAAAAAATTTTTCAATTTATAATAATTGGTTATTTTTAAGGTAATACAAATGAGGATCTTTTAATCTTTATTTCTTGTTATGGACTATATTATATTGATATACAAATCGTCTATAAAGATGGCTTCAAACGCAAAAATGCTTGTGAACCTAAAAGAATGGCCCAATATATCGAATCCGCAAAAGAACCAGGGAGCGGGCCCAATAGTTATGAAACGCACTGTATTCTGAAAGAGCAGCGCACGTCGATGACCTCTTGGTTCGTTCAGCGCCACAGCGTTCCATGCAGTGTCTTGGTTCGTTAAGTATGAGCTTGCCAAGTTAATAACAAGAATTTTATGGCCAACGTTTACTGTTGATGTTCGCGCAGTAACTTCAATGAAAAGGTCATGCACTTTATTTTTCCACAAATGTGCGACCACCACAACATGTTGTAACAATAGTCAAATATTCGAGTCAACAGCACACAAATGAATTCTTTGCCCCCAGATGCAATTGTTTTATTGGTTGATGAAAATCAGATAAACGCCCTTTTGCCAATCTAGAATGTGTATAGATGTAATGGTTTCTTAATTGCCGTCATATATTTCATTAATTTAGATATTTAAACAGTCCGCCTTTATTGTAATCTTTTATAAGCTAAAAAGAAAAGAAGGAGAGAACATTTCTTATGTGTGTATTTTACGCGAAGAAATATAAAGTCGAGGAAGTTCTGCGAAAAGTGAAAAGAGAGTCTTTCGCGTTTGCAGAGGAAACTGACATTCAACGCGATTGCTGGTCGCCTATGACGATGCTCTGCAGCTCTGACCGCTAAGCATGCTAAAATAATTATACCTAGATTTTCTTTTGGCCGTTAGTCTCGCCTCGCTACTAATTAGCAGCGCATGCCAAGCGCGACCGCTGGTCACTCACTGGCAACTTTTGCGTTTTAGGAGCCGCTGCGTGTAGCGAGTTTAAAAATAAAACGCACTGACCAAAAACTTGTTATTCTAACAGTTAATTTGACTGTGTCTATGTGTGTGTGTGTGTGTGTGTGCAAGGTGCACTTCTGGTCTGAGACTGCACCTCCGACTGCAATAAGCTTGAATGTTGCATGCAAGAATCGTCTTCGCGTACTGCGCTGCTGCGGCATGCAGCTTTGTTCCGATTCCCAACGGTACCTGTTTGCGTGACATACACCTACTTAGTCAGCTATAAAAAGCAACAACAATATTTTATTCATAAAATAGCCTGCACTTTTCAGGACAACATCTTTGTTTCCGCACTTGTGCCAAGAGAGAGTCTTCTATTTACAAGTACATAGGAGTGTACCAAGTCCATCAAATATTTCCTAATTCTTTTCTTGTACATATGTACATTTTTCAAGCTAGTCCCCATTTCTTCTTGCCAAAGCATGTGAATTGTTTCAATTCCCATAACGTTTCAATACTTAGCAACTAATCTGTTTCATGAAAATGAAATGCAATTGGAATTAAGCAGAGAATGTATTCTTTTGATGCAGCTTTGTGGCTTTCCGGCACTTTTCGTTAAAAAAAATTACAAAAATTAAGAAAATGTGTTAATTGCCATACGTTTGAAACTAAATTTTTACTACGTTCGGTTCACTGCACTGAAACGTAGATTCAATTATTACTTTATTTTTTTCTTAAAAGAAAAAGACAAAGCAGATGGATCGAAAACTCAACTGGTGTTAAAGACTTCGACTTCTATTGGGATGCAGCTGCCAGCTCTAAACTCAAAAGAAGTCCGCTAATAAGTATAAGCCAATGTGTTAAGTGGCATCATAGGCGCGTAATCGTTCGTTTGCACTCAATTGCTTTTAAATTACCTTTATTTTACTGTAAGTTTAATTATTATACTCTCATTGAAACTCTTTCTAAATAAGTATATACGAGTATTAACTCTAATTCTATGTAATGCTGTTCAGATCAGAGACATATGTACACATATGATCTGAAATAAATTCAAAGCTGACAATATGAAATCAAGTGATTTTATTCATTTATTCATTGCTTTTATATTTTAGATTTTTAATTTCTTATTACTAATATAACTTTACTACTTACTACAAAGCTTAAGAACTAAGATAAGTACTTAACAATTGCATTCGAACTGCTGCGCTGACTAATATTTATCTATCTGAAGATATTTTTAGATAAGTGCAGTTATTTTATGTGTAAGTTCGAGTATATTTTATAACTCGGAATCACTAAAGCTAGCAGTTCTAGCTCCTAATAAGGGTAGGTACTTGTTTTAGAATAACAATATAATATTCCTATTGGAAAACGGTTATTGTTAGGGCATTGTTGTGTACGATCTCTCAGCCCTAATTGGAAAGTTAGACATGAAATTCTTTGATTATTATTAAACTTTAGTTAATAGGTTGGGCCAATAAACACTTTAAATTGCCATTAGCTTCCAATAAAGTGGGTTGTCGGTAACGATCTTGCTTTCGCCCCTAGACTTTTTATTTACATCTTCAAGAGCCACTTGTACGTACGAACATGGGAGAAATTTCATTTGCATACAAATAAAACTGAGCTATTTTAGTATGCGAATGAACGGTGTTCGTATCACAGTTATAACCTATATACGAGTGTGTATGGAAGTCGATATGGCCAGGAATGGTTGAATAGAGATGCGTAAACACAAAATTAAAAAGAACCGTATCTGGTCAACTATCAACATATTTGTATAAAATGACAAATTAGCACTTTTGTTTTTCTTTTACTCCGAAATGGGGTCATGGGAGTTGAAATTTCTCATTAATTGAATCTTATTTTGTATTCTCTGGTATCTACGAGTGCGCAGTTCTAGCCCGCAGCCAAAATACAAATGAGTAAATATCAACAAAAGAGAGAATTGCATATTTTAAATGTCGATGAATTCTAAAAAGTTGCCCTCCTTTTAGCAATGGAAAAAAAACTCCAAAAACTTTTTGATTACCATGCTCCACACAGCTTTATGATGTCATTACGAAGCTGGTGCCCCACCAAAGTAAATAATATACAATGGCAAGAACTTTCTCTTGTTAACTGGTGCGGGCCGGGACGGGATGGGACGGGACGGGCGGGCTAGTTGACTTCTGATTCAAAGTCTTTTTACAGCACAGCTGCGCGCCTATGTGGTTGGCTGCCTACGTTACTTTATCGGCTATCAATCGGCTTGGCTAGAGGCTAGTGACGAGATAATAGTCTTCGACTAGACCTAAGTAAGTAAATTCGTCGCACAATAGGTTTTTGGCACACAACCACATACAAGCTCACATACATATGTACATACATTCGATGCATGTGTAGTGTGTTGCTCAGGCGATAAGAAATCGTGCCACACATATAGCTGATCTTTTACCTCAGGTGTTAACAGTTAACTTTATAGTTAATTTGTTTAAAAAAAAATAAGTAAGTATATAAAGAGGAAATGAAAGTCTAAAAGCTAAGCGGCTTACTCACAACTAGCGTTTGAAGCAACCAGTGGACGGTTTGGACTGTGCTTTCGATTCGTGGATGCTTCTTTTCGAAATAAGAGCGGCACACAAAATGCAAAATGCACGGCATATGCAAAGCGTTCTTGGTAATATGCAGTTCGGTAAAAGACGACAATCTACATCTACAACAACAGCCAGCACATTGACAGCATTGGCAGAATAAGAAAGAAAAACTACCGTTTGAATGCCAATCATGTATTACCTGTTATTGAGGGGTTCAGACCCGATGCGATGCGTTATGTTGTCGTCTGCTATGATGCCTGCCTGCATTTCTTATTGAGGTTAACTCTAAGAACTTGTTTTTGGTTCGCATAGCTTTTGGCTAACTACCGAAGAAATCAGCAGATGCGTACGAGTACCAGCACTAACACACAACTGTAATGCTGTGGGGGAACACTAGTATCTCGCATTTCTAATTGCCAGCATTAAACATAATGGTACATAGCACGTATATATATATATATGTGTGTGTGTGTAAGTGCATACCTAAGATCATATCGATCTATGTGTTTATTCTATTTGCAAGAACCTTGCATCTGTCTAGCAATTAAACAGGCGAGCCTTATTGAGATACCTTGCGTGCCCAGTCACTAGCATGTACGACGCTAATAATAATTACCCAAGGATTAATGCATTTTTTCTACCAGCAATTAAAGTACAGAAAACGGAATGAGTGCCACTCAGTCGGCAACTGATAAACCCAAGTGCTGGCTGACACACGTAAGCCAACATCCGTCCGTGGCATTGAAAATTACCAACAACCAAACAACTAAACAGCCAAACAAGCAAAGCCTTCGTCTTGTCTTGGACTTGGACTTGACTTGGCTGGACATCATGTACGAATATACTATACACGTATGATTGTGTGCGTGTTTGCTTTTTACGCTTTTCATTATCTTTTGTGCTGCACAAGTATTTGCTCCTGGGCTGCTTTTTTATACTTTTTTATAATCGCACTCAAGTGGTACGTCAGTGCGGTGCAGCAGAGATTCAGATTCATGTTCGCTAATGTTTTGACGGAAGCTGTTGACTACCTACTACCTATCGTGGCTAGGGCCTCAGATCTTGGTGATTCGCAGTCTTGCGACTAGATATTATTTATGTTTTATTTCACAGTTCTCTCTGCATTTGCTGTGCAGCTGCGACAGCAACGGCGACTACTACTTTTTCCACTTCAATCTTACAGTTTGCTTTTTTAAAAGAATCTTTCTTTACCGCTTTTTATGTGTTAGCAGCAGTCATCTATCGGAGTCAGTGCTGTTCGAACAAACCGGTTAACATTTTTTCAGGAGTTTTCTTAGCCATTCTTCACTTGCAACCAAGATTCTTTGTAGCCGTTGCCATTGTTGTTGTTACTGTTGTTGTTACTCTTGTTGTTGTTGTTGTTGTTGGTGGTGTTGTTAATCTTCCTCGCAAAGACACTGTTTGCAATAGCGGTTCATGTAGAACAAACGACTTAAGTGACAAACTTGCAGGCAGTGTGTGAAAAAAATATGCTTGAGAAGCAATCCCACATACGAGTATCAGTTACAATTACGGGAAAATCCAACCGCCCACAGTAATATGAGAAGAGGCCACTCATACAATAATGCTTCATAATTGATTTGGTTATGGATGCACAATTGAAATGAGTCTTTGAAAGAAATTTGAAAAAAGCATACCTTATTTAAAATTAAGTAAAAATCTGCGTAAATAATTAGTCCAACAGTTTTGGATTTATCACTATTCCATTATTTTCTCAACAAATTGAATTGTCGAAAACGCAAAGCACACGCAAGAATCGAATAATTGATCTTAAAATGTCTTACACTTGTGAACAAGTCAAACAAACTACAACCGCACTCAACCGAACCGAAGTAACTTGTTGACCACGCAAAGGTCGATGCCGAACTATTTTTCACAGCCAAATGCCTTGATATAAAAGTTAGATGAAGAAGTTCTGTGGTCTCGGCCTCGGTCTCTGTCTCGGTCTCTGTCTCGGTCTGGGTCTGCTGTTGCTACGAGTATATCATGCCATGAGAAACGTGGCAGAGCACGCAACACTCAGGGAGTTGAATGCCAATGCCGACCGAAACCAGCAGCCGCATCAAAAGATCAACAACATGTCTACATCCACAACATGTCTTCTGATGCCGTGAAGAGAGAAAAGAGCGCAGGCCTGAAGGCAGAAAGCCACTAGCATGACAAAGATCGCAGGTTGCGTACTCACGGGCAACGACTTACGGCTTGTTCTACGTTTCGACGTCACTATCTTCAATTCTTTGTATAAATATTATATGTTTGTGTACCATAGTTAAATATTGTAAAAGCAAATAATGATTACACTACCGCCAGTATATTTTTCATGCACTAACAGACATTCGAACAAGAATGTTTGGGTAAAGTTTACTTTACACTTGACTCAAATTGTTAAAATTATTCAGTTAAATATTTAGTCAGTTAGTTAAAAATTTTTTCAATTCTCAGCTAACTACTATTCAAACTTTAACGAATTACAACCATTCATGCTTTTCATATGTAAAATGTTACCAACAGCTCATCCAACCAAACGAAGGGAGTGAGATCCAAATATTTTACTTACACATGACGTAGATGTGCAGGGCAAACAAAATGTACCCCTCTTTGTGACAACTGTAAGTTTTTTTATCATGACCACTATAAGCAGAAAGTGTATGAAATTGCGATAAACTTGAAATTGTAAGTGTGGTAAATGTTGGCCAGCAAAACAGGCATAACATTCTGTCCACAGGTGAGCTCAAACTTGTCTGCGTTGCTACAGTGAGTCGAACAATTATGTTGGCTCCAACAGCACTACACACCTGTTGAGGTTTGTTTTCCTCTCTTGGCTGTTAGGACAATATTCTTATTAGAACGCCTTGACTGGATCTGCAATGTTATGTTACAGAAACGAATGTTTAACTAATTCTTTCAAATAAAAATGTTAATTCTTTATAATATAACAAATTACTTTTACCAACGCGATGAAATTTTGGTAAGTTTTTGCATGCACAACTCCCGACAATATATTCTTAGATGGAAAACCACCTCATTGCATTTTGCGAAATATTGGTCGGGCGTGCCTATTTTATTATTTATGTACATACTCTTATAAAGATATTTACTCTATCCAATTTATCCACATTGACGGGAGTCTTAACATATTCCCTCACCAAATAGAAAATTTTTATTGGGAAAACTGAAAACTTTTATAAACAACCTCAGTGGCTGCGATTTAAGTCAACAGTTTAAAATTAAATTAGTCTTCACCAACAGCAACACTTATTGCCAATTGGCCTCATTAGCAACGAGAAGCACGACTGGAAAACTATCGAGAACATTCAGCTAATATCTCTAATTCGCAAAACAATTTGGGTCGGCTAAGCTTGGGGGGCTTACTTCTCCTATCATGTCATGCGAAGATTGCTAAGCGAGATGGCAGGAGGCGAAGCCCACTACTTGTATATCATATATACATAATACACAGGTTTCTAAATGCATATGTGCATATATGTGCATTTTTAAATGCATAGATTTTATGCGCGTATGTGTGAGTACGCACTTAAATCACAGGGACTTAGAGAATAGGCAACAAACTGGAAATAGTTTGGTAAATGTTGACCAGCGAAACAGGTATAATGTTGTCTACAGGTGAGTTCGAACTTGTCTGCTCTCGTGGAGTGAGACGAACAATTGTGTGGGCTGCAACAGAGTTTGCTTTACTCTCTTACATGCTGTTAATACAACGTTATTCATGTAAGTTTTCCCTTGAACTTCACTGTTATATTAACATAAACAAACACATGGTTCCGGTCAACTGAGCAGGTACTAGGTTGTAAATAAAAAAACAGTAATTATCTACACTTGGGTAAAAATTTAATTAACAATTCTAGAACTATTTGACTTGAATTTACTTATGTCATCTTCGGAAATTGTTAATGTTTTTTCATACTTAAGCTAACGTAAGAAAATCATAAAACAATATTAAATGTATATATGTATATATAAAATCGAGGTGGAGAATTACAAATTAAATACACTCGTGATACTTAGGCACCAGGATTATCTTTTTACCAAATTTAGGGGGTCAAAAACGCACCCTTATTTGTAATACCAGTCCGTTTTTCCGGACAACTGGTATTACTAAATTCCATTATAAAGTCACTTGATCAACTTCTTATAAAAACAAAAGAGCGATGTATTATACCTCATATGCTTTCTAAATTTTGAGTTAGAACTATCAATCCCTTGTTAATCAAAATTAAAAATTTCTTAATTTTTTACGATTTATTTATAAATATGAAATTATTTAGCCAACTACGCTTCAAACCACACATTTCAATATGACTGTCACAATTGTAATATACACCTTTCCATAAATCTTTTACATATGTTAAATACGACCCAAATCCGTTAAATATTTGTTGATGTAAACTAAACTGGATTAACAAACAAATGAAAAGCAAACTAATACCAAATACAAATTTTCTGTTTGCTTAGAACTAAAAATGTGCTTAATCATTTTTTTCCCCTGGATGCTCCAATTTGGCGGCACGTTTGGTCATTATCCAAAAGAAGAGTCGGGGACAGAAGTGACGCAGATAGTAGGCAATTTTGGGCTGCAGATCACATATTAGGATGTCAGGCTCTTTGCGCAAAATGCATTGCAAAATGCTCTCCGCAAGTTTGTCTGGCGACATACCCTTCGCGGTGCTTGGATCCATTTCTGTAAGAGCAAAGAATAAGATAGAATACGTGCACATATAAAGGTACAAAGGCACAAATAAAGGTTTACTTACTGCCGTAGTTTTTTCCTGCTCCGGTCAAAGCATTAATTGACATCTGCGTTCGCACATAGCCAGGACTTATGCAGGAAACGAACACCTGCTTGCTGAATACCTCAGCCCGCAAGGAATCAGCAAAAGCTTGCAGCGCGTGTTTAGATGCCGAATATGCCGCACGTTGTGGTATTGCAAATTTACCCTGCACCGAGCTGACGAAGCAAATGTGGCCATTCTGTCGCTTTGTCATGGATGGTAATAGAGCTAAAATTAGAGTTTCATGAGTCATCACCATCCAAACTGTATTGCAAAACAACCTTTAGTAAGAGCCACGGCACCAAAATAGTTAACTAACATAACCTTGAGATCCACATCGACTGTTGTTGAAGCAACATCAGCACGCACGCTAATACCGCCATTGTTGATCAGTATGTCCACTTGGTTGTGCACCGCCAAAGCACGCGTAGCAAATTCAGGAATTGAATTTAGCTCAGCTAGATCCAGTGCCAACACAGTAGCGGGGTAAGCAGGTTGCTAGAATAGTACTTAATCAAAATAAAAACTTTTTACTACTTAAACCATGTTACCACATCCAGGGCCATTAAGTCCCTTTTTACGCGCTGCAGTTCTTCTACGCGACGCGCCGCTAATATAACTTTGCAGCCGGCGCGATAGAAAACATGCGCCAAAGATTCACCCACGCCGGAACTAGCACCAGTGATGAGCACAACCTACAAGAGTTGATTGATAACACGAAAATGTAGTATTAAAGAAAAATTACGCACCTTTCCCGGTAATTGGTTTCGGTACTTATGTGCGCGCATACGCTGCCACACATTTATTAGTGCCAGTGGCAAAGCCACGGGCATCAAGACGGTCCCCAGAATCCAGTATAACACATTCCAATCGCTGGAGGATGCGTTGCACTTGTCTACTTCCTGCATGTTGACTTCCTATTGAGCAAAGTTCGAGATTTGCAACAAAAACAAGTTCCGTTACTGCAAATTATCGTCGTTATCGATAGAAAATCAGCGCTTCATTGTGACTGCCCGCAATAACAGCTGATTGATGTTTTGTTACGTCGTTTGCCGCTTGCGGCGACTCTGCACTTCAGGCTAACACAGTTTAGGCCAAATTTTAACCATTTAAATAAAATATGCTTAGATAGTTAAAATGCACAGTTTGCTGAGACAAACACAACGCTTGCACTGCCTGGCGCCAGGAGGAGCTATGCTGATTCATACAACGGCCACGCAGCGCACGTTCTGGGAGCGCGAAAAGAAATCCGGCTACAAAACGAAACTACCTGAGCCGTCTAAAAAACAACTAATAGTTGATGGTTTCCGCGAACTAAAGCAGGAGATAAAACTTTGGCGTCAAGAGGTGGAGGAACATCTGGTGAGCGATCCGATTTTGGTATTTCGACCAGGCGAAACAGATGTAGTGTTTGATTTCAAAGCGCCAGATGCGCTTGACAAATGGACTGTAACCACAGACAGCGATCATGGCGAGGGTAAAAGCAGTGCAACATTGGAATTGAGTGCATCAGGAGCTGGCTTATTTCACGGTGAGGTGAACTCAGAGCACACCAAGGATGGTATAATCAAAAGGACAGGCTATGCCAATATACGCACGAAGCGCGTGCGCGTAAGTAAGTTCAAAAGATTATAAAACGAAATAACTTCTTCAGATCCAGCCCACAGAAATCATTTAAACGTGAATCCACCTACGACTGGACGCAGTACAATATGCTAGTGATGAAGGTGCGTGGTGACGGACGCAGTTATCTAATCAATTTACACACCGAAGGCTACTTCGATATTATGTGGAATGATATCTACCACTATGTGCTGTTCACGCGGGGCGGCCCACACTGGCAGATTGCCAAAATACCCTTCTCCAAGTTCTTCTATTCGTCCAAGGGTCGGGTTCAGGATCGCCAGGGCCCTATTCAGTTAAATCGTGTTACCCACTTTGGTTTCTCAGTGGCTGCCAAGAAAGGGATGGACGGACCCTTTGGCTTGGAAATCGACTATGTTGGTCTGGAATACGATCCCAGTCATCGGGAGGAGTTTGCATACGAAATGTACAAGACCCAAAAGTATATCGCAGCAACGTAGTAAATCTATTTAACTATACAAGAGCCAATAAAACACAAGTTAGTTTTCGTTTGTTGCAACAACAAAAAAAGCCGTCTGTCTGTTTGGATCAAATGAGCTCGATTTATTTCGCGATAAACCTTTATCGATATCGTAAAACCAATTTAGTTGCGCTCCTTATCAATTGCCAGTCAGCTGTTTAAATGTTTACATTCGTCGTTGGGGGGGCATGAGAAAAATAGGTGCACGAATTCGTACTAGTATTGCAAATTGAACTGTTTTCATATATGTAATGGGTTGCTGTTGAAACGTGTTTGTGTCTCGTCCGCTTTGTCGTTTTCACGGCAACCAATTAGAGGTTCGCGAGCAACGGCCGCTTTTGTTATTTCTCAGTCTCACATCGTCTTTCAATGTTGACGAAAGCAGTGCGTGTTGTTTTAACTATTGAAAAAATATAATTTCCGACACTTCCGCATCTTGTTGATGAAAGATAAGATAAGAATATGGTAAGTGATCCCACTAACTTCTCTGATGTATGATGTATAAAAGGGAAGTAACCATTTTGAGTGAGCCTGCAGTGTGGGGAGGGGGCGACCTTGAACGCGACACTAATCCATGTGCAAAATTGAGAAACTAGCACTATTTCAAAATCAATAATAGCGGCGTTTTACACATTTTACCGGTTTGCACTGACTCGTTGTTGAACATACATATGTATGTATGTATGTGTGCATTAATGTTATGCTTCTAAACCAGTTGGCGCAAGAAACTTGTTGCCCAAAACACACACCTACCATTCCTGCTAGCTGTGATTATTCAGTTACCTGTTGACTGCCTTCGTTTAGCCAGCTCGTTGCGCTTTACCTTCTATTTTTACTGTATATGCACCAACTGCTGACGTTGACGATTTGCGTTTCGTTGTCAGAATGGTGCAATTAAAGGTAACTGTAGGAACTCATATTGTATGTATATAATTAATTCAATTGCTTGCAGGAGGAGACATATCTTTACGATCCAAATGTGCTGTTGAAACTTGACTTTCACCGCAGCCCCGCCAAGTTTCAACCCTTTATCTCAGCAGCAAGTCCCGGAGAGACATGGCTAAAAGTGCGTCCTTTGAAGGATACGGACTTTGATCGTGGCTTCCTTCAGCTGCTATCTCAGCTCACGACCGTTGGCAACGTGTCACGCACGCAGTTTTTGAGTAAGTATCAGGTGGGCATGATGACAAAGACCACTTCAAATTACCCTTTTATACATTTGCAGCGCGTTTCTCGCAAATGAAAGCTAGTGGGGATTATTTTGTCACCGTCATTGAGGATACGCGCAAGAATGAGATTATAGGCGCAGCTTCGCTTGTAATCGAACGGAAGTTTATCCACAATTGCTCTGTGGTAAGCTGCTTTTTCTTCTGTAATGTCTATGCTTTGTATTACATTTACATTATGTACCATTGCAGCGTGGCCGTTTGGAGGATGTGGTCGTTAATGATACATATCGCGGAAAGCAGTTGGGCAAGCTGTAAGTCCACTGTCCTATTCGAAAACATGGTGATTATTTACCAACCTTTCTTCTCATTTTCAGAATTGTGGTAACAGTGTCACTGCTGGCTGAGCATTTGGGCTGCTACAAAATGTCCCTAGACTGCAAGGATAAGCTGATTAAATTCTATAAGTCCTTAGGCTACGTGCTTTTGCCTGGCAATTCCAACTCAATGACCATACGTTACGACGAGACGCCCAATCTCAAGCGTAACACTACAGCCTTAGGCGTCAACACAGGCGGTGATGCGTGCCAAACTGTGAGCCTTCATTTACCCTCTTGACAATTAGCCGCCAACGCTGCACCAAAATCCAAGCTTTAAGTGTACTCGCATTTATGGCAATAATTGCGCGAAGCGCAATGCTACAATTCAATGCCCAGAAACCAATATTCATAAACAGTAAGGCAAAATTTCATTGCGCTTGGTGCATGGTTTTTTGGACAGCGCTGGCAGGCGGTGGTGTCATTGTAGTGCTCACCTCAAGGACATACTATTAGTAATACATATGTATTTGCATGTAGTCAACACAAATGCAGTTTGTGCTATTTTTATTTACTAAATTTTTTTACTTTCTCTTTTTTGCTTCTGCTCGATGGGCGCACTAAAAGGTAGTAGTTATATTACCCTTTAAGAGCACCTTCATTAAGTAGCCTTAACGTGCAGCTTTGTGCATAATCATACCAATTGGAATAAATACAAATATTTTACAATTATACGAAGTCTCAGGATCATAAAATACAAAATCAATTCTTGCTTTTCAATATTATATTGTAAGTAATAAAGTAAGTGAGATGATCCTTGCTAGATTCATAATACCGTGACTTCGTTTTATGTTACTTATTTACTAATAGAGAGTAATATTAATAATTTCACTAAGACGTATTCACTATTCAACAAAGCCGCGCATAACTGGCTACATTAACTTCAACTTTAACACTCCACACAGAGTCTGCATACAAGTATAAATGGGATCCATTCTAACTAAGTGTTGTCAAAGTATGGCCCAAAATCCTCCTCGTCTCAGGAGTATGAACACAAATGCCCACACTTTGGGCACTTTGCGTGCTTGGCAAAGTATTTCTGCAGGTGCTCGATGTGGCCGCCGTGCGAGCAGCCCTGACACCAAACGTACAGGCCTCTAACAATTAATCCGCAGACACAGCACTTGGCCGATTGCATCGATTTACATTTTTCACAGTACCATCCGTTAGCTGTCATGGGCCGGCCACATTCACCGCAGTTTGTGTGCATGGTGGTGGAGTGTTGATTCAATTGGCGCACCGAACGGAACCAAGAACGGTTGATAACTAGGCATGCCTCGTTCCACAGGTCATAGCGATGGAGCTGATCAACATAGGTCTGGAACCAATGCTCCTAAAAATAAACAGGCGATAACATGATGGTTGAATGAAAAATTTTAAATACTGTTTGTTCATATTAAAAACAAATTTGGCTTAATTAGAATAACGTCTTTTAACGTTTCTATGTTCATTCGAGGTTGAAACTATTGAAAATAAACCAAATACAAATTAAATTATCTGAAGATAACGAATAGTAGCCTGTGTTTCTTTCTTGCTCTTTTTCTTTTTTTCTTTTTGTAAGCACAAAATCGATTTTCCCCCATATGTAACGTGTTGGACAAAAGAAGTTCGAACTGGAAGCGATATTCAGAAGATCTGTTTACTTACAACTAGATCATCCTCAATAGGCAGCAGTTTCCGAGCATCGCCCAGAACAATGAGCACAGTTAGGGCTGTCTGTACATCACCCACATCGTTTTGGAGCATTAAAGCGTCCGCGACAAACTGGTGTGGCTCCCACATAGGTATGGGCGGTATTTGACTGACTTTCAAGACGCTCGGTACATGTGGCGGCTAAATGAAAAATGATTTAAATGTAAGAAATTGTGTCATTATTAATCAAAGACAAAATAAATAGATTACTTACTGGTGACTTCTCGTGATCCGACGCTTTAAGATCTAGTTGTGGACGCGCTGCTTGGACGTCGTGATGCAGGGCAGTATCCGGAAATGCTAAAGCTTTTGTGAGATCTGCTGGGCCTACGTAAATGAAGCCATTGCGCAGTAATTCGAAGTTATCAAAAGTTATCTCGCTAATAATTTGCGACTCCGAGAGTATAACGGAGCTAGTGGGCGGATGTTGCTTGCCACTGCCGCCTAATTCAGCATCGTCATCGTCTGCATGGGTTATTTCATGAGGTGCCTCTTGACTATTGCCATTCACATCCTGCCCCATATCAATACGTTGCGGCGCCCAATCACTGGCTACCTGTGTGGTTCGGCGCGAATTCGTTGGATTCTTTTGATTGGAAAACGAGGCGCGGTGCTCATAGGGCGGCTCAAAATTATTGCTACCGTAAAAGAGTTTAACGAAGTTCCACAATGTTGTAGCCTTCAAATGAAAATGTAGAAATGTAAAAACGTCGATCATGTAAATTTTAAAGAGCAAATAAACTTACATTGTGTTTACCGTACTTCTTGCAGACTTCAGCATTATGCTCACACAACTCGGACAACTTCTTGCCACTTAGCAGCATTTCTCGTGCACACCCCATAAATGATTCGTGGACGCGCAACACAGCGGTTGTATTGTGTACGGGGTAGCCCATTAACTGAATAGATTGATATTTGAAAATGATTCCACATTTGGTAATGCAAATTGCTCACCGTATCCTTTAAGATAAACATGTACAACTTTGAGTGATCCAAGTGGAATTGTACAACGCCGCTCGCATTAGATTTACGGCGAGATCTACAATTAATATTGAGTTAATATCAAGGGCGTACGCAGGGGGGTCAGGAGATGCCGTTCCCCCGCCCTAAAAAAATGTTGCCACATAAAGTCGACCACACGTTCTTTGTTATCACGCACTATTTCGCCTTAAAATGTTACTAAGTTGGTTTTTTCACTGATCATATAAATAAACTAGCAGGTATTGCCCGTCTTAACCCGGCTCAATATAATGTTTCAAATTATATTTATTTTGTGTGTGCATGACCTACCCATATGTTTTCACCTTATTTATTTAAAGAAACATTTTTTGTTCTTGACAAAAAATTGTTCAGTAGTCCGTTACATTTTTGTTCTTGCCAAAATATTTCGTTAAACATACACACACATGACTAAGGGCGTACGAAGGGGGGGTTTTGATTGAAGTTTTTTCATTGATCATACTTGTATGCATAAGTTATTTTTTAAATGCATCGTGCATTATTTAATCAACATTTTAATTTGTTGGCGCCCCCTTTGGTAAAAGCTGCCTACGCCCTTGCACATGACCACTATATTTTTTTAAGCTTTTTTAGTGCGCACATACACTATGATGGATACTATGAAAGGATACTTGAGTCCAAATTTCAGCTTTTACCGTTTGGGCAGTGCGTTGATTATCAATCAGTCAGGACAAACTGATATATATATATAGAGATAACACAACGTTTTAAGATAGACTATGTGCAAAAAGGGGGAACAGTTATAAGAGTATATCCTAATTTTAAATTCACACTTGTGTCTTTTCGTGCCTTATTGAGTCAATACGATCACGCACGAACTCGGAATGACACACTAGGGATGTAAGCCGATGGGAAAACATCGATGCTTATGTTCATCGATGTCTCTTTATAAAAAATCGATGCATGATCGATGCATCGCAAAAAAAACATCGATTTATCGCTGTTTTAAAAAATTAACTTTCCATAGAAAAAAGCTATTATTAGGGAGGTAATCAACATAGATGCTTGAAATAAAAAGAGACTGTTATAGCATTTTACTTAATGTTGTTAATGACATCGAAAACATCGATGCATCGTGGTAAAAACCTCGTCGATGCTCTACACATCGATGTTTTTTTACATCCGTACACACAATCGTATCAATGCCGTGCGGCGATGAGCCACGATCAAAAAGCACTGACAATGAACATCTCAATTTGCTAGAGTAAAGCTTTCGATAGTTGAATCTACCGATACTATCGATATCAATACATCGAAGTTTGAATGCAATAATAACATCTTATAATTTATTGAGATCAATTCGAGTTTTCCAAAATCCCTTCTTAGTGCTTACTTTCACTGTGAGAGGGATCTTGTGCCCAAATTTCAGCTTCCTAGCTCCGTTACCGTTTGGGCTGTGCGTTGATTGCCAATCAGTCAGTCAGGACAAACTGTTTTATATACATACATATGTATATAGAGATTATTTTTTACATACATCGTGCAGTATTTAATCCAAATTTTAATTTTTTGGGCCCCCCTTTGGTAAAAGCTGCGTACGCCCTTGGCTATTATCATTCTTTTGAAAATTTCTTTGACTTACATAAAACTCGTGGTTTTTGTATTAGACACACCACTGGTCTTTGGCGCATATTCCTTGATTTTCTTGGTAAATGTGATATCGCCATGACGACCCAAACTAGCGCCTTGGGTATTGGCCTTCAATGCTGGTCGAGTGGCATCCTTAAATGCGTGCTTATATATGGTGGAGTCCTTGCTGGTGGATAGCAAACAATGCGAATTACTACCCTGCCACGCGATGGCTGTGGTTACGTTTGTGTGCTCATTAAACGAAGCGAAGGGTATATAGGGTCGACGTATATCCCACACATGCACACTATAGTCCATCACCAAGGCGCAGCTGGCAATGTGGTAACTAGGGATAGGAATGAGTAATTAGAAAATATTCAATAGAAAACCATATTTCCGCACTCACGTCCGTTCCGGGCGCCATTTAACACGCCCTACCACAGCAATGGTGTGTATCGTATACTCTAAGTTTACGCGACCGTCCATATTCCACACCTTAATCTGTTTATCCCGACTTCCGGTGGCTAACCAGTTACGTGTTGGATGCCAATCGCAAGTATAGATGGGACCACTGTGAGCGGTGTATTGAACAACGCATTTGTCACTTTTTCTCATATCCCACATTTTTACATTTCCATTTTCCGAGACAGCGGAAAACAAATTTAACGTGTGCGGACTGAACTTGACATCGCGCACAGACTCAGAGCTAAAATACGTGCTCACAGATTTGTCACATCTTGTGTCAAAGCACTTGATGGTGCCATCCTGCGAACCCGAGATCAATATGTTCGGCTCGGTGCTGTGAAAAGTGACGGTGTGGGCTGTTCGCTCGTGCTCGTTAAAGACCAAAAGCTGCTTTTGTCGTCCGAACTTAGAAAGATCCCACACTGAAACCACACCATTGGTGGCCGCAGTGGCCAATATGTTGCTGTCTAGGCTGCTCCAAGCCACGTCGTTAGAAGAATAACTGAGATTTTGATTCTTCCCGCCACGCATATTGCACACCTCCGTGAACCCGAAGCCGCCATCGCTATCGATGGCAAAGACCTTGAGTACTAGAAAAACAAATAACAATGTAACAGAGTTGACGAAGAATTAGGGCATGGGGAATTAGGACTTACAGCTGCGCCCGGCAACAGCGACTTGGGTGTTTGTGTTATTGAGGGCCAAAGCGTTGGCATGTCCCTCCAGGCAGATTCGCAGAGATGTTGTTGAATCGGAAGTATCTTCCGGGGAGTCAGGCATTTTCTACTTCACCAATAATTTCGGTTTTATTAAAACCAAACGAAAACAATACTCGCTTATTTTTACTCTTGTTGATAAGACCAAATAAGTGCAACCAAGTTAAGAATCAACCGCTGAATTGGCAGCACTCAGTTATCGCCGTCCATATGTGAAAACAAGTGGCTTGGTACTGTCGCATGTTTTTGGTTTATTTTTGTGCGTATCGCGTACGGAAAACTTGAAATATCTGTGTTGTTTAAACAATCAACGATTTAAACGCCAGCCGAGAACAAAGAGTTTGGTTAACGCGGTAATCGCCACGCCATGCCGGACATCAAAATAACACCCCTTGGAGCCGGCCAAGACGTCGGCCGCAGCTGCCTGCTCCTTTCCATTGGCGGAAAGAATATAATGCTCGATTGTGGTATGCATATGGGATATAATGACGAACGGCGCTTTCCGGATTTTTCGTACATAGTGCCCGAAGGACCTATTACCAGTCATATTGACTGCGTGATCATATCGCATTTCCACCTGGGTGAGTGGCCGCTCAAAAGTTTATCAGTTTCACAATGTTTTATGGATATTACTAAATTAGAGTCTTATTTTAACTATGCAATTAGATCATTGTGGAGCACTGCCCTACATGTCCGAAATTGTTGGCTACACCGGTCCCATTTACATGACGCATCCTACAAAGGCGATTGCACCCATCTTGTTGGAAGATATGAGGAAGGTAGCCGTCGAACGCAAAGGCGAGTCGAATTTCTTTACGACACAGATGATCAAGGACTGTATGAAAAAGGTTATTCCAGTGACATTGCACCAGAGCATGATGGTGGATACAGATCTTGAGATAAAGGCCTACTATGCCGGCCATGTGCTGGGCGCAGCTATGTTTTGGATCAAAGTGGGTTCGCAGAGCGTCGTCTATACGGGGGACTATAATATGACGCCGGATCGGCACCTCGGCGCAGCTTGGATTGACAAATGCCGACCGGACTTACTCATATCGGAAAGCACATATGCAACCACCATTCGCGACTCGAAGCGGTGTCGGGAGCGCGACTTTCTCAAAAAGGTTCACGAGTGTGTGGCTAAAGGAGGCAAGGTACTTATTCCTGTATTCGCGTTGGGACGCGCTCAGGAACTGTGTATTCTTCTAGAAACCTACTGGGAGCGCATGAATCTGAAGTATCCCATTTATTTTGCATTGGGCCTGACTGAAAAGGCAAACACTTACTATAAAATGTTCATTACTTGGACTAATCAAAAGATTCGAAAAACGTTTGTGCATCGCAATATGTTCGACTTCAAACATATAAAGCCATTTGATAAGGCTTATATTGATAACCCAGGTGCCATGGTTGTCTTTGCGACACCGGGCATGCTGCATGCCGGCCTATCGTTGCAAATCTTCAAGAAGTGGGCCCCCAATGAGAACAATATGGTAATCATGCCCGGTTATTGTGTCCAGGGCACAGTGGGCAACAAGATTTTAAGTGGCGCCAAAAAGGTTGAATTCGAAAATAGACAGGTCGTTGAGGTCAAAATGGCTGTGGAGTATATGAGCTTTTCGGCACATGCCGATGCCAAAGGTATAAATTATAATTTGAATATGGCAACAACCTTTTTATAATGAGTTTTCCCCAATTGCAGGTATAATGCAGCTTATCCAGAACTGCGAGCCAAAGAATGTGATGCTCGTACATGGCGAAGCGGAGAAGATGAAGTTCCTTCGTGCTAAAATTCGTGATGAGTTTAACTTGGATACCTATATGCCGGCCAATGGCGAAACCTGTGTCATATCCACGCCCGTCAAAATACCTGTTGACGCATCTATATCCCTCCTAAAGGCCGAGGCGCGCTCCTACAATGCACAACCGCCTGATCCGAAGCGTCGGCGACTTATTCACGGCGTACTCGTCATGAAGGATAATCGCATTATGCTGCAGAATCTGACCGAAGCACTCAAAGAAATTGGTATTAACCGTCACGTTATGCGATTCACATCAAAGGTTAAAATGGACGATCCAGGTCCAAAGATACGCACCAGTGAAAAGCTCAAGTCGTTGTTAGAGGAGAAGCTAGTTGGGTGGACGGTAGTGCTGCAAGACAACGGCACCATTACCATCGAAACCGTAGAAGTGAATGTCGAAGAGGATGAAAAGGACCCCAAGCAGAAGACGATATTGATCACATGGACCAATCAGGACGAAGACATTGGCGCCTATATACTCAACGTTTTGCAGAATATGTGCTAGTGGGAATTGCGTTTCGCTGCTGCCTTAATTCCATAGTTTTTAAGCTTACTGTTTTGTTTCTGGAAATAAAAGCTCGGTCAAATATATTAATTACGCGCCATAAATAACTTGGTTCGTTCGTTCCACTCTATTTATTTTCGGGATAAATTTGATAGTTGTAACTTTAAATATTCAATGCGCTAGCGCTGCGTTTTGAATGGCTTTTTGAATTAGATTTATAATCGTTTGGAGCTGTTCGAACTGGAGTGTTACACTTCTTACTCCAGAGCAGAGGCACCGGAGATAATTTCAATCAGCTCGCGAGTGATGACAGCCTGTCTGGTGCGGTTGAATATGAGCGTCAACTTTTCAATCATCTCACCAGCATTCTTCGAGGCGTTATCCATGGCAGTCATACGCGACGATTGCTCAGAGCAAGCGCCTTCCTTCATGGTGTAAAAGATTAGGGAAGCCAGCGAGAACTCCAAATAGCTCTGGATGACATCGGCGTCCAGGGAATCGAAGACCGCCAGCTTCTCCGACTTCTCCACAGTGGCGCCACTGTAGATGGGCAGTTGGGACAGTGAGTAAGATACCACCGAGTTGAACTTGTTGTACACGATTTGTCCCTCGGAATACTCGTAACCGGTTTGCAGGACCTCATGCGCAATCCTAGAGGCATCCAAGAAGGTAGGTGGCAGACGACCCACTTCGTTGGCTACCATCAGAATATTCTTGCCGTATAGACGCGCCAGGATCGAGCGCGACTTGTCGCCGACACAGAAAATCTTGGTGTTAACATCGTCCTTAGCAAGCTCGTTGCGGATGTGACGGGCCACACCGGTGTGCACAGCGCCGCAGAGACCACGATCGGATGTCATCGCGATAAGAAGCTTCTTGGGTTCGGCCTTCTCATCGACCTGGATCTCGGTCTTTTCGAAGAACTGTTGCGCTCCAATGCCATAAGGACGCGCCGCCTTCAAATCACGCTCCGCCCTGGCGTATTTTGCGGCGGACACCATCTTCATTGATTGCGTAATTTTCTGAATGTTCTTCACTGATTTCAAGCGAATGGAAATTGACTGCAAAGTGGCCATACCACGTTGCTGTTGGGCATGCATCGTGGCTTCAACCGCCAGGGGTAGCAAGAGCATGGAGCGTTGCATCATCATCCTGTAAGCTGTTGAAAATCCTGCACGACAAAGTTAGCTAAATTTTCACGACGGCTACTGCAAAAATTTACCTGCGTGTGAATGGCGACGAATGTTATAACACAACGGTGCTGCCAACTCTCTTCACATTTGCCAAACTGCATGGTGTGGTTATAAAAACGATTTAAGGTGTGAATGGCAAAAATGATCGCTTTGCAATATAATAGTTTAATTTAATTTAGATTGTCAATTTAATATAACAAAAAAATCTATTGATCAAATACACGATGTTGACAATTTATTTAAGATTCTACCAGAAAACGGATTTTCGATAACAAGATTTGGTCAGCTGCTTCAATAGTCGATTGAGCGCAATTTTCTTCGCGTGCCATCACTTACCAAAAGCAAAAAAAGAAGAAGATAAAAGCTGACGTACTCGTACTTTGAAGATTTCGCTTATATTAATTAAGTGCAATATTTATAATGTAATATAGTGCAACTTACATGTACTAAACCCCGTTTCGTACCAAGCAAAATAATGAAACCACTCAAGGCAACACAGACGTGCATAAAAAGACCTAGAGTATGTTAAAGAAGCTATAGACGGATGTACATTCAACCGAGAGGGCGAGTAAAGAAGGCGATTTGCATGTAGTAGATAACTAAAGTGCAACAAGGTAAAAAGTTAACAACTGGCAAATTGGAAGATCGCAAACAATTTTAATGCCAAAAGCAAGGAAGAATACACGCTTTGATATTAACTTCCAGTGGTGCGTTTAACAATAATCAACAGCAACAGCTGTGCGTGTGTGTGTGTGTGTGCACAAAGTGGTGGAGGTGTTGTTGGTATTTGGGGGTCTGTCGGACGTTGTGTGACACAAACAGTAACAAAATATTGAGCCGTCGAGCAAAACACATCATGTGGTCGTTCTTCTCGCGCGACTCTTCAAAAGATTTTCCGTACGATATTGGCGAACCAGTGCTTGGCTTTGACAACTACTCCATATGGACACTCCACAAGGCCAAGCGCAAGGGCACCCAAGAGGAAGTGTCCGTCTTTATCTATGACATACGTAGTGGGTCAGATACAAAATGTGAGCTGGCCAAAGCGGCTCTCAAGCGCCTAAAAACGTTGCGTCACCCGAGCATTCTACAGTACTTGGACTCGCTAGAGACTGACAAGATGCTGTATGTGGCTACCGAATCCGTGGAACCTCTGGGCATATATTCCGCACGACTTGCTACAGACAATGTTCAAAAGGGACTTTATTTAGCCTGGGGCGTCTTTCAAATAACAGTAAGAATAAATTTTATGAGAAAGAATCAGCAGATTATCTGATACAAATGTTCTTTATATAGCGCGCCCTCTCATTTCTGAATAACGATGGTAATTTGCGACACAACAACGTGTCGGCCTGGTCTGTTTTTGTAAATTCCTCCGGTGAATGGAAACTGGGCAGTCTGGAGTACGTATCGGCAGCAGATGGCAACCCCATGCCTCCAGTAAAAATACCTGTCACCCTGGAGGTGTATGACCCGCCGGAGAAGAATGATCAGAGCAAGCTCAAAGCGACCACAAAATGGTAATATTTTATCTATGACTCACGAATCACCCATTTTAATATTTTATCTACCTACAGTTCCGTGGACATGTGGGGTCTAGGTTGCCTGGTGTGGGAGGCTTTTAATGGCGTACTTAAACAGCGTTCTAATCTTAAGGATATTGATCACATACCCAAATCGCTGCAATCGCTTTATTGTGAGCTTGTCGGTGCATCGCCTTCAAATCGTCCCAATCCAGCCGACATTATAACGCGCTGCCGCAAGCCGGGTGGTTTTTTTAAAAACGATTTAGTGGACACATTGTTATTTCTGGAAGAAATACAAATCAAGGATAAAGCTGAGAAAAATCGCTTCTTCAGCGGCCTTACAACTCATCTTGACAACTTTCCCGACAATGTCTGCAAGTAGGTCACTAAAAATATATTTAGCTGATCCCGTTTGCTTATCTAATTATGTCTGTTCTTTGTACAGACACAAAATACTTCCACAACTGATAACAGCTTATGAATATGGAGATGCGGGCTCGGCGGTGTTAGCTCCCATGTTTAAAGTAAGCAGCGTTCAAAAATTACATTATCACTTTAACATGAATGCTCTGATTATTTTTAGCTGGGAAAACTTCTGGACGAAACGGAATATCAAAAACGCATTGTTCCCTGCGTTGTTAAGCTGTTTGCTTCCACAGATCGTGTTACACGTTCGCGCCTGCTTCAGCAATTGGATCTATTTATTGCACATTTGCAGCCGCAAGTAGTGAACGATCAGATATTTCCTCAAGTAGCTCATGGTTTCCTAGATACAAACGCCACAATACGCGAGCAGACAGTGAAGTCGATTATACATTTGGCTCCAAAGCTAAACTACAACAATTTAAATGTGGAGGTGCTGCGACATTTTGCACGTTTGCAGGCACGTGATGATCAGGGCGGAATTCGCACGAATACGACGGTGTGCTTAGGAAAGATAGCGCCACATTTGCATCCACAGGTGCGCCAGCGTGTTCTCGTGTCCGCGTTTATTCGTGCTATGCGTGACCCCTTCCCACCGGCTCGGGTGGCCGGCGTCCTTGCCTTGGCAGCAACTCAGCAATATTTTTTGCTCAGCGAGGTGGCAAATCGTGTCTTACCATCACTGTGTTCCCTGACCGTTGACCCTGAGAAAACCGTACGCGACCCGGCATTCAAAACAATCAAAGGTTTCCTGGGGAAACTAGAAAAGGTCTCGGATGATCCAAGTTTACGCGAAACAATGGGCAAGTATTGAATTAATACTCTATTAGAATTAGATACGTTAACCTCTACCAACAGAAGCCGATGTGCACACAGCCACACCTTCGATTGGCAATGCAGCGGCCACTTGGGCCGGCTGGGCCGTTACTGCAGTGACCGCCAAGTTCTATCGCAGCCAAAGCGATTCCTCAAGACCACGACCGCCTTTAACTGGACGTAATCTCTCTAAGCCCGCATCACTAGGTAAGTAGTTTGTGTATTAAATGCGTCCGGGCTGCCCCGATAATCCATTTAATATTGCCCACAGAGCAACCTTCCAGCAGCAGTCTCTCAACCACCACAAGCAGTGTTACGTCCATGACATCGCTTGAGCATGAAAGCAATGATACATCGGCGTCAGCATCGGACTATGGCAATAACGATTGGGACAATGAGAACTGGGGTGAAATGGACGTAAGTGTAACTACAACAATTAATAATTAATAACTCATAATATATATATAATATAATATAATACCTAACAACCTTTTTTTTTGTAGACCTCACAGGATCCAAGCAGTCCGCTGGCTGCAAATTCAAACAATGGCCAGCTGATTGCGACCAATGCCTTGAGTGAAGTCCGGGATGGTTGGGACAACGAAGAGTGGGGCAGTCTTGAAGAAGATCCGGTAAGTCAGAAAAGCATAAGTTTTGCAAAGCAATTTTTCTAAAATCCCACAAACCCTAAACAGTGTGAGGAGGAGGAACAGGCAGAACAGGAGCAGCAACAACAGCAGTTGGCACGACAATCGATATCCTCAACGACATCATCCAGCCAGCAACATAGGCCGCTCCTGCCGCATCAGCATCAACAGCAGTTGCTGCAGCACGAACTCAACGAACTCATCGAACCACTGGCCAAGCTTAACTCCCACGTAACATCACCATCGAAGCAACAACAACAACTACAGTCAACGCTGCGACCAAAAGAGCTTGCCAATTTGTCAAGCAGCACCACATCGCCAACTACGCCTGGCGCCTTCACCAATTGCAATAACATAAGCCCACCACCGCCCTCATCGTTGATAAACCACTCCACGCACAATGCTAATTGGAATAGTGATTCGTGGGCCGATGGCGAATTCGAGCCCATTGATGAGCCAGGCATGGGTGAGTTACACATAATCATATTAATAGCATAGTCATAATCCAATTATTTGTTTTCATAGGCAACAGTAAACTGGACGAGGCCCGTCGAAAACGTGAGGAAAAGAAGCTGCAACGACAACGGGAGCTGGAGGCTCGTCGTGCTCAACGCGTCAGTGGCCCAATGAAATTGGGCGCTAAAAAGCTTTAAAAGAAATCACGAAGACCGATGCTTGATCTGCAAGCATGAGCATATATTCGATTTGTATATTTCCTAGCTATTACTCAAACTAAGCCTACAAAGTATGAGGTACATATTATGTAAATGTATTTTGATGTGTATGCGTTTGCGCTATGGCATTGCATTAAATGCAAGGAATTATTGAGTCTCTTCGATTTCCCAACGCATACGCACGACGAAGAGAAAAAGAGGGACGTATTAAAATTTTCTGTTAAGTTAATGTACAAGCCGTTGTTTAGAATACGCAATTAAACTCCATACAGATACGTTTAACTTATGATATATGTACATACATATGTATGTATGCATAAAATAGATATATGTATGTATTTTGCATTTTGAAAGCTAGCTGTGCACGATATTACTTGAACTTTGTTGGATAATAGAGCGTTCGGAAATATTTTATTTACGCTCTCTACGCTAACGAATGTAACTTGAATCGTAATTTATAACACAAAAAAGAAAAAGATAAAAATAACAAGTAGCTAGTAAATTATTTCAAATTTATACTTTAGTAAGCGACTAACTGATCGAAACAAAAAAAAAAAAACGAAAAAAAATCTAGAAAAAACAAAATTAATGCGAAGCCTTATGGCTGAGAAACTATATCAAAAAAAGAAAAGGAAAAGTGTCGTAATGTCTTCTTCAATAACAAAACTACACACACTCTGTTTTCCTCACAGAACGATCTAATGTTAAATCGAACCCATAGACGACGATATGCCTCTGTAAAGTGTACGTACAAGATTTCTCCAGTTGTGTGATTGTCGTGTCAAATTGATATTGTGAAAGAACGTTCTTCATATTCTCCCATTTTTCAAAGCTAATGCTAATGTCTTTGGTTGTACATAAAGTAAATTAATTATTTTTCCCAGAGAAATGTAACGTATTTTCCGATAGAGCGAATACAGAAAACAATTGTGACTTTTAATAAAAACAAAAATTAAATAAAAAGTATTTTTATAGTACCTTAACCTTGATGGAATCCAAACCAAAAAGCAAAGCAACATAAAAGAACATAAACAAATTAACTATAGAATCAACAGGCAGATACCATTGAAGGCCGGAAAGTATTTAAGCTTATCCAGTACTTAGTAAAAGAAAGCGCACCCGTTAAATAATATGTTGCTATGGGAACGAGAAATCGTTCCATTTGTTTTTCATACATGTTGTTGATTTTTGAACGTGAATTTTCCCACTAACAGCACCAAGCGCAACATTTGCTCCCAGCGCAGGCCATTTTTGCATGTCAAACTAGTAGAGTTACGTACGAGTACATACATATAGATATATAGAGTTTGTACATATAATTGCATTATATGCATAACATTTGATTAATGACTAACATACATATACGCCGATTTTTTCCAATACCTCAATATCAGTGTACAATTTTTCCATAAATATTGAAATTGTTTTTTAAAAATCTCATTGTTTTTTATCGAAACTAAGCAAAATATACATATTACAAAAGAACTCGGTGTTTTCTCAAAACATTCTCGCTGTCTTTCGTCGCGTCTCTTTGTAAATGTGTGTGTGTGTCTGTATTCATTGTAATGAACGTATTGTATTGTATTGTATTGAAACGTAATGCAACTCCCTCTAGATACTATTTTGGCATAATTTTGAAAATATTTCTAGAAAACGCATTTCTTGGAGCAACTACTATTAGAGCAAGAAAACACAAAATCATAGCAAAGAAGATAAATATTTAAAATTAAAAGAACATGGAAATTTATTGTTTAGACAAATTTTTAAGACTGCAAAGAATTCATTGAAAGTGGTAATACAAAACAAACAAAATTAGTGCTAATCATCAATAAAATAAAAACTAAAACGATTTATAAATGAGTTTAACTTTATCGCACATCAAATTTAAAGCAATTAACAAATGTATTACTATACATACATATATGTAGATATTATCTATATACCTACAGACATCTGTACTTTGTTGCTTGTAACCGACATCGCTAAGCATTTCAAGTCTTCAATTTTTATTTACGCACCCACTACATGGACATTATAAGTTTGTTTTGTCAGCTGTTTTGCTTTGTTCGATAATGACAACAATTAAAGCAATTGCTTCAAACCGCCTTCTCCAAATGGTCATTTAAACAGCTGGTTTCACTATCTTTCCCCTGTCTGGAGAGAAAGAGTTGCACAAGGAATCGAAAGTGATTTTTCCATTGGATTATTAGTTCTAATTGTGGAGCGCTTAACCAAAACGATGCACTGACAAAATGATAACAACCTTGTGGGACTACCGGAATGGCCAGACATGTGCCGAGATCCGTTTTTAAATAAGAGAGAGAATTTAGATAAAAACATTATGAAGAGTTAAAAACCAGAAAGGCGATAACAAATTGGCGGAAGGAGCTATTAGTGGAGCTGCTTTGATTGAATTCTTTGATCTTGAGACTAACTGAATGTAGTTGCTTTCGGGGAAGTGTAGCAGAAAGCACACACAGCCTTGTTTTGCTTTTGTCTCAGATGTATAGATATGAATACCAAGTTGGTGATTCTACGATAGCTCTTATACTCTCCGGCATACTTTTATTCATACAGACGGACATGGCTATATCAACTCGTTTCTACATGCTGATCAAAAATATAAATACTTGTACATTACTGCTACATACTTGTACTTTCTCCTTCTGATATAAGAACGCTCACTTAACTACCCTTTAAGTACAAGATAGAAAATATTTTCTAATTTGGAAAATTGATGGGGATTCCGCCCGATATTCGTTCATGTTATAAGATATTACATGAAATGGGAAAGAACAAAGCCAATTCTCTATGAACTTCTCCTGCTAAAAGGATAAACGGGTATTTTGAAATTATTCTGATCGAAACAGCCATATGAAGGCGATGCAGACCCCAGAAAGTATATTGATATGGTATATTCTTGATCAGCATTATAAGACGAGTCGATATACAAGTAGACATGTTCGTCTGTCTGTATGAATATAAGGATCTGCAAAAGTATAGAATCTAGATTAACCGAACTTCGTATGCCGACTCATTTATTCATTTATTTAATTTAAAACTTTAAAGGAAGGTATGGCCAAAAATATACAACTATAATTTGTCTTTTTATGAGAGTACTGGGTATTTAAGCATTTCTAATAATTTTTTTTACCGATGAATAGAACTTTCAAAACAAAAAACCGTAGTACATGCAGGCCTCTAAGGATTACAGGTTATTGCATAATTTGCATAAGAAATGATGATCCCACAAAATGCCAACCAAATGAGCCAACATTTAATTTGCTTTTGAATACATACTACCATATATAGTCTTTTTTAGAGATACTTGTATAACCTACATTAGAGTCTTAGTGGCTGGCGATCTTTTTTAATGGTTTCGCTTTTAGAAATTCGCCAACATCACGCCATTTGCTCTACTAATATAAAAATGCACATTGGGCTATAAATGTCTATATACATGTAGTATGTTTGTATTTAAAGTCTGGCCGTCAACAAAATGCTGCAATTTTATGGCCCAGCTTTCTCACGCGCCCGTTCTCTGTTAATTTGTTGCACTTGAAGTTGTTGCGGCTGCAATTGTGGCTGCCCTTGCATGAGTAATTGCTGCCATTGTTGTCGCTGTGGTGCTGTGGTGCTCGACTTCAGCAAAAATCTGCCCCAAAATAGTATGCCTTTGGAAACCAAAACGACTTGCTTGAAATTTATTTTTAAATGCTGAAGTCATAGCTAAGAACAGCAGCAACAGCACCACCACTCCCCATAGAAGCGTTGTGGGGAAGGGGGATGGAGGATGACGAGATGGGTGCATGAAAGGGGAAAACAAAAACTAGAAGAGAACTTGGAGCGATAGCGCTGCACTTGCATTACTCATACGCCCTGTCAGTCCGTCTTTCCGTCCGTCTAGCTTGCGTGTCTAATCTGTGGGCCAGAAATTACGCGAACGGGCAAAAGTAGCGACAACACAAAGGCCTCCACAAAGCGTATAATTAAATAGTTGGTCGTGATAAAGTTGTGCAAATATTGAGATCATTATGTTAATTTCGACTGCCCTCGAGCCAACGGGGGGTGGTTGCTGTAACATGAGATCTGAGTGTCTCTATGTCTCCCCGACTGACTTGACTGACTGACGGACTGACTGGCAGCATCCATCATCATCATCACCATCACCATCTCAAATGGCACCCATTTTTCGCTTATTAAACTTGAAATATTTTGTCACTGATGCCGGCACGATTTTGCACGCAGGTGTGCGCGCGGCAACAACAACACACATGCATTCATACAGTGCCAGCCATTTGGATAGATGCACCACTTCGGGTGCAATAGTTTTGTGAACAACTTCATGGATTTTACTTTGCACGTGAGGCTAAATTTGTTAGCCATAGAAATCCAGAATTTCGAACATAAACCGCGCTTGCAAATGGCGGTCTTGCACTCTATAAGTATATATATATAAGTAGTATATAGTATAATTACCTGGTAATTTTTTCTCTTTACTGCTGCTGTTGCAATTACACTTGAATTGTGTTTTTTTTTTTTTGTTTTTGGACATAAATTTACGGTTTACTTATGGCGTATAATCCATTGAAGCTAGCTGGGGCGAGTCGCAGGTATCCGGCACGACCGTAAATATTAAGGTAGGTTTCATATCCGCAACAAAATTCCATTCGTTTTATCAAAAAATTGGTTTTCGCTGTGCATATACGTACTATATACGATATTAGGGTTTTCAACGATGAACAAGTAACTAAATCCCTAAATTAAAAACTCCACTGTACCTTTGCTATAGTCCGGTTCGCATTGATCTTTGCATTAAGGCTTCTTTTAGAGAAACCCAGATAATAAAGCATAATAACAAACCATATCAGATCATTATAAGTATAATATAGCGACTATATTGGCAGTATGACTTTAGTTTTTTTTTAGTGATCAACTTGTAATTTATGGAGATATTGACACTAAATAGAATGTTGAAAATATTGTTGTCATACTTGATGGTAGAAAATGCTGACTTTTAACACAGTATTAACACGTTTATAATATACAAGTATACTATTATTCTCATGAAGGAATAAAGTTCTTGTTCTTCTCCAGGAGTTGACAAGTATTTGAATTAGTTGTCTGATTATTATAAAAGATTCAATCCTTTGGAATAGCAAACGACATGCAATTTGTGAGAGTTTGTTTTCACGAATATTTCATTTATTTGGAAAACCTTGATTGATATTTGATTTATTTAATTTCATCTTTTTGCAATACAATCAAAGTTTCCAATTAGTTTTTTATTATTTCCGGTTCTATATTTTCTGAAATCTAAAGGGGAAAATATGTAAAACTCTAATATCGCGTATCCAGAACTAATTTTTTTGCACCGATGTAACCGATTTATTTACAAATAAGTATATTATTGTTTCTGTTAACATTTAACATTACATTTATTATCAAATTATAACACTCGTGAATGATTTAAATCAGCGGTGGGCACAAAATTTCTAGTCGAGAGCCCCATGGGCGTAGCCAGGATTTAGCTCAGGGGAGCGAGATTTTTTTGGCCGTTTTTTTTACTAACAAATTATTTGCACTATACAAAAAACACCCGAAAAATATGAAAAAATGAAATTCAATCGATCGGGAGTGTAAAATTGTACAATTTGAAATATTGTTTTCTTACATAATTGATCAATTTTTATATACTCGTCTATATACGTGTACATACTTTAAAATTATTGAAATCTAGATTAACATGCAATTTCCGATTTCCGAAAAATCATAACTAACAACATCAGCCCTACCATTCTTGTGTACCTATTCATACGACTGATGCTGTACATAAATAGTTATGTGCATAAATATTCACATAATTTGCTGTAAGCGCGCGAAAAATGCATTAAATTTAAGTTTGGTTTTGTTTTGTTTTGTGTTTTGTTTTTTTTTTTTCATTTTTTTCGTGCATTCGAATCGTATTCAATTCAATCAAAGCGCGACCGCAGCGTTTCGCGACTGTGACTGTGACTGCGACTGAGGCCGAGACCGAGGCTGCGACTGCGACTGTGCCTAGTGGGGCTTGTTTTCGGCAAATCTTTTGTTGTTGAAAAAATTGTTTAAAATTTCAAATTAGCTGCAGTTGCATTTGTTAATGCTTTTTGTTTTACTTGGCTATTTCTGTTGTCATTATCGCCGTTGTTATTATTCCGATACCCTACACTGAAAAGTGTCAGCTGCTAGCACGCATATCGCTTGCCGGACTGGAATTCAAATTTTCCCCCACCGGGTTGGATATTGCCCTTTTAATTAGCTTTTAAGTAGAATTATTTTTCCTCCTCTTCTTACTATTTTTTAGTTTGTTAGGTCTATAATGTCTCCGACCACATATGGCTGCGATTCGGGGCTTAGTTGGCCAAATGACAAATCAAATTCCCCCAGCGTGTCGGAGGCATTCATAGACGTTATTGTACAGCTTTTTCTTAGTTAAAATTATATTATTACATATCATTATTTTATTTTGAAATAAATACATATCGACAGCACTATTTTTTGATTTATTAAATAAAATAAGAATTAGAATAGCATAGAATTTATATGTATAGCTATGATCGACACGAATCCAAATCGTGTAAGAGGATGAGAACTTTCTTTCGACGGACACAGATAATACGCCTAGAACCAACGACATTCCCATATCATATACATAACTATCATAGAAACGATATGATTAAGGTACAGTTTTTGAATGTCATATTTGTTTGTACTTAAGTCAATTGGAAGCTAACTGCAGGCAATTGTGTTTTTTTATATATTTTTTTATTTGTGTTTGATGCAAGGACTATATCCGTGCAGAAATTAAGGCTTTGTTCTTATCCGAGCTATACACGCTTCAATCTGAATACTTGTCGTAATGCTGAATCTTTTTTGTGGAAGACATTGTCCATGAAAAAAAGGAATAAATCAAAGAAACAAAATGTTGACGCCCCTACCTTTAGGCCTAAAGAGGGCCATTGCGATGCCATTTAATTACCTTGGTTTTTTATTGGTCCGTTTTTAATGAAGCTTCAAAAGAATTTCATGATCTGCTGTTCCGTTATATCTGTGAGATCATTTAGGATTGGTTATCCTAAAGTAATGAACCAGAGTCTGTTTAATGCTGCCTTCTCTTCCTCACCTCCTTCCAAATCCAGGGCTATTGGAATCGATTTTATCGATTTCAGGCTTAAGAAAGAGATAAATTTATAAAAATAAATATAAATAAATAATAAATGTAGTATTTTCGATTTGATATTTTCTCTTATTCTTGCGATCAGCAGAGATGAGAGAGTGCCTGCCTAATGCGCGCATAAGGCACAGTAGAGGGTATATGGCCTCGGTGCAGACAAAGACAGCTTCTTGACTCGCTTTGTTTTCGTTCGTGTTTGTTTGTAGGAGCGGTAACCATTCATTTTTTTGTCATGCTTTTGAGCCATGCAATTGTTTTTGCAATGCCAACTGACCTTGACGTTGCAACATTACATCATCAGGCGGCATACCGTTGATAACCGAGATAAAAGTGTTGTTGCCTTGCATCCATAGTGAAGAAAATTATCTAAAATGTGACAAAATATTTGTTTAACCCCTGGCCACATGTCCATACGGAAAGCCAAACACAATAGCTGTAATAACAAATGAAGTTATTTAGCTGTGAGGTTTGGAAAAATAAATATTAACTACTTATATTATAGCAGTTATCAAAGGACCTACAATATATGTACTTGTAAGCTAATCAGTTAATGCAAAAGGTATTAGCATGCGCCAATCTAACATAAAGGCCTCATAAAAATATTATACAGCATTTTAATTTATGCACAATTTCTTCGAAAGACATTTCACTATATACTTGTAAATCAAATCATCATATACTATGTACATATACTATATATCCATAAAGAAAATTGTTTTTTTTTTTTTTTGGAAGGAAGATTGCTGAAATGTCCAACTGTAGAACGCCGGAAGGGTAAATATAATATATAATTATTGTAACTATAATAATGTATATTATATAATTATATTATATTGTATTGTATTCTATATTGTATATAATTATTGTAAATAACCATTCTGAGGCTTAATCTGTTGGCTTGCTGGCAGAACATTGGGAAAAGTTGTGCGTCACGAAATAAGAGACCTTTTAGCAGGGTCTAAATATTCTCTATTCTCTGCTAGATAGCGCCATTTTCTTCTGATGTAATTGACTTAAAAAAGCTTTAATTTTATATCACACTTATGGACACTGTCTTGTGAAGACTTCATGATATGCATGGAAAAAAAGAACATGTGCGGGTTTTTCCCGGCGGCATTAAACGCACGTAGCATAAGTAGTTTCCGTTTTGCTTGTGTAAATATGAAACGATCGTTGAAAATGAACAATAAATAAATATTGTTCCACACATCGGCCTGGGCTATAATAAAAAGAACACACTTTTGTCGCTAAATGGACAAACCCTCAAAGTAAATAAACGAAATACACACACATACATACAAGTAAGTACATATCCACGATATAGTATGCGTACAAATAAATATAGAAATGCACGAGTATATGGAGCCATAACACAATAGACCAGAAACTCAGAACCAGCGCTTAAATAGAAAAACCAGCAAACCCAAAACCGCAACAGATAAGAGCAAATGGCCCCCACCGCCACTTATGGGGCGTCGTCTGTCCGAGCGGCCAACACTTGAGCATGCGTGCGGTGGAAGGTAGGACAAAAAAAAGTGCAAAAACAATAACAAAAGCAAAAACAGAAACAGTCGACGAGCACACCAGAAGCACAACCGCAACAGCAACAAAAACAACAGCAATGGCTCAGATGACTCATACGACGCGTGTGCTGGGCCAAGTGTTCGTTCCAAGGCACGAGCGCCAAATTTTTGAGCAGCACGCTGCATGGCAGATACTTTTCTGATCCATGCTGCATGAATGAAAATAGCAACTGCAATTGTACAAGTATCTGTATCTGTATCTGGAGCTCTGCACAGTAGGCATTCTTTGAAAACTTATTGAATAAAAGTCGATCGTTTGTGGCAAAAGATGCTTAATTTGTTAGTGATTATGTTTTTTTTTTGCATTCTTAGCATAGCATCGAGACAGCTTTTGTTTTTTAAAACGACTTCAAAAAAGGAGGAGGTTATAATTGATAGCCTGCATTTTTTTTTTAATGTTTGTTACGTCTGCAAATTTGATTGGGTAAATCGATTTCGATGATTCTTTTGGCATTTGAAAGCTGGTGCTTGCCCTTTCAATTTGGTTCAGTTCTGACAATGGCATCCATAATAAAAGACTTGAATTCGCATTAAGTATACGCGCGACAAATGGGCGAATAATTCAATATCACGTCAACCGATGTCGATGATTCTTTTTTTTTATTGGAAAGCATGTACTTCAAGGGTACTTTGATGAGAGTTTGGTTAGGTTCTGCAAAGGAGAACGTTCGCAATTCGAGTTAGCTTAGAACTTTCAACTGGATGAACCGATTATTATGAATTTATGATGATTTTGTATTTGAATGCTGATGCTTCCCGTATGAAAGGATCCAATTTGATCCAGTTCTGACAATGGCATCTATGAGAAAACTACCTTAAACATACCTCAAATAGCTGAAAATTATATTCCTGAACAGGATGCTGTTACTTCAGAATCATCCTCGAAACATTGACTCACATTAAATGGCAAAAAAAAAAAAACATTAACTGGACTAGATCTGAAGTCGATTATTTTGTTTAAATTTTATTTGCATTTTATTTAAGCACTTTTTGGTCTACCAAGCTGAATTTAAAACATTTCTAGAGCATTACTACATATTTATACTTCCATGAGGAGTGAACAAGCACCCTTTCCCCACTGCATGTCCTTTGTTTTTGAACTCTTCTCAATTTTTTCAATCAAGCTGCAAGCAAGATGTGATTCATGACAAATATATACATATTTGCATTTGTATTTTATAGACGAGTGGCCGACTTTGTACATAACATGTAGACATGTTTACTACACTCAACTAAGTAGCGCTCTTATCGGATTTCAGGAAAATGAATCTGACAATGTTAGTTATTTTTTAATGGCATTTTCATAAAATTGCTAGTACAATTCCTCTTTAATTTGCAATTTGTCAATTAAAACATAGTTGGTTTGAGCCAGGCAGTTTTTTAATGGGTTGCAAAAAAATTGTGCTAGTAATCAGCGTAATTGTTTAATACGGTATATGTTATTGTAGCAATAATCGAGTGTGGAACTATGGCTGCTAATGCCGGTTTCAGACCCAGGAAGAAGCCTTTATATCCATGCCTACGAATCAATGATGCACAAACACCTCGCTTCGTTGGGAAATCTTCATGATCGGCGTTCATGATTATCGTTTTAACGGCATCTACTGGCGTGAAAATCAATGAGAGAAGGCCGCCCGTTAATAGGAGGGATATCAGACTAGTCCTCCAAGGAATAACATTTCCGGTGTGCAGTTGAATAAGCACATCATGAATCTTTAATGGGAGATTGACAACACATTATTCTCACTATTACACCCACACCAAAAATATTTGTCAAACCGTATTATAAGTGGGCGGAGTTGCAACTGCCAGGGCGCAGCTGGTGAAGGTGTGGAGCTTGAAGCCGGCAAAAAGGGGTCTGAAGCCTCCCTTGTGGAACACACAAAAAGCACCTTTCCAAAAATTGTTATAACTGAAAAAATAAATCACATTTAAGATCCACCATCATAGCCACATGATTGCAAGCCTATACTTGCGTCGATGATACACACTACGCGTTAAATCTGTCTGACGAATAATGACAAATTTTGCAAAGGGGGTTGAGATGAGTCCCGAACAAAATCCACTTATCCCAGCTATGGCAGCGGTCTCCAGAAACTGGAATTTCTTTTGCAGATGGTGAAAGATTATATATTGAGAAAATGTGTGCACAGTGCAGCGTGCAAAGGCACCGCCGAAGCCAAGGTAGAAACCACGAATCCCCTCCTTATAGAACATAATTTTCGCGATCTTTCGGAGGGTCATGTATCTTAGGGCATTGGCCTGCATATTAACACGCATCACATCAAGTGGATGCGCCAGAGTAGTGCCGGTCAGATTAGTGAAATAAACAGCATAGGCGGGTACCTTGGATATGGTTTCGTATCTGTTCACTGGGTCTTTAAGTTTCATTTTACCAAAAAAATTTAGATTCAATATTAAAAGGCCTACTAGGTTGAAAATTAAATGTTGTGCTCTTAGTCGAGTTTATTTATTTATTTTATTTATTTACTTATTATTAGTTCCTAGTGCGACAAGAAAGATTCTTATAAATTAAGTTAGTTACAAAATTAAATCCTTAGATAATAAAATTGAAAGTGATTTGATTAGCCTACTTAACCTATATTTATTAGGTACACTTTATTTATTTAAGTGAAAAAAATGTGTCTAATAAATATAGGTACGTTTTATTCAATTTAAATTTTTTATTTTTTTATTTCCGCTTCCTCCTCATCAATACTGTCCACATTCCCAAATCTGCATAAACTACACGTTATCCATACACACAATTAAATACACAATTATCTACTTTGGTTTTAAATATCATCAAAATCGGTAAATTCTTTCTTCTTCTTCTTCTTTACAACTCAGTGCCGAAAGTTTGTCTGGGTATAGGGTATTTCACTGTCGGGCCTGCTCGATTGTAGCGTTCTCTCTTGTTTTAAACGAATACATGAAAATTTCATCATCGAGCCCACATTTCAGTGGAAATGGAATGACTGGGTAACTAAAAAGCTAATGGATATGGGTGGACTAAATTTTACATCAGCGCGTTATTTGAGAAAAGTGTAAACTTGTATTGGATTATATTTGCTTTTTAGCTCAGTTAGTATCTGGCTACTCCAGAAGCCTTGGATCAAGATTTTTTTATAAATGAGGTCATACTATCATAATGTTTTCATGCATACTTAGTATATAGTACTTATAATATGTATTTTTGTGCCCCACCTAATATTTATTCACCAATTTTATAATCCCAGCCAAAAAGTACTACAGTTTTCTCAATAGTCTCAACTTATTAAGAACGTATTATATATTAGGGACTCCTGTGTTTTTACGAAAGATTAGTGGAAATAGCTCGACGCCGCATAGCTATCTATGTTGTGCATAACATTTTTATAAACTGTACCCGTAGGGTAAAAAGGGTATATTAGGTTTGTGCAAAGTAACATGCAGAAGGAAGCATCTCCGACCCCATAAAGTATATACATATATTCTGAATCAGCATGACGAGAGAAATCGATCTAGACATGTCCGTCCGTCTGTCGTCCGTCTGGATGAACGCAAAGATCTCAGAAACTATAAAAGCTAGAATAACCAAAGTTGGCATCCAGATTCTCCTATGTCCGAGAAAGGACGAGTTTATTTTTTTTATCCCCCCCCCCCCCTTCGGACAATTCTAAGAAAAGTTATTAGCGAAACAAATTGTCGCCAGTACAACCCCCACAAACTGCAGCAACAAGTTCGCTCTTCTTCTTCCTCTTTTTGCTGCTGCTTTGAGCGCATATAACTCAGTGACGGAAGTTTACCTGAGTACAGGGTATTACACTGTCGGGCTTGCTCAACTGTAGCGTTCTCTCTTGTTGTTAATCGTGTTGGTTGGAAATTTGTACCACCGTACGGCAATTGCATTAGGAGCGGGCGAGCGGTCATTGAGCGCCTGAAAACAGGTTTCGCTTTTTGCACAAAAGTTGACAGAGACACATGGACGTTCAGACGTTGGTGCAAGGGGGGCATCAGGGGGGAGCAAAGAAACGGCTGGCGCACACGTGTTGCCTGGCATCGTCGTTGCATTGACTTAATTTGTTATATGTAGTATTTCTTTTATACATAGTATACTTTTTTTGGCGCTGCAAACTGCAAAACTAAAGTTCATGCTGCCAGGCCAACCCCCAAAGCGGCTGGCAGCGACAGTTCCAATGACCATAAGTGGGTCAATTGCAATGAGCTGCTGTAGCTGTTGTTGTCACATACTGTTGCTGTTGCTGTTGTCGCGCGTCTGTTAACAACAGACTTATGGTATCTACTATGTACACCATGCATACATACATACATACATACATACATATGTATGTGTGTATGTACTCGTATATGGAGCTTGTGTGTCGTTGCGAACTTGCGAAATAATAAATTCAATTTCACAAAATTGAAAACAACAAGAAACTCAGCAACAGTAATATAAACTACAACAACAACAACAACCACAACGGGTACAACAGTTAAAAACGCGTGTTAAAATTGTTTTAAAATTCTAGGAATTGTCGCTGCGTAGCTTTGTCCGCTTGTTGTTGTAGCGGCTGCTACCGTTGGCGACATCGCCCATGGGCATGGGTCTGAGCCCGCCGGTAGTCAAATTTTACGCCACATTTTGTTTCCACACAGCTGCGCTTGCCTCCCGCACACACACACACACACACACACACACACACACACACACACACACACACACACACATGTTAGCTATACGTACATACATGCATAGTAAATACATACATATATGTATATATGTGCACAGACTCTTCCATCGCTTAGATTGGCAACTTGCTGAGCTTTTTCACTGTTGCCCGCCCGTCAACCTCATCGTGTTCTTTTTGTAATTTTTGCGGCGGCGGCGGCTTCGCTTTTTATTTACACTCTTTTTTTATTTGTTTGTTGTTAATTTTTTTAACGCTCTGTTTGTGTGCCGCTCTCCATTTATTAAGGTGTGTGTAAGCGGTTTTTTTCTTACTTTAAAATTCAAGTTGTTTTATCTGCGCCCGCAGTTGCCAACAATGGAGAACTTTTTTGATTGCTTGCCACACTTTTTGATGTGCAGGCAGCAAAATATTAAATTTTTTACATAACAATGCACGATACACAGAAATATTGTTACAGTTGAGTTACCCAAAAAGTTGACAGAATTCCTGGCAATTCTAGAATATTCAGTTATCTCTGTTAATATACTGTTACAGAAGTAATGAAAGGAAGACCTCGAGCAATGTTATTGACCTTAGAAAGCTATTTCTTTCCCCTAATATAAGTGAATCCTTTGTATGTAATTGTTGTGGGAATTGAGTTTTTTTCTGATCATTCGTCTCATTTGTCCGTCTTTGATTTTGGTTTACTGTCTTTGTGTTTGTGCGGCTGTGTTTTCCTGTGGCGGCCTTTGCCCGACGATTAATTACCTGAACTGCTTGCTGATTTCAGCTTTACGAGCCTTTTTCACTTGACAAGTTGAATTATGCGTCGGGCACTTTTGCATATAAAAATACAAATAAACACAAACACTCAACGGCCGTAAGAGCCGGCTTGCCAGCTTGAGGTTTTTATAGTTTTTGGCAACGCATTAAAACATTTCGCTTTGTTGTTGGCTTTGCCTTTTTACGAGCTGAATATAATATCTCTCTGATCACCTAAAAAGAAGCCGGACTATTGGGTACGCAACGATCAATATACAAATGCATATACATATCAATATTTTGTTGCTCATTATAGTAAATACGACTAGAAAACTTAATGCTTATAGACCTAGGTTCAGTAACAGTGCTAACGAATCGTGAGCATTTCTAAAGCTGAGAGAGAGTGAGGAAGAGAAAGAGAGTGTGGGACAGAAAGTGAATCGCGCGCATTTTTAATTTGTTGTTGTGCTATCGACAACAGTGATGACGCTCGCTTAATGTAGGTTAGAAATCGAACGAAGGGCGAGACGGTCGATGAGTCATGACGATGAAACCCGCTCGATCGCAGCTCTGTCTGTAAGAAATTACCAGAGACGTCACTCGCAAGGCGATAAGGATGATCAGGATGACGTCATGGGGGCCGATGAGCCCTTGCCTAGGCCTAACAACAAGTTCAATGAACGTTGCCATATAAATCAGTGTGTAACTGTATAGGCATACATACGTGCGTGTATGTGTTTAGTTGTTGTGGGGGGGTGATGGGTCGGGGAGTGGGTAAGGGAGAGACACCTGTCTAAAGAGAACAAGAACTATGAGCAATAAACCTGCGACGCAGTAATAAAAACAGAACAACAGCAGCAACAATTCACGGGGAAATCACGCTACGATCATAAATTCAAAACGTGCTAATAAAAGTAAGAAATACAAATAAACAACAAAAACTACAACACACATGAAGTAATTTTTCGCATTGATCTAGGAATGTGAATGTAAACGTAGAAAGATAGAAAGAGAGAGCGAGAGCGAGAGAAGAACAACTATGTTTTGGTATTCCAGCTATTTCCGCCAACTCACAGACTCTCAAAGAGCAGAAGAAGGAAGCACGCAAACATCAATGCCAAAATGGGGCCAAGGCAATCGAGAGACAAGATTCACTTGCCAAAAAGAGCAACAAGCAATGAAAAAAAAACAGTGCGTTTATAGCAGCGAGCAAAACGCTTGCGGCAATGGACGTCGCTTCTGTTCTTTGCCGTTTTCAGTTCCATTGCTTGGCGGTCGCGTGTTTGACTTTTGTTTTGGTTCTGCACATTCGCCAACAAGTTCTTGGCCATATGCTACTCTCGCCCATGTTTTGGCGCTCGCTTTGCCAGTGCATCTATAAATAAAGCTTTCGGGCCAGCAATTCGTTGATCATCGTCGCGACTACTTCGTTCCGAGGTGATTTTTCTCGCACTCACATGGCATGCGAGTTCACTGTACTCGTTACCTTTTGCATTTTGTTGTTATTGTTTCAGTTTGCAAACAAGTCGCTGTCTGCAGCATTATTAACTTAATACCAGCAGCAGCAACAAAAACAACAGCAACAGGAACAGTTGTTGCTCGTACATCAAAAACGCCAGTAAATCTCGCCATGTCAATGAAATAAATGCATTTCACATTGCTTTTTTCTTTTTGCGGCCGCTCCCTTGTCCATAAAACGATTTGTAATGTGCGCAATATCCTCGACACTACGTCGCGCATTCGCATTCCCATTACCTCTCTCCCAACCTCTTTCTTTCACTATGTTTCTCATTTACATTTTTGCGCGCGCTTAACCCTTTGGGAAGTACTGGGCTATAAATATACATTTTATCTTTCAGTGGTTCCTAAGTGGTTAGCGCAAAAGTTGAATGGACTGAACCGTATCAAAGATTCTTTGCATTCAAAATTGGATGGATTTGAATAAGTATGTCTTTTCCTTAAAATATATTCCGG